AACTTCGCCCACATCAGAGCCGGCCACACCAGAGATGGAAGATCTCAAGGAACTTGAAGCTGTTAGTACAGAATATGGATGACATAGTGAGGTGACTCACGGCAAAGAGCAGCGGCGAGTAATGTCATCGGTCATAACGGAACCCATTTCTTCGTACATTGTCGGATTCAGGTTGATTCTGGAGGAAAAGCGTGATATATGCGGAGGCGAGTGTTGTTGAGCTGTAGTATGTCGAGGTGGTTTAGATGTACAATGCTGTTTGACCGCGTATGTTCAGATAGTCGATGAGTCGTTGGAGAGTGCAGATAACAGTGTATATGCACAATGGGGGGAAAGATTCACAAAACAGACAAGGCTATAGACAGAGTAGAAGAATCAAAATCCACGAGGCGAATACAAGACAATGAAGGGATACCATGCGGGATGGGATGCATGTTTATATGTCGAGAGAGAGGGGGAAACCCTTTGAGAAAATAATCCATCTAGAAAATCCCAGAATAATCTTCCAAAAAAAAAAACGAATATTCCAAATATTCCAGATATTCAAGATATTCCTCGATCGAAGGGCTCGGGGACGACCTCTCCGGACCCAAGAGGGGGGAACCAGCGATCAGGGCCGATCAGACATGAAGCGCGGAATCCGGGATGCCATACAGTAGATGCATAACTGTCGAGTCCCACCACGGGGAAGCAAGCGTTCATACCCGGGGTGGGTGTTCTGGACCTGCTAGCGTTGAGAGAAGCGCCAAAGAACGGAATAATAATAATATTTATCACAGAGTATCTGTCACATCATGCACAGACCGAGCCTCGCAGTATAGTGCATTAGATCGGCCAATCATCCATCAGCGATGAAGCCCAGTGGAAAGGTTCCTAACGATGATCCAGGGCTCTTGATTTGTCACCGAGCTGTTGGTGTCGCCGATCTACACGGGGAAAGGTTGAGAGCATGCCCTTGCATAGTCTCTATTCAATAGAATGGTCTCTGGTCAAATCTTCCGGCTTCTTCGTGTGGATCTGACTGTTCACAAAGAGAAAGAAACAGAGAATAAAAAAAAAATTAAAAAGAGTTAAACTAAAAAAAAAGGGACAATGGACAAAGGACATTGATCACCTCCATGGATGTTTGAGATTGGCTTTGCTTGCATATCCCATACATATGGGTCTCCATACCGGATATCTTTTTCCTGCCTCAATGGCATTCATGAAACACCGACTGCAGCACCAGAGAGTACTCAACCTCCTGCATAGATAGTCAGGAGAACCTACCATGGCCGTGCGATAGTATCAAGGGGTACAATAATCAGTCGTTCCCCCCTCGAGAAAGCTTATGGGACTTCAAATGGCCCTTAAATTTAATAGAGTCAAGCAAGGACCCTCGGGAGTGTCAAAACATGCGAGGAGGTAGATGTCAATAACTATGACGAAATTATAGTCATCTAGGGAGACTGATTGTAACCATCCGCTTGTCAGGCGAGATGAACCGTCTCGTTGAATTAGTATCATCGCCAAGTAGACGAATCATGAAGCAGAACAGAAGAAAAAAAAGGAGGCAAGAAGCCAAATGATCGCTCGAGGCAACCAGCGACTTGGGACGGTCCCAACGACCAGGATACGTTTCCTGTCAGACGGCAAATCATGGGGATCCGAATGATTTGGAATACAGGCCCGCACAGACGTTGAAGAATTGACGAGTCAGAGTGAATAAATATATGTTTAATCTGAAGCTTTATTGATTTATTCTTAGCGAAGCCCTAAGCACGTTCCCCCGAACAGCCCTATGTTTTCCATGCTTCACTTCCAGTATTACAATTAAGTTAACTACTTTCGCTGATAATTGAAGCACCTGACTTTGGCTCTGATCATCTCACATTTGGATTTCAGATCCCCAATAGTCTCGTGTCGCCGTGTGTGTGTACGAAAGTGGTGGGTCATAGAAATCGAGCTGTCATATTCTCCGTGCCGCCTTCACCAACCAGCACTCGGCTTCACCTCATGTCGGCTCCATCGAGCACACTAGTCCCCACGTTCTTCACTGTGTTCCCTCATCCCCTTCTATTTATGAATATTCCCACTGCCACAATGTGTACGCAATTTACTCGCATTCCTATGCATTCCATGCAGCAACCCTGCGCAAAATGACCTCGCTTGCTCTCCCCTATTAACCCATTATTTACGGTCCTTTGTACGGAGTACTCGGTTTCACGTCTCTTGCAGACGGCACGCACCTGCAGCTCGAGAGGGGAAAACAGGCACGAACCATTTGAGCTCACAAACCTACAGCGTTCCGCCAGTTCCCCGGACCCATCTGGCCCGATCTTGCTGTTCTCTTACCAGTTCGAGAGACGCACAGGAGACTTTCGATCTCCAAGGTAAATCAGAGTTTGATCCTGATTCTTGGGTCGGGGTTTGGGATTTAGAGATTAAGGGACCTTTGGACATTTGTGTACAGTAATGTCGCCGTTCTAGGGATGGTGGGATCGATCGCAGTGGTCCACGATAGGCCTGTTCATAAGCTCTTAGTAGTCCCCTATAGAAGTTAATTTGTCCTCGCATCATCATAGCTCACAGGCTCGGGCTCCCCGTCCCGTGCGGCTCAGCAAGGACCCTATTCTTGACAGTCGCTACTCTCTCTGCACTGGCGGTGCTGTCATGGCAAAGCTAACGGTGGCGTTTGGGCCAATGATCGGCTGATCCGTCCTCCTCGAGCCAATTTATTCCCAATAGTAGCCTGTAGTCACCTCAGCCGCGGACCCGCTTGACCTGTCAGGTTTGAATTTGCAACAGGCTATACTAGGATTTCGGGAATCTTCAATTGAATGATCTAGAGTCGTGATTTCAATGATTTGAGATTCAAGATACGAGATTCGAGTATAGCCTCTACAAAGACTTATTCGAATTCATTTGCAGGCCTGGTGTTCTGCCAAGCGTTTAAAAGTACGGGTTCATGCATGATGCACGATCATTTCCTGGATAGTTGGCCAAACTTACTGTACAAGCGTGTCCTGGTCTAGTGTGTGTGTTCCTTGTGAGTTCGCATGGTTTGTGCGATTAGTTTCCTCAGATCTCTGGTTTTTCTTAGTACCATTTATTTCTTCTTATGATGCGAATGATCGAATTTCCATGCTTCGAATCTTTTTTTTTCCTTTTTGTCCTCTCCACTTCTGATCGGCCCCTCCTAGCATGTATCTCCATTGCACTACTGTGCGTGCTCTTTTTCATGAATCCAAAGGCCCCTGCACGGGTCCCACCTACTGTAACCTTGGGAAGTGGTCAGCATGAATTGCTGACTCGTGCTTTACTAAGTACGGGCAATGACGGAAGGGGCTTGTAGTAATATTCCGAGCCATCTGATAGAGGAAGCCTATATTCGTGGCGTTCAGAGCTACAGTAATGCGCAATAATTGCCTCTAACACATAATATGTACTCTTTACCAGCGAGGGAAACAGGCGGCAAGGACGAAGAGCGGATTTTCGTCAGCCATGTGGAACTTGCATCAACTGTCTACTGCTGGACACTAATGCTACTTCAACCGTTCAAAAGTACATCCAGATCGCCTGTGAATAAAATCCAAACACAAGATGCGTATATCCACTTAGTCTCTGCGCAGGTACAACCGACTATCTGGCCCAGGGAACAATTCCCCGACTGGCGCAGCCGCCACGGTTCCTGCAAGGACAAGTCCTTAGTATACAGATCTAGCAGACCCCCACGGTGCACAGTGGCTATTCCTGGAGACTCCCCGCCAGCAACACCGAACTCAAATTCGCCGCATCTGACAGGTCTCACATGAACACTTCCCCGAGTTGCTGCATGCATAGGCAGACACATCAGCTAGTCCCTAGCCCGTGGAGTTCGCCATCAGAACAGACAGTGCTTTGCCCTCTTCTCCTCGGGCTCGGACTCTGATCTGACTCTGGATCTGGATCTGGATCTGAGGATCTGCTGTGCTTCTGCGTCTTGCCCACCACAGGACGCATTGCACATCGATGTGCGCTCAGGGACTCTGAGTTTCCCATTACCTGGATCAGTAGTTACCTCCAATGCAAGGCGGACGCATAGCCTGGTGGGTCGATACAAGATATGTACGCCTTTATTCAGGTACCCTTGAGCCGGCGTGCATCAGATTCGTGCGAGATTTGAGGAGCCGACAAAGATACCGATGCGGAGTTCGGCGCTGGGTCGGGCTCCTTGCCACCTGTCCATATCATATTGCATTTACAGGGGGGATGCACATATTCTCACCAGGGACATGGGTCTGGAAATGGGTATGCCTACGTGGTCCAGTCCATGTCTCGCGTCCTCCACTTGGGCTGTGTGCTGGGTCTCCTCTGCTGTACATGTGTGTCAGAAAGAGGATACCACGGCCATGATGGCTTTTTTTTTCACCATGCTCTAGTCCGGTCCATGACCCATCAAATTATCTTGCGCTGGATTGAAGACTGACCAAAGGACCTTGTCTATTGCCAGTTAGAGCCACCCCGGTGACCAATTGGTACCAGCTGAACCCTGGTCAACATCGTAGAGGGAAACACTAACCAAGTCCCTCAAAAGTACAAGACTATCACTTATCAAAGTTGGGGGTTCAATAGAGTCCTCGGTGCTGTTCGGCGCACATCAAATTGATGTCAGATTCTTTAAAACTTTATCGCCCGCTTGTAGATCAACTACACTTGAAGGAGCTGCCACATCTCGATTGAGACACAGGCAGTAATCTGAAACTCTAACAACAGTATGTTCATGAAGCACTGGTATCAACGAGTCATCATGATCTCAAAGATAGTCTTGTGGATCGATCTGTCCACCGTTTCCAGTAAGATATTCCACATTATCAAGTCAACCCCCAAAAGTCCTCTTCTACGCCATTTATGTATGTTTCAGGCGTATAGCCGCGGTCTGGATCCCATCTACCATGTACATCGACCTAAACGGCAATACATATGTACTAAACACATCAAACAGCTACTCCACAGTGGTCATCCACGATCCGCCACACACCATGTCCGATCCTCGCCTCTGCAAGTCCAGTACATGTAGCTCGACCGGCAGTTTCCTGGTTTCTACCTCCCAGAACAACCGATCGTCCTCACGCAAGATTAGATTCCGCGACCGTGTAAGCTAACCTCTTCCTGCATCTTGCAGTTCGCATACATTTCCGCTTCGTATCCTCCCACGATCGCCATCCCCCCTCTCCAGCCCGCAGACACGCATATGCAAATACTAGCTGCTCTATAGGCCGACAGTAGTCGATGATCTCGTGTACACTGCACCACCCATAAAACCAAAATACGAGTCCACAAGTACTACAATAAGAAAAGAAAAGTGTACAGTCCGCAATTTCAGCTCCCCCAAATCGGACCCTCTGATTGGCCCAGTGCTCCGGAACTATGCGCGTCTATCAAAACCTTGGACCTTCCCAGCCCTTTGAACAAACCCTCAACCTCCACAATATCACGACAGTAGATATTAACAGTATTTTCCGCCAATCATCTCGAATTTTCAATCAAATCTCGTTTCCCGTTTTTCCTAGCCGCGCTCGATCCCCGACGGTTTTGCCTTCCCCGGCAGAGAGGGCTCGAATCGGATTCAGAGGCGGGGCCCGGCGCAGTGGATTCGACATATCGATTTTTCCCAATGGGCTGGGTTGGCCATGGCTGTTATTTCGCTTGAGTTCTGAGACGCACATGGTTGTTTGAGGTGCGTTTTAGGGCGTCTGTTCCTGGACTGTTAGATGAACTGCTCGTGATCTATTGAGATTGGGCTTGATCTTGAAATTAATGTGTACTGTATCATTTGACTTGGATCATTACTATAGTAGAACCCATCTCCATCATATTGACAACATCCAGCATGCCCCTTCGGGCCTACTGTACTTTCCTTCCCCTCACCTAACCTAACCTAACCCTGGTACCCTAACCTCCTCCCGTCTCTCTCCATCAAAATCACCCCTAGACGGCCTTTTGTCCGATCTGCTATGCCAATCCTGGGCACGTCGAATATCCGCACCACACTAGTATACCACTCCACTGGGCATTGCAGAGACCCAGAAACTGCTGGCTAGTCTCGCTCCTAGTCTCATACCTACCTGGCTGATCTAACCCGTTTATATCATCGCACAAATCTCAAAAGTCTTTTCCGGCTGTTCGTGTGTAGCCAATATATACAATCATCCATCCATAATGCCATGGTACCGCCCCGATCTAGTCCTTCCCTTGTAGAGCCACAGAGATATATATCCCATACACTCATACCTTGGTTCATATATAGAACAATTCACATCAATCCATCCCGCTCTTACTCTCGTTCCTGTGGCTAGGGACTAGTCCCGAGCTACACATGCGATTGTCCCGGTTCCCAGTCTCCGGTCTCCAGTTCCCAGTTCCCGATTTTCAATCTTGCAATCTAGAGCCTAGAGTCTGAGGACCAGCATGTAACATCTGGCTCTAGATCTCACTCTAGCGCCAATGCTAGTGTTAGTAGAACCCAAAATCCAGTCCAGCCGCGGAACGAAGACGACACTTACTCTCATCCACCGATCTAGTGTTGCTTCCCTGATCTGGTCCCACGCACCGGGGCTCAGGCTGCGTCGGGGACCACTTAGTGTGCAGCGGGGAACTGGATCTTGGATCTTGGATCAGTTGGGTCTGGATTTGGGTTGGTTTGGGTTAGGGTTTGTTGGTTGAACATCTGATCTGACGCGCGGGGTGATCCCGGTGCGTACAGTAGGTTCTTTCTACCATATCCTCTTTTTCCTTAGTCTTGGTTTAGTCCGTTTCCTTTCATCCGTCGGGGTTTGAAGTTGGATCGACATGGCAGAGGTACGTAGGTGGAGGTGGATGTGATGCAGAATTGGGGTGGCTGGAGGCTGGGTTTTGGGATGAGGTTGGGGACTTGGGTTTTTTGGATATGGATATGACATGGGATACAGGTAAGAGCCGGTTAGGTGGTGCGGAAGGATAGTCTGGAAGATCTTTGATATCTGATCACATGTCCCGATTGGGGTGACGGTGATGGATGTTGGATATCGATCTTGAAGAGTTCAATCGAGGGATGGTTACATTCGGTGGATCTGCGGGTGGCGATCGGGGCTGGTCGGTTGACAGGCGAGGGTTATTGAGTGTAACTAACAGGATAGGGAACTAGTCTGTAGGCTGTCGTGTGTAAAGGACGGTGCAATGAAAGAATACTCAAGTTGGAGGCGAGGTAGAGAAAAGATGTGATAGCATGGGGTATTACAATGATTAAACTGCGCACATCTAAAAAATGAGGACGATATTACTGCCATGAAGAAAAGCTCAAGGAATGTTTACAAGAAGTACAACGTGAACCGTGATTCCACCCACAGGCCCAAAGCAGCCTTCCCATCTCAGTGTCAACGAAGCGGGTTACAGATGTAACCAAATGAATTAGAACGCGATGAGCGGACCATGGAACATAACAAGACAAACACAAGGATAAGAAAGACTCCTTTCAGGTGAAAGGCGAGATGTGCCTCCTATGGGGAAAATCCACATTGCGGAATTTTCTCCACAAAAGACCGAATTATTATCATGAGAACTGCAGAGGACCAAGACGAAATCGTTCCTTGAAGTGTTTTAAATGAAATATTCAAGGTTGATTGAATCAATAGTCAACCCTTACAGGAGCTGGGCAAGAGCACCGAAGACGGCAGCGAGACCAACAATGGGGACGTTGGCACCGGTCATGAAGGCAGCACCGGAAGAGGTGCTGGAAGAGGTGCTGGAGGTAGAGCTGGAGGTACCAGACTTGCCGTTGGAGGTGGTAGGGGTATCGGTGTCAGCCTTGCAGGTGAAGTGACCCTTGATGACATCGGAAGACTTGAGCTTCTGGAAGTCAGTGCAGCTGAAGTTGCCGTGGGTGGACTGCATGTTGAAGGAACCCTCAACGTCCTTGAGCTTGCCAAGAGAGATCCTGGAGAATTGTTAGTTTATGATTTTTTCACACTCTGGATGCTACTACTTACTTGTCGAAGGTACCGGAGAAGTCAATGGCACCCTTGACAGTCTCGAGGCTGGACAGAGAGATGCTGGACAGCTTGTCGTCACGGGCAATAGTGAATCCACCGTTGACGGTCTTCAATTGGGGCATGCTGATGTTGGACAGCTTGGAGTTGTCGTTGAAGATAAGATCACCAGTCTGGGTCAGGTTGGGAGCAGAGAAGGTCTGGAACTTGGTACCCCAGAAACCGAGCTGACCGGTGAGCTTCTCGAGAGAAGGAACAGACACAGAGGAGATGTTCTGGAAGGTCATGTTGGTACCGGTACCGAGGTTGGGCAGGTCAATCTCGAGAGTGTCGTAGTTACCCGAGAAGCTGATCAGGTCGGTGGCGTTCTTCAGGTTGTTGATGTTGATGGTCTTCAAGTCACGGTTGTTCTGGATGCTGAAGGTTCCGACGGTGTTCAGCTGGATACCGTTCAGGTCAGTCAGACCAGTGTTGGAGATGATGACATCGCCGGCCTTGGTAACACCAGTGTCGAAGTTGAGGGACTGGAGCTTGGGAAGAGCCTCCCAGTTGATGGAGCCAATGGAGGTGAGCTCGGGGAAGCTGAGCAGGGTCAGGGTGGTGAGACCATCCAAGTCGAACTTGCCGCCGATGGATGTCACCGAGGGAGCAGAGATGGAGCTGACGTTGGCGGCACCGCTGGAGATGATACCACCAGTGATCTTCTCGACACCGCTGAGGGACAAGTCACCGCTGTAGGTCTTCTTGATGGTCAGGTCACCCTTGAGGGTGGTGCAAGAGGCGAGGGCATCAACATCGCTCTGGTTCTCGACAGTGGTGTCACCACAGCTGTCGTCGGCGAAAGCCAGCTGGGAAGCGGCCAGCGCGGTCAGGAGGTACTTGAGAGACATTGTAGATGTCTGTATCGCGTCGCAGTCAGCAATTGCAGAATTCCCAGGCTTCCAGGGGGGACACGTACGAATTAGAAATATGGAACGGGGGAGATATGGAAGTGAGCGAAGAGAAGAAAAGGCGCTTCAAACGAAAGGGAAGCGAATGATACTGCTAGGCAGGAACTCTCTAATGGTAAGAACGAATGGACGGGGTTGGGGAGGAGAAGAGATTAAGAGGCAGGCGAGGAAAGGGGAGTTGGTGGAGAATGTGTATTGTGACGGCCTTGTTTTTATATACCAGGGGAAAACACACACAATACCGCATCCGGCGCTCTGGGCTGTGCTGAATAACTTTCGCCGGTTTCGGTTTTTACCAGACTTACCAGGAAAAAAACTCACAACCAATGGAACTTACGGCCCAATTCCTGTTTTGGTCCCACGCTAGTTCGGTTTCGTACCCCTGGCAGATTTTCAATACACACGTGTTCCATCCCATGCTTCAATGCGGATGTTTGCTATTTCACGTTATAGAGTTGTTGACATGGACATGGACATGGACATCATATGGGGATGGATGCTTGGGTAAAGGCAAGGTACAATTGCATTGGGGCTTATCGCCACCTCATGTCCAATGCATCTCGCTTGCTTCTGCCTATCAAGCCCTGCTCTATCTCCACGGTATCAATGGCGATGCAATTTTATGCGGCCAAAGATACAGTCTGTTAATGAACTCTAGACTCTGCTAATAATAATCCTTCATAAATACTAGTTTGTAATACCAGAATGCACTAGGCCAATTTATCAACAGGCCCCATCCTATCTATCACTTGCTGTCGTCATCTGTGTCCTCAAGCTCGAGACTCTCCCCTGATCTTCCAGAACTTTTGGTAGAATAATGATTGGCTATCCTTAACCCAGATCCCGGTATCCCTCTCTCTCAGATTGTATTTCAAACCAGTCAGACCAGGAATAGACATCCATCCCAATCTTATGTTTTGATAGTGGCCGATCTAAATTTGCGGGAATCCAAGCCTTCAACGGACCCGCCCCCCTGCCGCTATCGTCGATTACTGGTATGCACAACTCTCATTGGCACGTTGGAATGAATCGCCCTGGATTAATGTCAATCCTGGCTGTTTTCTGCTGCTCTACCTGAGGCGAAACGCCCCTCGCAGACGGATATGCAATTCGTGTCAACGGACCCTATTCTTCAACTCAATCCCCTGAGCAACAAGCCCCTTTTCACTTTGTGATATAAGACGATCATGAAGAATCTCTGGACTCTCCACTTGGTACCACCAGGATCTGCTGGTATACACTCAAATGCAATTTTCTCTACATACTGTACAGTACTGTACATATACCCTTGCCTATAATCAGACCATCACATCAAGCTTGCAGCTTTACGACGATCGCAGTCATGAATCGGATTTCCTCGCATTTTCAAAGGTTACATGTACTTTGTACTGACTCAGAAATCTGACGAAAAAAAAGGTCCTCTGCGCACAGAACACCTCGCTAGCACTCGGCTATAAATTGGCCCCGATGGAGCTCCTGTCATTCAACACCAGGCGATCAGAGCCATGTCTAGAGCCACTTCGACCCGGGACATCTGAGACTAAATCTGTGACAAAAGATCCATCCCATTCCGCCCTTCAAGGTCTACTTAATTTTGCATGTATGACCAAATTGAAGATGGACACCAAATATACGACCACAAACAACCTGTAGTGAAGTCTCGGTGGCAACAAAGCCATTACTGTATACACAACGTTACAGTGTAAAGTTGGCAAATGTTTCAGAAACGGGGCCGTCCCACTCACTCCACCCATGTGTAATTTTCGATCGCTTAGAAAATTGGCAAACCTGCTCGATCCGACCGTGCAATTGTTCATTTTTATTATGGAGACCAGTTTGACCAACAGCAATGAATTAAAGCAACCCCATCAAGCTCTGCAGAGTGGACGAGGGCTAACATGTTACCAAACCCGGACCTTGGCTTTCCCCGTGCTTGGAAACGCCACCATTATGGATACGCGGCCTTAGGACCAAACCTAGTTGAGTCGGTATTATATGGCGCTGTTTAAGCTTAGAATCGGGGTCCCCTGTCTCATGTGTGGTAACCCGAACGAAAATATGTCCATTTGTACTTTGCAATTACATTAACCATTCAATTTGAGCCTTTGTACTGTACATTCGTACATTCGTACATTCGTACATTCGTACATTCGTACATGTCTGGCCGCTCATTTCTTGGATTCACATTCCGGGGTGCCTATCCGACCTGTCAGGGCTGAGAATTTGCCTCTCGTTGGAATGCGTAGAACGCTCAAGAACAACCTGCCCTCGGAAGTCTTGGGGGCCTTCAATCTAGGGATATGGGGAATGATTGCATTCCTACGCCTACGAACACGAGACCGAACCCCGTGAGAGAATTAAAAAAAATGTTCGCCCGACCACGCTGGAGTATGTACCCTATATGTGCATGTACCTGACGGGTACTGGGAGACTGGATGCCGCGCGATGCCACGCGTTTTGGGAGTTTCTCCCTTGTGTCTCCATTCACTGAGTGCTAGAGATTTGGTGAATATAGGCATGGATCTGATCTGAGGAGTTGATATGTTTCTATCACAGACAGGGATTCACGCTTGTTTCGGACTGCAGCACGAACTATCTTTCAGAAATCCGACTCGGTCTAACCCTTGGGGTTAAATGTTTATCTCGGAGTTAACTACTTCTTTACTATAGTAAGTGCACTAGACAAACGGTTGTTCTCCACCAATGGAAATTTTTTTCGGCTCTTGATCAAGGCATTCACCTATGGGGTTGAAGAATCGTATGTCGCTGACGCAAGCACTGGGGTTGCTCCGGTGTCGACTGCAGGTTATCCTGGTTGAAAGATATCAAATACTATAAAATACAATAAACGAAAATAACAAATACCAAATATCATTTCAATGCAAAAAATTCAGCTTGTTGGTCGTTGTATTGAGACCTAACCGTGGATCTGACTTTGTCCTTGATATTTCCAGGGAACCAAGCACCAGCGGAGTATATGACAGCCAATAACGTGACTTTGATATCTAGACCCAAGGAACAATATCGTCCAGGATGTATTTTGATTTGCTGTTGTCATAGAGTATCCAGGATGAGACTCAACGTATTTTTGGTTCCATTGACTTGGGCATCACTGTGCGAATCCTCTATTGGGAAGGAGGGGGTTTTCTTTGTACGTTCGCTTATTTATTTTGGTAGACAGACGACGTGTAGAGGAATGGATTCACTGGTATGAGTTTGTGGCGGGTGGGTACAAAATATATACTAGCGGAACAATCCTACTATTAAGATATTAATAGGATCGTTACTCCACGAACTCAGAAGAAAATCACATGGAAATCTATGTTCCCGTCTCTATAATAAAGTTAAATGAAGAATGGCCATTCTTAGTGCCCGAAATATCAAACTTGGCACTCACCATTGTACGGTCAAGAAACACTGAGAACGTTGAATTGTACTTAAATCATAATTTTAACCTGCTCAAACAAATCTCTGCTTAATTGTACCATGTACAAATGAGGATCTAATGTTCAATCCTAGGTAGACTGTCTGCCAACTGAAGTGCCTTCCGGTAAGAGCATGCCACGACATCATCTATTGAGTCTCCTTTGGGGCAATCCCAAGCTGTCAAAAGAGGCATACTAAGTCGTTAAAACTCTTGAGAACCAACGTTGCGCAGACGCATACCAGTGTCTCATATACAAAGCGATCTATTACAACACGACACACCACTTGGAGATTTAGCCATCCATTGTGAACCATTGCCAGACCAGCGTGATGCAGTGTGAAACTTTCTGGCCCGAGAACGGCAATGAGATATGGCAATCAAGGATGCAGGATAATTTCATCAGTGGAAGTAAGAGGCATGCGCTCTGAAATAGTCCGAATTTCTTCTCACAACGTAAGCTTCTCACATGCTTCCGCGAACCAATCCAGATCATTCTTAGACCATGATCAGCGAGTTAATGCGGCAGTGCATATAAGATGTAGGAGCTCTATATTTTAGAGGCTGTGATACGTCCGATGAGCTTCAAACCATGAAAGTGGACTAACCACGAATTGGAACGTCTCGTCTGAGGGCTTTGGAGCTTTTGCCTTTCCATCCACCTAACTCATAGAGTCGGCATCATAGGTTGCAACACAGAGGAATTTAGCCGTCCGAAGAAATGCTACAAATTAACGCAAGCTGTGAGTCCATGGAAATGATACGACATGCCTCATTAGGTCTTCCCAGTCGATTTCGCAAGATTGGAAAATCATCAAGACTCTTCCCACTACTTATTTGGCGAAGGGATCTATTGTTGCTACTGTCGATAGTTATTCGCTTGGGGCTGCGAAAGAAAAGATTCTGCGTGCTTGATCGAGAGCACGGTAGAGCAAATCAGGTATTTCTATGTCAGTACTTAAAATATGTTGTCATCTAGCATTTGATAAGTTATGCTCATCACCTACAGGGAATCTTTAAACTGATCGTCAGATCTACCAGTGAAAATGAGCCCCAGTCACTTCATGGTTGTAGACTCTACTCAAGGATACCCTTGAGCCCGTTGGAGCATTTGGCAACCAAGCGAAGTTTCTACACATAGAAAGTAGTAGCCGAATGCTTAGAATTAATATTCAACAACGCAGCGTTGAATTAGGCTCAGTATAAGTTTAGATATAAGAAGCCGTTCACGGTACCCACTGGGTAACCCAAAGCAGCGAACTCCAACTCCAACTCCGCACCTCCGCAACATTCTCCGACCCTCGAGACATCACCTCCACTACTACCAGTATATCTAACAGACTACGCAATAATGTCACTTCGACGCTCAGCCCGACTAGGCTCTATCCCAGCCCTCACCCCGTCGATTCCAGCCCTGAAAAGCACAGCACCAACCAAGACAGCGCGAGTCCAAGACAGCGCAGTAGCCAAACCCCGCAAAGCACTCAAGAAACCAACACCCAAGCCACAAATAAAGACTGCATCCTCATACTGGTCCCCAGAACCAGCACCTACCACAGCAAATAACTCCCAGACAACAAGACCCCAAACACCACCCCCGCTCGACCGCCCCGTCGACCCGCACCGAACAAACGCAACCCTCCGCACCCCCCATGGCACGGCCGTGACCGCATACCCAGCGCACGCAGAAGATGCCTCGCCCAGTAAGACAGGTCTCCCCCGACCCCTGGCAACAACCGGCACGCTTCTCGAACAAGCAACGGCACACCTCATAGCTACAGATCCACGCCTCGCGCCTGTCATAGCGCAACACCCCTGCTCGCTTTTCTCCCCAGCAGGCCTGACGGAAGAGATTGATCCATTCAATAGTCTGACCAGTAGCATCATTGGCCAACAAGTCTCCGGCGCTGCAGCGAATTCGATTCGAAATAAGTTCCTGGCGTTGTTTAATTTAGTTGGCGGGGAGAAGGCTGGGGATGGGGAGTGGCATGCTACGTTCCCGACGCCAGAGCAGGTTGTCAAGCTTGATATTCCGACTTTGAGGACTGCGGGCTTGTCGCAGCGGAAGGCGGAGTATATCCTTGGGTTGGCGGAGAAGTTTGTTAGTGGAGAGCTTGGGGCTAGGATGTTGGCGAGGGCTTCAGATGAGGAACTGTTTGAGAGGCTGATTGCTGTTAGGGGGTTGGGAAAGTGGTCTGTTGAGATGTTTGCTTGCTTTGCGCTTAAGCGGATTGATGTTTTTTCGACTGGAGATTTGGGGGTTCAGTAAGTTTGTTCTTGCGTTTGGGGCTAGAATTTTCTGGCTATATGCTGACTCTGATTCTGTTAGACGGGGCTGTGCTACCTTCGTTGGACGAGATGTGAGTAAAGTCAAGGGTAAAGGTGGTGGTAAGTTCAAGTATATGTCCGAGAAGGATATGTTGGAGCTTGCTGCGAAGTTTGCGCCGTATCGGTATGTTCTTTTTAGTTTGGTAGTATTGAATAACCATGCTAATTGATTGCTACAGAAGTCTATTCATGTGGTATATGTGGCGGATTGAAAATGTTAATCTTGCTGTTCTTGGGGGTTAACCTTTTAGGATCAGGTCTGGTTGAATTGTGATTTATAAAACCGACCAGCTAGAGACTAGCAGGATACTAGTATACATTTACTTCCAATGTAATTGATCATTGCAATACATCATCTGAATATCCATGAGGCTTCTACAATATTGGATGTTGTCCACTACCTAAAAGAGCAGGTGCATGATATCAGGCGTCTAATGCCCAAGCTGACAAGAACTTTCCACAGGCGCCTACCCATATTACTCAACGAACACCCTATATCCAGAGTAAATGATAATTCCCTTGCAAATACTGGACAGCACATATATTAAGAGCGCGAAGAAAATCGATTTGTACAATATCAGTACACACAGGCTACATAACCAAGCCGTGGGCCGCCGACGATAGCGCCCACATCAACTTAAAAAAAAAGCATACCGGGCGTCTATTTCGTGCCAGCCCAGTTCCCCAACCCCTCGTTTTCATATCTATTGAACGAAGTAGAAATTGTTTACTTGCGGACAACAAGGTTGTCGAGGTCCTCACGTTCCTTGACCTCCTTCTCGATCTCGCGGATGATGGGGCTCAGGTACTCGACATCCTATTTGAGTTGCATCATTAGCATGATTATCCTTGAAGTGGGTATATATGACAAAACAGAGTCATGGTGGATGTGACAAATCCTCGCAACAGGATTGGCCGGTCTGGGGACTAATGCGGGGAGAGCGAAATTTGGATGTTGAGAACTCACCTCCTCGGGCTTGGTCTGCTCGTTGGCGGGAAGAAGGGTGTGGGAGATAGAGCACTGCAATTGACTTTGTTAGGCTTTTGCGACCCGATGAGGAAGGGGTTTGATCGAACCTGGAAAGCGCGGCGGATACGGAAGACACGGTCGTAGGCCTCCTTGGAAGGAAGACGCTTGATGGCCCTCTGGACGTTCTCGCTCTCCTCGGGGATGAGGTCGTCGAACCTAGTGGCTAATTAGCAGGTGTTGTTGGGCTGGACCCTGTTGCGAGCGATATCCGAAGAACCGGGATTGCGGGCTATGCCACACGACTGCGATTGCATTCAACAGATATGCCAACTGTCTGTAGCTGTTTGCCCAATTGATCCCTGATCCTTTTTTTCCATCGCTCGCAGTCGGGTCGTGTGGGAGGGCAGGATTTACTTGAGTCCGAGTCTCCTGTAGCCGGCAGCGTCGGTGTACCAGTTGGCAAGGGGCTGCATCCAGCGCTTAAGCAGCGGGCGCTTGACAATGTAGTTGGCGAAAGAAGGGGCAGACATCTTGAGTCCCGGGTATCACAATTGACGAGAGAGTGAAAAGAGGTGGTAAGGCTATCCGGCTGGAACACGAGATGACCCGATGTTGCGAAGTTGTGCAAAACGGAGCTCGGGCGACTAGTCCCAAAACGGAAACTTCTGGCCTGAGGCAAGTATTACACGTGACTGGTCGAGTACTTGCCTGAGGCCCACAACAGGTGGGAATGTCAATCGCAGCACTCCACCTCACAGATAGGTTTCCTATGTCATACCCCCCCCTCGAGTGATCAAATTCATTTTGCCATGGGGATTTGTTGACTCTAGCAATCTATAATCCCTGCTTCTCTAGGGAAGCTTGATTGCTCATAACCCCGCTCACCGTCCGTGCAGCAGCTTAGGGCATTATATCAAGCAACCGGGTTCGGTAACCATCGGCCCCAGAAATCTCTCCTCACTCGGACCTCCACTATCTATCTCTCCCTCTTTCTACATACCTTCGGATCGTTTGATCTCCAACATTTCTTCTATCTTCTTCGAAACAGGGTTCTTGGGTTCCGGATCGAGCACCCGATATGCTCGTGTCCGGGAGCCCTCGTTGATTCACGGATAAGCTACGTGAGTGCCGGTCACCAAAATGACTTCTGGCGGCCGCAGCGCTCCCAGAGGCTCTTCGGAGCAAGCTCAGTCATTCCCTATGGAAAATGCTGCATCTGCTCCACACGTGCCCGCCATGCCGACCTCTGCTTTCACAACCCGCCTTCAGATCCTCTCCACCACTTGGTCCGACGGCCTTATTACACCTCTATGTGGAGCCAGCGCTGGCGTGGCTTCTGGTATTGTCACTTGCCCTCTTGATGTGATCAAAACCAAACTACAGGCCCAGGGCGGCTTCCGTCGGGGAACACGGGAAACAGTCTCGGGGACGCTCTACCGGGGAATGCTCGGTAGTGGAAGGAAGATCTGGCGAGAGGACGGTATTCGCGGTCTTTATCAAGGACTCGGTCCCATGGTGCTGGGATATCTCCCAACGTGGGCCGTTTACCTAGCTGTCTACGACCTATCTCGCGAGAAATTCCTTCATTACACAGGTTTGTGCCTTTCCAAGTATGAGACGAAAAGACATGAACTCTAACTTTGATATAGATAACTGGTGGTTATCAAGACTTTACGCATCGATTACTGCCGGTGCATGCTCGACAATAGCGACAAACCCCATTTGGGTTATCAAGACACGGCTCATGTCCCAGAGCCTTAAACAAAACAACGAAGGATTCCGAGCCCCGTGGCAATACTCAGGGACATGGGATGCGGCACGCAAGATGTACAAAGTTGAGGGAATCCGCTCTTTCTACTCTGGGCTCACCCCGGCCCTTCTCGGATTGGCTCATGTAGCCATTCAATTCCCCCTCTACGAATACCTGAAAATGGGCATCACGGGCTATGGTATTGGCGAACATCCCGAACACGGTAATACCCAGTGGGTCGGAATCTCACTCGCCACTTTCCTCAGTAAGCTCTGCGCAAGCACCATCACATACCCCCACGAGGTCCTCCGAACACGACTTCAAACACAGCAGCGCACTGCGCCTGCATCCTCACCAGAAGAAATTTCCTTCCGCGGTGGACTCAGTCACCCACATGACCGTGGCCGGTCTCAGGGCTATTCCTCCTCGGATGGAATGCGCACCCGTCCACGCTATAACGGCATGATACGCACGTTCCAGACAATTCTCCAAGAAGAGGGCTGGCGCGGCTTCTACTCGGGAATTGGGACCAACCTCTTCCGGGCAGTCCCGGCCGCTATGACAACCATGCTCACATACGAGTATCTACGCAAGACGATTAGTCACATGCAGCACGAGGGTGATCTAAAGCTGAAACAGCAAGAAGATGAAGCGCGGGAAACTTCCATTTGATACCCATGATCCAGCAATACATAAAACAATACCCTTTCGACCTCCTCGCTCTTCGAACATCGCTTTCAATTGTTTCCGACCGCCAAGCCCTTTTTCCGTTTCTCGCATACCTGTATAGATGTACCCGGCGGTCTGTTGATCTTTGCAGATAACATTCTAGCGAGCGAAACTTGCCCTTTGCATTTCGAATCTCATGATCTCGGCATAGAGATGTCTCCAGTTGGAGATTCCGAGGCTTTCACGTGTCTTCACATGCTTTGCTTTAGCTTAAGACTTTTGGCGGCTTGAAGCATTTTTCATTTCTTCTGTTATTTTCGTTTTGTACATGTAAATTAAGAAATCAAGGATGCGTTATCTTCCTACTTCAAGGAACTATTCACTGCCGCTGCCCATCGAGTAGGTCACATTGCCCTGGACGTCCAAATCCAGAGCTCCATGCTGCATAGAAGTAATATTGTTTGAAAGTGAAACTTAGAAAATCGCTGCATAACCAAAACCGATCAAACCGCTTTCTCATACCATCCACATAGCTGCGCCGAGAGCGGCGACTCCAGCAAGACGAAGCGGGCTTGGTGTATCAATCAAAGTACTGCCACTGGATTTTGTGGAGTTACTACACATAAGATTAGACTTATAGCCTAGTAGACGGCCCTTGTCCAATAGCTCTTGGAAGGGTGCGCAATTGAAATCAGTACTGTTCTTGGACGGATATACCGAAAAGCTCGTCAACACTGATGGCGGTGGAGTGCTGTTCAAAGAGGAATTTTGCTGTGCGACAAATGTATCACTGTGATTGATCAGCTATCAGGTCGCTCGTGAAGAACATGATGGTACGTACAAGAATGCGTTGCTGATGAGGCAACCGCTAATGGAAATCGACGAGATGTTTGTTGGCCAGTACCAGGTTTGGACGCGCTTATTTTGGTCGTTTGTACGGTACATCGAGGTCAGATTCAAGTTTTGTGGACCGGTAATTTGCACATCGAAGCCGCCTGTCCAGTTCACGGCTTGTGGGGGTAGAGTGATGTCTTGAACAGGATGAGTCCCCCGAAATTGCTCAAGCTTTAGATAGCGGAGATCATCGAATGGAATCTCTAAATGTGGAATGGAAATATCGCTAGACAATAGTAGAGAATCGGCTTTGAGGGACGCCAGCTTCGGGCTGCGTTTGAGATCTGATACACCACCAGCAAGAGACAGAGTTCCGATTGTCATGTTTGTTGCTGAAGGGCTACCCAACGTCACGGATGAATTGGCATAGATGGAGAAGTCATCGACGTATAAAAACCCAAAGGTCAGACTGTTGAGGTTTGGCAATGGCCCGCTAATGTAGACTGCAGAGAGGTTGAGGCGAGAATCAGATAGAATATCAAGCGAGTCGATTTTTGTCGCGTATACCTGGACGCTTGTCGCATTGCGTAGGCTCTTGTGTCGGAAAGTGGTGATATTGGGGGCACTCAAAGTGAAGTAGCTGACAGATTCCAAGTTTGCGATATCTAGATAGGTCATATCGGGTGCATCGTGGCCTAGTGAGAATCCGGTGTCCACAGTTTTGAGATTTGGGAGAGTGAGGTTCTGAAGTTTCGTGGGAGATGATCCAAATTCGATTGCGCCCACTTCGGTCAAAGTTGAGCTAGAAAGTGTGAAGTAGGGCTGGGTATCAAGTGTGTCGTATATGCTAGTCCAATAGCCCCCGAGAGTGCCTTCGATCACCTCAACACCATCCAGATTGATGTGTTGGGTCGTGCTATTGTCATTGAGTGGACCAATAGCAACATGGCCTGTGATAACTGGACAATTTTTGCGCAGCAAGTCTGCACCAGCTGGCGAATAAATAACGAATGAGCTGCAGTTGAAGGCCAGTGCCCCTAAGAAGAGTGTTACTGAAACGATCGTATAGACAATTATTCGCTCCTAAATAAGGTGACTTATACTTACTAGAGCAGTATAGCCATATAAAAAGCATCCATGTCAGCAATGTGGAATTTCGTCCGGTCATATTGTAGATGCTGAGTCGCCGAGGTTGGATGTAGATGAAAGCCAAGAACAATGCCGACAGGGCGCACCCCAGATTTTAGGGCTGTTGGCTTCGGCCCCTGACCAGGAACAGGAATCATACTACAATTTGCCGTGGCATCCGTTTTACATCGCTTAGCGTGCCTAGCGTTGCCAGCCCGGCGCCCTGTCCGTCCCGAATGGAGTAGGGCTGAGCGGCGAAAACTCGCCCCCTAACGCTTGGCAACACTTGCGGCTCTGTTGGCTTACTTGTTAGATCATTCTGGGATTAAAAAAAAAAAAACATAAAGATCATCCGAAAGAACCAAAAAGAGTACGAAGATCGTGATGGTAACGGGGTGTGGGGTTCCTAGGCCTCAAGGGCTGTTTGGGGGCCAAAAGAGCTTTCTACGAGCCAGCGACTTACAGAACCTTGCAAGGCACTGGGCAAAGGAGGTCAAAGCCACGTTGTGTAAAATTCCTTCAGACCCATTACAGCCTAAGGCTAGGATGATTTAATAATACACATCAGGTTGGCGCTTTTCTCTTTTGTTTCCGCAGATGTAACAGGAAATATGAATGACATACAGTTGGGGGAAAGGACAAGATGAAACGGGTTGAGGCTTGAGGATGAACGAAAAGCTCAAGAGGGGAGATGTAGCGAGGGAACTATCTGGCGAGAGAACTGACTCGAATAAGTAGATTAATGCCTTCCTGTTGTATGATACGGTGGCCTCTAATACCCTAGTGAAGGCTAAAACCTCTCAAATATAAAATTATGTGTAGATCTACCGCTCTGTTGATCCCACAAGAGTCGCCGATATTATCTTTCAACTTGCATTCCATCAAAGCCAATCGCCAGTATATGTCTCGGTATATATAACCAAGAAGATTAGCTCTGACTTTTTTCAGCTGCAGTATCTAGATTTTTCTTTTATTAAGATATAAATGAACAGATAAGAAAGATGTTTCTTGCATCTGTATCGGTAGATACAGCGTTTGCTGAAGTCCGAGAAGATTGACATGAAGCTGAGAGACTGCTTTCTGGCTTCGAGAACGACCCAAGATAGACAGGTGGGACAAGAGAAATCATCCAAGTTACACTGTAATCGCTGTTGTTAGTGACGTCCAGCCAATATTGATGCTAGTGGTGGGTAAAGATACAAAGCAGACCTTGCACATGAAAAGTCTCGATCATACAAGAATCGATCTCGAAATATATACATGTCATGGCTCTTGGAGTCAAATGTATTGCAGGAAGGAGCCCGAGAAGTCATATTTCAAATGTTGATAGGATGCTTGAAAAAAGGCCATCAACAGTCCATATCGCGTGTATCAACAATATTTTTCGCTCTGACTATTAGTCTGAAAGTGTTATTTGAATCCTATACGTACGTACTTATGGGACGGTTCTGATTATGTAGAATCTAGCAAACAACACCACCCAAATATTCTCATACCAAATAATTTATTCTTAAATTCTCTTGGTTAATTATAGAAGAGTGGTATTATCTTGATGCTTGTGAATCATATACAATCTACGTCGCCTGGCGAAGTTTAGCAGACACGGAGGTTTCATCAAATGACTTCTCCTCAACTCATAATCAAAATGTATTTGAAGATTCTCTCTTCTATAGAAGGGCATCTACTAGAAAGTCCATCGAGTAACTCGAACAGTTAACCCGATGCACTTCAATATGGGCAAAAAAAGGAGACAACGAGAGGCCAGACTAGGGCTCGAACAACAGCTGAAAATTATACTCACTTTAACGACTGTATGTAGAATTCGACAAAACCTTCACGGCACTGTCAACAAATCGATGGCCCTTATGTACACTTTATCTCGAATCCTCAAGCATGTAGTTCATATTTTGGCCTAAGGCATGCAGGATAAGCAGATAACAGACACGTGACACGCTATTTAAATTACCCGCAATTTTTTTTCCGCCTCGTTTTCCCTTCCATGTTTCCCATCACGTCTATTCTCCGACAAGTCTGTTCACATCGTCTGCTACTGGACACTCATGTGTATAATGTCGACACTATGAGTGCCAGGTAGCTGATATTTAACAAAACCAATGATGATCATTGGCCATTTGGTGTTTTTTTGGACCAAGTTGGCACCTATTTCGACACGCACCATGAAATGGAAAGCAAGATGGTTTACAGTCATGCATAAAATTGTTGTTTCATTCTTGAACAAATCGGCAATGTCTTGATGTGCCTATATTCTTGTCGCTTTTCTCCCATTCCGTTGACCTACAGTACATGATACTCTTCTCCATTATTCACATGATGAACAATTTTTATATCGATCTGGGTTGTTACAACACTTGAACTCCCGGGGCATGATCAATGATACACTGAAAATTCTGATTGAATTTGGAGAAGAGATATTCTTTCCCGTCCATCTATTTATCCTTGATCCTACATTTATTATAGCGTTGAAGAGATGTTGAAGAAATAAATGAAAGTTACACGAATTGGTATCTCAGAACATGTATTAAGCCCTGAATCGTAATAATGACTGTAAAGGATGTTGTATAACGCTGGCATGTCGCTCCTCGCTTGAAGGTCATCATTTTCCCCGCCCACCATTCTGACCTCGACTTTCCTTAAGGGCTTGTTGTACCCAAGACTCGTCTTTTCTCTCAGCAGGCACAGGCCGCTGGAGACTAGTTCCTGTAGAGGCTTGAGTCTGGGCATTTTGTCGGGCTGTGCGGATTGAACTGAAACAGTATGAACAAAGGATGACAGCCATTGTGAACGCTGCGATGGGGGCATTGATAGACTTGATTTCAGGTTAGTAACGGGACAGTCATTAAACTCAACGTAGAACTTCAAGGTAGAACTCAAGGTGTGGTTTGTTGATGGGAGCTCAGTGGGCTAATGGTGATATGAATGTGATCCATTGCAGAAGACACTTTACATACCCCTGATGGCTTGCCAAATGCTTTGGAGCCCGGTTCCCGTTGTGCCATTGTATATGTCACAGATTCCTTAAGGTCGAGGTGAAATGAGAGGTATTAGGTCTCGGTCTACGCGGGAGGTGGCGTGGTCTGCGCTTTGTGGATAAGTGGGTATCTTAACGCTAGGTGATGAGTCGAAGGAAACAACGAAAAGAATCTCATGCAGAGAAGGACTTCTTGCAGAGTCAATGAGAAAGCAAAACGTAAATTATATAAAGAGCGAAAGCGACCATTTTGACTGGGTTGGATATTGACCAGGCAGAAAGTAGGAATGGTTGGCGGTGAATAGAGCGGGAGGCTTAATGGCCAATGAATGTCACGGATAGCTAGACACTCCCCACACCGCCTTTGCTTTATCGCAGATCGCGTCAATGGTCTTCATCATGGATCAACCATACAACAGCCATGGCTTCCGATTCAAACCCCAAAGGGGGTATGTCTCTCTATGGACATCTTCTTGATCCATCAAGCGACAAGCCAGGAACTATTTCTCGTGCCCCAGTGGTCTTTAACCAGAGCTCGGAGACTGAGGCGCAACCCGACGACCCGGCGGGCAAAAAGCAACTGAATGCTGGTAGCTATATTTGACTTCTCTGATTGCAGCGAAGCAGCTTGAACTCACCTTACTCTCCCCGAACAGCTTCTCTCCGGTTCCAGCCTACAAGAAGGCCACAGCTCTCCGCGCAGAAGTCCAAGCCGAAGTCTACGTTACCCAAGGCGACGCCACATCCCACACCCACTCAAGCCCCAAATTCTTCGTCAGCACCTACTTCGAAGAGCACTTTAGCCGAATGGGCAGCTTTAGAAGACGATGACCACGGATACCAGGGCGAGAAACGACAGCGCGGCGGCAGGAAGAAGCGCAAGAAGACCCGCGAAGAGCATATTATTCAGAACTGGGACGATATTTATGATCCATCGCGACCAAACAACTATGAAGAATATCGACACAGCGATGAAAAGATCATGGAAGTCCGCGACTGGAAGAATCGCCTATACGCGCATCGGATGAGACGCTCGCTGAGCCGAGACTCAGACAGCGATGAGGACAATAGGCCAATGAACCGTATGTTTCACCTGCTTCATTTAGACTCTGCTAGGATATCGCTTAAGAAATATCCCCAGGACAATTTGCACCCCCAAGCAGTTTTGCCCCGCCACCAAATCTCAACAATGCGCTACTCTCACCCTCATCAACGTCTGTTCCTGATGATGCCTCTGGCGAAGATGCCTTTGCACGACGTGCACGCCTCGGCCAGTCTTCCGGCCTTGGACAGCAAGTTCCACCGCCTCCGCCTGAAGATTCTAACCCTCCTCCCCACGACCCCACCGTTCAAGACGCATATATGCGGCCATTCCAGAAAGCCAACAACCTATCATCAGAAAACAACGTACCGCCTCCTCTACTATCACAACCCCTTGATAAATTCCAGCCTAGTGCCGCCACAATCTCCCGTGCTCCAGTCAGATACGCTCTACCTGCGCCGCCAGAAGATATTCCTGCATCGGAAGCTGAGCTTGAAGCTGCATTGGCCGAAGAAGAGCCAGCAGATGAAGATGAACAAAGCGAGAATGCACCACGCTCTAATCGCCCAGGACAAAAAGGATTCGCGGAGCGATTGCTTTCTAAGTATGGCTGGACTAAGGGATCTGGACTTGGTGCTACGGGTTCTGGCATCAAGAACCCGCTCCAGGTGAAGGTTGAAAAGCGCAAGAAACGACCTGACTCAGAGGGTGGGGGCTTTGTTACCCCCGCTGGACGAGGCAAGATTATTGGAAGCAAGAAACTAGGCGGCTACGAGAGCAAATTTGGCCCCATGGGCGAAGTAATTGTTCTGCGAGGCATGTTGAATGGAATGGATCTGCAGTCTGAACTGGAGACAAGTGAAGGTGGAGGATTGATGCAGGAAATTGGCGAGGAGTGCAATGAGAAGGTATGTTTCCTTATCAATGAGCTGGTATATGAGAATTCAGCTAACATATTGGGATCCTAGTATGGAACTGTCGAGAGAGTCTACATTGCTTGTGATGTCGGAACTCCTGCTCCTGTCTTTATTAAGTTCACAAGTCCGCTATCTGCTTTACGGGTAAGTTTTCATCACGATATTTTGTCTTTGTAACTTGATTCATTCATTGACAACTGCCCACAGGCTGTCAATGCTCTAGAGGGTCGAATCTTCAATGGAAACACAATTGAAGCGCGATTTTTCAACACTGAGAAATTCGACCAGGGAATTTACACTGTCTAATTCCTTGCGAAGGTCCTTACAAGCACAATAATGATATCAATTGAATTCCATGATATTGGATTTCTTTCTGCACGATCGTTATTAAATTGCTATCAAAACCCTTCCTAAATATACCAAATTCCAACTTGAAGGAACCAGCAAAAAATAGCAGCACTAGAGCGTAACCCGATCAAATGTAGTCTTCCTAACAAGAAGTGACCTCTTTTTCGCACCAACGGCCATCGGCTGTCCACCTAATCTGCTAGCAAGAACAGGAAGACGAGACGGCATGTCAATAGTCTTCTTGAATTTCACCTGGAAAGACGGCTTCGGTATCGGCTTCGTCTGGTGTGACTCTTCCGCTTTCTCGCGGCCATAAGAATCCCAGGAAAGCCAGTGCCAACGCTTCTTGTGCTTCTCAACCAGAACTAATGGCTGTAATCCGCCAGCTCCTGCACAGATGGCACGCCGACGAGGTTTCTTTTCTTCTTCGGTCAGCTCTTGCTTCTGAACAAGGACCAATGGCCTTAAACCGAACTTATCGTGGTCATCTTTCCACAGAATGGGAGCTTTGAACATGGGCGTCATTTTCCCAGTTTGAGCTTTGTTGGTAAGAATAGAAGAAGAAGAAGAGGTAGAGTAAGCGGCATTCTTTGTGGAATATGGATCATTCTTATCTAGCCATCTGAGCCAGCGATGGAGTTTCCCATCCGGATTGCTACGAGTCAGATTTTGGGATTGTCTTGGTCCGGAGGCATCACTTGCAGTTATGGCTGCATTTGATCCAGTTTCGACCTCAGGATCAGTCTCATTGTCGGAACCTGACCCTTCATCGGAATCTTCATCGGTGTTTTCATTGGAGCTATCGTCATCGCTGCCTGGGAGGGCCATTGCGGCTTGCAGTGCACCCAAACGGTCACCAGCGTTCCATCTGGCAATACTGGCGCGGCGATCTACCGTTACCTTCAGCTTGTTTCTGGTCTTGCATTGCTTGCATAATCCTGTCAGAGGAAATTGTACAGGAATCTGATCCTCTTCTTCACATGGACAGCCTGCGTCCAGGGCTGGAGTACACCAGATTAGAGAAGCTGTTTTGACTGAGGCTGCATGGGTACATTTTGCATAGTACCATGTTGTCTTGAAGCACATTCTAAATAAATTTGTATGTAATGTTAGAAGTAATATATGGGGCTGGCAAATTGAAGGTTAGGGTTGGGTTGGGGGTAAGCCACTCGATCGAGAGCTTGTATCGACAGGAAAGTTGGATATTGAGTTTAGAGAATCCTGATGGATGGCCTTATATAGACGCTTTTCTGTTAAGCCAAGCCAGGAATTATCGGGGATTACCTGTGAGCTTCGTGTATGACTTTGTCTTTACTCGGATGAATCCCTCGATGTTCGATGGCGAATACAAAGGACTTGTTTGGTGTTCTTTCATATCATTGTCATATCATTGTCAGTCCACAAAACATATAATTTTTTGTCTTTTGGTCACATTAAAATTATATGAGACAAAGAGCTTTCATGGATAGCAATCTGGGCAACTTAGGGTTGCTTTTTTGAAGGAACAGGTAGGTCTGTAAACATCCTCTCTTTCCCAGCGACACAACTACTTAGATCTCAAATCAAAAATAAAGTCAATTGAATGGAATCTGACTGTATATTCTAAGAGTTGACGGCTTTCTAGTGGCGAATGTAAGGGGTAAAATGGAAAGGATTGTCCTGGATTCGTAGTTCTTGAAGTCATGGCACTGCACATCTGTTGATAGTCCATATTTTCGAGGAAAGTTACTCAACCCCAGCTGACCTACAAGATGTGGCATTTTAAGCAGTTTTTTAAGTGAGAATGAAGAAGAAGCAAGTCGCTGACCAGAGCGAAGTGCTCGCTCATTCATCATGACCGCTACTCTCGAATTAGGCCAGAGCGCAACGTATATTGAATTGCTGAATGACAGTATTAGGTACTAAAGTACATGTTCAAAATAACGACATACAGCTAGTCAAAATACAAATTACCTCGTGATCCTTGCATAGTTGCATTTGCGATCTCTGCCCAAAGAAGAAGTGAGGCTCCGTGATGGCCCTTGTAGGGTGCTTACCTAAGCGATCGTAGGCCTATGGGCGATTGATTGCCATCGCTCCAGCTTTCACGATTGCGACCTTTGAAATCTTCTCTCCGCTTCGCCTCTCCCACACCACTGCATCTGAATATCCCAGTCGCTCCTTCCAGCTATTGTCTCTTCTTCAACTCTGCTATCGTGCACGCACTTCATCCCCCACCAGATTCCTTTACGCGGTACCTGAAAACATGTCTCTCAGCCAGAACCGTCTCCAGGAGGAACGGTACGTAGCTTTTACCGGAGGATCTGCGCATTCATTGCGCTTCAATATTGCTCTGCTGACGAGTTCCAATCACACAGGAAGCAGTGGCGACGCGACCATCCCTTCGGCTTTGTCGCAAAGCCAGCACGAACTCCTCAAGGCGGCTTGGACCTCAAGACCTGGGAATGCGCCATTCCCGGCAAGACCAAGACTATCTGGGAGGGTGGACTTTTCAAGTTGACTTTGATTTTCCCCGATGGTGAGTGCAGCAGCACATTCCCAACTGAAGATCCATGCACTAATCTAGACGGTCATTGCTTCTAGAATACCCCACCAAGCCACCAAAGTGTACGTGCCTCCACGATCGATCTCCCACGCCTGCTTCTTTTGAGGAGTAGCCTTACTCGCGACAAAATCTGTTTGACATATGATTTATGAGGATACCTTGCTGATTCAAGACTGCAGGCAAATTCACGCCACCTTTGTTCCACCCCAACGTTTACCCTTCGGGCACAGTCTGCCTGTCCATCCTCAATGAAGAGGAAGATTGGAGACCTGCGATTACCATCAAGCAACTCTTGCTCGGCATTCAGGATCTCCTCGATAACCCCAACCCAGAGTCGCCCGCGCAGGCCGATGCCTACAACCTGTTCAAGAAGGATCGACCTGCATATGAGCGCAAGGTCCACCAGGTGGTGAAGGAGAACCAGCCTGTTTAAGCATTGATTCCCAGCGTGGACAGCGAAAGAGCTGTGACGTTTTCTTTTCTGATTTTCAGCATGGGACATACCAGGGGACGATCTATGCATATCTGGTTTTTTATTTTTATTTTTTGGCGCAGAAGATATTAGCTACTTCCTACAGCGCGGCGTTCGCAATGGAGTTTGAGACTTTGAAGCCACCAGAATATCATTCCACCTATAAGTTACGAAGTTTACAGCTGTAAAGCGATGCGACTTCGGGTGCGAATCCGGCTATCTTATCGGTGACTCAAAGAGTGCCGACATCGCCCCGCCGAGAAATTGGAAAAAATTACTTGGTTCCTCCCGTAACCCCATGTATTAGTCAATTACTCAATTACTTCCTCTTCTCTTCCGACTCCTCTTCTTCTCCTTCTATACCCTCCAAAATCCCCAATTGCCCAACATGTGTGGAATCTTTGCGTGCCACCAGTACGTTGCGTCTTGCCCTAACCCCCGCCATCCTCAATAGTGGGATCGCGGGTCCGTCGAGTCATTGCTAACAGTCCCACAGCCACCCCGATGTGCAGCAGTTCAAGCCCACTGCTTTGCGCATGGCCAAGGCGTAAGTACTGCACTTCCTATGTCTTCAATTGCCTCTGCAATCTTCAGCAAGTTGAATTGTAGCTAACCTTGCGAGCACAGTGTGCGCCACCGTGGCCCCGATTGGAGTGAGTCATTGCTCAACTTGCAACATGGCAAGATATATAAGAGGGAGTAGGATTAACCAATGTTCTTTAACAGGTGGAAACTTCTGCGCTGAGAGCACTAGTGAGTCAAGCATACGAATCGGTCTTTTTCGGCAACTAACGGATATTTTTATTAGTCCTGGCGCACGAACGTCTGAGCATCGTCGGTGTTGGTAAGTTCTGACCGAGTATGGCGCGTTTATGACCTTTGGCTAATATTCTTTTACTAGACTCCGGTGCCCAGCCCCTTGTCAACGAGGACAGCAGCCTCGCCCTCGCAGTCAATGGCGAGATCTACAACCACCGTCTTCTGCGGAAGAGCCTTCACACCAAGTACAACTTCAAGACACACTCTGACTGTGAAGTTATCATTCCCTTGGTATGTGAGAATGGAAAAATAAAAATTTGAGTACCGGCGCTGATATTCTATAGTACATGGAGCACGGTCTCGATGCCCCCAAGCACCTCGATGGCATGTTCTCTTGGGTTCTGTGGGACAAGAAGCAGGACCGTGTCGTTGCTGCCCGTGATCCCATTGGTATCACCAGCTTCTACCTTGGTCGCTCTTCCTCCACTCCCGGTGCCGTCTACTTCGCCTCCGAGCTCAAGTGCTTGCACCCCGTCTGCGACGACATCATCGCCTTCCCTCCCGGTCACGTTTACGACTCTAAGACTGACAAGCTGACCCGCTACTTCGAGCCTAAGTGGTGGGACCCTACCAACGTCCCTACCACTCCTGTCGACTACAAGGTCATCCGCCACAGCCTCGAGAAGGCCGTTCGCAAGCGTCTGATGGCCGAGGTTCCCTACGGTGTTCTGCTGTCTGGTGGTCTCGACTCCTCTCTGGTTGCTGCTATTGCCCAGCGCGAGACTCTTCGCATGGCCGAGGCTTCCCGCAATGCTCCCCCTTCCAACGCCGACGGCGAGTTGGTTGGCATTGACGATGAGAACGAGCTTTCTACAGTTACTACTTTCCAGCAGCTGCACTCCTTCTCCATTGGTCTCCCCGGTGCTCCCGATACCGAGGCTGCCATTGAGGTCGCCCGTTTCCTCGGCACCAAGCACCACCCCTTCACCTTCACAGTCCAGGACGGCCTCGACGCCCTCTCTGATGTGATCTACCACCTCGAGACCTACGATGTCACCACCATTCGTGCCTCTACCCCCATGTACCTGCTTTCCCGCAAGATCAAGGCTATGGGTGTCAAGATGGTCCTCAGTGGTGAGGGTTCCGACGAGATCTTCGGTGGTTACCTCTACTTCCACGCTGCTCCCAACAAGGAGGAGCTCCACAAGGAGACTGTCCGCCGTGTCAAGAACTTGCACTTGGCTGACTGCCTCCGTGCCAACAAGTCCACCTCCGCCTGGGGTCTTGAGGCCCGTGTGCCCTTCCTCGACAAGGAGTTCCTCGAGACCTGCATGGGCGTTGACCCCCAGGATAAGATGATCACCAAGGAGCGCATTGAAAAGCACATGCTCCGCAAGGCCTTCGACACTACCGATGAGCCCGAGACTGCTGCCTACCTTCCCGACAAGATCCTCTGGCGCCAGAAGGAGCAGTTCAGTGACGGTGTTGGCTACAGCTGGATTGATGGCCTCAAGGACGAGGCCGAGCGCCAGGTCACCGATGAGATGATGAAGAACCCCAAGCCCGAGTGGGGCACCGATGTTCCCGACACCAAGGAGGCGTACGTTTCATTCTCTGTTTCTAAATTGTTCAAAATTGTTCAAAAACTAACTTCACATAGATACTGGTACCGTACCATGTTCGATGAGCACTTCCCTCCCTACTGTGCCGGCACAGTCGAGCGCTGGACCCCTACCTGGTCTAAGCAGACTGATCCCAGTGGAAGGTGAGTCAATTCCTGTTTCAAAATTCAAAGGTTGAAACATTCTTCTAACATCACTTACAGAGCCATCGCCACCCACAACCAGAAGTATGACGAGACGAAGTAAATGTGAAGCCAAAGAGCAAACAAAAGCACACCTGGACTTTCTTTTCTGATTTAGCCTTTTCTTTTGGAATATTTTGGAACAAAAGGATAGAATGTATATACTTTGCCAGTATAATGTTATGATCCTTTCCACGGGCCTTCCTGTTTGTAGCCTGTATCCGTAGCCTCAGGCACATGAACACGTGACTTAACCGGCGGGCTTTCCCGGCAGCCGAGCGACCGCCAATCACCGGGCGCCCACCAACCCGTGCTAAGCCCCTAGTTCCCCCCCCAACATCATCGGTCTCTTCTTCTTCTCTTTCTTCATCTCTCTATAGAACTACCCCTTTCTCCTACAACTTCTCAGTCATTAGACTCCATCTCGTCATTATGTCTGCCCCCGCTGCTTTCTCCGACATCGCCAAGGCGGCCAACGATGTACGCACACTGTCCGGATCAAAAATCGGCACATCGGAACTTGGCTAATACCTTATCCCAATAGCTCCTGAACAAGGATTTCTACCACGCCGCTGCCGGTATGTCTATCTATGAGTGACATAATGTCATTTCTGAAGCTTCAATGGCTAACTAGAACTATTCAGCCAACCTTGAGGTCAAGTCCAAGGCCCCCAACGGTGTCACCTTCACCGTCAAGGGCAAGTCTGCCCACGAGGGTCCCATTGCTGGCCAGGTTCGTTTTCGTCGCGTCCATCACGCTCACGCCACAAGTCTAATGAATGCGCCTATAGCTTGAGGCCAAATACGTCGATGCGCCCACCGGTAAACGCCCCTCCCAGAAAAAGCCCCCGGATCCTGGCGCGCGAAACGGACGACCCATCACATTCCTCTGGGGATGTGGCCTCCGTCCAGCGCCCAAGGTTTCCATGTTTATTTTTTCGGATACGATGCATCACAGAGTTAGGCTAATTTATTCCCATCGCCCAGGCCTCACCCTGACCCAGGCTTGGACCACCGCCAACGCTCTCGACACCAAGCTTGAGCTCGACAACAACATCGCCAAGGGCCTCAAGGCTGAGATCCTTACCCAGTACCAGCCCGCTAAGCAGTCCAAGGGTGCCAAGCTCAACCTTTACTTCAAGCAGCCCAACCTGAACGCCCGTGCCTTCTTCGACCTCCTGAACGGCCCCTCCGCCAACTTCGACGCTGTTCTCGGCCACGAGGGCTTCCTCGTCGGTGCTGAGGGTGGTTACGACGTCAACAAGGCCGCCATCACCAAGTACTCCGCTGCCGTCGGCTACAGCGTTGCCCAGTACTCCGCTGCCATCACCGCCAGCAACAACCTGTCTCTCTTCTCCGCCAGCTACTACCACCGCGTCAACGCTCAGGTTGAGGCCGGTGCCAAGGCTTCCTGGGACTCTACCTCCGGCAACGCTGTCGGCCTCGAGGTTGCCTCCAAGTACCGCCTGGACCCCTCTTCCTTCGCCAAGGTTCGTTAGACGATGCTTTTTTTATATGCATAGTCACTAATCCCTTTCTACAATGCAGGCCAAGATCAACGACCGTGGTATCGCCGCTCTGGCCTACAACGTTCTCCTCCGCCCTGGTGTCACCCTCGGCCTCGGTGCCTCCTTTGATACCCAGAACCTCAACCAGGCTGCCCACAAGGTCGGCGCCAGCTTCACCTTCGAGGCTTAAGCGTCTGAAATTGGTTTCAGATTTTGTCCTATTTGTTCCTAGTTTGTCTTGATGGGCTAGAACGATGATATGGAGATGGGGATTTTCATCTAAGATAATAGCTATCTGTGCCTCGTAGTTTACGCTCGAGCACTCTTTGTATATCAAATCCAAATGTTTCCTTTGTTGATCAATACGATCAATTGATGTGATCTAACCCAGTACACAGTAGCCAGCTCTAGAGCTACGTACTAGAAAGTAAGCTGTGGTCATGGCGAAACGCTAATTGATGTATATCGAGAATCCAGCTCTTATATAAAGTCAAACCAAATATAACCAAATGAGATATCAAGAAAATGCTTCCTTCTGCCTAGCCTTCCCCCCATGAACGACATCAGCAGTATGAGGCGTGGCCGCAGGCCATTTAAAGAACCCAGTCACACCAGTAGCAAATATCAAAATGCCCGTAACAATGAAAAACCTCTGCATCGTATCATCCGCAACCCCATTCGTCCTCACCCCAGCCCCATGCTCAGCAGCATGCTGCTCAATAGCCGCTCTAGTCCTCCTCTCCCGCCGCCTCTGATCCTCAGCCGCCTGCGTCCGGAAATGTCCCCGCGCATTAAAATGATGCACCGGATTCCGCTTAATAAACCCAACCCAATCCTCCGGATCAGCGTCTTTCCCAGCCGCGCCCTCCCCAGACCCAAAGCCTGCAGCCGACGCAAACCCTGCCCCGGCTTTCGCACCGCCGCCAGCGCCAGCGCCAGCGCCAGGCCCGGCCTTGCCAGCCGTGTACCTCTCCTCCCGCCTGCCGGTGGCCCCGTACCCACCCTGTTCGTAGAAACTAGGCGGCGGCCCGTGAAACGCGTTCCGCCGTTTACTGAGCCCGCTGGCAGGTCGGGATCCGGCGTAGCTGCTGTGGCTCCCCATTGGGTGGGCGTGGGTGTGGCCCGGCGTGGAGGCTGAATGGCTGTAGGAGGGGGCGGCGTGCAAGCCGTGGTCGCGGTCGTAGGTTGCACGCTTTTGGGCGTTGCTTAGGACGTTGTAGGCGGCTGAGATTCGGGCGAAGCGTTGGCTTGCGCTTGGGTCTGAGCGGTTGCGGTCTGGGTGGTGGCGGAGGGAGAGAGCGTAGAATTGTCTGATGTGAGGGGTTGTGTTAGTTTTAGGTGCTGCGTGGTGCTGTTTGGGGGGAGGGGGAGTTTGGGAGGGGTCGGTACTTTTTGATTTCAGCTGGTGTTGCGCCTATTGGGATGTCGAGGATTTCGTAGAAGTTTGGTTCCTTGGCTTGGCGGGGGGTGCTTGTTGTGAAATGGTATATATGGGGTTTGGAGAGGTTATGGGCTCGCTGGTGGTGGTGCTGGGGGTGGTTTGGGCGTGGTCGGTGGGGTTGGGTTGAGAAGGTGTGCGTGCATGTTTGAGGTGTGGGCGCCTTTGCGCGCGGCGATAAGAGAATTGCTGTTACTCGGGGTGGAGGCATGATGCTTGTGAAGAGGATAGGAAGAGTGAAGAGGGAAAAGGCCCTCTGGAGGTTGGGTGGGAGGTGTAGATCGGGAGTGTGTTGGAGAGTGGAAGTGGAGAGGAGTTCGGAGAGAGGTGAAGATCGGAGTGGCGTCATGGCGGATTAGGGGGAAACCATCCCCGGTGAACTTTTGAGATGTTCTACGTGATGCTATGGGTCTATCGGTATGCTGAATTCCATGGTGGTCTTACTTGACGCCTAAAACCTTTGAAATGCACATGGGGGTATGGCGTTTAGGAGGACTCTCAGGCTGCCAGGCCAGATTGGGGAGATGATCAGATTAGATAACAGCAGGCTTGATCCACTGAATCTAATCTCCCACAGTTCTCTGCCCTAATTTGACCCTAAATTGCCCTAAGATAACCCAGAGGATACCCTAGGGATACCTGAATTTATCCTCCATATTCATGTCGCCGGCCTGGGCTGATCTAGATAAGCATTGTGCAGTCCATGGCTTCCAGTCGCTCCTCACACACCAACAGATGCCAGAGGCACGTGTCATGCCAGTCGCAAAACCAAAGAAACCTAGCTGTAAGGCCACATAAAAACCCCAAAAAATGGATATTCCAAGAAAGTGTGCAAAGCCCTGTAGTCAATACTATTGCCGACCTTGACGTTTTTCGGCGTTTGATGCTCTCGGCGAACATCACCCAGTACACCAGACCCCGAGCCATTAAATACCACGCCCGACCCACCCTTCCCAACTCACCAAAAAAATGTCTCCTCTAAATACACTCAAAGCCTACCTCCCATGGATTCAAACCCCTCTCGTGGCCAATGCCCCCATGAGCGGCAGTGCCAAAAATAAATTGGCAATTGCCGTGACACGAGCAGGGGGACTAGGCCAGATCGGATTCCTGGATGACATGCATGAATTGAGGACGGAGCTGGAAGTTACCAAGAAAGCTCTTGAAGAATCGGGCTTCGACACTTCGAAGACACTTCCAATCGGCTTGGGCGTTATCGTCTTCGGCTCGCCGATGAATGTTTGGATGACGCTGTTCCAGACCTACAAACCCGCTGTGGCTTGGCTCTCATTCGCTGATACGGCCACACTGAGTCAATGGACAGAAGGTATTCGGAAGTCTTCGCCCGAGACTCGCGTTTGGGTGCAGCTCGGCAGTGTTGCTGCTGCTGTCGATGTAGCGCGTGCTTGTCATCCTGACGCACTGGTTCTGCAGGGCGGAGATGCTGGAGGTCATGGACATGAGAATGGTGCTAGCATTGTATCTCTCATTCCCGAGACTGCAGATGCACTTGATGTCCTTGGACTTGGTGATATTCCGCTCATCGCGGCTGGTGGCATTGTCGATGGGCGGGGCTGTGCTGCAGCATTAACACTTGGTGCGGCTGGGGTTGTTATGGGGACTAGGTTCCTCGCTGCCGAGGAAACTTCTATTCCGGATGCCTACCGGGATGCTATCTTCGAAGCATCTGATGGAGGTCGAGCGACGGCGCGATCACGGGTTTTTGATGAGATTTGGGGTGCGAACTTCTGGCCTGACACTTATGATGGAAGATGTCTTCGGAATAAGGTCTATGAGCACTATAAGAATGGTGTAGATATTGAGAAGATTAGGAGAATGATTTCCGAAATGATAAATGATCCTGGCTCTGTCAACTTGGACACGAAGGATATGGGTAGTATTTGGGCTGGGACGGGAGTTGGACTAGTCCAGAAGCTGGAAAAGGCGCCAGAAATTATTGATGAGGTGAGAGGAGATACGCGGAGATATATGGAAAGGGCTTCGCTTCGCCTATGATGGAAGTGAATCCCAGGCTTTGACATGTCTGTTAGCCATGGCCACTTCTCTAAAAGCAAAAGTCTCGGGCCGCAGATTTCCAGTCAATATTATCTAGCATAGTCTCAAGCCATGAAGCTAGATACTGGAATCGGCCCTAAACGCTTCTAGACTTACTTAACTCAAAATAGAAAGAAAAAAACGCTCATATTGAAGAGAATATACGTAGTCGAGCCAGAGAGCATCGCACTAGCTTCCAGATGCAGTGACCGGTAGGTACTTGCATTTACCTGTAACTGGATATTTGGGCCATATCTTCGCTAAAAACCAGCCAGGTAATAGGAACTAATTCAGTCAAGGATATGGTACTAGTCCTATGGCTGGCGTCTCAAGCTAAGCTATCTAAATAATATAGCCACGTGAGATGAATAGTCAAAAGCGGATCTAACCATGATGAATCTCTAGAAGAGCTTGCGATGGAACCCCTACTTGGCTACATCTTCCCCTTTTATCGCTTAGCCGAATGGGTCATATATCAGATCCTATATACGGTGGAAGACGAGCAATGTCTCAGTAAGCAATTTGAAATAGTGGATTTTGCAAGGGACACGAAATTCGATGTACGTACGGAGTTCGCCTCTAGTCCATCAAGCTACCTAGGTAATTTAGCTGCGTGTGTATCTGTCCTGCTGCTTCACTGAGGCACTTGCACCGAGACCCTGGGGTTCCATGCATACTACTATCACTAGTAACTACGGTACAGATACGCATTGAAACTTTGCAATGCATTCATTACGTTCCATTTCTTTTCTTTCTTTTTGTTGTGTTCTATATTTCTCTCTTCCCTCCCTCTTATATCTTTATTTCCCCATCCTAACAAAATCTGTGAAGGTCTATTAAAAATTGACCATCACAGAAATTTCCTGAAACCGCGACACATGTATACTATCCTGATAGCCAATCCTCTTTTTGATCCTTGGGTGTCTTCTCTCCATGTCTTATTTTCTTTCTACAAACAAAAAGAAAGAAAAAAGAATGTATCAAGACTATAGACGCCTGACTTGGAGGAGCTGGTATACTAACGAATCATAGCCGTGAAATGCAATTCGAACCAAAGACTGTTGCAATTGCTAGCTGTCATGGGAGTTTCCTTCGAAGGTTCTGAAATTGTGAGCGTCGATGAAGCATCAACAAAGACTTTTGCAGCAGTCTTTGAAGATAATAAGTGAAAGGAAATGGGTGAGGTGAATCCATCTATGATTGTATTGTGATTAGAAGGGGTAGCACCATAAAGCAAGATCTATAATAGCCAAAAGAAAGTAAAATGCGGCACTAAAATAGAGAAGAAAAGAAGAAGAATGCGAAGTATGAGGTGAACATTGGAACTTGAAGCATAAAGGTTCTTATCTTATCAGCAAAAGTCTTCCCCGACATCCGAGGGATTCCCCTCCGCTGTGTCTTTTGCCTCTTCACTCACCAACATGGCAGCTCAGGCTACAGAGAAACTAGACCAGCTGGAGCGTAAGTCAATCGGAGTTTGGTTTTTAATATGCTGCATAACTGACGGAATGCTAGTGAACGGCCAGAACCCCGCCGAGGCCGCCCCCGCCCTCGACGCGGAGGACGACTCTGACGATGAGGTGGAGGGCGACGGTGCCCCAGAAGCTGGAGCTGCTGGAGGTAGGAAAATTTAAAATGTGCATTTGACTTGTTCAAAAGTTAACAACAGGATCCCCGCAGCCGCCAAAAAGAAGAAGAAGCGCAAGTCCAAGAAGAAGAAGAAGGGTGGTGCGAAGGTTCAGAGCGAGCCCCCGCGCGTCCCTGTGTCTAACCTCTTCCCCAATGGTCAATACCCCGAGGGCGAGATCGTTGAGTACCTGAATGACAATGCCTACCGCACAACAAACGAAGAAAAGCGATACCTGGATCGCATGAACAATGACTTCCTGCAAGAGTACCGCCAGGGTGCGGAGGTCCACCGTCAAGTCCGCCAGTATGCGCAGAAAAACATTAAGCCCGGGCAGACTTTGACCGAGATCGCGGAGGGTATTGAAGATTCAGTGCGTGCGCTGACCGGCCACTCAGGCTTGGAGGAGGGCGACAACCTGAAGGGTGGTATGGGTTTCCCTTGCGGTCTGAGCATCAATCACTGTGCCGCTCATTATACCCCGAACGCTGGAAACAAGATGGTCCTCAACCAAGGAGATGTCATGAAGGTCGACTTCGGTGCACAGCTCAACGGCCGCATTGTTGACAGCGCCTTTACCATGTCCTTCGATCCTGTCTACGATCCTCTTCTGGCAGCCGTCAAGGATGCCACTAACACCGGTATTCGGGTTAGTTTATTTGTACATTGACGTATTTGGCAGAGCTGACATGTGAATAGGAAGCTGGAATTGATGTCCGCATGTGTGACATCGGTGCCGCCATCCAAGAAGCCATGGAGAGCTACGAAGTCGAGATTAACGGCACTATGCACCCGGTCAAGTGTATTCGCAACCTGAACGGCCACAACATTGACCAGCACGTTATTCACGGCGGCAAGAGTGTGCCTATTGTCAAGAGCAGCACCGACCAGACCAAGATGGAAGAAGGCGAGGTCTTTGCTATCGAGACTTTCGGTAGTACTGGAAAGGGCTACGTGCGCGAGGAAGTAAGTTTTTTACAGAAAAATACTGGGATCAGATGCTCACATCATATAGATGGAAACCTCGCACTATGCTCTCGCATCTGATGCTCCCAATGTCCCCTTGCGTCTTTCATCTGCCAAGAACCTGTTGAATGTCATCAACAAGAACTTTGGCACCCTTCCGTTCTGCCGTCGTTACCTTGATCGACTGGGCCAAGATAAGTACCTGCTGGGTGTAAGTCTATGATTGAGTCTATTTCGCTTCCTTCAAACTGATCCATATTTAGTTGAACAACTTGGTCTCTTCGGGCATCGTCCAGGACTACCCCCCTCTGTGCGATATCAAGGGCTCATACACCGCCCAATATGAACATGTATGTCTCTAATTTTGTTGTAGTCGAGCTTTCACTGACTTGTTCTCCAGACCATTGTGCTCCGCCCGAATGTGAAGGAGGTTATTAGTCGCGGCGATGACTACTGATTTGGAATTCCCATAGACTCCAAATATCAAAAGCAACCTTGAACAACATCCCTTAAGCAGCCCATTAGTAATAGAAGGAACAGCAGAACTCCGTAGTGTAAAACAGGTTAGCAAGTCGATCCTGCCAAGCCCCAGTATGCCGTGTGTCGCCCCACGTGGAACATTCGATCCCGACCTTTTTAATTTGCCCTTCTCCTGTTCTCGCACTTCTCGGTCAATTCAACTTACAGCATGTCTGCGGTTGAAACAGCAACGCCGCACCTCCGGGTCTCGGCAAAGACGTCCAAAACAGAGCCCGCCTCCGCACGAATCCAGGCACCCGAGGCCCTGGTCGACGACCACTTCTTCTGGACATACACCGAAGAGCCGCATCGCTCAAGACGGCAGGCAATTATCAAGGCCCATCCGGAGGTATGTGATACAGTTTCATGAGCATCCAACGTGGTCTGGGGACTCAGGGACAACTCCGTGCGGAGGTAGCGGAGAGTCCCTGCATACACCTGGCCACTCTCGGACGACGAACACCCCCCCAACAATGCAATCACAGTGCTAATTCCAATCACAATTCAGGTCACCAAGCTATGTGGCCCCGAGCCTCTCACCAAATGGGTCGTCTTCGGCGTTGTCTCCCTGCAAGTGATCTGCGCCATCCTTCTCCGCAACACCTCCATGCTCGACTGGCGCTTCCTGGCCACGGCCTACGTGATCGGGGCAACTTGCAACCAGAACCTGTTCCTCGCCATCCATGAGATCTCCCACAATCTGGCTTTCCGTTCGCCCATGGCCAACCGCCTGCTAGCCATCTTCGCAAACTTCCCCATCGGAGTACCATACAGTGCTGCCTTCAGAGTACGTGCACATCTCAAACTCATCGACTAGCAGAATACCCCCCATAAGAGAGTGAAAACAACAAAAAGCTAACAAAAATGCCATAAAGCCTTACCACCTGACCCACCACAAATCCCTCGGCGTAACAGGCCTAGACACAGATCTCCCAACAGCAGTCGAAGCATTCTTCCTAAACTCCCTCCTAGGAAAGACCTTCTTCTGCACCTTCCAGATCCTCTTCTACGCCGTCCGCCCCATGTTCATCTACAGCCCCCCATTCACCTACATCCACCTGCTGAACCTAGTCGTGCAACTGAGCTTCGACTATGCCCTATCAAAGCTCTGCGGCTCCATCCAGCCAGTGTTGTACTTGATCATGAGCTCGTTCCTCGCTGGTTCCCTGCACCCCTGTGCCGGCCACTTCATCGCTGAGCACTACTTCTTCTCGAACGTCAAGAACGGCGGCACGGAGTCTCTGACCGAGCTCAAGACGAAGGAGAAGGCCGCTCCCCACCCGCTGGATTCGCTTCCTCCCCCGAGACTTACTCTTACTATGGCCCGCTCAATATTCTGACTTACAATGTCGGTTTGCATAATGAGCATCATGATTTCCCGGCTATTCCTTGGACGAAGTTGCATAAGTTGCATGAGATTGCGAGTGATTTCTATGAGCCCCTCCCTTGCCATCGAAGCTGGGTTTGGGTTATTTGGACCTTTATCTTGGATAAGAATGTTGGTCCTTGGTGCCGGGTGAAGCGTGCGCAGGGTGGTCGTATTGTTGGTGGTGGCAAGAAGAACGATGATGATTCTGCTACTTCCAAGGTTACTGGTCGTGGTGGTGAAGGGATCTCTGCCGCGTCGGCGGGCCCGGCTGGTGAGGAGGGCGATGGGTGGAAGGAAAGTGAGATTCAGTGCTAGATCTTTCGGTTTCTGGGATTTGGTGTTGTATATTACTGGAGTTTGGGAGTAACGTTAGACTGGTTACTGTTTATGTTTTGCCTTTTAGGTTTTTTTTATTGTGTACACACTTAGTGTAGATGGAAAGTGGATTAGGCATATGTATGTTGATAGATTCTCTTTGGAGTCAACTAATTGCAAGGATTAGTCTGAAAACCTGCGGCTACATCGGCTTGGACGTTAGCCTCTGAGTTTAAAGCAAGTACATGAATTAATCTGCGTGGGCTCCAGTATCGTTTATGGAACAATAACAACCGCATCAAAGACGGAGTCCGTTCATCATGATAAAATGAAATTAACCAAGACAGGATGGGTAAAGGGACAAAGGAGAAAGAAATTGACGACAGAGGTAGAGAAAGACACACGAGTATCTAACTCGAGGAGATCCGGAAGCCCAGAGATAACAAAAAAGAAAACAAGATATCGATACCGAGGAAAAAAGATCAAAAGAGACGCAGGCAAAGGGCTGATGCTAGAACAGAAAGGGAATGCTCTTTAAGGGGCAAAGAGTAGATGGGAATTTGAGAGAGGCGTCAGCGACATTAGACCGGAGGCAGGAGCACGCGGGGCGAAAAGCGCAATGACCCCAAGGAGACCGTGAAAGGGCAAGGAGACCAGCTTAGAAGAAGAAGTAGGCGATCAGGAAGCTGAGCAAGCATAGACCTGCGACAGCCTGGATAGAGACCCCGGCCTGTGTTGGCGCATGTGACTGCTGCATGGTGGCAGGTGCTGCCTTGCCAGCCTCGGCACCGGTCTTCCGCTGGCGGAGGCCTTGGTCTGCGAGCCGGTCCTTGAGACGTTGGATCTGTGCATTGGCTTCGGCGAGCTGGGCCTTGAGTTCGTCGCTGGAGGGGAGGACATTGGCGACGGCAGACTTGGCACTTGACAAGGCAGAGGGGGCAGTCTCGCGCTGGGGCGAGGGCTCAGACTTGATCTCGGTCTTGATCTTTTCAGAGAAGTCGGGCTGAGGGATGGGGGAGGCTTCGTCGACGGTGCTCTTCTTAGGGGCTGGGGTCTCGAAGTTTCCTCCGGGGGAGGTGTAGGCGGGGGGTTCTTCATCAAGAGCCTGGCGGGTTGTTAGATCGTGCGCATCCAATGTTTTCCGGGGAGCATACGGAGTCATTAACCTTATCGCCGGAGTTTTCTTCCAACCAAGCCACTCGGATCTTGCGCTCGACAACATCGGCCTTGGGGGTTTGATCGAACTAGACACACTCATTAGTTATCGGCCTATCATTTGCGCTTCGGACGCTGAACGTACGACCTGGGTAACACTGGCCTGCTCCTGGCCAGGAGCGACGGGGACGGCCTGGACCAAGAACTTGTCCTTGCACTTGGCGCCAGGGGCGGGCGCATCCTTCAAAACCTGCAAGAGGACTATCGAAAGCATTAGTCCGAGCTTGTTTGTGCGAAATCGGTCAACGACCAACCTTGGACCTCCACAGCCTTGCCGGGCTCAATGTGACCGGAGTTAGGGCGCACACAGTAACTAGAATAGTCAGGAGACGAAATCAAAGACATAAGGATCGCACGAGAGATCGCTGGGACATACTGCTTGGGAGCGGTGGTTTTGACCTGGCGCACCAATGACGTTAGTATCGGCCGGATTTCGCGACAAGCGCATGGATAAAGGAGTGGGCATACCTTGAATACAACAGATTCCTGGTTTGTGTTGGTCAGACGCAGAACCTGGCATTTCTCATGGTTGAAGGGGCCTAGACATCGCGAGGTCAGTTGTTTGACCAGGAGGTAACCCAGAGGCGGGACCGAGGGGACGCACGGTGGAAGCCCAACTCGGAGGGCTCGATCTGGATAGACATGGTGGTTGTGATCAGGGTGGGATAGGCGACAGAAGAAGACAAAGAAAAAGGAAGTACAGGCACTGCACGTGGAGAAGGTTGCGATTCAGAGAAAAAGGCACTAGGAAGGATATCAAGTGCACGTAGGCCGCAACGCCTCAGGAGTTTGATTACTGTCCACTTTGGGGAAATGCTGACTCAGCAGTCAGGTGATGTCACTATTGGCCGTTTCATCCCAGGCTTGGCCGTTTTGTTGATTCTGGAAAACATCTCGATCCATGAGTTGCCATAGCTTAAGACTTTCTAGACTGCTTACTTTAGTATTGTTGGCATCTGTTGCATCAATCTAGAATGGGTCCCCCCACATTCGATGCAGTGGGTCATCCCATGCCGGTTCCATTCAATAAATCTTTTGATGTTACAATCCTGAGCGTGAACACAATGCCCTAACATTTGGTCAATATATAAGATGCTATCTTCAAATTATGATCTAATCTCATGCATTTCAATCTGTTTTTGGGCGCCTCGGGCTCATATTATAAATTTCACAAGGAGAGGGTCACAACACATGTGGCTAGGTATGACGTGCGAATCGAGTACCTGATGAAGGCAAAGGGCAAAATTGTCCGGAGCAATATCGACAGCTGTGGCCTCCCACCCAATCTAATTTTCGGACAAGATAATACTCGGTCTTTAGAGACTTGGAAAGCTTCTGATGAAAATACCGGAGGTGAACTGGAGACTACCAAGGCCATCTCTTTACGGTCTACTCACTTGATCCTATAGCAGGGACCTATGCATCCTTCCAACTCCTAAGCTATCTTGGAATAAAGAACGAAAAATTGCGCTGGAAGATGAGAGAAAAGGTACCAAATTGAGGTAGAAAATCCATGTATCTTGCAAAAAGTGGCGCTACACTTACAGGTTTTAGTTAGACAATATTCAACGATTGATAAATATACTGCCCCTAATACAATCACTCTTGAACATGCCTCGTAGAGTTGCCATAGCTTTGATGTAGAAAAACCCATTTTATTGCATCTTATACTTGAGTATTCGTCTGCAGAATGGTCACAGAGTGGATCACTCCTCTGATATCAGCCTTGAAACCCAGCGAGCATGGTAGTTATGGTATTGTGCGTATAAATTGATGTCAAAATTGTGATGCAGCTTTGGACATAGTATATTACCGGAAGTAATTTAATCACCTAGAAGCAATCATCTAACTGGGGCTGAGTCGACACGTTGTTGTCTTTGTAGTCATGTTGTGGCAGGAGGCCTGACCTCTAAAAGATCACAATTGTCATTGTCCGACCATAGGACATACTCTATTGAAGAGAAATATATCTTGTTCCATTCAACGCAATCAGGCAGCGATCGATCAAACAACGATTGTGGTCTGCGAAGCCAACTGGTGAAGTGTGGAGGGGAAGGGTCTTATCGCTCGCCGCCTTTCTGATACGTCACTCGTGTTCTCAAGCCTTTACCTCTTCCATTACCTTCATCGCTCTTCCTTTTTCACAGAACTCATTGATCACTTAACTCTTAACTATGGCGTCAGACTTGGATCAGCTCATTGAAATGGGCTTCGACAAAGAACGCGCCCAGATCGCGGTCACGACAACAGGTGGTTGTAAGTGCCCACCTTCGGAGTACCGGCGAACAGATGACTGACAAATTCAACAGTACAGGGTGCTTTGCAGTGGCTCGAAGATAATCAGGACAAATCGTTGGAGGAAATCCAAGCTCAGTCTGCGGCACAGGAGGAGGAGGGCCCCGCACTCCAACCTGGTGAAGCACCGCGCAGCTTGGTTTGCAATGATTGTGGCAAGAAGTTCCGAAGCACCGCACAGGCTGAATTCCACGCTTCCAAGTCGCAACATGTCGATTTCTCAGAGTCCACGGAAGAGATTGCCCCCTTGACTGAGGAGCAGAAGAAGGATCGATTGGCAGAGCTCCGGGAGAAGCTTGCAGCGAAGCGGGCAGGACAATCTGAGCAGGACAAAATTGACAAGAAGAACAACGAGGTATTTCTATCAGACTTGTCAGCTCATGACGGGGTCTAGATGCTGACTTTGTCACCAGAAAATTCGACAGAAGAGCACGAAAGAGAGCCAAGACGCCAAGGAGGAGCTCCAGCGGAAACAAATGTTGAAGGAAGCGGCAGCCAAGAAAAAGGAGAAGCAAGATGAAATCGATGCAAAGAAGCGTATCAAGGCAAAGATCGAGGCGGACAAGGAGGAAAGACGCCTGAAGGCTGAGCGTGAACGAGCTGAGCGTGCCGGCGTCGCCCCTCCTCCTATGCCAGCTGCTGCACCAGCGCCCACTGCTTCGGGTCCAACTACCTCTAAGCCAGCTTCTGCATACACAGAAACCCGCTTGCGATTCCAGTCACCCAATGGGAACATCATGAAGACCCTCCCCGTTGACACCACGCTGTTCGAAGTTGCCGCAGTACTGAAGGAGCAAGATGGAATTGAGGTCCAAAGCTTCGTGCAGACCTTCCCCAAGAAGGTATTTGATGCAGAGTTCTTTGGGGAGACTTTGAAGGAGTTGGGACTTGTTCCCAGTGCATCTTTAGTCGTCCAATAATGTCATAGCCTCAGCTTCGGGATAAAATACCCCCAACACTACGAGAATTCATTTGAATCATATCTGGATGATTAAAAGACTACATAGTAACAATGAAAATCGATGGTCGATCCACCTTTTTCCTGTTTTCTGTCTGGGTTCCTGATCTCTGCCTTGTGTTTACTTCAAGCTTTGTTATCTTATCTTATCTACACGTGATCTCGCGATTGAGCCGCGTCTCGGTGCCTGGAAGGACGCGATCAACTCATCTCATACATCAAACTCGACATAATTTGCAAAACATGCCAGCGTAAGATCAAGCCCCTAGATTTTGCACTTCGAAATTCCACTCTTGGACTCAGGAACTAATAGCAATATCCCCAGTGTCGGCGACCAGCATCGTGGTGGTCCGGCGAACATCATAATGCCAAATACAACAGGCGCCACAACAGCGAACCCCTTCGAAGAACCCCAACGCCGTATCAACGAATACACTGCACAAGAGATTGCAACGTTACAATCACGCCTCGACAAGAAACTAGGACCTGAGTATATCTCGGCACGACCTGGTGCTGCGGGGCAAAAGGTGCACTACCTTGCCGCGGACAAATGTATCAACCTCGCAAATGAGGTTTTTGGATTCAATGGCTGGTCAAGCTCCATTCAAACTATTCAGATCGACTTCGTGAGTTCTCCTCACATTGCGGGGACGAAGAGATTGGCTAACGTCTTTCAAACAGGTCGAGGAGAATCCAAACACTGGCAAAATCAGCCTAGGGCTCTCGGTGATCATGAGAGTTACTTTGAGAGACGGAACGTTCCACGAGGTATGATACCGCGTGTCAAAAAAGTCAATCGAATTGGAACCAGCTCTGACCTTCGTCTTCTGCTAGGATATCGGGTATGGGCATATCGAGAACTGCAAAGGCAAGGCTGCGGCCTTTGAGAAAGCCAAGAAAGAAGGCACAACAGATTCTCTAAAACGTACCCTAAGGACCTTCGGCAATGTGTTGGGTAATTGTGTCTATGACAAGGACTACGTTTCCAAGGTGACCAGGGTGAAGGCAGCTCCTGTAAGATCTATGATGTCTTCTGCCATTTATCTCTTGCTGATCCTTTCTTCAGGCGAAATGGGATATTGAAGATCTCCACCGTCACCCTGACTTCGCTCCGCCTGCTAAGAAAGAACAACCTCCACCTCCAACCAAACGCGTATCCGACGACGACGAGTTACCACTTCCCCGTCCTGAAAACCAAGCTAGAAACCATAACATCGGGAATCATATCCCTGGCGATGGTGATGGCGAGTTTGGAAGTACGTTCAATCCAATCTCGAGACCAGGTTTTGGCTAACAAATCTAGGTGACCTGTTTGATGAAGCCGATTTTGGAGTGCCTGATTCAGGTAATCCCGATGAGATAGTGATAGACACAGAACATACACGACCGCAACTGCCTGCTCCTGCAACTGGTTCAGTCCCACAACGAGGACCTCCTTTGCGCGCAGGATTCAACCCAGCTGTCGTAACACCCTCAAAGCCAGAACGATGGAACGGTTCAGGCCCAGCAGGACGACCAATTCCACCAATTGCACGACAGAATCCAGGCGTCAATCCACCACCTGCAGCAGCTAGTGGTCGCCCAGTGTCCGGACAAAACCCTGCTCAAATAATTCAAAATTCTAGACCTATAGTTCCACCACAACAGCAAACTAGTCAAAGTGGACCAGCAAACAACATCGCCCAGCCGCCAATCAAGAGAGAGTCTTTTCCTGGGCCAAATCAAGAAATGAACCCGCCACAAGGAACCCCATCAGGGGGGTTTTACTCAGCTAGAGCAGTTGACCTCCTCCGCGATAACCCTAACGGCGCGTTAGATGCACCCCAATTTGATCCACGCGCAGAGAGTCCATCAATCCGCAAGACAGCCGGCGTCGACCATACCAAGAGCGTCCCCATCTCCAGGCCCATGCTTTCCAATGCCTCTCCCGCACCGACCACCAACGCACGCGACTATGCCAATCCGGCCGCCGATCTGCAACGCAAAGTCGGTGCTCCCGGTCCAGGATTCGGCAGTCCAGTCAGCAGAGGCCCGTCCGTCTCATCCTATCGTCCTTTAACCCGACCCAACCCCGGTGCCAATCCAGCAGCCCTGAATCGAGGCAGCGTACCCCCACAAAACCTCAATGGAAAACGGCCTCCCCTGAATGATGTCACAAATGCAAATGCCTCGCCAGGCACACATCCTGGGCCTCCTGTCCCGGGTCTCAATGAACCCAAACGACCTCGCGTCTCGGATGCTGATTCCTCGGGCCCTCGTCCGCCATCCCAGTAATGAATATGATGTCTGCGCCTGAATGGGGTGAATTACTGCGCAACTCCCACAAACAAGCAACACAAGCACAAGCGTTTCTCATTTGATTTTATTTTTAGTGATTCGGTCCCGCGGTGTCATTGTATGTTTAGCATGGCCGGCAAGGATGATGGCGTTTACATTTACTTTCGGTGTTCTTAGTTGATGAATCTTCAAGACTCCAAGATGGAATAAGCTACATGAGCTACATATGTGCACCTTGGTACATTTTATTTCCGAACACTCCTCTTTTCTTTTTTAAAAAATTTGAAGCCTCCTGAAGTGCAGCATTGCCTCTTTAAACCTTTTCATCAATCTAGACGTTGAATTCACCCGGTTGATAGCATGATTACTATAAACCCCGTATATCTACCTAGGTATTCACAGTACTACGTGATAATAATCTTCTCATACAGAATCCTCGAAAAGGGCGTTATGTATCATTTTGCATGTAACATGTTCACTGATCTAATCCAAACTACACTCTACACTGGACCTCAAGGGAAGAAGAAGATACTGCTCATTCAGGCCGGCAGATACTACTTGAAGAAAAACCGACTAAGCTAATGTAAGCTGTTGCTCGCATCAGTGTTGTCGATAAGAGCACATTCAACCGCTTGACAAAAGCATTTTCGGCTCATTATCGAATGATTCGGTTGAACCAACCAGATCATGTAAGAGTGTGAATGAACTTATGTTTCTTTATATCACCCATCGTAAGGGTAAATTATTTCTCAAGTGTCGTTCACTATTTATTATACACTATATAGCCCTATGTATATGACGAGTAAACAGCCACGAGAAAAGCAGCTAGAATCCGTGTTTAAGTGTATTGGTTGATGCTAGCACAGCAACAGTAAGAGTCAAGAAGATCGACCAATGATCGTAGAATAGATTCAGCCTATTTACATGGTAGCAGTGATGTATCAAACCGCCTAGGAACATGGCTGCCTAGACACAACATTTAAGCATTACTATTTGCAAACGATTAGAGCCAGGGTCTAGCCAAGATTGTAACTTTGGACTACTTCAGTGAAGATGCTGGAACGTGGCAGTCATATGTGTATTTCTAGATACTATGTGAAGAGAACCAGTTACGGCAGTGGTTTACAAACATATAATACGATTCTAAATTTAAGCAGCATCAAAAAAATAAAAAATAAAATAGAAAAAAAGCCCCTTCATTTATTTACTTATCCTTTAGGATGCCAAGTCCGCCACAAAGAAGGCGAAAAGAAGCCCTCCCCACCGGAATGGCTTCCGCCATGCAGACAAAAGTCCAATCCCTTCACCTCCGATGCAGGAACAAGGAAATATTAAAGATTTGGCGACTGTGTTGTCCAGACAGGGCTATGGTGTCGAACACAATATAACTTACCCCTGCTACACCCAATTGTTTCACTTGATCTGATGCAGCCGACATACCGGCGTCCCGGGTACTGCGCTTATGAATATTTGGCGGTTGTCGCTCTCATACTGCAAACTGACTCTCTGTACTGACAAGCTGCGGTGACATGGCGGTCGAGGCGCGAGCCAGAGACGATAGTGATTATATTTAAGACGGTGCCTGTTCGACCACTCTGCTCTCTTTTTCTTTTGATATCTATTCTTACAGTCTTCCAATATTTCAGAAATCATTCTCCATAGCTATTGCTTACAAAATGGCTGCGCCTTTGGACTTAATTTCCGAGCACCCCAAGACAGCGGGCGTCATCATCGTTGGTGCTGTTGCTGTTGCTTTGCTCTTGGCTTTTCTATACTGGCGACATCCTCCGAGGCCTGATGTTAGGAATAATTCGGTTCGACTCCCACAATCAGAATCCCAAAATCGAACTAACATCTCTAGGAGAATCTGGCTTCGATTCCAACATGGCAAAGGACATTCGATCTGAATGTTCAATATCCGACTAGGCGTAGGCCCCATGCTTTTGATGGTAATTAACACCCCTTGACTCTGGAGACTTTCACTGATCTCGTTCGCGGCAGATGCATGACACGAGCGGGTTGGGGATCCCAATACTTGCATCAGACACGAGCAGGACATGAGTTATAAAATTTGAGATATATCGATTTTGCTTGATTGCACATGTAGCGTGCCCATGATACATGTAGATCATCCACTTAACACTGGTGTTTACCGTTATCCCCTGTGGTTGATGAGAATATGACATTGTCAAGCATGCAACCGCTATACGAGATTGAGCCTCGAAACGAGGTACAGTATACTCATCTCGTTAGCCTTTTTTGACCGCTCCTTTTTGATACACATGTAGAAGCCATTTGTCATTGTCTTAGGGTGGTCATGGTGACGTGGTAACTAAAACAAGGGTGTGATTCATAGAGACAGAAGTCGACAGCTAAAAATATAGGCAACCAAAATGACGTCTGACCTGTAATGCTCGACCGATTTTGTATGGAAAGGGAGTACAGTACAGCGGTCAAGCTCGCGCTCAACAGACGGTATCAGACTCGACAGATCCCGATTTGGGCCCAGAAAATCCCCGGGAACAGAAGACATGAACCGGCAGCAGAGCCGCGGCCGTGGAACGGGGGAACAAGTCCTAAGATCCGTAGATAATGTATACGATCGGGCAAAAGCACAATATCAGGACAGAAGTCCCGACCGGGGGCCAAAGTGCCACGCAAAGGCCAGAACTTGGGGCACAATTGTTTGCTACTGTAGTTCGGCAAATTGGATGGGCTGAAATGCTGTGGGCGACGTGGAATAAATTACCGGTGATCAGGGTGACAGAGGTACCTTGGCAGCCCAGTCTGAAATGGCGACGATGGACTCGGGCGTCTAATGTGATCTGTCGGTTTTCATGTTCATCCCGACGTGTTTCATCTACTGTAAACCCACCAGATAGGTTTTACCCTGCATATAGGCAGGTCCGGCACGTTTTAATACCATCTATAGTATGGCATTATACGTATTCGAATACTAGTTATTTTGGCCTAGGATAACAGAATTTTCCATAATATCGTTAAGAGTCGTGATAAACGGCTGCGCCCCTTAAGATCTAGGAACAACGGCGAAATCAGACAATCCATTTTTCTTGATCTAATGAGCTGTGTTTTAGATTTTCGTATAAACCTTCTTTAGTTCGTCTCCGCGACGTATGATTGTCTCTTTTGCCTTTTAGGATCTAAGGTTAGGTGGCTTAGCACATGTTCCCTCCGAGGTGCTGTTAGTGGTCTTCTCCGAGCTTCGTTCAATCTCTCGCGCCGAAAGTTCAAATTCTATAGATTTTAAGGTGAAATTGATTTCAAATAGCAATCGACGTAAAGTGAGATCATCAATCCTATTGTAGCCGCTTTTCCACCGTTTATGACTTCTATTTATAGTGAGTAAAACCTCGACTACTGCCATAAATCGAACCGAATAGGAAGTGAGCTAAGTAGATAGCAAGTTGACAGGGGGGTGGACAGCGAGTTGACAGGGTGGATAGCAAGTTGACAAGGGGGTGGACAGCGAGTTGACAGTGGCTGAGCTAGCCGTTAGGGGTAAGAATGGGGTTTGCAATCATTAACTAGTTCTGCACTCAAAGATTAGTCAGTTATCGGTATTATCCTCGGTAAATGTATAACAGTATCTTCCTGTAATGCCTAGATATATCCGTGTTGATGAGCGGCGATTGATTAAACCGATTTTGGATGATGCTTTACCCAATCCCGTTAGCCTACTTTATACGTGTCATAACACGACAGCAAAGAGGTAAAATCGCGACATTTAGCGTACAATACTAACTAAAAATGGTTTTAAGGGGATCTCAATATGTAGGACGTAGCGCTACTCATAGATTTCTTAAGAAAGATTGTTACAGTCTAAAATAATATACTGGCGCTAGTGATGATATATAGAAGATCGGTACTTGCTGTTTCCGAGCACGGTGATGGCTATGTTCCTAATGGGGTGCACTGAAGCTTATCGAGCGCATCGAACATAATGGCGCTTGTAGACCCCGCGAAAAAGTTCACGTGCATTCGCTTGTAGCTACCACCACCCCCCAGAACCCTACTCTGAAATTATTTTACCTGCTCACTGATTAGAGGGAAAACCAAGGGGGAGGAGAGAAGTTACACAATGGTATTGTTCTTTACAATTGGCTTATTCGTAGTGGTCTATCTAGATGACAGGAGGATGACGGGGGGAGATTCAGATTCCTGCCACATCTCCAGAAGACAAGAGCAGACACCCATCAATTGACATATTACCCTGCACATTACCGATTCACAGCACGAATCAGGAGTTTTGACATACTGTACCGTAGTCCCAGTGGAAACCAGTGAATGTTTCCTACACGAACCCGGACAAGCGAGTGCCCGATGTGTAGTTATGTTTTTATTTGAAACAAGTCAGAATTTTCTCACGCTTTTTGGTGCCATGTTTTATGATTTCAACAATGGGTTCATCGTACTGGTGTATTCGGTAGTTGCTATGGATCCGAACCTCGGATCCGTGAAGTCTGGACCCCACGAGGCCCGTTCCGGGCCCGGGGACCACTAGTTCCTGTAGATCACGTACAAATGGGACGGAAATATTAGAAGAAGCCGCGCCAATCATGTTGCATATGGATGGATATGCACTGCAGGTGTACTGTGGGTGGTATTTCATGTGTTATTTTACCCTGTTCCTACGTTCTAGTTGAGAGACCTGGGTTGTGATATTCAGGTGGCCGTGAGTGAAGGCGATTAACGTAGAAATTGGCTTCATTAACCTCGGTATTATGTCACAATCAGATGAAGAAGATGACCTCTTCGGTTGAAATTATGAAATTGAAGACAGAAATGCTTCACAAATACACAAAGAGGAATGATAACTTAGCCGATAGCAGTGTTCCGACAATTGGGGGACCGAGGACCGACACTAGGGAATGACCATAGCGAAGGCATACATACACATACATTGTTCAGATAAATTTGAAGAACTGACAAGCAGTTCAACAGGGGTTGACGGGAATTCATGTTAGTGCTTTTCTTTTTTTCTCTTTTTTTCTCTTTTTCAATTTTTCGAATCTTCCGAAGACAATGCCCTGATAAGAATGAAAGAAATGGAGATTTCGAAACCGGTTTGGCTGGACATATTGTAGAAACGCAGTGGATGCCACACAGGCTTGTTTTGAGCTCGCAATCAAACATGCATTTGTTGGTTAGATGTGGTTCACTTCCGGGGAGTTAACGGGGCGGGCCCCAAAGTAGACACCTTACGCTCCACTTTATCATCCGAATTGGTCAGTGGTGGGGGTGTAAACCCAGGCAACATGGAACCGGGACTGTGGCCAAAGGTGCGAGGAAGTGAGAAAGGCGGAGGAGTACGCTTTCGCGGAAAAGTTAGATTGCTAACCCGACGCTTTGCATCAGGGTTGGAGCTCGCTGGGGCGATGTTTGCAGACCAGTTCTCCGTCTGAAGAGGCATTTTGGCAGGTGTTTGCTGGGCATGAGTGGTAGGAGTTGCAGTTTCATTGTCACCTCGAAGCATAGTAGGCTGAAACACACTTGGAGCAGGTCCGATGGTGCGAACGCCAGTTGAAGCAAAAGACTGTGTAACTTTAGAGGTGGTTGCATTTAACACTTTGGCAGATGAATGAGGATACCACGACGTGGCTTGAGGCCGCAAAGGTAGACCAGGAGGCCGAACAGGTGCAGCGAGACCCGGAGGGCGCGAGGGGGCAGTTTGGGAAAGGGGTGCAATTTTGCCTTTCATATCATGTGTAATCACTTTTGCAGCTGAGACAGCCGGTCTCTTTTTAACCGGCTTTGTGAAAGAAACAGGTGGCTCAGAGGCGTACTTAGAAGCGAGAAGCCCTGTTGGTTTGGTAGAAACGCTCGTGGAGCAAGGAGCGACAGGAACCACATTCTGGATTGGATTATCTGCATCGACAGGTTTGATGGATTCAAGAGGATTGAAAGGATCTTGACGCCTGATGATCTCGACTTTGCCAGAATCGGTCTTGCGAATCCCGCGAGGCTTGATCATCTTGATGATCTCGTTGAAAGTGACAGGCTGGGTATCCATATCTGAGTATTCGCTCTTGTGTGGCGATAGCCCTGGGACCGGCATACGAGTCGACTGCTGCTGATCCGCAGACTCCGGGGATGAGCCATGAGGTGAACGATGGTTTTCAAAACTCGAACCTTTAACTGGACTATTAGCCTTCCACAACCACTGCTCTAGATGGGACATGTCGCGAGTCGGAGTTGAGATACCAGTTGGAAGCTTTTGCGAACTATCAGTGGTCCGGTTTTGAGCAATGGCTGCGGCATCTAGGCGAGGAGATGTGGAAAAACAGGATACGTTGCGATCCATTGCATAGTCATCGATAGCTGAGCGCACACTCTTGTTCACGGCCTTACTCACGATGTCAATGAAATCATGTTCAGACTTTCCACGGGTAGAGATCATATCATGGAAACCTAGTTCACTCCGTTGGCTTTCTGCATCGACAGAGGCACAAATGGAATATGCCGACGGAGCGGAGGGTACAAGTGGGGTCATATCCAGTCCTTGGAGGATAGCAGCATTGGGGCTGGTAAAAGAGGCTTGTCTTGGGGGTGTGGTCCATTCCAGATTGATGAGGTCCTCACCTAGTGTGTGAGAAGACACAACATCTGTCTGAGTAGATGTATCAGTCATGGAAGGACCCTCACCAAGAAGAGTTTGAACAGAAGTCTGCTGCTTAACATCCTTTGCTTTGGCGAGTGGTGTCATTTTCTTGCTCGAAGTAGGCATAGGCGAGATTTTATCCTTCTTGTGTGGGTGCTCATCCGCCGTTTTCTTCTGTTTAAGATCTGCAACATGGGTAGAAGTGTCAGTTCCACCAATGAAGGCCATTGCGGTGTTCTTGGGGGTCTGGACAGGGGCCTTTTTCTTGGAAATCGCACTAGTCTGGGGGCGAGAAGTCGACCGGTTCGGAGTAGGACTTTTCGGTATCATACGCTCCGCCAATGGCTGATCTTTGTAAACTGGTTTCGTTTGAGGGGGTACCGGAAGGGAAGCTGATGGCTTTGGCGTGGTCACGCTGCGAGCCTTCGGGTATGGCAACGAGAGAGACATAACGGAGGGCAGTGGCTGATCTTGGGAAATCATCAACGTGGAAGGAGTGACAGGAACAGCAGCAGATTCTTTTGACATGGTAGCGTTGCGGTTTCTCATTATCGATAGGAAAGAGTCGGTGTCACCCAGTCTGCTTGACATATCCGGACTGAAGGAGAGTTTAGTATAGAAAAGCAATTAAGGTAATCAACATACATGATCAGAGGTCGTTGCGGAGTTGAGGACTGAGGAGGCAGAGGACGTTTACTCAGTGTTGCCCGTACACTTCCTCGATCCACACCTCGGCCTCGGCCACGTCTCCGTCCACGACCGCCGGCGTGCGGGTCAATGTCATCATTGTTGATATTCAATGCAGGATCCAGTCGAGATCCTGTAGGCATAGAAACGGACCGGTGGCCGTTGCTAGTCTTCACAATGCCGCCATGATAAGATGTGCGAGAGCTTTGTTCCGGTTAGCTTGTACAATTTAGAATTTAGGGCATTGCTTACTTTGTAGGAGAAAGAGTATGGGGACTACGGCGGGTGGTTCCAGCATGGCCACCACCACGGCCGCGAGAGTTTGCGGGAGCCGGGTGGGTTGAAAAGAAAGGCTGGCTCGAAAGCTGGGGCATGGGGCGGCGAAGCCCAGTAAATTGATCATTCAATGCACGACGGTGGGACTGTCCTTCATTTATGTCCTCCAACTCCTCGATTTCATCGGTGTCTGTGATAGTTTTGTGAAAGTCTGTAGAGTCAGCCTTATTCAGTTGCCCTATAGTCATTGGTTGAACACGAACTCGACCAAGCACTCAGCGAGTTGTTGTTTGCCCTTGCCAGCCGATAGGCAAGAGTACCTGGCTTGTCGCACTCTCTGTCTGCGTCAAGCTGGCCAGGTAGGGGGCCTCCGTCATTGAAAACATCGTGGGTTGTGATAACCTCACGACGAGAAGTGCCCAAGTCGGACTGTTGGAGCTTGGAGTTAGCGTTTGTACATAAAGCAAGTGAGCAGAAACTGAGATTAGTACCATTTGCATTTCTATGAGGTTTTTGAGGCGCTCCGAGCCCTCAGAACATTGGCCCTTGCTGCTGGCCATTTTGCCGTGTTAACAGCTTCAGTCAGCACAAAGGTAAAGCGCGTGTTGACGTATTTAACGCTAACAGGTATCTTTTCTCTTGCTTCGCAAGACACGCTGCAAAGATAGAAGAGTAAGTTATGTCATAAACAGGCAGCCTCCGTACCCCAGGTAGATGAAGGATGTCAAACGGAGCGGATGAGGTACATACAAGGCCCGTAGGGGGGTGTGGATGGAATCTGACCACAAGAGGTGGGCCCAATGTTGTTGTCGATGTGTGGTACTCGATGAACTCACACGTCTCGATGTGAGAGACAAGTGAGGAATTATATCTCGAGGCAGAGATCAGGACGAACCTGAAACACAAACGAAGAGCACTCTCTTGCAAGATGATACAATAGGGTGTTCTCAAGGATGAAGAGGATTGTGAGAATGAAAGAAGTCTCGAAAGACAAAGCTGTGTGTTGTGTCAACAAACACAAATGGCGCGTGGCCGTCCGCTGCTGCCGTGAATGAGTATTTCGGCTGTCCATCGTTGCTTCCGTCTAGAAGTCAGGCAGAGCTGGGCCACGTGGGCTTCGACGTTTCGAGCCATTCGGCACGTGCCCTTTTGAGGCTCTCAGGAATCTTATACTGCCGGGGAAGTATGTGCTTTCCGTATGCCCTGTAAACATCAACCACGCTATCATTGATGAACGGAGAGATCTCGAAGGGAGTCGAGGTTAAGATGGAAGAGGTTGGTGTGCGGGAAATACACTTGAGACAGAGAAATTACGATGCGACTTCCTACTGTGAGAGTGTGCGAAGAACGCACGTGACTAGAGTTCAACAGTCTTCCATTGGAACATTGCTCGGTTCTGGTAACAAGCCTTCTAGGTCTATGGTGCACTGCAGCTATGGGGATTCCCATCATCTAGCTTGAGTTAGCCAAGCATTCTTAAATTCAACGCAGTGTTTCTTAAATCGAAAAGATTGGGGGGGGGGGGGCTCACTTCTAATGATTTTTGCGACGGCTTGAACCACACTCACTCCCATGACAACAATGCCAAATGCAACACACACATATGCTGGGATCTTTTCTCGTCGAGAAGCACTGCTAAGCTTGATATAGCACAGTGGAGGGAAGATGTATGCCAGAGCAGCTGCACTGGTGGCTCCAATCAACTCGAAGACACTTCCCAGATCACAGGTCATGAGGGACAGCCCCATTGAGGTCACGACCAAGGATGTCGTAAAGATGAGATGTCGATGAGGGTTGAACGGCTCGTCGGGGAAGTAGTAGGTCGTCATGACGGAACGGCAAACAAATGCCTCTAATGGCAAAGTAGTAAGCATGTTCAGACCAAAGCAACTGCCATCAATTAGCAACTTAAGTACTTTCGGGGTTCACTGGATATTCATACAATCGTGCAATATTAACAATGATGTTATCCGACGGGAAGTTATTCAAGACATTGCCTTGAGTTTTCGATCCAAATGATAAAAACCCTGCTATGCCCATTGCCAGACACATCACCAAGGATACTCCAGTTGAGTAATGAGTGACTCGAGTAAACCGGTCAAGAGTAGGCCTCTTTAGGGATCCGTAAATAAGAAGGCTGTTGTGGTCTGTGTCGGGTTAGTCAATGCCGCGCCGGCAGAAGAAGAGGGGTTCATACGGCAAACAAACGCTGGAATAAGTCAGTGGGTCATTCATTAATTGATAAAGACAGCAACTTACCAAAGGAGATAACTCCGACGGCCTGGAAGAAACCAGAGTTGATGATGAGGTGGCTTTTGATATCTCCGCGGGATTCGGGTGGAACTCGGAAGCCTTGTGTGATCACAGTCACCACAATGACTATCATACTGACCAATGCCAAGGCAGAGGCTTTGGCCAACTACAAGTCTGTTAGCTTGATGGAGATTGAGCGAGAAGAGGATCCTACCTTGGCAATGTCTCTGTACAGCGAGAGCGGATACGAAACACCTAGAACAAAGAGAACAATAACAGCACGGCGGTCTGTAAGAAGCCAGAGGAAGGACATGTCCCGCAAAGATGGGAACAACGCGCCTAGCACGTGCGGAATGGTATCGCCAACAATGATGCAGAATGCCACCATGCCACCAAATGCGAATGCCCACTGGGCAATGGAGATCGCAATGAGCCCGCTTTTCCCGAAGCAGTACTGCATCGTTGCTTGGAATGAGTCTGCGCCGCTCATTTTGGAGTTGATCACAATCAGACGGATAGTCCAGTCCACTGTGATAGTCAAGGCAGTCAACAGCAAGATACCCATCGTCAGACCTGCTTGACGAAGCGCATATGGCTGTCCAATGATTCCAGCTCCAATGATGCTGTTGGCCATGTTCATGAACGCCATCTTCATACCACTTCTCGGCCGCGCGTTCTCTAAATGCTCTTCGGGGAAGAAGTCATCCGAGGTCGCAAGTGTGACACTAGGAGCTTCAATGTCTGTGAGAAGAGGTACCGATTGTCCATCATGGTGTGTTCCTACACTACCCCGAGTTCCAAGCTCATAGTCCTCATCCTCCAGCCATAGTGCATCGTCTGGGCTGTGAACACGGCCGTTCGAATGGTGGTCAAGATCTTCGGGCTCTTCCTCCAGGTCGAATCGCACGCGGTTCAGAGTACGAGGTGTGCGACGCTGTCCATCTAGGGCTGGTTGCGAAATTGAGGAATGCGGTGTCCGATTCGCGTCGTCGGGTGTTGGAGACAGGAGATGTCCGGTGTCGACTAGATCGTGCTCCTCGTCTGTTTCAGGCAAGAGAGATTGTGCTTCATATTCTTTCTGGCCTTTGCCAGGTAGCTGATCCTCTGAGCTTTCATCCCCTGGCATCGCTGACCGTAGATAGTTGTAAGAAGGTAATTAATTGCTTTCAGGCCACTTCGATGGGGCGACACGTGATGGTCGATGAGCGATAAGCGATAGGCGATAGACGATAAGCAAGATAACAACGGTTTCTTATGCAGGGGATAATGAACTGCGTTTGATAGATGCTAACTAACTGAGCAGGTGCATATCTTTAGTTTATGTTAAGACAAATCTTCCAAGTGGCAAAAGCTCAGTTATCACCATGCGTGAGTTTGGAGCCAAACAGACTCTACCCAAATACACAATACATAAGTTAGATATAGCAGTGAAGTTTTACAAGCTATACAGATTTCTTTAATGCAATCTCACGTAGTTTGTATAAAAAAATACTGGTTTTTTTTCCAATGAACAATATTGTTCTTATCAAAATGTTAACATACCCAGGGTTTGTTATCCTCCATGACCGCCGCAATCGGGGGCTGGAACTCCATTGCGGCCCGAGGCCCGGGGGAAAGAAGGAACTCTCATGGCACAGTATACTTTTCACCGTCGAATCTTGGGAGCTGAAATATGATCACTATGTTTCATCCGGCGATATGAGATCGTTGCCAAATCAGAGAATGTTAGGGTAAGCATTTGGCGTCAAAATATATTTCTGTAGAACAAGTGACTAAGGAGTCATCTGAGCATAGATGGCTAGCTGAAACGTACATAAACACAACCAGCCATATCGGCGTGACCGACATACCAAGTGGTAAATATTGTTGTGGCCGTAGCTTAAGGTTCGCTTGAGGTCATGAACTATAGGTGTGCTGATCGAATCCATGGGTTGGCAGTTCCCGCTAGTATTTTGGATTGTATGAAAGAATAACAGCCACTAAGTGAATCAATCGGGGGATGATAGGGGCCCGTGGACATTGCAACGGGATGTGGCGGTAGCGTAACCACTTTGAGTACTTTGGAGCCGAGCTGTCTCTGAATAGATACACAGTTGCCGATGGAATTCGGGAATGAGCGAAATGACGAGGAAAGGAAACACACGACATGGAGATTGGCTATTCAATGTGGAATATGAAGGGCTGGATTTGATTCAAAAGGTGGGGTTTTCCCTATGTTCAGTTAGAGCCTGCGTAAAATTATTTCCTTTCAGAGACGCGGATCCATAACTCTTTGTTCTGACTAGATTGGTATCCCATTCACTCCTCGAATTTCAAAATGTTGACCCTTACTCCAACACACGTCCGGGCAGAAGCTATGGTGACTCAAAAGGATTACTGGGACTCCGAGGTTTGCCAACTCAGGGTGGTTTATAATATCATTCATTGACAACAACTAGACCTATGCCGCAGCTGCGTCCTTTGCATCGCATTTTGCCGACACTCTCGTTGAGAGAATCGAATTTAAGCCCACAGATCGTGTTCTTGACATTGGTTGTGGAGATGGCATATTCACCAGCAGATTTGCTCCACGGGTTGGATATGTTCTCGGCGTTGACTCGTCTCCGTCAATGATAGAGTCTGCCAAGAAGATGGACTACGGTTCCACGTCAACTGAGTTTCATGTTGTTGATTGCCGATACTTGAACAAGGATCCCAAGATCATGAACGGAAACTGGGATAAGGTGTAAGTTTTCTTAAGCTTCTTCATGGGATGACTCTAACTGATACAGTGCCTCAAATGCTGCCTTCCATTGGATATTACGAGACAAAATCACCCGTATCTCCACACTGAAAGCCATATTCAAATCTATGAAGCCCGGGGGAGTCTTCTTCTTCGAGATGTGTGGACATGGAAACGCAGCGGAGAAGATGACGGCATTTATGTTTGCCCTTGTCAACCAGGGAGTCCCCATCGAGAAGGTAGAGGCAGCTTGTCCTTGGTTCTATCCATCCGACGCATATATGAAGGAAGCCCTTGAGAGCGTTGGGTTTGAGATCAAGACGATTGGGCTGAAGTCGGAAGCTCACCCCGTGGCCAGCGCTGGGATGGAGGGGTTCATGAGGCTCATTGGGGCTCAGATGTTGGATCTTCTAGATACCGAAGAGCAAAAGGACAAGGTTATCGAGCAGATTGTTCGAATGACTCGATATGGCACAACTCGGGAGGATGGAACTCAGTGGATTAGCTACACTGGATTGAGATGCATTGCTGTGAAGCCTTGATTGGAATCTTCCGATACCCAATCGTGATTGTGGTCATATATTGCAAATTTACTTGGTAAATACGAGATTGAATAGCTTTGGAAACATTCTGTTGTTTCTGTCCCAAACAGGAACATCATGTGCCTCGTAATCATGGGTCAATCTGCTGGTGCCTTCCGCCCTGACCGTCACATCGCGGACTTTGGAGAAAGATAGCTTCATGGCTTGACTGTGTGCGACAATTCTGAGATGCCTTCAGCATGACTCAGAATGTCAACTTGGGTCAAAGTCTGCTTCGAATCCATGAGTCGCAATTACAGATGAGCTTGACCACGTCCGCAAACTTTAGCCAGTCTCGAAGCCACGCCACTACCACCGTATTTTCGGAGTCAATCCTCGAGAACACATGGATCACAGAAGCACCGGAGCTGGAATTACGGTTTTTCATTAGCGGCAATTGGGGCTTGGATGATGATGTGACCTCTTTCGTCTCGCGGTTGGAGCCACAACTCTGTGGTCTAAATGTAAGCTAGCGGCATGATCTTTCTTACCAACTTTTGACCATTTCCTATTAGATCTGGTCGGATCTCGGCTTTTCTGCTTCACTCAAGACGGAGGATGATAAACACTGGGCCGCTGGGAATAACAGCAGGTTTAGGCCTCGTTGTCTCACGCTTGGTTTGCGCAGAGAATGTGGGAGAGCAATTCATAGCAAACGTTGGATCTTGCCCGCCGTGATCATCAATGCCCCCGATGCGTGTTCTCCACCTGGTATACCGGCACTTACTCTGACCTCCATTGATATGCACTTGGAATACCGCTTTCATGCTGATAACCTGAGCCATTCCCAACAGTCCAATCGTGATACAGATCCCTTTGAGCAAGATCCGTCGGTGATTGCCGTGATACAAACCCTTGACGAATCAATGGACTACATTGTTCCTGTACGAAAGCCTGACGACATCATGTCTCAAGCAAAACAAAGTGAGATCTTGACCCAAATTTCCGGGAATCAGAGATCACAGAGTGATTTCGTACGACTCTTCGATCTTGGGCTTCAACGGTTTGTCATTGCCAACACTAGGAAGGATTCTACTGTTTGCAATTCAAGTCAGTCCACAATGAGAAGCTTATCAATACTGTTCCCCGGGGTGTTCAATTCAACATATCGTGAAGTTAGCCGGTCTTATTCCCACATGCAGCCAAGCAGCTAATTATTACTAGGCCATGAACCAGCGAGCGGTGTCAATCCCGATCATTACAAAATCAATATCGTCCATGATAGAGGAAAGTGATAATCATTCCATTCGATCACAAGCAGCAGGATTCCTACAGTATATCGAATCATCAAATCCGGATGCCTTTGGGGGATTCACTCACTCTGCGAGGCTCAGATCTGCAATCCACTCCTCTCTGTGGAGCGTTGCGCAAACGAACCTTAGCCAAAACACAGTTGCCCCAAATGGAATATGGGTAATCCCTACGGATCTTTTCCCACCAGAGATTAATGAACCTGAAGATCCAATGGGTCCCTCGGGTACACATTCTCAGCAGCCCTGCATCGAGCTTCCTCTCCCGACCCACATCCTCAATACACAGCCAAGTGACGAGAGCATCGTAAACTATGAATTGATGTTGGATGGAACCAACCTCGAAAGTGATTTTGAGGCCCTTTCAATTGGACCTGACAGCGAGACAATCCCAGACACCGGTGACTCCACTCAAACTTCCCTAGATATTTCATACTCTGCAATCGCAACTTCTCAGTCTCTTCGCGCGAACAATGACATGATATTCGATCTCGAGCATGACAATGAATTTAGCGATTCCTATGCCTTGATGGACGACGAATATTCCTGGGAGGTTGCGGAATACATAGGCTCTCCCGATTCCGATATTATGCTGTATGATGTCTTTTAGACCCTGGTACTATATGTTCTGTTACTCATTTGATACCAAACATATTTTGACCTCAGCGGAAATCACATGCCCAAGTTCAAGTGCCTCATACCAAGCATGCAGTATATGCTGCTTGAAGTGGCATTGCCCAGTATAGTAACTCTAGACCACGCTAAACCCAACACGGTTACTCCACAAATATCATGCAGCAGCAACTCACTGACCTCATCAGCTTCCTTTATTGCCTCCAAAAACACGGTCAAATCTGGAAATGACTTCGACCAAGCCTCCGGCCAGGATATATCCAATAACAACCTTCATTTCAGACCTACCAGCTAGCCTCATCCCGCATGGCTCCCAAACATCTCCCAAAAATGGAGCCAATGGCCGCCTGGTCATCATCGGCGATGTACATGGGATGAGAAAATCCCTGGAAGCATTATTAAACAAAGTGAACTTCGACAATAGCAAAGGAGATCATCTCATACTAGTTGGCGACCTAATCAACAAAGGGCCCGATAGTCCCGGTGTTGTCGATCTCGCCATGAAACTAGGAGCCAGCGCAGTGCGAGGCAACCACGAAAACGCAGTGTTGAATGCAGTCATGGAAATCAACACCTTTCAAAATAGCCAATTTTGCCACCAGGACTTTACTGGTAGTTCAGCCGCACCTGAGAACCCCGAAGACAACTCAGCTGAGGCTAGTGTCCCAGATCTCGAAATTCCCGACAATTGTAACTCTGATGTACCCGCGGTGAAGATGAAAGCTAGCCCGACAACGCAAAGTACAGCGAGGGCACTCTCCAAGCACCATATTGACTGGCTTGCCTCGTTGCCGTTGATCTTGCGGATCAGATTACCTGCCGATTTGACGTCCTCTTTGGGTGATTCTCTGGTCGTCGCTCATGCAGGCCTCGTTCCTGGTATCCCACTCGAAGACCAAGATCCAAATGCTGTAATGCATGTCCGGAGTCTGGTTCGTGAGACTGGCAATGAAAAAGCGTTCACCCCAACTGAGGTTTTCGGGGATGAAGGCTGGGTTGTGGAATGGGATCGGTTGCAGGAGAGTTTGGCGTCTAAGACGACGGTTATCTTTGGACATGATGCAAAGCGGCGTTTGCAGTTGGGTAGATATACGATTGGATTGGACTCGGCGTGCTTGTACGGCAATCAATTAAGCGCTGTTGTGATTGAGTCTCGGGATGGGAGAGTTGAGCATGAGATTGTTCAGGTTGAATGTGCTGATACGCCTGTTGCGTCGACAGTTCCTGTCGAGAAAGGAGAGAAAGATATTGATAAGGATACATTATGTAGGAATTCTGCCGCTTGAGATCTGTCTGCTCTTCCTGGTCTCTTCCTTTCTAGATCATTCTTTGCCCAGGGGTTCAAACGTGTTCCTGAAAATCTAGGTAGGGGTTTTTACAGGCGCTTGAGATACTCAGGCTTTCTCAGCCCATACAGGTCATTCTTGAGCTCCGTGACCAGAAAAGGCAGATACTCTCCCACAGTTATTCGTGCCTCGAAGATATCTCATTGGCTTTGATGAGACAATGCCCTTGAAAAAGGCACAATGGATGAGCCACGCAGACATTTAACGCGCTTTGTTCGAATAAAATAGACAGTCTATTCGTTTCGTATGTCACTTTATTTCAAGGCCAATGGGATATAATATATTTTGGTTATTCTCTGTTTTGTATCCATGCCATAGCTCAACAAGCTCTTCCAGATCAAGTTACTCATCTTCGTCCTTCACAAAGTCACCAAAATATATAGTGTTTCCGAGGGATGCTTCGGTATCCGCCATTTAAGTATACATCAATGGCACAGTTTATGGGCAATGAGACGGCTTGGTGAAATCAAGCAACATAGTTCCATTTGTCACGCCACCTGGGTCTTAGACTGAGTGCAATAATCAACTTCATGCATTTACCCCAAACTCCCTCATTAAGATCTCACCATTCAATTCATCGGTCTCACTACGTACGGCCCTGACCTTCTCTTATATTTTGTGTTAATACATCTGCCACCCTCTCCCTCGCTTTGGAAATCAGCCCCTACTATATAACTTGTAGACACGATCAGGCGTTCGGAACGAGTTCTTACTTCAACTGAATAGAAGCACCTACATCGCGATTACGAGACTAGCTACGCTGCAACAGGTAAAAAGTACTTTGATTTGATTGATTGATTGAACTGAAAAAGCCAGAATCAAAAATGCAAACAGTCCGTCCGTAGTTCAGGCCAACTTTCTCTGTAATCCCTCACATGTTCCATTATGCAATCAACTGTCATAGTAAAACCTCAGATGCCTGACGGATAATCGGGTTCTATCAGAAGAAAAGCAAAATCAGTAAACGGGCCACGAAAGAGAGAAAGAGAGTCACGCCAAAGAACGCCAACCCACATCACCCTCACCAAAGTATCCAGTGTCTGTGTCGCTCGCCGCGGCTCTGCTGGCTCTGGCTGCCCTGAGAGATCTGGTGGCTGCGATTGCGTCGATGGCCGCGGTTATCGCGACGGCGATGGCTACTCTGGACGCTCTGCTGGTCCTGGTTGCCCTGGTCATTCTGGTTGTTCTCACCACCCCGAAGACTCTGGGTACCCTGGTGACTCTGGAGACTCTCACGACTCTCGGTTTCACGCAGAGAAGAGAACCAGCGTGGGTCAGAGGCGCGCGACGAGCCCCAGGCGGTCATGTTCAGGTGGCTGGCAAGCTCCAGGAGTCTCTGGCCGGGCTGGTAAACGCAGAAGAAGTTCTCATCTTTGTGGCGAGCAGTTGCACCTGCATATCGTCGGTACTCATGGATGATGTCGGCTGGGTCCCAGCCTTGGGCACGTCGGAAGCATCCAACCATAGCCCCAGTGGCATGCTAGATATGCTTAGTCGGTTGGTCGGTTTTGTTTTGTGATATTAATGTGCGAGGGGACTTTACCTTTCCATTATCGCCGTGAATGAGAATGGGGTGGTTTCTGGTGTCGATCACGAACTCGAGGATTCTGTCAATGTCGCTGTTCATGTTCAACTCGCTTTGCATGTTGCGACGAGGGGGAGTTTCGTTTGGACGGAGAGGGTCTCGCGGCAGAGGTGGGTGCAAGATGCGAACTGCGTGGTCGATGAGATAATCTGCCTCTGCGTCGTCATATTCTCTGTCTGTAAGCTTCCTGTTTCTGGTTGTCAGCTTTCTCTTGTGTCGCGATTCAAGACCGCCGTCTGTGCACTGACAGGATGGTACGAATACCACGCAGATTCTGGCCGTTGTGCTGAAGATTGGGGAACCCCGAGCGGTACACTCCGTGGACAACCTGACCGAAGTCGTTGTTCGCTCTTGGCTCTGACATTCTGAAGGCTGAGGCTGCAGCTTGCCTCGAGCTCAACAGATCAGCCCAAACGAGCCACAGCGGTTGAGGGATGTTGGGATAAGAAGCGCCAAAGTTCAAAGCGAGAGAGGCCGTGGAGAAAGAGAAAGAGAAAGAGAAGAGAGAGAGATGAAAATCGGTTGAATTTATCGCTGGGCCGTGGCAGATAGGACGAGGCAACCAAAATACGTATACCCGCTTAAAAGTAAGGACTGCTCTATTCGGAGGGCGTGGGCTTATGTGTTTGTTCTTATTATGAGCTTACTCCTAGTGAAAACTTCTACAGGATCAGAACAATTGAGACGAATGTTAAATCACTATTATTCTCAGCAGAATAGCTAAGCCATCAAGCTATTCATTGTCAATCAAGTAACAATATGTATGCAATAGCGGTATATCATATCTAGAGGTGTCTATCCTAGAAGCAAACATCCATGAAAAGCAATCAAGCAGACTTCTCACCCAATCCAAACATCCGGATAGAGTTGTTCCAAGCCCTGTTAAAAAACAATTAGCGGCGATATTTAGTATGCAGAAAGCAGTAACAACATACGCTTCACAAACTTCCTCCACGGTAATTCCCTTAACACTCGCAATAACATGAGCAACGCGGGCAATAGCAATAGGCTCATTGCGGCCCTTAACCATACAACCCTTCTGCCACTTCTCTTTCTTGACAGCCTTTGGAAGGTCAGGCGCACCGTCAAGGTGCTTCGCCGAAGCATGCGAGGGACGAATCTCACACTAAAACACATCCCCATGTCAGCCCAAGCCCCATATCATTCGCAGTCTGGAATCCAGGATGTACATACCCAAGGCCCATCAGTCTCAATCTGCAACCTGTCAAGCGGAATAGCCTTGACAACCTCCAGATTCTCCTCGGTCTTCAAACTACACCCGTTGACACCAACATCCAAGCCCAGCGCAACCATCCGATGCATCTCCTCCAGGGTGCCGGTGAAACTATGCACAAGACCACGTTTGGGCAGACGCGCCATTCGTGGCGCGAGAAGTCTTTCAAAGTCTTCACTGGCAGCCCGGGAATGCAAGAAGAGTGGCAGCTGGATCTCAACGGCAAGATCGAGTTGAGCCTCGAAGTATTTCAGTTGCGGTGCCTTTTCACTGAGGAAAAGTCTGTCGTAGTCTAGACCGATTTCGCCGAAGGCTACGGCGAGCCCGTCTTTCTTGGCTTGTACGGTCATTGTCCAGAGTTCTTGGAGCATCTTTTGCGCTCCTTCTGGGTATTCATCGAAGAGCTTTGCTTGGCAGGGATGGACTCCAACTGTTGCGTAGCAGAAGCCGGCTTTGGGTCTGGGTTAGTAGATGGGAGGGTGGTGTGGGGGGAATAGACTCACGGTATTTGCTGGCGATGGAGATGGCGTGTTTGGATTCGACTAGGTCGGATCCTGTAACCATGAACTTGGAACAACCCACGTCTTTTGCGCGCTGGATTACGTCGTCCAGGTCATCTTCGTGGGCTTGCTTTCCGTGGTATTCACCGCGGAAGACGGGGTCGCTGAGGTTGATCCCGATCTGGAGGATGTTAGATTTTGCTTTTTGAAGGCTTGTAGCCCTGGGAATGCTCAACGCACATCGACATATCGGAGTGTGTTTGTGGATTCAGCCATTTTGAAGTGGGCGGAAGTGGAGAATGCTTTTTGTCTTTCAACAGAGCTGTAGGAGACCGATGGCAAGTTCAGTCCTTTGTTGAAACCTGCGATATTGCTTAGTCTGAGTTCTTTCTAGAATTAGGGTCCCATGTCAGGACTATATCTCATATCACCCCGGGCGACAAACCTAAAAAGAGAAATTTATCGATCCCTGCTGCCCTCGTAGGCAATGTAATATTCCGTCGCAAGAGATTCACCGCGCTTCTATGAATGGCAGCTTTTTGCATCAGATGACTCACGCGGAAATCTCGCTATTGCGTTGGCGGTAAAATACTTTGACTGTTGAACGTTTTGTGTTGACTAAGGGAGCCGCTGTGGCGGTGGGCTGTGGCTGGGTTTCTGCCTTACAACCCAGGCCAGAAAGTGGTCTCCACGGAGAGAAATCCGCAAGCCAGTCGGGAGTTCGCCGATTCCGCTTGTCTGTATATACTTCTGGTCAACAGACCCTAGAACTTGCGATAGGGCAAATTAACCATCTGGGTGACACACTGTAGAAATTGAAGTCATTATCTTACTGACCAGCACTTTTGCTCACACAGCATAAACAAAACCATCCTCTAAATGGCAAACAAAGTCAACAAAACCACAGGCCCGTGCAGTCCGGGGTAAGTCCGGGGACCTGGCCGATGAGCTCTCCCGGACCCTGGTTGGGTATTTAATGACGGCCAGGATCCCCGTGAATCACCAACCTGCATATAATTAACCCCCTACGCACGCTGACGCACTCATCCCAAGATGACAGACCAAAAGCTTGTGTCCGTCCAGCAAATCTCCAGCCACAATTCCCCTAGCGATTGCTGGGTAGTGGTCGACAATCAAGTGTGGGATGTGACCGACTTCTTGGAAGAGCATCCAGGGGGATCAACAGGTAAGTACTGCAATATTCAATCCTCTCGACCAAATAAAACCCAACTAACATACATCTCAGTAATCCTCAAATACGCCGGCAGAGACGCAACAAAAGCCTACTCAGAAGTGCATGCGCCCAGCGTAATGAAGAATAACCTCTCTGCGCAAAATTTCAAAGGCACCCTAGACCTGTCAACAATCGATGCCGAATGGGCCCAACCACCACCAGAAGAGAATCCCACGGTGATACTGGAACATGAGAAACCGCCCCTGCACACCCTGATCAACGCGCACGATTTCGAACACGTAGCCTCGAAAACAGCCAGCAAGAAGACATGGGCCTTCTACTCCAGCGCCTCCACAGATCTCATTACGCGCGACGCAAACAAGTCCTGCTTCGACCGGACCTGGTTCCGGCCTCGCGTGCTGCGAAACGTCCGAGACGTGGATACAACAACGACTATCCTGGGCGGGAGTTATAAGCTCCCGCTCTTTGTCAGTCCGGCTGCGATGGCGAAATTGATTCACCCGGATGGGGAGTGTGCCATTGCACGGGCGTGTGGGAAGAAGGGGATCATGCAAGGCGTGAGTGTATCACATATCCCATACAGACCCAGTCCCCTCCCCAATATGACATTCAATTACAAGCCACACAAGCAGTCCAATCTGACGAATGCTGTAGATATCGAATAATTCCTCCTATACAATGGACGAGCTCCGCACAGCAGCACCAGAAACCCCGTTCTTCTTCCAGCTCTATGTAAACAGAGACCGCGCCAAATCCGCCGCCCTTCTCCGGCAGTGCAATGCAAACCCTAATATAAAGGCAATCTTTGTCACTGTTGACGCAGCCTGGCCTGGGAAGCGTGAGGCGGATGAACGCGTCAAAGCAGATGAGACTCTCTCTGTCCCGATGTCTCCCTCCAAGGCCCAGAATGACAAGAAGGGCGGCGGACTAGGCCGCGTCATGGCCGGCTTCATTGATCCGGGGTTGACATGGGAGGATTTGAAATGGATCAAGCAGCAGACTTCCAAACCGGTGTGTTTGAAGGGGGTCATGTGTGCTGATGATGCGATGCTTGCTGCTCAGGCTGGACTTGATGGCATTCTGCTGAGCAATCATGGTGGTCGGAACCTGGATACTAGTCCCCCGTCCATTGTGACCTTGCTGGAGATTCAGCGACGGTGTCCGGAGGTTTTTGAGAGGTTGGAGGTCTACGTTGATAGTGGAATTCGGCGTGGGACGGATGTGCTCAAGGCTGTTTGTTTGGGGGCTACTGCTGTGGGCATGGGAAGGAGTGTGCTTTTTGCTACTAATTATGGACAGGACGGTGTTGAGCATTTGGTTGATAGTGAGTGTTTTTGTTACTTCTTCACAGTCGCGGTCGTTGTGGCTTTGCTAACGACTTCTCTCGCAGTCATCCAAGACGAACTCGAAACCGCCATGCGCAATGTCGGTATCACATCCCTGGCGGAAGCTTCCCCAGATCTCGTGCACACCGGTGACATCGACCACCTCGTTCCGGCGTCCCGCTCACACCCATACGCTCGGGCCATAGCTAAAGGCCGGCGACCGGGCGCGAAGCTTTAGCGTTCGTGAAGGAGGGTAGAGTGAGGGGGTCGTGGATGTACAGTGTACACTGTCGAGTGTCGGTCTCCCCCGACTGGCAGTGATGACCGCATGGCGCAGTAGCCCCCTCCCAGGTTGTCTCGCAGGTTATTTCAGGGATTAGATATACAGCGTATAACCCCGACCATATGGCACAGAATCACCCCCAACGGTTTCAAATTCCCGAAATCCAGGGGCGAGAATTAGAGATGGAATTCAGGAACATTTCCCCTATGCCAAGCCTTATGGCCCTTGCCTCCCCCTTAAGATCTGAACAAAATTCAGACAGTTGAACTGGGTCTGCTGATCTGTATCTATCTTCCGGTCTTTCCGACACGCGGGGAATATTAGTGTTTGAGATCAGCCCTGTGTGAACACGTAGGCACCAGTCCCCCTGGTCTATTAGGTAAATGGTCCCGTTCACTGGTGGACGGTGAACTGTCACGTTGAAGACTACGGTGTAGAGCAGAGCATAGGGGAATAGGGAAATATGGACAAAAATAGGCGTAGATCCCCGCTCCACTCTACCCACTAACTCGCCCAACTATTGTCTTGGAACACTCCTGATGCTTAGATCTGGTCATGGGATCACAGATTCCTGGAGTGAAGAATCGACTTGCATCCAATTCCGGATTCATTCCTGGCTTACATGGACATGCTTGACCGACAGTTGTGAAGAGGGGTGGGCAGCCATTCAGCGTAGAGGGATTTGATAGTCCCACCCGGGGGTTAGAGTACTATGTCCGGGCCGTTTGGAGAGAAGGGAGATCAGGCAATTGCGTTATGTGGGCTGGTGTATTTACTATTGGATGTGTTGAGCGATGATCAGTCGGAGAAAGAGATGTACCGGGTACATCTTGTCACTCTGTGTTCTGGTGGGTACGGGGTAGACTGAGTCCCGAGGGGGAGGTATCGGGTACGTCGATCGTCTCTTCCCTTGATATTCACCGAACCACCAGAACAGCAGCGTGGGAGATAAGTAAGATGCGAACAGGGTGTCGCACAGGTCGAACCCTGGAAGCCGGTGCATTCTAGACTTGCTTGATAACCAAAGTGAGTGTTGACGTCGACACCTCTGGACTCTCACCAGCTCCACTGCGGGTCCATCCTGCCAAGCCTCGTAGCTCTCAACAATTCCTATAAAGCACAGCTTCACTCCGGACCTTTTTCTTCTGTCTACCCTTTTGTCTTCTTCACTACCTTTGATCTCTACACTTAGTCTCTGTTCTACACTTGAGACTTATAACCCACCTCTGCCCTCGACTCAACCACTCACATCCTCTACCCTATCTATACATCATGTCTGCTCCTCGTTCATCCCTCCGCGCTCTCCGCGTACTCTCGCAGCCTACTGCCCCCTCAGCTCGTCGCTGCCTACACATCACTGGCGTGCAATCCGCTCAGCCTGCAAACACAACCGACAAGGCTGTTTCCAACCACGACATGCTCCAATCCAAAGCCTTTGCCATTTCCATGCGCCGAATCAACGGCAACGCTTTCTCTGAGTAAGTCATTCCCACCTACACCTAAAACTACACCTCTACCTGAACCTGCCACACTTCCAATCCTCTTCAATCCTCATTCTTCCACCCCACCAGAACCAAATAGCTAACATCAAGCCAGCACCCCCCGGCAATTCAACACCTCCCGCTCCTCCAAAGCCCGCAACGACACCTCCACTGTCGACCTCGTCTACATGCCCACAATGGCCGACCTCGACGCCGCCCCAATGCACCGCGGCATCCAAGTCCCGGTCCTCCCCGAAACACACTCCATCGGGGCCTTCTCCTCCACCCCCTCCGCCCCACCCATGAAGCCCCAGATCTACACAGTCGCCGGTACCGGTGCCGACGTCGCCGCCAGCGCCATGAGCGAAGTCGTCGACAACCACGCCGTCGATCTGGACCCCTTCTCGCTGACCGAGGCTGTGGGTCGCTCGCGCGTCGGCGAGGAGCTCAGCAGACAGCAGAACGGGTCTGCTCAGCCGGGTGCGATGCGTGAGCTCTGGACAGGCTTTTTGGACGATGTGATGGGGCCCAAGGAGGTCAGGAAGTAGATTGCTTCTTCTTTTATTTTATTTACCCTTACCTTGCCGTGGCTTGATGTTGTTTCCATCTTTCCTGTTGACGGGTTCGATGCTGGATATGACTTGGGCCTGCTTGGCTCGGGTGCTGCTTTTGTGCGAGAACTAGCGTTTTGATGTATTATTTTGTCTTTTGTCATGGAGAGTTGCTTTCCGTGACTTACTAGCCGGTCCAAGGCTCTTACTTTTTCTCTATATCTTATTCACTGCAACTATATCAGGTTGTATCAATTGATCAAATCCCAACGTGAATCTCTAATGGGCTATAACTTATAACTTATAACTTCATACCTACATCTACACACCCATCCACCTTCTCCTTTCACCTTCATCCTAAAGAAAAATTAAAAAAAAAGAACCCGCATTTTCGTCTTACCTCGGCACATCTATACCAAGTCCCCACAATGATCTACGCCAAACAGATCGGACTCAATCCCGATTTCCAACAGCACACATCACCGCCATAGCCTGCAGTGCCGACACCAAAACAAAAGCTGTATCCCGCCATTGAGGCATATCCGTACCCGTATCTGTTTCTATACGGTACATACCGTAGACTCACTCCATCCCTGGTCCCGATCCTGATCCCGATCCCGACACCACTGGACAGTGAGCATGCCTACTCCGGATATAAGTTAACGTTACTGGAGATCCACAATGATGTCGAGCGATCAACCGGGATAATCTTTTACAGTTCCGAGGTGTTGCTTTTCCCGGCGCCGGGGCGGACGGGTTGGTGTTGGTGTTTGTGGGGTGCGTCGGAGTATGTAGGACAAGCCCCGGATCGGGGGGTTTCGGAGGATGGGGTGGTTATTATCTGATTGTTTTATCAATTGGGTTGGTGGCTGTTCTGAGGCTGTGTGGTGGATGGGATGAGGATTGGTTTGTTGGTTGGTTGGTTTGTTTGGTCTCTTGGTGTGAGGGTGGGATTAAGGGTGTGGCTGGTGTTGGGGTTGTTTCGGCTGTAAGGGGTGAGGCTGTTTTCTTGGTTTCTTTGGGTCTTTGGGTCTTTCTGGGGTGTGTAGGGATGATGTGACGTCGTTCTTGGGTTGTTTCATGTTGTTTGTGGCCGGGCTTGGATTGTCGATGGCTTGGGTTTGTATACTTGGTGATGTTGTGACGTGGCTTTCGTCTAAAGGGTTGACATGCATTGGTCTGGATAGGATTATGCTGGGACAGGGTAATATAGACTTGTTTGTTTGAATTGAGGTCTAGACTATGTAAGGTCTTCTACACCTGACATAAATGGCTCACAGCCAAATTGAGATGCTCAATGCCACTGTTGGATGTTCATGGTTACTTTATGAGCAATTATGGTAGGTATTGTAATCACTCCATTCAAGTAGCACAATGCGACTTTGGCAGGACCTTATTGGTGGTGCTGGAGCATTTCTGATATGGCAGCGTGTGACGCTCGTGCTGATGAGATACTTCATTGGTCAAGCGGTATGTATGATTGAGGTCAGAGTAGGCGACAGCAATGCATGAAATGATTATACTCGCGTCGATTTCAAGTTGTGGAGCCATATGCCTGATGCGGTATTCATTCCAGGTAAATGTATTGAGAAAAGAAACATAAGCTGTCCATGTTTGCTTGCATTTTACTCTCCATGTTCCGAGTTATGGGTATGCCTACTGTAGAAGACTTCGAAGTAATCAAGCCCCTTTCCGATCGGATCGGCCCGACCGTAGAATTTTGGGAGATTTCAACCGAACCATAGCTACAGTATTGTGTTCTATACGGTCAAGCTGAATTCTCTCTATCTGAAACATCCGCAGTTCGTGGATGCAGACGACGTGGGGCCTGGTGGCTTGGGATCTGTATGATGGATCTCCTAGTTCCAGCCAACGACTTGTGTCGTTGCCCTGCATAGTGCATCGTTTACATGAGAATCAAATGGATTGGGAGTGGTGTTTATTTTGGTATCAGGGTACCATTCATGCGAATCGAACTAATTGTCCAGTCAGAGGTACTTGTGCGAAGCCAAGTGATGTGCAGGGTCTCGACCCATGTGGAGTGTCGAGTTCTAGACCTTTGGACTTGGACGCGCAATCCTACAGGTCGCTTGAGCTCATTTGTGCAAGAATTTGGTGCTACTGTACATACCGTAGAACGCATCAGTTTCAGTCGACTCGGATGCTTGAGGCCTTGTTTTCTGCTCTCTGTAGGGTGATTGTTCCTGAAAACTCTGATCTTTCAACTAGACCTCGGGAGACCGTTGTGATATGGTCTGAATACTGTACAGTAAGCCAGAAAAGAAAGTCCAATCGAGGCAACCAAAAGCGTCACGATTTTCGAATAAACTTGGCAGTTAGCGCTATCATAGACTGAGGATTGAGCTTGGCCTAGCGGATCACTAGCTTTGGCTGACAAGTTGATCGTAGCCCCAAAACAGTAACATGTGGCTCCTGTTCAGGCGCCACTAGACCCTGTTTCCTCTAGCCCGAACTGTTCTCCACAGTTCTTGCCCAGGGGGATTTTCCCCCTCACATTTGCTTCTCCTCTTGATTTCGTGTACTTTCATTTCGTTGCTCTCTTCTTTGTGTCTCTCTCTCATATTTGTTTCTCTCATCTTTGTTTCTCTCAATCGCTTCTTTCCTTTACTACTCCGTAACTCCCGAGCTCCACTGATTAGGGACACAACCTCGAATCGACTCGATTCAAATGCGGGCTCACTTTTCCCGCACCTAATCCCTCCTTGGGATCATGCATCTCTCATCATGTTTGCTCATTGCCTGCCTCAGCGGCGTGCACGCCTTCTATCCGTGGGAGCTGCGAGTGGAAGTCGGTACCGTGGAGCCAATTCAGCGTCGCTTTATGCCATGGAGCTTGATTGAAGCCAAGATCGATGACACTGTCACCAAGCCCCCCACTCTCGACCTGAAGAAGTACCCTGTTCGTCGCGATGATACTTACAAGATTGTCGAGTCGCACACGCCTTCCATGGCAGACAGTGCTGCGCTGAATCAGGATGGAACCGATTACTCTTACTTCTCTACCGTGCTGGTGGGCTCACAGAAGACGGAAATGTGGTTGGCTCTCGACACTGGTGCGCCCAACACATGGGTCTTTGACTCCAAATGTACCGAGGATGTCTGCACACAACACCACACTTTCGACCGATCTACCTCGACCAGCTACGTCTCCAACAGCTCGACATTCAGTCTCGGCTATGGCAGTGGCACTGTCCTTGGACAACTCGGAACCGATACTTTTTCAATTGCAGGCATCGAAGTCTCGTTGGAATTCGGCCAGGCCAACAATGCCTCGGACACTTTCAAGAGCTACCCATTCGACGGTATCCTCGGTCTGGGTCGCTCCCACACATCTGGGTGGAACCTCCCATCCTTTATGGATCGTGTTGCGGAAGGAAAACACATCAAGAACAACTTCATCGCTTTCAGTCTGTCCCGCGCAGCAGATGGTGACAAGGACGGGGAGATCAACTTTGGCGGTCTCGATACAACCAAATACGACGGAGACATTCAATACACTGCCACCGACTCGGGCATCTGGAACATCCCCTTGGATGACGCCTACGTGAATGGCAAAGCTTGCAAGCTTTCCGGCAAATCTGCTACAATCGACACCGGAACCACCTACGTTCTAATTCCCCCTGATGATGCAGCAGTTGTCTTCGGTCTTGTTCCCGGTTCATCTGCATCGGGCAGCAACCACATCATCCCATGTAACACAAATGTGACACTGGAGCTCGAGTTCTCGGGTGTCAAATACTCCATTTTACCCGAAGATTATGTTGGAAGTCCAACAGAATCAGGCTCGGATTCTTGCATTTCAACCATTGTCAGCTATGCATCTAATGGAGTCAACACCTGGCTCGTCGGTGATGTGTTCCTGAAGAACGTCTACACCGTTTTCGATTATGACAATGCGCAGATCGGCTTCGGATCCCTTGCTTCTGGGTCAACCAAAGGCAATGGAACATCCACTGCACCCCCAACCTCAGCTACCGCAGCGGCGGCTGCCTCCAGTGCTAGCCAAGCTGCAGCTGAGTCTAGCGCCTCCACCGCCGCAACTTCCACAGTCTCCGGCAGCTCCGCAGCACCACTCAACCGTGGCATTAGCTGGTCTATGTTCACAGTCATTCTCGGCGCTTTCTTCGTCTGAAGCTCTTTAGCCCATGTTTCTTTTTCAGCGAACTTGATTTGGCGACAATCACATCCGCTTGTATTATGTACTCTCGCTCACCTGTTACGTGCTCTCGCTTCATGCACATCTATTCACTTCTGTCCATACGAATGGGTACACGCCCATCCCAGCATATGTTCACGCTGTCTATCTGTCGTTTTATCAGCTGCACATATCACTCGCTTCTGCTGGATACCCCAAATTTCTGTTTTACCTGACAAAAGTCGCTGGCGTTTTCATTTAGATGGTTCGATGTCTTCATGTACAAGGCGTGCCATACTTTAATGATAGAAACAACTGTCAATTCTAATAACTCAATACAACCAAGATGTCTTTCATCCTCATTCATGTCCACATTCATAACCCTTTCACAGGCTCTTCTGTGGAATCAACGAGTAATTCTTCGGACCAGAATCTATCAATGTCAGCATGCATCCCAGCTTCCAAACCCCCAACAGTGAACCTACCAAGAATTGAGCGATCAAAGTCCCCAACCCCATTAAACCCAGCAACGCCCATCAAAATATCCAAATCAGCCAACAAAGATTTCATCACATGCCTCACACCCTCCTCCCCAGCAATACTCAACCCCCAAATCCACAACCGTCCCACGAAAACAAACCTCGCTCCAAGCGCCAAAGCCTTCACAACATCACTCGCCCCCCTCACCCCCGAATCAAACATAACATAAATCTTCTCCCCAACAGCTTCCGCAATACTCTCCAAAGCATCAAGACTAGCAACCGCCCCATCAACCTGCCGTCCAGCATGGTTACTAACCACAATCCCATCAACCCCAAACTCAACACACCGCCGCGCATCACCAACCGACTGAATCCCCTTGATAGCAAACGGCCTCCCCCCACTAATCCCCTTCCAAGTCTCAATCAACCAAGGAATCTTCTCCCACGACCACGCCCGCCCATGCCAAACAGAATCAATCCACTTCACCGAAGCCGCAACAACATCGACATCGGGATCGATCCCGCTCTCCCGACACCGTTTCCGAAAGACAGGATCCGAAAGCCCCAAATCCGCCCCGAATCCACGGTAAAACGCATAGTTCGACGCCGACACATCGTCGTGTCGCCATCCAAGCTGCCATGTGTCCGTCGTCAGCATCAGCGCGTCAAAGCCCGCCTCCCATGCTCTTGTCAGCAGGGACACGGTCAGCTCGTCGTCGTGCGGCATGTACAGCTGGTAGAAGCGCGGGTTACCGGGTCCGTTGGCTTTTCCTACGTCTTCGATTGATGTGCTGCCGGCTGTGGAGAGGCAGTAGGGGAGGTTGAGTTCGCCGGCGACTTTTGCGACGGCGCTTTCGCCGGCTGCGTGGTAGATCTTGTTGATTCCTATTGGGGCGAAGCCGATCGGGGCTGATACTTTGTGGTTGAAGATTTCGGTGCTGGTGTCGCGGTTGTTGGTGTCGATTAGTTGGTTAGGGATTAGTCGGTGGCGGTAGAAGGATTGTCGGTTTGTCAGGTGCGTGTTTGAGAGTCCTGCGTTGGAGGAGGCGTAGTACCTGTTTTATTTTCGTTAGTTGGCTGTTGTTGCTTGGGGGTTGGTTTTATGGGTTCGATATTGGGGAGTTGTACCAGCCGCCTTCGCTGAGCTTTTCTTTGGCTCTTTCTTCTAGTTTTCGAGGATCTGGCTCTGATGTTAGTATCTTTTATTGTTATGCTGTTGGGACTGAACTTACCAGTGTTGAACAGTGGCGCCTGTCCTTCGTTCTGCTTCAAAAAGTTCTCGCGTTGGTAGAGACCCCATTGGGGCGTGGTGCGGTTCTTGATATGAGGGTTGTTGGGGTCACTCATGTTGATTTTGATGTATGAAATCCAGTTCTTAGTTATTCAAATTCGAGGAACAGTAGAGACAGCTGTGCTTTGAGTTGATACAAGCACTGAAATGCATTGCGTGGATGTTTGTGAACTTTATAGATCTGTTTTATCTAATCGATGACTTCATTTGACGCTGCATGGCCGTTCTCGGACGAGAGAACATTATATCATGGTATGACTTCGGTCCGGGGGATCTTGTTTTAGTCTTTATGCATGATGTGTATGTTTGGTTAAGATCTGCGTGGTGATCTGCGCTAAATTCTTATTTCGTGTTCATGGGTTGCGATGACTGGGTCGCTTCTAGGGCCGGTATCTATAGATCCTGGTTGTCTGATGTTGTTTGAGTGCTTTTGTTTTTACCGCTGGTATTTGTTCATTTGTCATTTTGTTCAAGTTACTCTGGTTATTCTATGTTTGATACTTAGGGTCTGGTACAGTAGTGTGAGGAGTTGGTTCGGTCGCGTGTGACGGTGCCCTGTCTTCTGTCTATCAACATACGGATGTTACAGGTACCAGAACTGAAACAGATTGGATACAACTGGGGCTTACATGGCTACCATGGACAAAATATGGGGACTTGTGATGCTTGTCGCCCGAGAAGTCCGTTGGGGTGGTATACACCCCGGCTGAGCTTTCTCTCACTTGCTGATCAACAACACAAGCATAAGAGCTACGTGTATGTATCCATCCTAATTGGATTAATTGATAGTGGAGAGAGCCGGGCGACCCTGAGGGTGATTGTATCGGCCGAGAGTGCTTGGTGCTGTTCGCAGAAGCTTGTTTCAAAGATATATAGCGACGTCTGCCTGTTTTTAAAATCAACGTAGCAAGAAAGTAGTTGGTATTTCTGTTTTTTTTTACTGATACATTTCGTGGCTTTTCACAATTAAAATGACTCACCCGTCAGATCAATGGCTACTTGGTGCTTGGTCTGTCTTCAACCTGTTCAAATTACTAGTATAGGCTTGTAGTCCAAAGATCAGATACTGAAGTTACTGGACGAAGAGCCTATGGCGACCCTGCTGCCATACCATATGAGGAGCATTTTGCTTTTGCCAATTGTTAGAAACATTTAAAATGCTATAAACATGCCTGACTGAAGCTGAACCCTCATGCTGCATAGTGTCTCGACGCGAGTTCTCCTGAATTTACCTAGCCCGGCCAACCGAGAGAATACAGACACCCGGAAACAATCACTGAAATCCCTCTCAATCTCACCAACAAACTTCTCAGCAATGCGGTCTTGACTAAGAAATCGGAAGTATAGAGCTCGGCAATTTCGTCGGGATCCGAGAATCCCCGTCGGCGGCTAACTGCATCGGGATCCTCGGGAACGTCATCGTCACTACTCGGCCCAGTTGTTTTTCTTTTCTAACCTCATCAAACACCTCAAACCTCATACAATGTTCGGCCTTGCAAGTAGAAGGTCAGCGCTTGCTCGCTCAAAATGCCTGGCTCCATCATTGCCGGCGCGAGCCATGGTTGCAGCCCAGCCTCTCTGCGCCAACATGCAGGAGTTTCATTCCACCCCTGCGCAGTGTGAATCCCGGCCAACTTGGATGCCGATGCGTGTTAAAACGCCTTGGATCGATGCTTTGACGCAAAGTCGGGAGGCAGCTAAGGCCGACTCAAAGGGGAATGCGGCTAAGGCTATTAAGCCAGACTTGACCCCGAAGAAGATGTGTGATAGTGCTTACACGGCTGTATGTTACAAATAACGTTAAAGCCATGGGCAATTATGGTTGGATGCTGACCAGAGATTTTGTAGGTTTTGCCATTGGCCCAAGACAAGTGGCTTCTGGATTCCTATCTCAACTCATCGGGCCACATTAGGTGAGTTCAAGATTAATGCGTTCAAAGAGCATTTTACTGATGTTGAACCAGGCTCGGATCTCTGTTGATGGACCTTGATGCCCTGGCTGGCATTATTGCCTATCAACATACTGGCGATGGCGTGTCAACTGTCACAGCTGCCGTAGACCGAATCACCATTGAGCACCCTCTAATGGAGATCTGCGATCTCGAGCTTAGTGGCCAATGCACATATGCAACAGGTCGTTCCAGTATGGAGATTTCATGTCAGGTCAGCAAGGTTCGTCCTGATGGCCAGGCAGCTCAGCCAGAGGACGTTCTCATCACTTGTGCATTCACCATGGTCTCCTTAGACCCGGCCACGAAGACGTATGTTCACCCTTCTTCTTATGTACTACAGCGAAACTAATCTCTGGCTTAGCCCCGTACCCGTGGCTCCTCTTCTCGTCGAAACCGAAGAAGAAAAGCGTCTCTTCAAGAAAGGCGAAGCAAACTACCAAGCCAAGAAAGCTCTCCGCAAGCGCAGTCTCCTCGAGCGAGCCCCAGACGACGAAGAGAGTGATCTAATCCACTCAATGTGGACAAAGGAAATGTCATACCTAAGTACGCAACCCCCAAGCCATCCACCAAACCCAATCCCAAACTAATAAGAACCAGACCCCCAAACACCCCCAACCCGCCCAGAAAACCAAGTCTTCATGAGCGACACAGTCCTCAAGTCCGCCATGATCATGCAACCCCAAAACCGCAACCGGCACAACTTCATGATCTTCGGTGGTTTCCTCCTCAAACAATCTTTCGAACTCGCCTTCTGCTGTGCAGCCTCATTCTCCCATGCCCGACCCAACTTCCTTGCTCTAGACCCAAGTACCTTTGAAAACCCAGTGCCAGTCGGCAGCGTGCTATACCTGCGCGCTACGGTTGCGTATACGGAGCCCGAAGAGCGTGAGGGTGATAAAACCAAGTACACCAAGGTGCAGGTGCGCGTTGATTCGAAGGTGAGGGATGTCGAGCACGGCACTAAGAAGTCTACTGGCATGTTCAATTATACTTTCCTTGTTGAGAAGGATGTGCATGTTATGCCGAAGAGTTATGGAGAGTTTATGCTTTGGACCGATGCGCGGAGGAGAGCTAGGAATGCTGCTGCTATTGATCCTGCGCACAAGATGAGTGCGCTGAGGAGCATTCAGGATAGTGTTACTGAGTAAATCGGTTTGGGTTGTGTTTGGCTTTCGGATTGATATAGTTGGGTGGTTTCGCGTTTTAAGTCCGTCATTTGGGGGGGTTTTTTTTTGACAACTTGTATAAGTTATTATTGATGGGGACTTGATCTTCCATGAAATGTTCAAATATATTGTCAAGAAATCCTTATTTTGTAAACGCTACCATGCACAGGAACAAATATCGGAGAAAAAAGCAATTCTATATATACAACGCCCCAAATCACCATCCAACCCAACCAAGAGCGTATGTATGAAAAGAGGGACGGGGAAGGGATATTTATACGCAAACCAACGCGCCCAAAAGAAAAGAGATAAAAAAAAAAACATGTATAGAAGAAAATAGAGAAAATATCAATTCCTTTCCTTCCCGCTCCAATAGTAAAAAAGAAAAAGAAAAGAAGACCCCCCCGTGAGTATGAACCGTCTGCACCGATGTCAAATGATAATGAGAATGATGAATCCTCCCAAGCAATGCACCAGGTATACACAGAGTATGTTGATCCAATTCACAGCTTTAAGAGATCCCAGATCCCAGCCCAGTTTCCTGTCCCAACTCCCTTTGCCTTGTCCTTCGTTTGTGCTTCCCCCTGTGTGGGTGGATTCGAAGGTTTTATTCCAGATGTCGTTTCATTTCGTTATTTATGGTATATGCCCGTTGGGCTTTTGAGTTTGGTGTTTGGTTTGATGTCACTTTTTGTGTTGTTGAGGTGTTGTGAGAGTAGTATATTGTTTTGGTCGGATATTGAGTGTGGTGGTAGTGACGATGATAGAAGTAGTGGTGGTGGTGTTACTGTTTCGAGAACAGATTTGACGACCCACAGGCCCACAGGTCCGGTTTCTCGTTTGTTAGAGATAAGCGAGCCAGATGCTTGGTCATTGCCTAGACCGGTATATCAAAAGTGGCAAGATACAGGACAAGAAAATGCTAGTATTGCGGTAAAGAGCAAAGCAAGAATATTTGTCTGCTCAAAAGACAAACAAATATCACTGTTCACTCAAAACCTCAGAAATAGCATTCGACGACAGCCCCCCATTTCCATTTCCAGTCTGGTCCCTAGGTTTGTCAGGCTGCTCCTCCTTCATGCAAGCATTCTCCAGAATGTTAGTCCACTTCCCGCTAGTGCCAGCATGACTATGCTTAAGATGTTGGCGGAAATGATCGGCTCGGAAGAACTTCTTCGCATTGTTGCATTCACCAAACTTATGCACAGTAGTCAAATGCTCAAAGCGGGCGTCCCAATCGGCAGATGGGAAATTGGGAAATTCTTCTCCGCAGTAGCCGCATGTATCATGCGAGGGACCGGCGTTTGTTTGGCATGATTGGGCGCCTGAGGCGTGGAACGCTGCTTGGAAGGAGACTAGAGCGGCGCAGGACCAGGAGTGGCGCCGGAGATGGAGGGAGTTTTGGTGGCGTTCCGCTTCGTTTTTGTTTTTGAAGCGGTTGTTGCAGTAGGCGCATGCGTATTGTTTTTCCATTTCGTGGGAGCTGTTATGTGTTAGTTGTTATGGACTTGCTTTGGCAGTGGGTTGGGTGGTTCTTACCGGAGGTCGTCTGGGTTGTCGAATTTCTTGGGCTTCTTTGGACAACAATCACAGATGAATAGGCCGCCCATTTTTGATGTTGTGGGTTTGGGAATGTTCAAGATCGTTGTTGGGACGGACAGTTTGCCGGTAGCATCCGTTGTCGGCGGTTCAAGAGAGGCTGGACCAGGAAGAGCCCTTGCAATCGTTGGCTGGACCAGAGCTGCAGGAGAGCTAGGGTTGAGAATTGATTTTTCGTGATACGTATCGAGATCAGAGCTCGTGGAAAAGCCGCCGGGAGATCGTTGGTCGTACGGCGAAAGGCTAGTCATGCTGCTACCCCCAATAGAAAGCGTAGACGAATAAGAGCCCGAGGTCCGGATGCTCAAAGATGAAGTAGCCGAGAGTGTCCGCTGGCTAATGGGATAATTGGGATTGACAGACAGCGTATTCGTGAATGGGTGACCGCTCGTTCTCCTCTGCGACAAATCGCCATTACTTGTTGCAACATGCAGCGTATGCCTCTCATCACTCAAAGGTTCCCGCGGGGGTGACGAAGCCCGTCGCTTCATGCCCTGCCTTGAATCCGGATACGGCGGAGTAGGTTCTCGAAGAATGAACTGGCGCGGAGGCACCGGCTCATCAGTCGAGAACTCCCCCTCTATATCCGAAAACACGCCATGGTCATAGCTTCCGCGGTTCGATCGGCTCGGTAAACTGATGCTGTCCTCTCGCGATGGTGTCGTTCCACGATGCCGCCGCCGTCCAATATCCCGCATTGATCCCTGGTCGTAGTCCAGCGCTGTTGATGGTGCGTTGCTTTCCACGCTTGGGCTTCGGCCTTCGAGATGTTCTCGCCATCCGGGCTTCGTCCTGGGCGAAACGCCCCCTGATTGAGGGCTGTTGTACCATTTCACGTCGAGTGTTGATCCTTCTGATGGTCCTGGTGATGTGAGATTGTTGGAGCCTCGTGATTGAACGGATGGAACGGTGAGTGCGGATAGTGATCCTCGGTTGTCTGTTCCTAAACTGATAGATCCCCGTGGCGAAAGAGGCTTCCCAATTTTCGATAATAGGTGTTGGTCGTATGCATTTGATGAATCCTTCACACTTCGCAGCGAAAAATCGCGTTCGCCACTCAGACTTTTAAGAAAATCAGTAACAAGAAAATAAAGGAAAATATTGTACGAAACTGAATGCGCAGTTTCGCGCATGCCACTTACACTGGACCTGGCAGATTCGTATTGATTGATATTAAACTGGGTAATCCCTCCGTGGCCGGAGGCTCAATATTAATCTGGGCTTTTGGGCTTCGCGATACAGGAACGCTCCGCCTCCCGTCACAATCATCGATTTGCATAGGATCACTCTGCGGCGCAGCCTCGGGTCGTCGATGGCCGCCCAGCAAGCTAGAATTTGGGTGAATAGGAGGGAGAGAAGTTGAAGAATCCGAGTTTGCGTGGTGCCAGCCAGCGTCATACCCGTTCTCCAGGTCGGGGATGCTTGGCGGAGGAGGCAGTGGTGGCGGAGCAGTGTTCATGATAGACCGAGAAGCTATAGGTAACGGGCCGTGCGAAGCAAAAGACAGCTCGGGCATAGCGGTTGAAGATCTGTCAAAAGTACGGCGATCTCTATGATCATGGAAACTCGAACGCGACGGTCGAAAGTCCATTCTAGAACCAGAGCTGAACCCGGAGAATTAATACGGGCTGGGCGTCATGAACCTAAGGTTGGAGGTCGACCTTGATGGCAATCGTAATAAGCAGGTCAAATCAAGATCCTTGCAGCAGTAACCCAATCCAGTTGAGTAAAAATGTCGGTCGTGGAACCAGCTCCGATTCTTAAGCGGGCCGTTAAGCTCACGATGGGAGTGTTGAAAGGCCAGCTTTTAGAAAAGTGAAGAGTGGCGCAAATTCTTAGTTAGGGCCTTCATGCAGTGCAAGTCTGTTTTCCAAGGTCAGATTATGTCAAAATTATAAACAAAAAACCGGGGGAAATAGGGCTGAAAAGAGGACCAACCTCGGGGGCGTGGGCGATTCGCCTCATATGAAACGTTTCCCGCTATAGTGACACACAATCCGGCCATGGAACCAGGAGGCGATTCAATGGCAAACCAGACTAGACGCGCACATGCTTATAGTAAAACCAGAGGACAAGGAAGGCTATGTAGGCAATTAGTGCCAGTATAAAAGAGCTCTTTAAATTCAGGCGCAGCTGAAGCCGAGGAGAAGCAGGCTGAGAGGAGCTGAGAGTGAGGCGTCAGGAATGCTAGATCAGAGAATGCAAGAATCGGTAAGTTAAGCAAGTTCAAGCAAGTCCAGAGGAGATCTCAAAGGGAGTCGACTAATGAGAAATGAAACAGCAGGTCTCGGACTTAAAGTGTTGGAGGGTGACGTGGTGGAGAGGCGACGGGTCGTATATGTAATGTTAGTTACCATACTGGTATTCCTCGTTACCCTGCTTTTCACTTCCCTGTAATTATATCGAATTTTATTATTTTCATTTCTTTGTATTTCCTTTTTTATTCTTTGGGTAAATTCCTCCCGCGTGGCTCACCACGTTGGATTGACACAAGGCTGGAAGACCCTCAGCCTTAAACGGACAGGCCGGCTCGTAATTTTGGCCCCTTTTCTGGTAGCTTGCCTTCTGTAGTTCCCAACTGCGCATTGCTTGGCTTTTCCAGAAAATGCCATTCCTCGGGAAGTGAAGTCCAGACCGAACGCTGATCTATACTACTCTATACTACCCCATAATCTTCACGTACGGGAAACCAACCAGAACATGGCAGTATGGCTCCCCGTGCGGTAAATCTGAGAGTGGGGGTTGTCACTCGTATATATTGGACGCCTCCTCAGTGTGACATTCCATGGTCTGCTCCTAGAAAGGGGTCACATATCGAGGTGAGCATTACCGAGGGCTGACAGAGACAAGGCCACAGGGCTGGAAATCCCTTTTCGGTAAAGCAACCGGGTCGGAAGTATTACTTGGAGAGACACGTCTCTCAACACCCATGGTTTAGCGGTGGCCAACTTGTAAAGAGAGAGGGGCACCAATGCGGAGTCACGCCTCTGTAAGAATGAAGTATAGATTGGCAGGGCCTTGAGCAGATTTGCAGCCAGTGACAATATACACCGGGGGCTTGGAAGTCTTGGCATTTAGGCTTAATATTCCCCGCCTGAACAGGTGAGCAGGGAATTGTGAAGCCATTCAAATGAGTAGGAGATGAAAACTTGACTATATAGTTCCAAGTTAGCTTCTCCCTCCGTAGGGCATACGGACCCAGATCGGAGTATTCGGATGAACACAGAACATTATTTTGCCTCCACACAAAAACGTAGACAAGTTGTACTTTGACCCACTGATTGCTAGTGTGGTCCACTTGGCGCCTAAGATTGCATGCACTGCCACACTGTCGGCTTGTCATTTGGGCGCAGGGGAGTGAACCTTCTTGTGTGAACATTCAAGAGACATGCGACATGCTGTGGAAAGTAGCAATTCCCTCAAACTGGCCCTGGGAAGTGCCTGGGTTTCTTGAAGACGAAATTGGAACGTTGGAACAAACCTCCAGGGCTGCAGGGAAGGATGAGTAATCCGAATCTCCACACCAGCAAAGCTTCCAGAACAAAAAAAATCTCTGAGCGTTTTCCTTTCCAAGGGTCTTATTTCGCTAAACCAGCTGCTGTACATGGAGGCTAGTACGAGGGGTGTAACGGGGAGGGGTTTCTGAGATCCAGAGCAAGTAAGCCCTATCACACGCATGTACGGCCCTGCCCTCTCCCTGTACAAGTACAGTATTCCATATCAGATCGCCTGACCGTGGGCTCTAATCCCAGCCTATCATGAGATTTGCTCAAAAGTCAGGCTCCAGTACATGTACAGCGTACAGCGTGATTGTACGATCGTACTTCCCGTACGGTGTCTCCACAGACTCATTTTCGAGAGAGTGGCAGTGAGCTTGGCATACAGTCCAACACACTGCATTGCTTCATTACATTGAACCATTGTGGCGGGTTAGTCACTAGTGCAATAAAGTTTCCTATCCCTCGATCGTCGCCGTCAAGTCCCAGCTTGGGATCCAGGAGGCGAGACACCCTCTTCATTCAAAGACGTCACCACTCTTTGGCTAAGCTCCAGACTCCATCGCAGTGCGTCTGTTCTGCATCTCGTTTTAGGAATGATCAGGCAAATACTCCAGCACTAGTAAAAAATTACAGAGGCATCAGGCATCTAAATCTGGTCAAGGCACCCATGGACCCTAGCTGGCACAGCCTGTCAGCAAGCCCCTAGAGAAGATCGGGTGCAATTAACCGCATCACCTCCTGAGGCGCAGCCAGCCTTAAGCCCTAGAGGGCTGCAGCCTAGCAGTGCATGTCACTCGTCGCCCAGATTATGACGCGACGCCTGCTCCTCTGTGGCTGCCCTGTGCTTCGTATGTTCCGTATGCTCCGTATATGACTTCGAGTCACAATCGATATTCCTTCTTTATTACCGGTCTCAGTCAGCCTGTGGGTTCCCCGCGGTGAGTCCACAGTAACACTGACTTCGCCCTTGATTCATCTGTGATGACCCTTGCAGCTGTTGTAACAAATCAGCTTTGAGCATGGTCAGGTTCAGTGTTTGATGTGTGTCGGGAATAAATCACGCTCCACTTGCAGCGTGAAGCGCTTGGCTAGGCTTCTCGTGTATTTTCCACGTCCAATCATGCTAAATTCGGTACTTGTGTGTGTAGTTGTAGGTGTGCGTTACGACGGTGTTAGTGGCGGGCCGTCGGTGAGGGGTCTAGGTTGAGCGCCCTACACGCCCTATATTGAAGAGGGGGCAGTGAGTCGAAGGAATGACTGTGCGCAACTAGCTTGAAGAATCAGATATCCTATCATGTCTTTCTATCGCATGGAAAGACCCTGAGAAGAGGGCCTATACAAACCATCCCCAAAATGTGGAGCCCCTCATACAGTGGGTACTCTGGAGTTGGAGTGCCAGATCAACCCATACATTGCAGATATGATATTCTCAAGGAAGCTACCGTCAAAAACAACAGCACATATTGCAAGTAATGGGGATGTTTCTTTCACCAAGCCTGGCTTCGCAGAGGTGAAATAGAGGACAGACCTGAAACTCTGCCTGAGGCATCGATGTCACCTGCTTTGTCATACCCTTGCCCTATCAGACTTTTTGAGTTTGGCAGCGCCGAGGCTCAACCTCCTCGTCCAAGTAGGAAAGCGTCGACTTCACTCTTAGAGCGCTGACTTCTTTTTGCTTTCTTTTGCATGACACTTTTGTCTCTATCTTCCACATTCTTTCTTTGCTGTATATTGCAGCACCATTCAAAATGGCCATGAATCAAATCAAAGGCCACAACATCTACGTTGGCGGGTTAGTACTTTGTTGATTAGATATCACAACAACATATATGTCCAAAGCAGGGCTGGCAATCGATGCTACCAATCAATATTGCCAGTACCGTGTTTGGCAATTGATTTGACGTTCTGACCGCCAAATATAGTATATTCTGCTTGAAAAACAAAGCAGCAATGGCCCGAGCAGATATCTCCCATGTGCTATCAGTGCTACGGCTGAGCCCATCAGAGGAGACTTTCGAGGGCTATGAGCATCACTCCATAGGAGTTGATGATACTGATGAGGATAATCTATTGGAACATTTCCCCGCTGCCATCAAGTTCATCCAAGCCGGTCTAGACACCGGCCGTGGTGTCCTCGTACACTGGTGAGTCAAAACACATCATATCAATCTTTCATTGGTCCTTCCCTTTCCTTTGATCTCGATCGATCCCTATCTTTCATTGGATGTGAGCTATACTTGTGGCTTCATGCCTCCTACGTCATCACATGTCTATCAATCACGATCTACACGTGGCTGGAGTTTTCTACAAATCCCAGGGTGCATGATGGAGCCTTTTTTTCTGGACAGTCCCGAGCCGGATCAGATTTGCTCAACATAGTAAGATGTACAGTGACTGATGTGATGATCCAGTGCGATGGGGAAGTCCCGCTCCGCAACCATTTGCATCGCCTACTTGCTCCACCGCCAACCGGGTGCGCTCACACCGCAGTCTGCCCTTGCGCTGGTCCGCGAAACCCGGCCCCTCTGTGAACCCAACGATGGCTTCATGGAGCAGCTCGAGCTGTACCATGAGATGGGCTGTCCAGATGATGTCACCGATCATCCCTTGTACCAACGCTGGCTGTATCGCCGCGACGTCGAGGATAGCGTGGCGTGTGGCCGAGCCCCAGAGCTAAAGTCGGTGCGATTCGAAGATGAGCAGCCCATGCGATCCCAAGAAAGCACTGGTCAAACAGTTGAGATCAAATGCCGGAAATGCAGGTTAGTTCCATCCCTAACCTAGATTTTCGAGAATCCTTTGCACTGAGACACGGACCAAATCCGCTAACCTTATATCCACAGACGCAAATTGGCAACAACCCCATTTATCATTCCGCATGAACAAGAAAAGCAACAGAGCGCCAAGATCAACCCGTCCGCTAACTGCGGTCATGTATTCCTTCACCCCCTGACGTGGATGCGCCCGAGTCTCTTCCCATCCGAGAATGCATCCGAGCCTGCCGCCGACGCAACCTACGGATCCCATCCAGATGATGCTCCCCTCTCTGGTCGGCTGACTTGTCCCAATCCTGTCTGTGGGGCTAACATCGGTAAATTCGCGTGGCAGGGAATGCAGTGCAGCTGTAACCATTGGGTTGTGCCTGCAATCGGTCTTGCCAAGGCGCGGGTTGACATTGCAAATCAAGTGAACGTTGCCCAGGGCCCAAGAGCTAATCCTGCGATCCGTCTTCCTCCGAGCATGCGGGCTCAAAATTCCAATGATACCGGGCGTGGCAATCTATGAGGATAGGCGACGAACATCATATGCTTAAATAGAATTACGAGTCATGACAGTTTAACCTCAACTTCTACATACTGTTTCCTTGCTTCATTGTTTTATCCGCTTCGTCGGAAGCCGAAAAGAGTTCACTGGTCTTGTCATTTGCTCATGGGGGTATATCTCAAGCTGGGGGTGATAGTCCACAAAGTTCACAGCTCGACTTCCAGACTGTCAACAAGGCAACCAAGAATTTAGTGCTTCCCGCGCACCCCATGACGAATGACAGACAGACTGTCATGGCTAGTATTTCCTTCCGACTATGGAAATTCAAACAGGCATTCAGCAAAACTCAAATTGAAGCTCGAAACACCGCCTCAACATACCAGGCTGACAGATCTCCCCTGTCCATCCCATGATCTACAAAAAGCCATAAACCTAGAAACACACACTAGGCAACACACCCAGCGGCTCTGCTGACGTGCCCCTGGTTCCGTGTCCCCTTGATAACGGAGAAACCAAGGCATCAGCCCACCGAAATATCAAAAACATACCCACGGTGAAGAAGAAGTACTATACAAGTAGTACCCAAGGCATGCCACGCCACGTCCGCCTCCGCCTCCGCCTCCGCCTCGGATCTTCATCGTCTCACAAGGCAAAAGAAAACAAAGCGAAACCCGCGCTACTAAATCCAATTCCAGATACTGTACAGTGCTAGAGTCACACCACAGTCGGCGATATGAGACGCAACCAAAGCCCCATTTTGAATCGTACATTTAAATGCATGAGCATGTGCGTGTACATGGGCATACAGTCCTGCGCATGTATACTCCCAACGCTATGGCTACCATCTATATGAAACGTGAAACGAGACTCAACCCTCGAAGTGTACTTTACTGTGTGTGTGAGCGAATAGGAACAAGCATATTAGGCTTAGTCGCGCGCCAAGAAATATCACAAACGCATTCTCCACACTGTCAGAAAAGGGATCAGCGGAAGGGCAGAAAAGACTGTCATTTCAGTCATTTCCCCTGCCGACCAATTCCAAGGTTTGAAGGAGGCTGTGCAAAGCGGGTCTGTTCCTCCAGAGCCCGATTGGTTGGTGTTGTGTATTGGAAATACGGGTATTGTCCTTGTTTGTTTGTTACTGTCTCTTTCACTTGTTTGGCTTGTTTGCTGGGGATCGATCTGGGTGTGATTTGGGTAGCCCTATGTGCTAACGTCGGTCTGGTATTCACTCGTATTTGTTCCTTTGGTATGCTGATCTTTCCCTTCTTTCTAGATATATCATATATACTTGCAAGTATTTTAACACATTCTCCCTCTCTCATTGGCAGCCCTTCTCTGGTGGGGGTGGGGCAGTGCACTGCCTTGCAGGGGGAGCTCCCGGTGGAGTGTTCCTTTCTGGGCTGGTCTGGTCTGGATACAGATCCATTTTCCCTTTCTTTCTTTGCGTCATTGTATATTTTGGCGTTGGATGGGGTTGGGATCGCTAGTCGATCGCTGAGTATGTTACTTTGTTTCAGGTTTGTCTGGGATTGGGCTTGAGCGTGAGCTTGGTTGGTTGTTGGTTGTCGGGCAGACAGTACGGTAAGTGCTGTTGGCGCTGACTTTGGGTGTGATTGGGTTGCTAAGTTTCGATTTGTTTCTTTTTCCTTCAATCATCAATCTTAGAAAGATGTTTTACTTAATTCTATACTACAGTAAAGATGCTGGTTGCTGGCTAGTATGCTGTATCTGGTAGACAGCATGATGTACAACAGTACCGCAGCCTTGTGCTGCTTCGTCGCTCCTCGTTCACTGAGTTGATATCTTTAATTATAGACTGTGTACGCGTATTAATAGAATCGTCAGCGATGACTCTCGGGGTTGGTTTCTTTTCAAGTTTTGTTCAATTTGGCAAAGGTGCATGACAGCAGATCTGAAAAGAGCATAGTAAATGCCTGACTCGCATCTCTACACATGCAAGACGCAGATTTGAGTCTTCCTTGATTCGTTACTCAAGTTTCGCGCTACCAAGTAGCTAAAAGATCTAGTGCACATAGTGCCGGCTTAGTCGGCTGTTAGGCTTCTATGGGTATCCATTATCTAGACTTGCCAGGCAGCACCCAAATTACAATTTGGATTCGGTACTTTGTTTCGGTAGTAAAGGAAGAAATCTGGTTATCAATTTGTACACGGTATTCATTTAATTATAGATTCCTGCCTTGCCAGGCTGCTCCGAATTTAATGTGGAGCAGGAAAGCAAGTTATTATAGTGTATCTTTTTAGATAAGTGAGCACTAACTAATGTGCAAAGGATCAAGTCTACGACCAAATGCAATCTTGCTGCGCACCGAACTTTACAAAGTGGGCCTGAATCCGAAGTTTGGATTGACACAACCTTGAACAAGCTACATGATCAAGGCAGGTAGGACTGGCTTGCTTGAGCTTTCTGCTGGTGAGCATATTGTACACAGATAGCGCTTATAAATGAAGAGCTTAGAGATATGGATTGTGGGTTTTAAAGGGATTGAAGACTTAGAGTTTTTGTGATGACGAGGTGATGAAGATGTCGGTGTATAATCCTGAGATGGGGGTTATAGGATCGCGTAAGGCGCGATTGACACACACTAAATGAATTTGAGCGCGCGAAGCGTGTCAAAATCGGTTGAAAATATCGCGGGGATACCCCGAGCCGAAAATAGGGTGAACATACTACTACTTTGTATGAATTGAGGGTAAATACCAAAGAAAAGATAATCTTCATCCACGTATATCATGCGCTATACCCATAATGAACCAGTGGAACAGATAGGTCTGGTCATAGAAAAGAAAGCGAGAAAAAAACATTGAGCAGCATAGATAGAAGTACTTAATTCACAAGCTGGTGAGTCGGAAAAGGGTAGCAACAAGCAGAGTGAGAAACACGCAAACTAAGCCCCTGAATATCTTGTTTTCCAGGCGATTGAGATCGAGTTGTCCAGGTATATCAGCTGGTTATAGCCCAAATTTCCGATCAACCAGTTCCGTATATCGTTGAAGTAGACCCAAACATGATCTTTAGTGGGGGATGCATAATACACCACGATAGCTCGGTGTCCTTCTGGAACCTCTCCGCTATAGGCACTATAATATCTGCTTGGTGGGCTTACAATAATCGAGCACATTGTTGAGTGGCCCGAAGTCTTCTATGTAGCTTCCAATGCCCATTGTCTTCGTATCGCTACCGTTTCTATCTTCCACCGTGCTGTCTCCCGCCAAAGCCTGTGCTGCTTATGGTTCTGATCTAATCCTGCGACGATGTTTTCCCCAAAATTTTCGGCTAGAGGTCTGTGATTGAAGAAGATTCTCGTGTGGTGAATTTGAGCTGCAGCCATTTTTGAATAGCAGTCATTAATGACAAGCAGTGACCAGCGTGTGTTGACATCGAGGTCAGCGAGACACTCTGCAATTGCTCGGGCCAACCATGCCATGCTATACACCATATCAAGAAGATTGACAAGTCTCTACGCGTCGCCCATTGGGGACCTCCGTGTGTTTTGGGGTGTCATTTCAAGAACCCCAGCTACTACCAATATTTTTACCACCTTTTAGTTCATTTTTTAAATCGTTTTACTTGCTTTTTTTGTACTCTTCAAATACGACGTGTTCTACTAATCAGTACTATATAGATCTACTCCTAAAGAAGTGAGCTACACTTAACTTCCTATATACTAAATCTTCTAAGCTCTTCACGCCTTAAACACAGCAAGCGAATAGGCCACACAATTGCGCGGCCGGTCAAACTTGTCGAGTAAAACACAAAATAGAACCTACACAGCCCCCTTTTTACACCGGAAACCGAAGCAAGCCCTCCATCTCCAAGAATAGAACAAGAGGGATATAATTCCCATGGCCTACCTTACCTGACCTCGCATGACATGATGTATAATGCATTCATTCCATAAGAAAATAACCCGCTCAAGCCTCAGCCATGCATGACAGCCTATGCGCTACGCCACTGCAGTACGGCACTAGCGGTTCCACGAAAAATAAGCTAGGGAACAAGGTAGTCTACTAGGGCTGACATGGCCTCCAGCAGGGGTTCGTGAGCTTCGCCTCAGTCTACAAGTAGGGTCCGCTTTAGTGCTTATTTACCCCCACTCTGTCAGAGTCATAATACACCATGATGATCACCGGCTGAAAATGAAACTAGGAAGCCTAGATTAGTATCGTGTTGTAATACATCAAGATCGCTTTTGTTTCTCGGGCAAAAAACCAGAACTGGCTTATGTTGCCTAGGCAGTTTGATCTATATTTGGAGCTTGGCTTTACGAATACGCGGGTAAAGTAGGGTATGATTGCTGAGGATAGAGTCTGAGCGTTTTGCCTGTGCATCCTGCAGGATCTGGAGCTCGGATTCAGATTTTGGGTTGGGTTATTGTGTATGTGCCCGAGGAATGGTGCCTTGCGCATTGACAGGACCGATACGACATCATGGATCTTTGTGAACGCTGATTGCTGGGCGGGGGATAAATTGGTAAATCGTTCGCAAATGATTGCTTCGAGAATTTGTTAAGGTATAATGGTATGAGGGTTCGTGATTTAATACTTCCCGTTTAGTTGCATCTGCTACTCTCCGCAACCTGACCGAGATAATCGTTCACCTGGGAGATAGTTTAAGATCCCAGCATTATTTCGATAGATATTCACAGCCAGTCAATATCCATGATACTAATCGTATGCATTGTATCAATCTGAGCCCAAGAGGCAATGTTTGATCATTCGACAGGCATATCATATTGGCTGTGTCATCTCGCGACAAGGCAAAAAGCCAATAGTTAGACGGGAGCAGTAAGTGACTAAGGGTTTCCAGATGGCACAGAGGGAAACAATGAGGGGTTCTTCAGTCTTTCCTGATTCCGCTTTCCCAGTTCAATATTGCGTAACCGGTCAATGCGCATCTGATAGAAATTTCTGGAACGCACTTAGAATCAGCAGCCATATCATAGCTAAGGGTTGTTTAGAATCCCTACTTGTGCAAAGCAAAAACACGAGGTGAATCGTCCGTTTTCTTTTCTGGTTCAGTGCCCTTCTGAATAGAAGCAATCTTTCAACTGTCAGCTAGCAAAGAATACAGCATTTGATAAATACTTACCTTTTCATCCCTCTCCTTTTCATCCTTTGTCTCTGAAACATTGGGGTTTTCCTTGTCTTTCTTCTCTTGATCGTCTTTGCTTTTAGACTCCTTTTCTCGCTCTTTCTTTCGTCGCTGCTTCTCCTCGTACTCATTTTTGACCTTTTCAATTTCTTTGGCCATTGCTTCTTCTTTGGCACGCGCTGCTTGGCCTTCTGTGTCGATTATTGGTGAACAGAAGTGCCGGTCTTGCAGGTGTGCGGGGCACACGTAGAAGAAGTCCTGGAGTGTGAATTAGTGACTTGTATGCATCATGACTGAAAGATGCTTGAAATAAATAGCAGTGTGATTCTCGCTGGCTTTGTCGATATTGGCATACCTTGTTGTCTGGAGTGATCATTACGCTGGTTGATGGCTTATAGCAAATCAGGCATGCTTTTGCGGAGGTATCCGCCACGCGGCGCACATGATAGACATTTGTTAATGACATTGCGCAAGGGTAAGCGTCTGCAACTGACTATCTGGGTAGTTTTTGGATTCTTGTTGCTGCCCCGATACGTGTCAGGGGATTAGTGTGGTTAGCTTGTTGAGGTGACTTGAATAGGCCTGTCATGTGACCCATACTTTGGAGCAAATGATGTTGATACTGTAGATGCGGAACTTTCTACGAGCTGCAATTGAAAATAAATAAAGGCAATCTCATAATGGAACAAATGGTAATGGTTCACTAGCTGGATGATATTCCAGCCCGTCCATGCCTATCTTGATAGAACGCCAATCCATGCATCTGTCCACTAAGACCCAACGGGACAGTACTACCAGGAACAATACATGAGATTTTGTATGAGAAATCATAAAATATAGTGAGCATTAGAAAACTGGAGAAAAAAAAACCAACGATCATTGATCATAATGACTCCTCTGCATCAATAGCAGCTGCCTCTCTGGCCAGTCTCAAGTCCTTGCCTACGACACCAATGTCCCGCAAGTAAGGTTTAAAGGCTGTCAATAGGTCCTTCAGACCGCCTCGGAGTGTGTCAAGTACCAGCTCCACGTCGGGCACCTGGCGAGCCTTGGCCTGCGCCGTAGGGTCACTAGAAGAGGGGAAGTCGACATCCGTCCAGTGAGCATCCAAACCACCCTGGTGAACAAATGTATCCAGTGTCAGAATAGTGTCAGTGAAAAGACGCACTGTAGGAGGTATGTCAGCCTGAACTTTGCCATATGGGTCTTCAGCCAAACTGGCAATCAAAAGCCGAGTCAACGACTCTACGGCATCCACAATAGGGGACACAGAAGACACGGGGGCACCGAGGACAATTGAGGAAAGACGTTTGGCGTAGGTTTGTTGGAGAGGTCGGCCAATGGGCGAACGAAGGAATTGTGCAAGCAACGGGTTGATGTCCTCGGGCTTGTGAGTACTGGATGGACCTCCGGTCAACAGCTTCATCCTCTCGGAGGAACCGAGCAATCTTTGTTTCCGCTCGGGACTGAAAACAGCCGAGGATGCTTGACTGAAAGCATCGCGCATACGGGCCCGTGCAGTTGGAGTCCAGTCTTCGGAATGACCAAAAGACTTGGCCGTTGAACTGAACGCATCACCGAACTTGTCCTGTCGGGAAGTGGCCTGGGGAGCAGCAGAAAAAACGTTTTGGTCTGTAAGAGGCTCGGTGAGACGTGGAAGATTTTGAAGAACAGGATCCGATGGCCTGGCTTGAGGAGGTGCCTGGGCAACAGGAGCGGGCTTCGTGATTTGCTCAATCCGGATGGTGACACCCTTGATCACATCTGTGAGGCTAACCAAAACCTGAGACCAGGTCGAGCCATTCTCGCGATCAAGTTCACTGAAGATCGCCTTACGCCGCTCGGGGGTGCGCTGGCTGATCAAGCCGAGCTCCCAGAGAGCGAAAGTCTTCACGATTTCTTTCTTTGCGCTGAGGCCATTGAGAAGGCTGCCATTGGGATCCTTGGCGTCTGTTGTGAGTGGCTGACCCCGCTTCAGAGGCTCCTTGCCAATAAACACCGAGAAACAGAGATTGGCAGTTTCCCAGAGGGTAACAAGAATCGCCCCAGTGTACAGCGTCCGGAGGACCGTAGTAATGGGCTCTGGAGGAAAGAACCCCTTGACATCGGCTGCGGACCTTGGGAAATCCGCATAAGTCCGGGCGAAGGCAAAAAACCAGCTCCAAACGGTCTGGCGGAGAAAGAAGAGGTACACAGGAACAGTGACACCGGCGGTGATTGCACTCCTCGTAGCTCCATCCCGCAATGTTTGCATCCAAGTTCTCTGTAAATACTTGGATGTCTGCTGTACCGGGTGAACGCGCTGATCGTTTGTTCTGGAGCTTCTATCTGCGATGGGCAAAGTGACACGGTCATAGTCGGCGTACAGGTGCCATGCGGCCTGCATACATGCGAGGGAGAAGTGGTAGAAATGGAGGTAGATCGGTCTTTCGTTCATCGTCACTCGCTCGGGTACTCTATATTTCATTAGCCCAATATTGGTATGATTTGCAGGCGTTGAACATACCTGCCCCGTTTCACGAGCTGAAGGTCACTATCGGCAGAACAAGACCAAATATAGATCTGAGTGAACCACCAGGCCGAGAAGATATACCAGCCAAATGTTTGCGCAATTTGGAAGAAAGTGAACTGCTTAAGTGTGCCAAAAGACGAGGCGGATGTTCTGGAGCCGATGTGCATTTGACTGACGCGAAGGACAAAGACTGTGAGGCAAGAAAGGAAGAGCATTGCGGTTCGGATGCCGCAGGTTCCAATGGGAAACCATAGCCAAAACCCTGTGTCAATCACAATTGTTAGCTATCTCAGCTCTCGGAGCAATCAGCCAAGCCTCGAAGCTTAACTCAATAAGATCCTAGGATACTTACAGGATGACTTATTCCCGATGACAATCGCAACGATGTAACACACTAGTAAGGAAAGTGCAGACGCATGGACGAATCTTCGGTGCAGGGCCGAGGTCAGGATTCGCCTGTATGGCCGGGTTCGAACAGCGGCCATGATGCAAGCTTTGGGGTGGGATGCGCTCGTGAAAGAGAATGTGAGAAAGATTAGAGCATGGTCAGACTGATGATCCTAGGGGAAGCCTGGAAGCTGCGGAGTAGAATTGGCAAGCCAGCGACAATTTTGACGGAGAGCCACGGCTGACAGCAGGTTGGGTTGAGCTAGTCGGAATCACTGAACGGCCAAGTCAATGATGGAATATTTTGAGGCATCAAAACACACCAGCCACACATGTCATGTGATGTGTGGCACTGGAGTATTGAGCCACATGTACTAGCCTAGTCGGGACTAGTTGGCTCCGGTACGTCATGTGAGGGCGGTCTGCCGGCGAAGGCAGCAGGGACCTGCAGATAGCTGCTTTCTTATCCAGTCTCGTTCTACCTTCATTTTTGACATTCATTACTTTGTCGTACTGTCGTCATGTCTTTTGATCGCCTCGACTCGCTGGAGGCCCAGCCTACCACTATGCGCAGGGAAGAAGACCCGCAATACCGTGACGATCCGGGCTTCGATCATCTGGCCGAGTCGCTCTCGGATCAGTTATTTACATTGACGTCCAACATTTCTCGCCTGTCTAACCAGATCGCCCTTCTTGGAACCAAGCGAGACACCGAACGTGTGCGCGAACGAGTTCATAATCTCTTGGAGGAAACCCGTGCGGGGTTCAAGGATGTAGGAGAAGGGATCAAGAAGGTGCAGACCTGGGAAGATGTGAACGTATGGCTCGGCTTACTTCCTCGTTTTTTGAGCCCTTTCAAACTGACTTGCACTGTACTAGCCCTCCCAGAAGTGGACCCAGCAGAAGCTATCGTCTGAATTCAAGGCCACCCTGGATGAATTCCAAACAGTCCAACGCAGGGCGCTTGAGAAACAGCGTGCTTCGGCAGTTGCTGCCCGTACAGCAGCTGAGGATGGTGAACACCAATTAATCGACACAGATGTGCAACTTCAGGAGCAGCAATTGGAAGAACAACACCGTATGGCCAACCAAGGTGAAGTGGACTTCCAGGAGTCTCTTATCATCGAGCGTGAGACAGAGATTCGGAACATTGAACAGAGCGTGGGAGAGCTGAATGAGCTTTTCCGGGATGTTGCGCACATCGTCACTGAACAAGGAGGCCAGTTGGATATTATCAGTGAAAATGTCCAGAACGTCACTCAGGACACCCGGGGCGCCAATGTCGAGCTTCGCAGTGCCAGCAGATACCAAAAGAATGCCCGCAACAGGGCATGCTGTCTTTTCGTTATTCTTGCTGTCATCCTTCTTATCATCGTTCTTGCAATTGTCCTTGGTTAATTGCGATACCTATGGCTCCTTTCGTTCTTGCTTTCCATTCGCCATGCAATCCTTGTCTTTCTACCCTGTCATGTATGCGCACTATATCCCTCTTGCATATTTCTCTTCGGTTTTCGTTTTGTTGGTGATGCTCCTGGTCTTTCTAGCTTATGAATTGATTCGCAACCTTCAATGCAAATGAAATGGAGAATATTCGATTCATTGTTGACCTTCAATGCTCCAGTACGTTATCTTACAGAACTCAATGTTGTTATACATGCATAATACACCCAATCGGGTCCCAAATCCTGCCTATGCTCCATTATCGCCTTTCTATGTGCAGCGGGAGTCTATCCCAAGTCTCCAGTGAAATGTTCATAGGCCAGTGAAACGGTTGAACCTCAACCTCCAGCCCTCATAAGTGTTCAACTTAGGCCGGACATCCAGGAAAAAGCTTAGCTTTCCAGGACCGGCATTACCTGCCAGACCCGGGGTTTCACTGTTTCCTGTTGGCTTACCCTGGTAAAAGTCGATTACATACTCGATCTTCTCACCTCCACATCGTTCAACGACCCAGTCGTGGCGATCGAATGGATGCTGGTAGCCAAGCCACCCATTGATCCGCGCACGCGGACTTAGGTACTGTGGATCGACACCCAAGCCGCGGAAGGAATATAACTTGGGTCCTCCGCATTTCGAGCTTCCGGGGTCTGCTGAGGGGCCCTTTTTCTCCCATTCGAGGATCTGGTTCCATGCACGCTCATTGACGGCGTTGTGGATTGGAATGATCGAGGCCACGGAGGTCGCAAGCTCAGAGGCGGTTTCGGTAGATCCGGGGGTGTTTCCTTTGCGCATCAATGCCTCAAAGAATTGTTTCTCAGATGGGTAGATCCAGTTGCCGGTAGCCTCGTCACGGCCAGTCTCGGATTCGGCATTGGACGGGCTGCCGTGCGAAGCAGCATATGGAGATGGTGCTCCCTTCTTGGCCTCGGGGCAGGCGCTGTCGGCGCTAAAATCACCAGCTCGGGGTATCGTGCTGACTTCTCGTTCTGTTGATAGTGGTCGTTGGGATTTAGCGCGTGTTTGGCCCTGACCAGTAGAGGCCTGTCGGTCCTCGGAATCCGAGGGATGCGGCGATTTTCCATTTTGCTGCAGCCAGATCTCACGGGTTTTGTGATCAACTGGGCATGTTGCAGGTGGCTCAGCAGCAGGAGTACTTGCTCCGGCTCCCATTGTTGAATAATTGGACGTTATTGAGTGAATGATTGATCGGCGCATCAGCAGGAACTAGAGATATTTTGCCCTCACCGCCTGGCCAAACAATATTATCGTTGATCCCCCAACCAATTCTCCCCTTTTGTTCATTTGGATATTTCTCAAATTTGTTTTTCTCCCCTGAAATTATAATGGCTGCTTCTAACGAGTCCGTTTACCGGGCTACCACCACTGCCCCGGTCAATATTGCCGTCATCAAGTAAGTTGACCTCAATTGCCCCTCACTGCCTGTCAGTTCTAATCAAAGTATCAAGATACTGGGGCAAGCGTGATACTACTCTCAACCTTCCCACCAACTCTTCTCTTTCGGTTACTCTGTCTCAGCGTTCTCTCCGTACCTTGACCACCGCCTCTTGCTCTGGTAACTTCCCCGCCGAGGACACCCTGAATTTGAACGGCAAGCCACAGGACATTCAGTCCTCCAAGCGCACCCTTGCCTGTATCTCCAGCCTTCGCGCCCATCGCAAAGCCCTCGAAGATGCCGACACCTCTCTCCCCGCTCTCTCGACTCTCCCTCTCCGTATCGTCTCCGAGAACAACTTCCCAACTGCCGCTGGACTGGCCAGCTCCGCTGCTGGATTCGCAGCTCTGGTTCGTGCCGTTGCTGACCTCTACGAGTTGCCCCAATCTCCTAAGGAACTTAGCCGCATTGCCCGTCAGGGTTCAGGCTCTGCCTGTCGCTCTCTGATGGGCGGCTACGTCGCATGGCGCACCGGCGAGCTTGTTGACGGAAGTGACAGCTTGGCTGAGGAGGTCGCCCCCGCATCTCACTGGCCTGAGATGCGCGCCCTAGTTCTTGTTGTTAGTGCCGAGAAGAAGGATGTTCCTAGCACAGAGGGCATGCAGACCACCGTTGGAACATCCGCTCTCTTCGCCGAACGGGCACAGAATGTTGTTCCCCAGCGCATGACCGCCATTGAAACTGCAATTCGTGACCGCAACTTCCCTGACTTTGCTGAGATCACCATGCGTGACTCCAACACCTTCCACGCTACGTGCCTTGACTCCTGGCCCCCTATTTTCTACATGAACGACGTCTCTCGTGCTGCCGTCCGCCTTGTTCACGATATTAACCGTGTTGTTGGCCGCACTGTTGCTGCCTACACTTTCGACGCCGGTCCCAATGCCGTCATTTATTACGAAGATAAGGACTCTGAGCTCGTTGCTGGAACCGTGAAGGCCATCCTCGGCCCTAAGGCTGAGGGCTGGGACGGTGCTTTCTACGACAGAATTGCCAACGTCACTGCTCCTGGAGTTCCCCTGGACCAGGTTGACCCCCGTGCTGTTGAGGTTCTCAAGGACGGTGTGAGCCGTGTCATTTTGACCGGTGTTGGAGAGGGTCCTGTCAAGGTTGACACTCACCTTGTCAGTGAGACTGGAGAGATCCTCAGCTCCTAGACGGTGCTGAGGTGAATAATGGGCCATATTGGCCATTCTTTTGGAAGGTTTGATTACCTGAAAGATACCCTATCGTGCTTTTACAACTTTGCATCTGACCAATTCAACTTGGCCATATGAAATTGATGCAGATATTTTCTTCACTGTATCGTCTTCGGTTTTTGGGACTATCTAGAACATAATAATACAACATGAGCGTGGATTTTACGATCATATACATAAATGACTATCATAGACGTAACTACAGACAACTTGCAAATCGATAAAACATCCCTTCATCTCGAAATATCCATAGACAACCACTTCGCAAGTTCTTCGTCCAAAGAAGCATGGCAATCAGCATGAGCCACAATCATCACAGCGCCGGAATCCATATCCAAGGGTATTACAAGCCTGAATAAATCTGTTCTGCTGACTCCCAGCATAAACACAACAACCAGCAAACCCGCACCCACTTTCACCATAAGAAGCACCGGTATGATCACACGCATAGCGCGAATGTTCGGAACTGCCCGCACAAGAGCATTTGATAGATGGTGTCACCGCTTGAGCGGGTGCAAGAGCTCTCGCGCCCAGGAGGACAACAAGAATGCCCCAGATATGGAGATGCATCTTCTATATGTATGTATGTGCGTTGTCAGATCCAATCTGGTTGTGTGTATCTGGAGAACTAACTCAGCAGCTTGGTAATTCAACCGTTCTTGTCTAATGTTGTTTCTGGTTTGTCTAAAAGCTGCGGAATGTATTCATTTTTATACATTACTGGGCTTTTAGTCATTGTCGTATCCTTTGTAGTTGATTTGGCTGCTGGATACACGGCAGTTCAATGTAACGTCTTCGTGTCATCATAGCAAAGAGTCATGGTCGTTGTCCTACTTCCTCGAGATGAAAGCGCCTCATTGCGTGTTGAAGCTGGGATATACCCCGTCGTTAGAGATAACCAGAGACTATCCTGGTACCGTGTCCACGATTTAAATAGTATATTCTTTGAGTTCCATATAACTGCACGTTACATGCTACTTTGGAAGTCATATCTGCAAATTTGACTGAGTTGCAGGATGTAGCGCCAACAAACAATTTTTCGGGTTATTTTGTCATAAATTCAGAGTGATGAATCGAGTCACTCCTCAAAGCCTCGGGATATATGTTAGATCGTCTAAATGCCTTTTGCTCTACGTGAATGGCCCTCCAAAACCCAATTTCAGAAGACATAGATATATCTGTGGACCTTCCCCCATAGATACCAGTTCTTGGTTCGCAATTTACGCAAATCAACTTTTTCCTGCGCTGACTGACCAAAAAAATCAATCTAGTGTGGCTTTTACGAGCAAGGAAGATGCTTATTACAGGATTGCTCAACAGTGTGTTGCATTGTGACAGTATAGGTCTAGAGTCATAGACAAAACCAGGACACCCCGACAAAAGAGCCGGACGCCCAACGCTGAAAGCATCAATGAAAACTTGAGGATAGAGTTTCCTTATCCTGTGCTAGTAGTCGGGTAAGACTTGTCCTGCACACGGCATGGAAATCCCTTGAATATCTGCGTAAGGCTGGACATCTCCCAACTTAGTCTACGTCAGGGTATCCTAGCACCGATACGAACCTTGCAAGTACGTAGGAGTATTCACCGAGTGTACATGTCCGTAGAATAGAGTTGAGTATAGAAGCAACTTTTCATTTCGATAATGGATATATGTAAATGATATGGGCTATGCCAACTCACAACGTCAAGCCAGCAAAGACGACCTCTTCATTTCCTTGACGATAGGGATATCCTTGACACGCGCGGTACCTCCACCCTGCACAATAGCAATACTTTCAGCCAGGACTCCGTTGCCTCTACCACCATAAATAGGCGGCATGGAAGGCTCATCGGGGTTCTCCTCTTCATCCTCATCCTCATTTTTCTTCTTCTCCACGACAGGGACCTCGAATACCTCGTCTCGGCAGTCTGCACACATAGTAGAAACTTCCAGCAAAGCCTTTTCAACAGCGGCTGCGCGCTCACGCATGCCACGGCGCAGAAGCGCGTCGACAAGGGTTTCGGTCTCTGTCACGCTCGAATTGATCCGTTCCATAAGTCGTCGGATACTGTTGACCAGGTACTCCTCCTCGTATACAGTGCCCTTCTTACCGCGGGCCCGCTTGCGCTCTTCACGTCTGCGCGTCTTCGAGGTGTAGCGGGTCATGCCTGTCTTGCCGGTCTTTCCGGTGTTGCCAGTGTATCGGGTGAACATGGAGCGACCAGCAAGAGTCGATGCATCTGTTGGAGCCAAAGACACGTTGTCAGGGATGTCAACGCCTGCATCGCCTCCTGTGGGGTCACCACCGAAGAACGCGAGAGGGTCGGCAGCGCGCAGCTGGCGGAGTTCGCGGAGACGTGGGACTTGGGCATTGAGTTGGGATCTGCAGTCAGCTAGCAGGTCAGTCATGTTGCCCATCGCTTCTGCCAGACCGGAGTCGACGATATCAGTGACCAGGTCCTGTTTGCCGTTCAGTGTGAGGAGACGAGCGGCGTCGGCGAACTTTGAGCCGCGGCAGAGTAGGCGTGCAGCTGTGACATAATCGCGCAGGTGCTCAGAGTAGATTGTGGCTGCTGAAACGTAGTCTTTGTTCTCGTCGATCAGAGTTGTAGCCAAGTTTTCGATATGGGCGGTCAGGTCCTCGGAGGAAAGTGAGGCCATCATGGCACAGTATAAAGACTCGCGCCACTTGTGGGCTAGGTTGTAGCATTTATAGGCACTCTCGTAGAGCCCCAGAGACTCATAAGCTGGGATCATGTTAGTATGTTGTCTTGACTCGTGCATAAAGCCACTTACCAATTGCCGCATCCTTGTATTGACTTTGATCTTGGAGATGATCGGCATACAGCTCGGTGATTTCACGTAGTTGTTCTGCTTGATACTTGTAGATCTCGAGGGCATCTTTGTACAAGACATGCTTGACGACATAGGCGCGAATTTCATCATGAGCGTTCAAGGCGTACAGGTGCTTCAGAGCCTTTTCAAAGCGGCTGAGGTGGTTGTCGATCTCGAATTGACGTCTAGTCTCTGGAAGCTGTTGCAGCTTACGAAGGAACGGAAGGTATTCGCGAGGATCCATCTGGGCCTGTTGGGCAACTAGTAGAGTAAGCTCAAGGTCATAAATTCCCAGGGCGTGAGAGTAAAGTCGATGGGCGTCTGTCAAGAAACACATGTGCTCAATGGCATCTTCAGCCTGCTCGGTATTTTGTAGTCTCAGTCCCGCAGCGAGTCCCAGCCCGGCTTCTAGGTCGGGCGGTGATTTGCAAACATGAGCTGTAATGATGTTCTGCAAGTTGGTATCGACGCGTGTTTGGAGAGTAGCCAAGAATGCATCACAGATCTGGTTGATTTTGCTCCCCTTCTTGACTGATGTTGGCAATGTAGGAGCTGGAGAATCTGGTTGGGCAACAACTGCAGATTCGTTCTTGGAAATCTTCAGCGTATCTTTATAGAGCGTCTGTGAAACATCCTCCTCCCTGTGTGAAAGTTAGCAAAGGAAATCGGTTCGAATATATCTAGTGTTCACATACTGCAAGCGGGACAAAAAGTCATCGATATAATCAATCTTCTTGACTTGATCAATAAAAAGCGGGATGTTGGCCAAGAATTGCTCAGGAGCATAATCGTGAAGGATGTTTAGATCGACCATCTGGCTTCGGCATGCCATAAATGCAGACCGGTATTTCTTTTGGTCAATGAAAGTACGAATTCCAGCTAGCACCAAAGCACGAGGGAAGATAGTTTCAATGTTTCCACGGGGGGCTTGAAGCACAACTGCAAAGATCGACGGCATCACAGAAACCAAGCGAGACCCACGTTCGATACTCCTGCAACGCTCATCAATTTCGGGTGTGTCTTCTGGGATTTCCATATCTTCATGTCCATGTTAGATTTCTCAATTCAAACCATTTAGGGAAATGCGTCTTACCATCCACGTGGTTGAGATGAACGAACTTCAACAGGTGCTGAGACGTGGTGAACAATAGGTGTGATGGCGTCACGAGGAAAGATGTGCAGTTCCTTGCAAGCATGCGCTTGTTTGCATACAAACCACCACTGCGTGACATGGTAATTAATATGCGCTAAGTCAGTGAGCAATTTTGTCCAACCCTGTAGAGATCAAAAGATCTTACCTCATCATCGGAGATGGAGACAGCACGAGCCCAGTGGCTATCAACAGTAGGACTGTCACCCCAAGGGAGAATATCGGGGTTATTTAGTGACATTTCAATGCTAGAGTAGCCAACAGGACGGCCTGGTTGAGATGCATGCGAGAGCCATAGAGCTTCATGTCCAATCCCAGCAAAGATAGAAGACAATTGCTCTGAGTCTGCAGCCTCGTAAACAGCTTCAGTTGTTCGACGTTCCAAGATAGTCCGCTCAATGCAGCTAGCATTTGGTCCAGTGCTTCGGAGAACGAAGACCTCAGTGTCATTCAAAAAGGCGATCTGTCTGGGCCGACTGGCAGCGTCATCCGGTAGAGGATAGCTCGACTCAAGTATCGGGACGGGAACGGGCCGGCTCTTCAGAGACCAAATGTAAATTGCGAAACTGTCGTTGAATAGAACAGCAATGCGGGTTCCAGACTTACTGAACGCAACATCGATAGCGTTGGAGTCCAAAGCTAGCTCATTATGCGCCATTGGGGGTGGAACACCAGCCAATCGCAATGGGGTCAGCTTGAGATTCCGGCCGTCAAGGACGGCAACGGCGCCCACATCTTCTGGGATAGAGGTAGATCCGTGGCTGGTATCAAACACATAGTCTGCATCAAGGATACAGCCCGAAGAGCCAGCAACAAATCGAAGTGGCTTCTCTGAGTGCCATTCGAGAGAGAATGGAAGCGAGCAAGAGGGATCAATAACTATCGGGATCTCTTGCTTCAAATACCAGTGATAATTTCCAGTGGTCCAAAATTGAATGCGGTCTTCGAACCTGACAGCAAGAACAGTTGAATCAACATTCCAAGCAAGATGGATGCGAGAAGTCCATGGCTTGGTCTCTGCATCCGTGATACGGAGAGAAAACTCGCCATGGCGAAGTCCGTTGCGTTCGAAAAAGACCACATCGATACGGTCATCAACTCGTTGAATTCCTGCAATAAGACTACCTGACGGCCGCCAGCTAAGGGCGCCTTCAAGTCCATCAACTGGCTCGCTCACACTGTCCAGAGTCCCCTCTCTTGAGTATACTCTGATAGCGCGACGAGTACCAGCCTCGATGCTGTTCACGGCTACATAGGCTCCATCTCCTCGCCAGGTGATAGTGGTGCAACCGTCGTCGTGGCGGCTCAGGATTCCCTGGTCGATCTTCTCAGGCACAGTCGGGTCTCGAAGAGCCTTGGCCCTCTTTCCTTGGAACTGTGTCTCCTTCTTACCCCACCCCACTGAGACATGCTGTGAAGCTTGCATGTCTTTAGGGGCAAAGGTAATATCGGCCACATTCTCGAATTCTCTGGTCATATAAAGGAAAGTTTGGGCTCTGGTGGTGAGAGCAAGGAGCTCCTCGTCTGGGGACCACGCAGCAGCTGTGATACCCACGTCAACGGAACCGACAATTTCAATCTTGTCTTCACCAGGAAGAGGTTCTTCGCGGACAACCACGATATCACCTCCCTCCAGCACCAAACAAGCAGTCAGGCTGTCCGCAAAGTAATGCAGAGATAGAATACGGTCACATGCCAGATCTGGCAGAGGGCATGGGGCATCCCAAGATGCAATGCATTCAAATGCCTCCGGACTAAGAGGGTCTGTCGAGGTAATTTCGGGGCGCTTTCGCCGCACCTCGATGATGGCATTGTTCTCAGCGGGGCCAAAGGTGCACACCACTGAGTCAGACGAAGTATCCCATGCAGTGGCTGTGAGGGGAAGCTCGCCCTCCAGCTGCGTCTCCGCGAGACGTACGTTTCTCAAGTTGCGCATTTTCAACGGGTGGCTATTTTTCTATGCTTCTCTTTTTACCCCGCCATGAAGCAACCAGGGCGGTAAATGTGTAAAATGTTGCGAATAAGCGAGCAAAGACTGGATACAGTGCCCAGCTATGCTGTCTCTTGACAAGAAGCGTAGAGAGTGGGTGTGTTGAGAACTGATATCAAACTCGCGCCGACCCAGAGATTTTTTGATTTTCCACATCGGCTCAGCCAATGACTTCATCCACATTTCAACGTCCTTAGAGCTACAAGTTTTGGGGTCTACACAGTTACATTTGAGGCATTGAGGCGCAGAAATGTCAATAATAATCTCTAGCTTTGTACATGATATCCAATTGCTTCCCCAATCCGAGACCGCGGGCGCCAGACTGTTGCAAGTATAAGACCAATCTATTTGGTCTTGTAGGTTTGCCAAACTAAAGAAAGCTATTAGCGCGTGATCAAAGCAAGATATTGGCAGCGCGAAGTATAACTCACCAGCAATGGCGAAGGGAGAACCGAATCCGGTGACTAGATGATGCCCGAGTTAGTCATGCCTCCACCTGCAAGTTGCGGGAACACAAACCCATGAAGGCCCAGTATCTCCAGAAGAAGCGCTTGGTCAGAGGGTTGAAGGGAATGTTGGTGCGAGGACCCTCGGCGTAGTGGTAGGGGCTACCGAGCTGGGTGCGAGTGGTGGAGAAGCCACGACGGGCAGCGAAGGAGGTGGCCATCTTGGCCCGGATAGCGGAGGAGAACATCTGTTATAGAAATGACCGTGAGCAACTGCAGTTAATCCAATTGCATGAGGAGGTGCCTACCTTGACAGATAGAGAGGAGAGAGTGGACGATCGGAATGGGACGGACGAAGCCTAACGAGATCATCCCATTCCGCACCTTGCGATGTTCGACATCACGTGAGTCACACACTAGCGCCGTTTGGGGCAGTCCCCACCGCTTTCCTCATCAGGAAACTTCCAATTTTCTCATCCCAGAAAAAGTGAAGCGCATTAGCAACGCTCATTCTACTCCCGTGATTGATCTTTTGGTTTCGCTGGAGATGGATGAGCTCTTTGATGTCTTTGAAGACAAGCCTCAGACGGTAACTCCGTCCGAGGCTATTGCCAAACGTCCCAAGAAGGACAAGAGCAAGAAACGCCAGGTGAATGGCGACGTCAAGAAACCTGAAGACGCCCAAACTGAATCGAACGAGGATGCAACTTTGCCAGATGCTCCTGCTATAGATTCAAAGCCAACAGACGCCGAAGCACCCACCCCCGAGAACGATCAACCCGATGCGAAGCGACCGAAATTGGAGGATGAACCCGCGCCAGTACTTGCGGACTCCTTCGAGACCGAGGGACAAGTCGAGCTTGCCAAGGTTCAAGGCGAAGAAGAGTCGATGAAAGTGTCACACCAAGTGCGCCATCAAGTCGCATATCCTCCGAACTATCCCTATGTGCCTCTTTCTGAGCACAAGCCGCCAGCTGAGCCAGCAAAGAAATACTCCTTCACCCTCGATCCTTTCCAGGCACTTGCAGTTGCTTCAATTGAACGCGAGGAAAGTGTGTTGGTTTCCGCCCATACTAGTGCAGGAAAGACCGTAGTAGCAGAGTATGCTATTGCGCAAAGTCTGAAGAAGAACCAGAGAGTGATCTACACCAGTCCGATTAAGGCGCTATCTAACCAAAAATACCGTGAATTTGCTGCTGAATTTGGCGATTGTGGTTTGATGACCGGTGATGTGACAATCAATCCTACAGCTACTTGTCTTGTTATGACTACTGAGATTCTTCGCTCTATGTTGTATCGTGGTTCTGAGATTATGCGTGAAGTCCAGTGGGTCATTTTCGATGAAATTCACTACTTGCGAGACCCGACTCGTGGTGTTGTCTGGGAAGAGACACTTATCCTCCTACCCGACAAGGTCCGCTACGTTTTCCTCTCCGCCACTATTCCCAACGCCATGCAATTCGCCGAATGGATTGTGAAGATGCACAACCAGCCTTGCCATGTCGTTTACACCAACTACCGTCCAACACCCCTTCAGAACTACTTCTTCCCCGCTGGTGGAGACGGAATGCATCTTATTGTCGACGAGAAGGGAGTGTTCCGCGAAGAAAACTTCCAGAAAGCGATGAGCTCAATTGCCGACAAGAAGGGCGATGATCCCGCGGATCCCATGGCCAAGCGCAAAGGAAAGGGCAAGGACAAATCTTTGAACAAGGGTGGAAACAAGGGTCCATCAGATGTTTACAAAGTCGTAAAGATGATCATGGTCAAGTCGTTGAACCCTGTCATTGTCTTCAGTTTCAGCAAGCGTGAGTGTGAGGAGGGCGCTTTGCAGATGTCCAAATTGGCATTCAACGATGACTCCGAGAAGGAAATGGTTACCAAGGTCTTCGAAAGCGCCATCTCAATGCTATCCGAAGAGGATCAAAAACTGCCCCAGATCGAAAATCTCCTTCCGCTTCTGCGCAGAGGTATTGGTGTTCATCACTCCGGCTTGCTGCCTATTCTCAAGGAAACCATTGAGATTCTGTTCCAGGAGGGTCTCATCAAAGCTCTATTTGCCACTGAGACCTTCTCCATCGGTCTGAACATGCCTGCAAAGACTGTTGTTTTCACAAGTGTTCGCAAGTTCGACGGTACCAGCCAACGTTGGGTTACCCCGTCTGAATTCATTCAAATGTCTGGTCGCGCCGGTCGACGAGGTCTTGATGACCGTGGTATCGTTATCATGATGGTTGGCGAGGAAATGGATCCTGCTGTGGCGAAGGAGATTGTGCGCGGTGAACAGGACCGACTCAACTCCGCATTCCACCTTGGCTACAATATGATTCTCAATCTTTTGCGTGTGGAAGGCATCTCGCCTGACTTCATGCTAGAGAGTTGCTTCAAACAGTTCCAGACCACTGGAAACGTCTCAGGCTTAGAGAAAGAGCTTCAAGATTTGCAGGACAAACGGACCAATATGGTTATTCAAGATGAGGGCACTATCCGCGAGTATTACGATTTAAGGAAGCATATGGCCACGCTTGCAGAGGATGTGCATGAGGTTGTGAGCCACCCGAACTACGCTCTGCCTTTCATAATGCCTGGCCGAATTGTTCGTGTCGAACACCAAGGTCAAGATTTCGGATGGGGTGTCGTGGTCAAGTCAACACAGCGCAAACAAGCGAAGAATGAGAAGGAGCCATTAACCCCTCATCAATCATACATTGTGGATGTGCTCCTGACTCTGGCCGAGGGACCATCCATCGGTACAAAGTCTCACCAAGATATCCCATCCGGAATTCAACCCGCTAAGGATGGCGAGAAGGAGCGCATGGAAGTTGTGCCTGTTGTTCTGAGCTGCATCCATGATATCTCCCACATTCGGATCTACCTTCCCAAGGACATCCAGGCGCCTGACGGACGTAAGGGAGTGCAAAAATCTCTGAATGAAATCAAGAGACGTTTCCCAGATGGTCTTCCCCAGCTTGACCCTATCGAGAATATGAAAATCGAGGATGACTCCTTCAAGAAGCTGCTACGGGTAAGAAAATAAGCCCAGTTCAAATACATGTTCACGTTACTAACAAGGTACAGAAAATCGAGGTTCTTGAATCTCGCTTACTGAGCAACCCTCTTCACAACTCACCGCGCTTGCCTGAACTCTATGAACAATATGCCGAGAAGGTGGAGTTGGGAAATCAAATAAAGGTCGCCAAGAAGAAGATTTCCGATGCAATGGAGATTATGCAGCTTGAGGAGTTGAAAAATCGCAAGCGCGTGCTTCGTCGAGTCGGATTCATCAACGAGGATGAAGTCGTTCAGCTGAAGGGTCGGGTCGCCTGTGAGATAAGCTCTGGCGATGAGTTGATGCTGAGCGAGTTGCTCTTTAACGGTTTCTTCAACAACCTTACCCCCGAGCAGATCGCGGCCATCATGAGTTGTTTCGTGTTTGAGGAGAAGGTCAAAGAAGCGCCTCCCTTGTCCAAAGATGAGCTGGCGAAGCCTCTCCGGGAGATCCAAGCACAAGCTCGGACCATTGCCAAGGTATCCCAGGAGTCTAAGATGGCCCTGAACGAGGATGAATATGTTCAAAGCTTCAAGTGGGAGCTTATGGAGGTGGTCTACGATTGGTCCCATGGCAAGTCCTTTGCCGATATCTGGTAAGTTTATCCTGTCCTGCCCAAGTATTCATGGTACTGACTTTTTTTCTCAGCAAAATGACCGACGTCTACGAGGGAAGCTTGATCCGTGTCTTCCGCCGGCTGGAAGAGTGTTTGCGGCAGATGGCACAGGCTGCCAAGGTCATGGGCAGCGAGGACCTGGAGAGCAAGTTCGAAGAGGCTCTGACGAAGATCCGCCGCGACATTGTTGCCGCTCAATCTCTGTACTTGTAGATACGATATTCCCCCAGTTTTTGTATGAATCCAAAAATGCATACTTATGTCACATCAAGTCTTAAGTCATCCCGTTACGACGTAGTAGATGTAGATGATGCGGGTACGGTGGCTTTGCCCGAAAGCAGTGGAGTCGACCCATTTGGCCTGGACCATGTCAAAGAAAGAAAAAGGAAGAATCTTCTGAAACACAACAATATTAATTTCAACTTTTTATAGAAATATATGACAGAGAGGCAAATATCCTTGAAAGCTGCACAGAGGGATTGCGTTGCCGCCCGCAACGCCTACTTTTTCTCCACCGCTTCTCTTCTCGACCTTTCTCTCCCCACCTCACCTTTGGGCATACTTTTTGACTGCCCCTGTCTTTCTTTTCTTCGGTCTTCTTGAGACCACTATATCTGCTTTGCCATTAGGCTGTCATCATGAACAGTCTGGTGGCCACACCTCCTATCCCTCCTCACTTCTACGAGAACCCCCGATTCTCTCCCTCCCGTATGAGTAAGACTATCCCTTTCCAACAAGTTGGTGCTCTCTGGTCTGGCGAGGACATGCTAACAGAGATGCCAGTGTCTACACCATCGTCGTCGTATTCGAACCGTAAACGGAAAGCCGACGACGATGGCAACGATCATGATGGACGCATGTCCGCCTCGCCTACCAACTCTCCCGCCTTCACACCTCGTCAGCTCCCTCACAACTACCGTAACATCAAACGCTCCCGACCGAATGTTTCAGGCCGACCTCTATCTCTCCCACGTCTCTTGGAGACTCTCGACACAGATGCGTTGAGGACGGTGGTACGAACCATGTGCGAGCGTCACCCTCAGCTCGCCGACGAGGTTGTGCACACTTCTCCCCGTCCAAATGTTTCCTCAACCCTCCAAGTACTTCGGAACTACCAGGCCGCTCTTCAGTCATCCTTCCCGCTGGGTGGTAACACTGAGTCGGACTATGCCTATAACCGAGTCCGACAACCACTCACGAACCTTCTTGACGCCCTGAGTGACTTCACTCCCAACTTCCTTCCACCAAACGAATCTCAAGCTTCCACATCTCTGAGCTATCTCGACGGAGCAACCGACATCATCCATGCTCTGCCTCGCTGGAGCTCACCACAGAACAACATCGAACGAGACTCCGCCTATGACGAAATCTGCAAGGCATGGATTCTGGTGATTCGGGAAGCTGCCAAACGAGGCGGTGGAATCCAACTTCAGTATGGCGGCTGGGACCAGAAACTGGCCAAGCATAATCAAACCTCTGGCGGAAAGCTACAGGGAGCCGTCAACGAACTCGGCTGTAGCTTGGGATGGATGAACGGACCAGAAACGCCAACTCACGGCTCCAGCGGCGAAATGGGCTCCATTCGGGACCAGCTTCTCTCGGGAACATACGGTCTAGGAACTCCTGTTAGAGTTGGGCCGTGGTGATATACCAGTCCGCTCCGATCTACTCTATGAACGACCACCCTTACCACACGCACCGCTCTTGTGTCCCGGCTTCAGCTCTCACACTCATGCCGGCTCACGCTCGAGCTTGAAATACGGTCCATACCCCTTCGACCGCGCAATTTTCGACGTATGTCACGATCACGATACCTGCTGCATGACCTTAGAATCGACACGGTCTCAGATGGCGTTATATTACTCAAGGCGAATCCAACAACAGCTTTCTTTCTGTCTATTTTCTTCTTCATTTTCTCTGGTTGGGATTTTCTGAGTTTCAACCGTTGCCAAATTTCTGATCAACTCGCTCAGATCCCAGCACTGCTTCTTGTCCCTCTTTTTTGTACTTTGAACTCCCACGCGAGCCCTTCGTTCTCTTTTTTATGTCTTGCCTTGCATCTACTTTGTACCCCATTCAAACTCCCATACTATCTTTCCAACATCAACCGGCGCCCTGGAGTCGCTTACATTCCTGTCCTTCTCCTTCCCTGTCTTTCTATTTTGGATACTTTTTGGATTACAACCTCAATTTCTGGTTCTTATTTCCGATTATCGCCTTGTCTCGTTACTATCACTGTCCTCTTGTCACTTGCATAATTCGATGAAATACGTGTCTTGTCAAAGCACTAGTCTCGGCCCTTGGTCGATTGACCAATCTGTCGTCTCTGAATCCGTTCACGCTTTTCAACTCTGGCTCTGGCTCGGCCTGTCAGCCGAAGACTTCTTTTGCCATATGAAAGAAAAGATGTTACATCTACCCTTTCGTCTACGGTACACCCTGGTCCTGTTATTTCGTGCAACTTGCCTTTTTATGTGTTTTGGGTGGTCGGTTGGTCCATCTTGTTTACGCTAGCCTGTTGCATTTCAATCCAATCAATTTTCTCTGTATAGAACGGATACTGAGTTTACAAATAGTAACGTTGAATGAAGTTAATTCTTCATTTGATCATGACTTATCATTATTGTAGAGCTTGAGGCATAATATATAATAGTATAGCCGGCTAGCTTCGCTCAGCTTCGTAGACAATCTCGGGAAACTAAAAAAGAAAAGAGTAACACGAAGAAAACACAGAATTACGTATTTACAGACAGCCCTCTCGGAGATATCTCTCATAGATTCATACCAACACCCTCTTCACAACACGGAACAACCACCCAGCATCCTCCCATCCACCGCTCGCCCCAGGTTTCTCAACAGAAACAACAGCTCCATCAGTCCTCTCAGACATCCCATCTCCATCATCAGATGTCCCCTCCCCAACAGAAAGTACATCATCATCATCACTCCTCTCGTCCACAGCATCTAAAACAACAGGATCCTCAAAAGTAACAGTAGTACTCGTCTCTGCAGTCCCAATCCTCGAAGCAGCCGCAACAGCACCAGCAGCACCAGGCACAGCAGCAGGCCACTCCTCAACGCCGAAAAGCGTCCACTCAACCAACCGATCAATCCAGCCCCCAAGCCCGAATCCGCGCTCGCGCGTCAATCGCTGCAGATCCGCTTCGTCAAAGTCATCCGGCATTTCATCAGAATCATAATCAGATTCGGACTCCGAGCCGTCAACATCATCATCACCTTCCCAAAGCTCCGAGTCTTCATCTGAGAAAGACCGGTGATGTTGCGGTAGATGTTGATGATGTTGTAACGTAGCCATCTCGGCGCGAATACGCTCATCCACAAAGTCCGGCAGAAGGCCAGCCCGTCCACGCAGCTCAGGACTAGCCGTCCCAGTCGCCGTCCCAGTCGTCGTCCCAGGACCCGACCCCGAACTAGGCATTCGCCCCGCTGTATTTGGTGACGAGGGCGATACAGGCATGGTAGTCATAGTCAAGCCAACTCGACTCCCGCGTCGACTCCCACGCCGGGACCGAGACCCACGGCGTGAGAATGCGCCGAGGCCTCCAGGTGTCGAGGCGCCGGACCGGGGCTTACGCGATGACGTGCTTGATCTAGTGCGGTGGTGGTGGCGTGTATTAAGAGCCGGATGATCGTCGGGCATTTCGGCAAGACTGGTCGAGCTTTCGCGTTTGGAGAGCCAGCTCTGGCCTTTTTCCTCGCGCGTCGATGAAGCTAATGCTATGCCTGCACGCAGCATCCATTCTGCGTCTATTTTTGGTGTTCGTGGTGTATCCGTTTCGGGGATGTGGCGACGGCCTGGGAAGGTACTTGCTGGTTTTTTTATTGTGCTTGTGCTTCTGCTGTGATGGAGGGGTGTGGAGAGTGCGTGGCTGTGTAGGCTTGAGTCGCTTGAGGGTCCTGTTCGGTTGGAGCTTTTACTGCGCGTGTGGCGGGTGCGTGAGCTGCTGCGCGAGTGGGAGAGGATTGGGGGTGTGCTTGGAACTGAGATGCTGGAGAGATAGGAGGGCGCTGGGTATTCGGTATTGGTTGTGTGTGTTGGGGAGTTTGTTTCTTGATTGAAATAGTCTGTTGGTTCTGTGTCGTCGTCTATGGGGAATCGTGGGGTCAGTGGTGCTAGAGAGACGTGGTTGAGGTTGGGGTATGAGCGCCGCGAGCGAAAGCCCCCCGAGGTGCTGGTGAACTATGATTCGTGAGTATTCCTTCAGCTTTTAGTATGTTTTCAAGGTCTGATATTTACCTCCATTATGGGGTCCAACATTGGGAAAAGAGGAAAAACGGCGAGGATGGGGAAAATGCGGAGTTGATGCACGTGCGGTTGGCATGTGAAAGCCGAGCCCGGCAGGTCGGTAATTTTTTATGTTGAAGAATTTGTATAGAAAGGTAAGATGAGAATCATACGTAGCCAGTAAGCATTTTATAGGAATACTCAAGGTGGAATGACAATCTGTAGTAACACAGGAGGAAGTATACTCATCATATGATAGTGGCACGGTCGTTAGGGCTAGCGGTGAGCGTTTTACAGTTCGAACTCGTATTGATCTTCTTCAATAATGTGCAGAGACATGCATTCATTTGTACAATATATACATTTCCAAAAATTTGAGCACCCACTCACAGGCGCGAATCCTGGAAGTCCAACACATCGACACCCTTGACGCGCAGATCTTCCAAAACATTGTACTCCATGATCCACTTCATACGCTCCATCAAAGCATCAGGGTTGAAACTGCTGTCCATCTGATCAGGAGAGTCAGAGCTAGCTAGTTTACCAGCCTCGTAGCTAGTCTTGGTGACACGGTCCGTCCGAGGCTTGCGCAGGTTCTGGTAGAACTGGAACGCATCCTCGAGATTGTTACCCTTCCAGTGGCGGAGGATGGTAGCAAGGGCAATTCCAGACTCAATAGCCATGCAAGTGCCTTGGCCTTGGTGAGGAAGAGTCGAGTGAGCAGAATCACCAAGCAGAATAATACCAGCATCCTTCTGGCCATCCGCGTTCATTTCATACCATTTCTCTAGCGGGTCACGCACATACAAAGCCTGCTTGAGCATCTTGCCATCAGGCGAGCCCTTCCGCAACCCAGCAATGATATCCTGCACAGCCGGGCACCAGTCACGCACATGCTCGTTAAGACTATTGATATCGGAACGGTCCATCCAGCCCTCGGTATCCCAAGCCTCGATGGGCTCAGACATGAAACCAATGATAGCAGCACGGTCGGTCTGCGTGTCCTGGTTTCCGATAGGCAAGATCAAGACGTGGCACTTGGGACCACGGAAGTTGACAGTCTTGCGCAGCAACTGCGCTGTCTCGGCGGGGAGATCCTTATAGTCGACAAATCCACGGTACACAACCTGGCCGGAATAGTTAGGATCATCGGCTAGTCCCATATCCCGGCGCACATTCGACTTTATGCCGTCGCAGCCAATGACAATGTCTGCTTCCGTTGAGCTGCCATCCTGGAAGTGGAGAGTATACGGGGCTGAAGCGCTGGCAGTGTTGCGGTCCACGGACTTGAGGTGCTTTCCCAGATTCAGGCTTGATGGGGGAACACGCTCCTTCAGCGAGTCGAGAAGGTGGGCGCGGTGCAGGAGACGAGCGGGGGGCTTGGAGAATTCCCCAATGTGGCCCACATACTCGCCTGTCTTGTAGTTGTGGTATTCCATGTAGCATGGGAGCTGACCGGATGATTTGCGGGTCATGCTCTCCTTCAGACCAAAGGTGTCCAGAACGCGGTTGGCATTGGAGGTAATGCTCACTCCAGCACCGACTTCACCGAATTGACTTGCTTGTTCGTATAGTTGAACATTCTTCAGGCCGGTATATAAGGCAGCATTGAGGAAGGCCATGCCTCCGAGGCCACCACCGACGATGGCCACACGCTTGTCTTCGAAGCCCATTGTGACAGGTAAAACAGAAAATGTACAAAAGAAGAGAACTAGAAAAGGATGTCTTCGCAAAGAGAAAATGGTTGATCGTAGTTCATGAGCAAGCTATAAGTATGACCATCGGGAGGTCGTCCCCCGCCTCCAGGATTGCCGTTCCGATCACCCACTAGCTTGCTGGGCCTTCGGAGCGTGGAGAAACTGTGGGTTGGACTTTAGTGAGACTTCCGAGTCTCGTCGCCCGGTTTACGGTTTACCGGTTAACCGACCAACAATATCGTTGCATATTCTAGTTTTCTGGTTTGATTCTTATGGAGTAGATACGGTATGTCGGAAGTCATAACTTATATTATGTATAGAATACTGCACACATCAATCGACTCGGACACATGAGACACATAAACGACAACGCTGATGTAGTGAGATATCCAATATCTGAGTTAGACCTATCCTATGCGCACATCCAACGGGACCTGCATATCAGACTGTACGTGCGACCAGGAGAGCCCGAAGGTCAGATCGGATGTCCCCCGCCAAATGGTGGCGTCCAACATCCGAAGCCCCACGGGCAAGTCGGATAGGGGTGGGCCAACCCTGTGCCGGGCTAATATGAAATCATCACTCTTGTCATTGGTCGTAGAGAGAAGCTTATTTTAGGAAATTCCGACTTTTTATATACATGGGATGATATCCGTACTTCCTAACTCCAGGCTATTTACTCCACAATCTTACCCTTATTAACAACGAATCCTTCCAATGCCGCAATAGCCGCCCACAGACGGTTTTCGGCTTCGGGGAAGACCAGAGAGCGGGGGCTGTAAAAGACCTCGTCGCTCACTTCCTCGGGGTGACGGGGCAGGCAGTGCATGAACTTCCAGCCCTCCTTGGCGCCACCACGCTGAGCCAGTTCAGAAGTGATCTGGAAGCCCTCAAAGGCCTTCATGCGCTTCTTGGACTCCTCTTCCTGGCCCATGGACACCCAGGTGTCGGTAACCAGGATGTCGGCATTCTTCACGGCCTCCTCGGGGACGTTGGTCTGGGTGAGCTTTCCAGCATTGGGCACACCCTCGCCAGCGCGCTGGATGATGTCGAGCATATCCGCGGGGATCTCGTAACCCTTGGGCGTAGCAACAGCCATATCCACACCCATCTTGGTAGCACCAATAGCCAAATCAAAGAGGACGTTGTTCGCATCGCCAATCCAGGCGATCTTCAGACCGTCAAGGCCAAGACCGGAGAGCGGGCCGGCCTTGGTGGGGAAGGACTCGTAGATGGTGAGGAAGTCGGCGATGATCTGGAGAGGGTGGAAGGAGTCGCACAACGCATTAATCACAGGCACGGTGGAGTGCTGGGCTAGATCCGCAACATCCGAGTGCTTCGCGACACGCGCGACAATGCAGGACACCATCGACGAAATCACAACGGAGGTATCATACACGGACTCGTTGACACCGAGCTGGATGTCGTCCTTGCCTAGGAACATGGGGTGGCCGCCCATTTGGACGGTGGCGGCTTCTGTTGATACACGAGTACGGGTGCTACGCTTGTTGAACATCATGGCCACGGTCTTTCCGGAGAGGGATCCTATCAGGCTTTCGGGGATGGCCCCAGACTTGATGGCAGTCTTGTGCGACGCGGCATTGCGAACCAGGGTGGCGAATTCCGTGGGAGTCAGGTCTGCAATTGAAAGCAAATGGCGGGGGGCGAAAGGAGAAGTAGGGGGTGTAGTCGGTGTCTGGTGGGCAAATCGTCGGAGTCCATTAGCCTGGAGTGTTCGACGCAATGAGGTAGAGCCGGCCAATTGAGTTACACTTTGGGACCCATAGCGGGCAGCAGCTGTGAGACCACTAGCCATGATGGGAGGATTGGAATATGGGAATTTTGGGGAGTGAGAACAGGAGGGGAGACCTGAAGGGGAAAGAGAACGAGAGAGCCAATGACTCAATAAAAGCGGATGGATGTGCGGTGACGCCTTGGAGCCTTGTGGCCTTGTGGCCTTGTAGCCTTATACCCTTACCTACTGTATGCACGTGATCCCATCTGATGCCTTTAAATTCAGGCAGCAAGGTTATCTCCACATTCCGCTATCATCGCTTATCGTCATCGCTTTCGCCTCTTGCAGGTCTGACCTACTTCTTCTACATTACCTTGTATTCATTCCAAGTTTTTTGTGAATACCAAACTAAGGATCATCGTTAACTACCTTGCTATTTCCGGTCAGAATGGCCGAGGAAAACCGGCCTCTTCTGGATGGGCAATCCAGCCCCCCCGAACGATACCCAGATAGGGCATCCACCGAACAGCAGAGACCATCATATGAGCTATCTACAGAATCAACGCCCCTTCTACATCGCCGTGAGGATGGATTAACTGTTTATGGGACTGAGCAAAGACTATCTCGGTCCCCTTCAGTCGCTTCCCGAAGGTCGTATGAAGACGGCCCCACCAAGAAGCCGAGCTACGTACGATGGCCGACGGTGATATCACTCGCCATTTTAACAGCATGTGTCCTGACTATATTGGCACTTGCATTTGCTGCCCCGGCGGTGGTGAAAGAGTATGCGCAACAAGCCGCGGTTTTCAACCCAACCGCCGTTTCGATTGATTCTACGACCTCCGATGGCATTCGCGCCCGGGTCCAAGGCGATTTCGTGATGGACTCAGGTCGTGTAAAGAACAAGGCGGTTCGAAACCTTGGTCGATTTGCGACATGGATTGCCAGGGAGGTTGAGACTGGCCCGTCAGATGTTGAAGTGTACCTTCCGGAGTATGGGAATGTCCTTGTTGGACGTGCAGCAGTGCCCTCCATCAAGTGCAGTATCCGCAATGGCTATCATACTCATGTTGACTTTCTCACTGATTTAGAAGCGGGTGATATTCGAGGCATTCATGCAATTGCTATTGATTGGATTGAGGGGAGATTGGGCCGCCTTAATGTTAAGGGCAAAGCTACATTGCATCTGAAATCAGGCTTGATTGCCCTGGGAACTCAAGTGCTAACAGACAACATAATATTTGAAGGTATGTTGTTAGACTGCCGTCGCTCATTTGTGTTTGACATTGAACTAACCTCTTTACAGAGAAAGACTTCCCTGCTCTACCGGAGATCGATATTCTCAAGTTGAATGTACATGATGCGAAGAATGGGGCTATGGCGGTAGATGTTTTATTGGAGTCTCTGGTTAACTCCCCTGTCGCCCTTACCGTTCCTGCTCTCGGGTTCGACATCCTAGTACCAAATTGTACACCAGGAGATCCATATATCCGGGTGGCGTCTGCGAAGACGGCTGAGATCGAGGTCCACCCCGGCCAAGCAACTCCAGTCGGTGTTGATGGTCTTATCGAAAATCTCCCAGATGAACTGACCTCTAAATGCCCGGGAGGCGAGGGGTCCCCTCTGGATTTCTTGGTGTCCAGTTATGTACAGGGTCTCGAGACAACAATTTATGTCAGAGGAGCTGATGCGCCATCACCGGACACTCCGGCCTGGATGGTTGATCTGATGCGTAGTGTGACCGTGCCGTTGCCATTCACTGGACACGCGTTGGACAACCTCGTGAAGAACTTCACCATGTCTGATACACACTTCTCTCTTCCAGACCCCTTTGCGGAGCCGGACTCTCCAGACTCCCAGCCCACTGTCTCTGCCGTGGTTGAGGTCCTCATTGCCCTGCCAGAGGAGATGAACTTCCAGGTTGATGTCCCGCAAGTTCGCGCTCTTTCAGATGTCTATTACAAAGAAGAGAAGCTCGGCGTATTGGTCATCGACAAATGGCAAGACTCCAACTCTACCCTCGTCAACGACGAAGATGGCTCATCGGCACTCCTCGTGGAGTTCGCCATAGAGGATGCACCACTTAAAGTCACAAATGACTCACTCTTGGCGGAAGTCATCCAAGCATTGCTGTTCGGCAGCAAAGAAGTTGTGCTGCGCGTCGCTGCCACCGTAGATACAAAGGTCTCAACTGGCCTGGGTCGATTTGCCGTGCACGGAATTCCCGCGGAAGGGAAGGTTCCCGTGAAGAGTATGTTTTCGTTTTCATAATATAGAACATTTTAGTAAAAATCAAGAGAATTTTGGCCATTGACAACGTCATAGCTTCCTTCGGCGACTTGGTCGGTCAGGTCAATCCGCGCGTGGTATCGTTGCAATTAGGAGATACTACTGCTTCTTCGATGGTTGTATCTGTGGAGGCTAATTTCACCAATCCAACAAATTACTCTGCGACTGTTCCCTTTGCCGACTTTTTGATACTCTTCAACGACACAGCTGTGGCACATATCACTTCTCGCGATATTACTGTTACGCCAGGGAATAATACATGCGTGCCCATTGAATTTTCATGGTGCCCGTTGAAATTGAGTGGACCAGATGGCGTTGAGGCTGGAAAAACCTTAATATCGTCCTACATCTCTGGTGAGAGGCAATCATCATACGGAAAGGTCATTTTGCTAATACAATTTCAGGATATAACACGACAATAACCATGAAACCCCACAAAAACACCATCCCATCCCTCCCAAATCTAGGCAGAGCCCTATCAAACATCTCAATATCCGTCCCAGTCCCATCAATATCACCACCAGGCTCCCCAGGCAATGACAACGATGAAAGGCCGCACTTTATCCAAGAGGCAACGGTACAGTCCTCCCACCCTCATCCATTAGTCCACCTATAAACTAACCCAGCTAACTCGATCCCTAACAGTTCTACCTCTGGTCCTCAACGGCTGATTTCACCCTTTTCTCTCCATTGACAGAAACAAACATTTTAATAACTTCCATCGACGCAACAGCCTTCTACGAGCAAAAAGATCCAATTGGTCGGATCCAAAACCAGAACCCCTTCAAGGTCCCGCCGGGTCTATCTCTGACGCCGCGCTTACCAGTTGATCTTGATATCGGGGGTGTGGGATATGATGCTTTGCGTAAAGCGCTTGGGCAGTCGCTAGAGATGGATGCTGTTGCTAAGGTCGGGGTGCAGATTGGAGAGTACGAGGATGTTGTTCTCTATCGGGGAAAGGGAATTGCTGCAAAAGTGAGAATTTAGTATTTCTAGCTAATGCTTTTGGTGTTTTGGGTTTCTTTCCATTACTGCTGGTTTGGTAGTTGGTGTTGGTCGTTCAGAGCATGGTATATCGTTGCTTAATGAGAGGGGAAATACGGTTTTCTGGTAGAGCTTTCTTTTGAACAGTATGATAGGCCTGGTCTACAATTTAACATATTTGAACTCCTTCCCTATGGCGTATCAGAACTGTTCTATTGCTGGTGGTAACGAGTAATGCCAGGGAAGCTATTGGGCGCCGGGTGGAGTATAGGCTCCGCTCCCTGAGACGTCGGTGGATAGAAAGCCCTATACTATCCAAAGTAGTCTTTCACTGAGGTCTTTTGCAAAATGATGGTCAAGGAAGGTAAGGCTGAGTGGAACATTACCATAACTAGGCTCCTGTATATAGGTACCTCGTTCCCAGTTCTATGATACATACCCTCCTTTTCGCCAAAAATCAGAACCTATAGTTCTCATTAGCCTAGTGGTGATATACGCTGTATGTCTTTCTTGCGGTGCGTTCTGAATTTGTCGATGAACGATATATGAACTGCAGCTAACTGACAAGATGAAGTTTTAAGCACAATGTCGGCCTACGAGGAAGATCCTGACTTGTCAGTTAACGTTAACGTTAAATTATATGACAACTGTGACTCAGGAAACACGGGACCAAACTGAGATCTAAACTAGTCTGTGTTTACTTCAATGACACAGTTGTACGGCTTGGGCTCGATTTAGCTTTTTACCCTCGGTGAGTCGTCTCGTAGCAGAGCTCTTATACCAGCATGAGCCTATTGCCTTGACTGAAGAAACGGCGCCTTCCCTTGGCTTTTTCGTTTCGTCTAGCAAAAACATCGACTCGCTCCATAACTAATAATCTTGCCCGACTACTGACTATAGATGCAACTTAGTGGACGAGATAGAAATTGACTAAAGACGACAGAAAGAACATTTGTTTTCAAATTATAACAACTACACAGGAAAGCTCCAAGGACGTAACCAATTCAATCCTATTCGGGTATGTATGTTTTGAGATTGAAAATCAGTACACAGCTTAGCCAGGGGGAGGGTGCTGGCGTCGACAACGTCGGCGGCATCCTTCTCGATCTCCTCGCTGGGCTCAGAGAGAGGAGAACGGGGAAGGGCCATCAGACCGGTACGGGTGGACTCGAGGATACCGAAGGGACCGATCAGCTTGAGGAAAGAGTCGATACGAGAAGGCTTAGCAGAGCTGGGAGAGGGAGAATAAGTCAGTGATGAGCTGCGTAGTAGTCAAGTAGATAGTACTTACACCTCGACAATGCAGTTGTTGGTGCTGATGTCCAGAATCTTACCGCCAAACTGGTGAGTCAGACGGGTGATGGCATCCAAGTGCTCGTGCTTGTGACGCAGGGCCTGGCTCTGAGGGAGGTGGCGGGGGTGATATTGCTGAACGGAATGAGCATCCTGGTGATGCTTCTGGTTCTCGAGTGAGTCCGGTGAGGTGGTGATCTCGCGGTGGTGCTGGAGCAGCTCTTCGAAGAATTCAGGACCAAGGATAGAGACCTTGGCGAGGAGCAGCTCACGCTGGACAAGAGCGGAGTCGGTGTAGTCCAGCACAGCCCAGACGGGGACAAGGTCGTCCAACTGGCGGCGAGCCTGCTCGACGACGCCATCCTGACCCTGCAGGACGATAGTCATGCGAGAAAGGTCCTCGACCTCAGTGTTGCAAACAACCAGACTGTCAATGTTGAAGCCACGGGCAGCCAGGATACCGGACACACGGGACAGCACACCGGGCTCGTTCTGCACAAGACAGTTCAAGATGTGCCTCTTGGGAGGGTTGCTGGGAGGCACCGGAGTCTCATAAAGAATAGATGAAACCGCAGTGGGAGCATCCCACTGAGGAGAAGAGTCGGAGACGGGCAGGGGCAGGGGAGACCGACGGTGCAATGCCTTGTAGGCAAGAGCTGAAGTCGAGCTCGAAGATGCACGAACGGAGGTGAATCGGGGGAGCGCAGCAGCAGTGCGAGACCGAGCAGTGGCTGCCGCAGAGGACAGCAGCGACGCTGACCCAGCGGACAGCGCCAATGGGCTTCTGAAAGCCATGAGGTGATCGGGTTCTGGGGAGGTTGTGCGATGAATCACTCCAGATCCGCCCCGGGTATATTCTTTTTGGTCGGCCGACCTCGGCGACCGCCTGCTGACTCACCTGGTCTAGTCTCAATGCGGAGTAGCGTACATGCAGATCCGTCTCACGTGATATATAAACATGTGACCACAATTTTCAATGCGGTTAAAGCTGGCAGTGTAAACGAGACAGCCCAGTAGAATTAAATATTTAATAGATTTGCTTGTCGCGTTGATCTCAGGAATGTACTCAATTCAAAATTAAGCTTAGTTGTCAAATTTGCGTTGATTGTCTCGCATTTTCACCCCGGCGTGTCTCCGCTTCTAAAACTCCTTCCCGCAATTGTTCTGGGCCTCCCCAAGGTTTCTTTGATCGCTTTTCTCCTACTATTCTGACCTCACGCACACCTCAAAATGGCAGAAGACGAACCTCGCGCTAAGCGCTCGCGTTTCGATCAAACTGAGCCCGAGCCTCGACGCTCCCGATTCGACCGTCGCTCACGATCCCCTTCGAACCGACAGTCGGAATCGACTAGAACTCGCAGCCCATTGAGTCGCCCGCTGAGTGGTGAACCTCGTAGCCCTGGCGCAGGCGCAGCGCAATCAACTCCTTCGGATCCGGCCGCTGCTGCAGGTAAGTGCCACATGTCCCACTGTCATAATCAGGCCATACGGCTAACCATTCGGTCTTTATAGCCGCTGCGGCAGCCAAGATCAATGCACAGCTTCAGGCTAAGAAAGGAGTCCAGCATGTCGACGTTCCTCCTATCCGCTCTGTGAATATAGCTTCGCCCCCCTCACCCTCGAGTTGCCGCTAACATCCAGTCATAGACCGAAGGCACGGCCGATGAATCCAAATCGCCTAGTGCAGAGGGCGCTGCCAAGTTGAACGCCGAGATCTACGTTGCAGATGGCGACTACATCAAGGACATCGAGATCAATGATCTGCGGAATCGTTACACCCTGACCAAGGGATCTACTCAGAAGATGGTAAATACACCCGTTGTCTCTTGCTGATATTCCAGCCATACCTCCCCGAGGTGGACGCCATAAGTTTCTCATGGTTGAGCTTCTGTTCCCCTCCTTGTGTGATTGGATGAAGCTTACCCTTCACTTGAAACATAGCATTCCATCTACCCTCTGTTGCATCTGCTGACCTGCGCCGTGTGATTTAGATTAAGGATGAGACTGGCGCCGGTACGCCTTCCTTTAATGTTGCATACTATACGAAAAGAAGTTCTCGCTCACCATTTTTCAAGATGTTACCACCCGGGGCAATTATTATCCCGACAAAAATATGGCCACGGCCGCGGTAAGTGATACTGCTAATCGTCGGTCAACAACTGCTTATTTCTGCGACATAGAACCCTCCTCTCTACCTTCACGTTACCAGCACTAACAAGGATGGACTGGAGAAGGCAGTCGCTATTATTGACGACTTGATGCAGAAGGAATTGCCTAATCTGGTCGACGAACGCCGATTCCGTCGCCGGGAGCCCGAACAGGTCGAACGGGATGAGTATGGCCGTGTATGTAGCCGTCAACCCGGAACGTGGACTTGGATGACCTGCTAATCATCTACAGCGCAAATGGCCTGATGAACGCATCCCTATCGACCTTGAGCCTGTGCCCGGCTTCAATCTGCGTGCCCAGGTTGTTGGTCAGGGTGGTGCATACGTGAAGCACATTCAGCAACAGACCCGATGCCGAGTTCAGATCAAGGGCCGTGGTTCGGGTTTCATTGAGTCCAGCACTGGCCGTGAAAGTGATGAGGCCATGTTCTTACATGTCGCGTAGGTTGAACATATCTTTTTGTTACTTTTGGACATTGACTAACGATGTGCATTCCAGAGGACCTGATGCCAATGATGTCCAGCAAGCCAAGGAGCTTTGCGAAGACCTTCTAGCTAATGTCAAGGAGCAGTACCAGCGCTTCAAGGATAACCCGCCGCAGCACAACTACGGTGGATACGGCCGCGGCGGAGACCGGGGAGATCGCTACCAAGGTGGTGGTGGTAGAGGTGGATATGGCGGCGGCTATGAGAACCGTCAATCTCAACAGAATAGCTCTTCTGCCAGTCCCTCAGGCCAAGCGACTCCCGGCTCTGCCGCTGCTGCCGGAACCCCTGCCGCTGACTACAGCGCCCAGTATGCGCAGTACTACGGCGCCGACCCTTATGCCGCTTATGGAGGCTACCAGAACTATGTGGCTTACTACCAATACTACATGGCCGCCCAGCAACAGCAGCAGGCTCAGGATGGTGCTGCTCCTCCACCTCCCCCTGCCGGCGAAGCACCACCGCCGCCTCCTGGATCCGGTTCTCCCCCTCCCCCACCTCCTGGTGGACCTCCTGGGGGCAATGGATACAGCGCGGTACGTTTACTGAAAGATGGTTGTTCTTGCTCTTTGCTGACATATAAAGCAGGTCCCCCCGCCCCCTGGTCTGTAAGCCTGAAAGTAAGGTATCCAACGCTCACTTTCTGCGACGTATTTGCAATAAAGCTCATTTGATTGTAGCAACTACTAAAAGCTATATCCTGTCGTGCTAATGGGAGGAAGATTTAAGCGATCTATTTTGGAATCTTTCTTCAAACTTGTTCTTTTTTTATTAAACGAAGCACCACCTCTAGCCGTTTTTTTGGCTCCCTAACACTGTTTTACTTTCTGATTGTCTAATAATGGGTAGCACTGATCGTTATATTGACTATAGTAGATTCACTCGTTGGCTTGGGATCCTCTAGCTGGGGCTCATTTCACCACCGTCATGACCATGCAACAAGACAAGCAGGTATGAAATGGCAATCAAAGTGAAAATAAAATAATGCCGCCAGACAAGAGACCCTCTAAGCCAATCCGATTACTCGAAATCGGCATATAAAAGAGACATCTCCGCTTCAGACGCCATCTTCGAACGTCGTTTCGACAGCCCACTCCTCCCCTCTTTACAGAAATCACAAGCAAAATCACAAGGCGAGGTCGAGCCCGCCGGTGCAGGCGTGGAAGGTGGCAATTGCGAGCCCAATTCCTCAAGCTCAAAATCACCAAAGAACTCCTTGATAAGCCCATGTCGACACCGAGTAATACTCTCACAGTATCGAATAACTTTCCCGAAACTCTCAAGCTTCGCATCTCGATTCTCAATGCCATTTCTGCGGTGCTGCTCCGTGTCTCGGTATATGAACTTTTGTACGCGGTCACGCTCGAGCAGACCATAGTAAACGATTGAAGCCGCGGCACAGCCATCCCGACCTGCGCGTCCTGATTCTTGGACAAAACTTTCGAAACTGGAGGGCGGTGTCCAGTGGACGACGAAGCGGACGTTTGGGTTGTCGATTCCCATGCCGAAAGCGTTCGTTGCTACAATAATGGAGAAGGTCGGTGGGGTTTTACCCTCTGTTGATTGCTGAGCTGGTTCAGGTGCTTTCCATCTCTCTTGGATCCGGGACCGGTTCTCTGCTTCTAGACCCGCGTGGTATGGTACTGCGGAGACCGTCTGATCGGAGGATAATCGGCCTGCTAGATGCTCGGCTAGTGCGCGGGTTCCCACATACACAATTCCAGAAAGTGGTGCGAGTTGTGCCACCTGCTCTGCGCCGAGTCTGGCTTCTCGTCGGGTTCGGATGGCTCTGAGCCATCTGAGGAGGTTTGATAGTTGGCTGTCCTCGGCACCGCTGTAGTCATCATTGAAATCTTCGAGGTACCGGACCTCATAGTGGATGTTTGGACGGGCCGATGGCGTGTTGAAGAGCTTTAGTTTGGTCACGTCTAGGCCTAGGATGTCAATGATATCGGAGCGGACTCGCGGTGTCGCAGTTGCGGTAACAGCAGTGATAGGTACGGGTGGGTTAGTGAGGTTGTTTCTGAGCCAGCTCAGCTCTTTGTAGGCAGGACGGAAGTCGTGACCCCATTGACTGATGCAATGTGCTTCGTCAATTGCAATTCGGATGAGTTGGCCTTGCTTGTGGACAACTAGCAATTGGCGACGGAAATGCTCTGTTGCGCATAGTTCCGGAGTGACGTACAAAAGCCGCGTCCCCGGGTGGCCACAGAGCATGTCTTGCAGTACTCGTTTCTTTTCTGGTTGCGGTGTGTTTGAATTTATTGTTTCTACTGATACACCGAGAGCTTTTAGGGCGTTGACTTGATCAACCTGTCGAGAATTAGTTGATAGAAACCCCCATGAAGAAAATGATTGAGCAGATATCTCACCATTAGTGCCAGAAGTGGGCTCACAACAATCGTTACTATGGTCGAAATTAGTTTCTCGTCTAATGTCTTCAGTGTGTCGAAGGATATAAAAGGTAATACTCACAGCCCCAATCTTTCAACACCGCAGGGAGTTGGTAGCATAGACTTTTCCCGAACGAAGTCGATGCTTGCAGAAAAACATCGTGGCCCTCAATGACAGCCACAATAATATCTCGTTGTAGAGGACTATGAGTAGTGATTAGACACGGTCTTGTATGGTCGGTTATGTTAACCCACCGAAAATCATTCTTGCGAAAAGTGTTCTGCAGGCACCAGCGCATATTTGCCGTTTGGCGCGTGAGCGCTGGATTGTGACCCATCGTTCCTCATAGCATAGATATAAAGGTGCAAAGGCAGATGCACATTCAGGCCTGACGATCGAGTCTTCAACCGCGTTCCAGACGGACGCGGTGTCACGTGCCGATATCTTACTTCCTCTTTAGGATTGATGGAGAGGTCTCACTTCGACTACAGCAGAAGCCATAAGTAAATTACCCTTAACCTTAGTTCGATCTGGAGAAATGGCCTCGGACGCGAGAAAATAGGCAAAAATAAGCAAAAGAAAAGAGACGTAAAGCATACTCGGTTTACCACCTTGATAGAGACCTGTCCAAGACAGACCTCATTGTGCTGTGTCCTCAGTTGGAGCCCGAGTTTTCTGCATGATCTAATGTTGTTCTCTGTGGAGTGAAGTATAGTTCTTTGCCTACGTCGATGTCGTGAGATTATTGGTAAATTATAAATTTGTGCAAAAAAATCGCTAGAATCGGGATCTATATGGAAAAGTAATATACAAGCGCTGATTCACACTTCAGCTAGTTTTGAATCTCAGTCCCCCCGGCGTGGATTCCTTGACATCTGTTTATCAAGCTCTTCCTTGATAGCAAGGACGTCAATCGCCCTTCGGTGCTCAGGATGCCAGAGCCGCTCGAGTTGCACCCAAACATCGAGGACCTCTTTAGGGCCGCAACATGTTCCAAATGCTCTTAGAATAATGGTTATCATGCGGCGTCCAATGAAAACCCCATTCTCGACGTGTCGATCGACGTGCTGTTCTTGATCAGACTCGGAATGAGGGCGAGGCCTAAACACCTCGTCGAGTTCGTCTTGAGACATGAAATCGTCTTCTTCCTCTTTGGCAGATTTTGACTCAGGTGATTCAAGACCCTTGCGATCGGGGTCTTGTGGGGAAGATGGATCGCCATTTTTCTCGCCTTCCAGCTCCGTGGCGTTGTGCTCTCCGTCTGTTGATGGCAGAGACATATAGAGACCGTTGGGAGAATCACTCACTGGAAGCTCTTGCTCCAGGTCGATATCCACGGTATGGGCAAGTGGGTTCTCCCAAACATTCTTGGGGCTATTTAGGTATAGTCCACGAAGCCTTGAATTCGAGTCGTGTAGAGCCCGGATGTATGCGTGCCAGGTCAACCGAAGGTTTTCTGGACTCCACTGCTTTTTCCTCCGACCATGGATGGCGAAGCCTTCAAAAAGGAAGAGATAGATGATGCCACGTGGGGGCACATCGAAGGCTTTTTCCATGTCACCTACAACAGCCATGAAACAGTCCAGCTGGCCAGATGTGTAGGCGTGATATCGTAGAAATGTGTAGAAAGTCCGTGTATCTGGTGACAAAGAGAGAGAATTTTGAAGGGCACGGTGATATTCGGGGAACTGCTGCTTAAGAGCCAAAGACTTCTTTAGGACACGGCCTAGCACTCGGGTCTTTTGTCGATATTCTGGCATGTTGTAAGTCAAGCTTTGCGGGTCAGACTGAACCACTGCTTTGTCTTCAGAATGTCGATTGGTGATGCGTTCATTATCTTGCTTTTCCAGCATGCGTGCGTACAACCGCTCCGCCGTTCGTCGTTCGCCCGCCTGCAGGAAAGAAGCGATTAGGCAGTTCATGACAACCGTGTCGACAATCTCCCCAGATTGCACAAAGTCATCAAAAGTACTAAGAATGCCCTCTGCATCCCTAATCATGCCATGATAATAGATTTTGGAAACTTTCCCACAGCGCGAGAAGCTCATGCCCCGCTTGTTCATCTCTTCCTCTAGCCGACCCGCAACTGAGAATTGGCCGGCTTTGATGGCGATGTCAAATAGAATGTTGAAGACCACTTCATCGGCTTGCACTCCAGCAACATGTTCCATCTGCTGCCATAGGCCAATGGCTCGAATTAGGTCTTTCTTCAAAACGGTGCCATTTGCTCGGCCAGCCAGGTGGATGGCAGAAGACCAGAGTGAGAGAGACACAGGAAGCCCAGCAAGCACCATATCCTCTATCAAGGCTAAATAGCGACGAGCATCTACCCATCGCCGGTCTCGAGGATTCCCAAACCGACGCAATAGAGCACCGCGGGTCCGCTTAGAGAGTAATGTGATCCCAGGCGCAGGAAGATCTCTGTACAATCGAAAAAGATATTGAGTAGAGGCACTTTTCTCCTGCCACAATGTAGTGACAAGCTGAGCCACTGCCTCGCTCTCGGTTTCATCACGCGACACGTCTTCCGGTTTTTTAGTGAATTGCTGATACGATGCGACTGCATTTGCTGCTTTCTCCCAGTCATGATCAGCCAGTAATTTCCGATACAACGTCAATGTAGACAAGTATCTCTCTTTGTCGGGACTGAGATAAGCTGGAGGTTTTTCAAGAAACTGGTCGTCGGTTTCCGTCGTTTCCGTCATTCCAAGATCAGAAGCAAACGGTTCGTTATTGGATTGCGTAAAAAATGTGTGATCTCGGGTTGAGGCAGGTTTGTGATGTTGGTTTGGTGGTTTCCTGTCCGCAGTTTCGGTCGCCCACAAGGGTATATAATCGTTGTCTTCCTCCGTCTCCTCCCGTAAGCTCAAATTCGGTTCTCTTTCTCCTTCTGCCCCTTCCACATTGTCGTCTTTTGTACGCGCTAATCCATGACTAATGAATCTTGTGGGTTGCGACAATGGCAACTTCGAACTGGAATACACTGGTTGGCTTCGGGGTAGCTGCCCACAACTGGTCACCCCTTTGGCTCTCAACCTTTGTGAATTGCGATCAGAGGGACTCCATGCAATTGTCGCAATACCTCGGCGGCGCGGTGAATGCTCGTGGCACAAGCTTGCCAGAACCAGCGAGCCGACAAAAATATCTGCTATTGACGCGACGGACGGACGTGGACGGCGGGAACAGATCCTTCGAACGGAGGCGTGGGAGGGAGTCTTTGGAGACATTGGGTTTCGGAAAAGAAGAAGCTCATCCAAGGCCTGCCGGTGGTGATTTCGCAGGCCCGGTGAGCTGGGGGATCTATTGAGGTGAGGCATGAGATGGCAGACATCATGGCATTCGATAGGCCTCGCGCATCGAAAAAAGTGCCGTTAGCCACTCGCACGGTAAAGATTAGACCAATGCTGAGGGCTTGAAGCAAACAGCCAAAGGGAAAGAATGACAATCTGGACAGAAGAGGTGTTTTTCTGAAGTTGAACGGGCTTGCAACTTTCTGGCCAGGCGGAGCCGCCCTCGGCCAATCGGAGTCCGTGTTTGCCAATCCCATCTTTTTCGCTCCCGCAACCTCCTTCGCTATCTCCTCGACTTTCTTCACAGCAGTATACCTCTTCGGCCTGGACTTCTGCAGGGTCAAGTTGCAATGGGAAAAGTCAACCTCACAGCCCTGCGGGTGCGACAAACCGCGCTCAACCAATTCGCCAGCGGAAAGATCAATAAGCTGCCACAATGGGTCGACGTTGTTGGTGACATCCCTCCTGCTGAGACCCTCATCCGGACTCGCCCTCAGCAGCACCAGCTTGTTCAGCAGCGTTTGAAGACTATTGATGGAACTTCGAAGCCGCAGGTCGTCTTCCAAGTTCAAGAGAAGCGCAGGAAACCCAAGAAGCCCAGCCGCACCTTCATGCCCGTCGAGCTCAAATACGAAGAAGACCAATTGCGATCCGATTTCTTCCATGATCACCCTTGGGAACTTGCCCGACCCCGCGTGCTGCTCGAAAGCACTGGTAAGGACTTCGAGCAATATGATTGGAGCCGCATTGAACAGCCCGGAAAACGGCTAGACGGTGAAAGGTGAGTTCTTCTGGCAGTTGCTCTTTCGAAAGCTTCAACCACCTATCTCTCGATGATAACGTCCTCGTATTCTAACATGTCCTTCTTTATAGTGTTGTCCAGCGACAGCTGTGGCTCTTGAACAACGTCCCGGATATCAGCAAAAGCGCCTCCTACGACATCGCCCGTCGCGAATTCTACCGACTTCGACTCAAGGAGGATATTCAGCGGCGCGTTGCTGCCGAAGAGGCAACCGCGTATGGCGCAGAATTCGGACCGTCATACATGGACATTGGCATGCAGCATGAGAGCGAGCAATACGACAAATGGGCTGCCTGGGCTCGTAACCAGGCTCAGCTTATGGGCCAACGGGTAGCGGCTCTCAGTGGTGCCCCAGAGCTGGCGGGTGAAAGTGAGACTGAAACTATCGATGCCGAGGAGAGCGAAGAAGTGGCCGTTTGAGAACGGTATGGTTCGGGCCACGCTACGCGCTTTCTTGCAAGGGCATTTGGCCGAGCATTTCATATTGATAGTCCATGTACATTATTTTATCTGTCCAGCTGCTGTCCGGCTGGATGGTGTATTCCTCTATTTACGCGATAACACAAGCATTTACTTCCCTTCAGGCCCCAGTCACAGATGGTCTAAACAATGTAGCCTTTTAAGACGGATTCGATGACCTGGATTATCCTAAATATTATTTATAACCCCATTTTCCCCTACTTATGACATCGAAACTGAGCGTACTGTACCGTTAGGCTCGCGCAGCTGTTCATCCAATCAGATCATTTCCAGCCTCACCAACTTCAATGTTTCATTCCCTTGACTCGACATTTATACATTCACGCATCCAAACTCGCTGCTTTGGGACTCCTTGAATAGTACGGTAGATTCATTTCTTCTGCGACATTCCTTGACCCATTTTTTCCCCGTTTCTTTATCGCCTTCGTGGGGATCCGAGCTCCGTTTCACACTTACCCTCACCCGGTCTCGCAGCTTGTTCCAACCACCCCGACCTCGATTTTCCTCTCATCATTGATTCTCCCTATTACCTACTGCCTCGGGGCCTGTTCTTGAATTCGCGCCACCGAGATACCCGTCCTATCGATACGATATTCGACGATGCTTTGTACAAGTACCCGAAACACCCTTGCATTTTAAAGGTCGGCCTGTTGGAGGATTCACCTCGACTACTGGCGCATAAGCCATTTGCCAAATAGCCGCCTTGTGCGTGCCGGACCGACAACATCTTCGCTTCTACGAGCAATGACATCCGCGATGACTCGTGCGGAGGACACTGTGCGCGGGCTGCGCTTGTACCGTGGTGACACAGACGACGATGAGACAGAAACTGGACCGTCGGATTCAGGAAGCTCACTGCCACTATCACAAAATGAAGGCTCTCCATACCCGGATGAGGGAGGTAGTCGCCCCAATACCTCTTTGGGCGATTACTCGGAGAGCAGCAAACAACCGGCTGGTCCGAAAATGCTTACACACGAAGAGACGATTGAGCTAGCGCGGCGTGCTGTGGAAAGTGGTATTCAAGATACCAAACGTTCACTGGCAGGGAGCGAGGCCGTCACGGATGTGGTCAAGCCGAAGTTGACTATTGACCTCGGTCATTCACATATAGTTCGCATGCCAGAACCAGTGGTGGATATAATCAAGGATGAGGTGGAAAGGTATGTTCAAATCCTCGATTATCGCGATGTCTTGTATCAGAGCATGGCAGTACTCGTTGGATTTTCACTGACCTTTGAAGGCTTTCTCTCTCCAACAACTATCTCTTCCATATACCCTACCGCTTTGCGGAGTGCTTGCATCTACGTTATCTGAATATCAGAGCAAACAATTTCCGGGAGTTCCCCAAAGGAGTATGTGGTCTATCTCGGTATTGCTATGCTCAGATGCTAACCAAGTCAGATTTACAAACTACCACTTTTGGAGATCCTTGACTTAAGTCGAAACAAGATCAAGGAAATCCCAGATGAAATCAGCAAATTAAAATCTTTGCGGGTGCTCTCAGTCATGCAAAATCGCCTCGAGGATCTTCCAGTGGGGCTTTCTGAGATGCCCAAGCTTCAAGTTATCAAGTGTGCCGGCAATCCGCTACGGGCTCCGCTACGTGCGATATTGGAGGAAACTGAGACCGAGATGGCAGACTCTGGGATGACAGACAATGAGAAAGAAGTCGCATCTACGGCAGAGCTCAAAAGAGGGTTGAAAGCTCGACTTACGGCCACTACTACACCTGAACCAGAAATCATTCCAGACTCAGGGTGAGGCTATAAAATGATCTTAAATACCTAGAAATAAGCTAATACTTCACAGAGATGGTATGATGGATGCATTCAGGCCGGCTCCTTCAAAACGGAGACCAAGTGCCCGATTCCCTGTTATCCCCAGCACCGGTGATAGCTCGGCGGCCTCTTCTCGATCTCCTTCTATTTCGAGAGCTCCTCCAATCCCGGCAAAGTCACATTATCGCATGGCTTCTGGGCAACAAGGCGCTACTTATCACATGCCCGCTCTTCAAAGACCTGGCGTTGCTCCTCATTCCATCAATGAACGCAACCGAAGTAACAGCGAAGGTATTATTCAGGGATCCTCCGCTGCTCGAAGCAAACGCATGGGTGTCATTACTCGCAAGAACACCGATTTAGGTACATTGGATGAGACACGCCCATATAGAAACAGCCATTTACGCGGTCTGAGTCATGGTTCTGTGCTTCGACCTCGGCCAGCTCCGCCAGCTCCTGTCAGTGGTAGCAGTTCCTCAAGTCCAAGCAGTCCAAGGGAGCGTCGGCGTGTCCGAGAAGGCTGGGTCAATCGAATGTCAAGCTTGCCAGAGCACAAGCGAGAGCTAGGATCGGACCAGCCTATCATCAGAGGAGCGAAAGGCATTTTGTTTGCTCTTTTCCAGGTTCATTCCCATATCTCCACGTTGATCAACGTGATCAAGCGTGATGATACTAGACGCCACAGCCTCGAGCTTGTCTTTCACAATGCCTCCTCGCACGTCGAACGCCTCAACACTGCTCTCGAGAGTGCCGAAGTTGCCTTGCTCGAAGACATTGGTTCAATTGCTTCTGTCACTGATACAGTCAAACGCGAATGCGAGACTTGCATCGTTGCTTACACACACGTCGGCACGCAGCTACGCAACAGCTCTGCCAAAATAGTCGCCAACGGTGATCCTCGTTATGTGCGATCGCTGATGCTTATGATGTTTGGCAGCCTGGTTGAATTGCGAAATGCTTGTGCCATTCTGGAAGCTCCGATCGAAATGATCAACAAGAGTGCCTCTGCCACAAAACGTCTAGCTCCTGCCAATGCTTTGAACTCCATGCCCAGTCGGTCACAGCCCTCGCTTGTTACTCCAACGAGAGATCATGCTCCTCCTACACGACGATTGCGAAGCGACACAACAATTCGTCATCCTCAGTTCCCTATGGCCATGACAAATAGCAACAATGGCGCTAATTCGCCCGGTTTCTCGACGCCTACTTTCACCAGTTTCTCTCGCAGCCGCTCTAGCAGTAGATCAAACTTGATCAACTCGTCTATGCCACATTCCCTGGCAACTCCTCGATCGGGCGAAACTTTCCCTCCTATTCCTGCATCCGGGCCTCCTCATGTCAGTACATTAACTGGATTAGACGAAAACGAAGAGGAACGCATTTTTGAGAGGATCTTCCATCAGCTTACTTCTGCATATACTGCTGCATTTGGTGCCCTTCCTTTGGCACGTCGGCAATTCAACCGCTGCTTAGAAATGGCCCAACAATCACGAACCCCTGAGGGAATTCAAATGGTCTGGACCAACCTTATCCGTCGATGCCGATCTTGCCAAGAGGTTTCTGAGGCCCTGGGTCAGCGTCTGTCGACCATGAAAATCAAGGAACCAGGTGGTGGGCTCCGTAACCAACGTGAGTTCTGGCAGCTTTGCAAAACATTCATGCAAGCCTTCGTCGACTTGGTGACCGATCTGCGCGAGGTCAAGAACATGCAGCTCCTCCCACAAGACATTATCATTATTCTACGCCCAGTTCAGAAGGCAAGTCGCGAAGCAGGTCGCCTGATCGAGGTATCTCCTTGGGCCTATCTCGCGGACATGGCCACAAAGGACACCCCCGGTGGCTCATTGTATGGACCTCCCCTGCAGGCCCCGCACTCGCAGCATCAAACCTCCGTTTCTACGTCTGCCATCACGTCTCATCCCTCTTACCATCTCGGCAACGCCATCCCGCATTCTGTCACTGTTCCTGCCACTCCGCTAAGTGCGGCTCTGGGTCCGGCTGCGCAGGCCACCGTCCCGTCCACACCCGCAAGTGCATACAGTGACAAATTTTTCGAGGGCGATGTCTTCCAACGTGCTGACTCACTTTTGTCAATGCAAAACCAAGCGCCTTTCTTCCGACGCTAGATGATTCTCACATATTCTTCAACGTATCTATGAGAAACACCCTCTCCATGCTTCATGATTGCGCATGCTCATTTTTATCTGCATTTAATGATTATGACTCTGCGCAATTACTACTCCTGCATTCTTGGTTGCCAATTAAACTTTACAGCTGATTTGATCTTTCGCCTTTCTTGTTTAGGCGATTTCATATCGCGATATTCACCCTTTTCTTTCTTTGAATTAGCGAGTTGATATCTTTCGGCAGGTCGAATTCTTTTCTGAACAATTGAATACCTACTCTTCTTCAATACTCCGAGTTCTATAAAGCTTTTCTTCTGCGAATGTATCTTATACACTAGATTTATAGAACAAATAAGCTTTTCATGAGCAGTGGTAGAGCATCTCTCGGTGTTCTACTTCTTTTTCACATACTACAGCATTTAGAACGAAGCTAATACGGTAGACAAGGTCTTGCACACTTATATCGAAATCTTATTTTGTGCTCGTTACCATCTATTCCATTCATCTGGCCGTGTATACAGTTCCACGTAGTGTTTCAGTAAACTTACTTTGAATTTTCGGCCCGAGAGTAGATATATATCATTGTATTGCAAAATCTAATTTTGACGTATGGTTATACATTTCATTTTTAGACATAATTTAAATTAAGAGACTTGATTTATATATATAGCATTTCCCATGTGTGTACTTCTGAGCTTCTCGGAGTCGAAATGCACTAATAAAGCTACTACTAACCATTGACCATCTGTTTCTTCGTGCTGAGACGGTGTCAAGGAATTTGTGCAAGTTACCGTTCAAATACTACATTTGCAGTAATCTGAGTTGCATCATGTCTAAGTTGAACGTGTACTAAATTTGTGATATCAGTGCTGTGGTTCCTGTAGCGGCCCAATATGCTGGTAGGTATCCTGATGGCACGTGCAAACTAAGAGATCAGATATCAATGCATGCATTCCTTTGGGCGAACCATAAAAAACATCTCTTCCATTTCGCCATCCGAAGACGTGAATTCTCCCTGAAAGTCCAAGTGCGAACAGCATCAAAACGGAACAAACCAAGGGATGAGCTCGCCGGATGTTGATCGCAGATCGCAGATCGTGCACGGACCAGACACCGCTCGCGTTCGGTTTCAGAGAGGAACTACAACGTTGCAGACGGAACTAGAGTGAACATCCATTTTGAATGATTTCAGATACCTGGTAGAGATAGAAGTAAGAGACAACAGCTAACAGGGAACAAATCAAAAATAATGCGCCAGTCTATAACCCAAACAAATGTCAATTAGACACCAAAAAAACAGACCCTTTGCCAAATGGCAGTATAGTGTAATGAAACGCCCTTCCACAGTAAACGCCTGTGGATGAAAAGACCTTCCAAAAATGCAAGTGCAGGACGGAACGCTGAAGAGCAAGTCAAAGGAGACACTTGAAGCAAGCAAAACCAGTAATCAAAAAGAAACAAGAAACAAAAAACAAGAAAAGCAAAGAGTAAAGAGTAAAGGAAACGAGATCAGACCAACGCAGGTTCAAGATCAGCCATTGCGATCTCGTCACGGAGGTAGAGCAACGGAGCCCAGACACGCCAGTGCAAGACACCAATATGGGCAAGACGCATGCCGATACGCTCGATATCAGACATCTGCGGTGTAAGCTGCTGCGACGAAGCTGCAGACCCAGAAACCACAGGTGCAGACGATGAACTTCCGGGAACAGGAACTGATGATGAAGGCGGCGTGCGCTGTGATTCGCAAATGGCCAGGGGCGATAAGGGCAGATATCTGCGTGCAGACGCCAAGGTAGTATGGAGGACCTTGACCCGCATACTATTCTGGAAATATCCAAAAAGATCGGATTCATTGGATAGGTGCCACTCGAGTGCCTCCTCGATTGGGGCGATAACTTCGTCGGCGACAACGGCGTCGAGTTGCAATGCTGCACAGGCGAAGCGGCCGATTTCCAAGGCAATGCAGCGCATGTTTTGGGTCCAGCGCTTGCCACCGCGGTGGTCTGGGTCATCGTCGTTGTCGGAATTACTGGCGATACGGCTTTCCATGTCCATTCCGTCTTCCATCAGGGACCAGACGCGCGTGCGGAAGGTCGAGTAGGTTTCCTCTGGAGCGGAGAGGTACCGCTTGTGCTTGTTGACGTAGGATTCGAAGATGTACCAGGAAATGTCGAGATTGATCAGGTTTTGGACTGTTGAGCGGAGTTGCCAGAGGCGTTCGCTGTCGAAGAGGAAGGTATCGGGGAACTCCTCTGGTGGGTTGAATTGGAGAAGTTGATCCGTGATGCCACGGAAAAGAACTTCAATGGGCTTAAGAGAATCTTCTGTTTCCGGTGTTGTCGTATTTTCAGGCTGGGTCCCCATCTTTTGCGCGTCTTCTTGTCGGGTTCGGTCTCGCATGGCTAGGTACCAGTGACGGGCGGGTTCGACATGGAAACTTCCCCGGTTCAATTTGCCCTGGAAGTATTCTTGGAGGAAGGGGACAGTGTCTTCGATGAGTAGAACGCGGAACGCACGGATTTGGTGATTTGCGACATCCTGGAAGAGGTGAGTAAGTTATGATATACTATGAAAGGGTATTGAAACCTACCAGTTTCATCGCTTCCAAGATGGAGAACAATGTTTGTAAGCCATTGACAATCTCCCGAGGATCTTGTGACTGTGATCCCTCTTGGATCTGATCAACCATGCGATCAGCCCACTCGTCTCGCATAGGAGCACAGTGTGTCTTGAGAAGTGCAGCCAACCACGTCGCCAAGGTAAGCATATCGAGAACACCCTTGCGTATTTGTTGCATGAGCAACGGAACCTCTAGATTCTGCATGACAGTCGGATGATCCCGCTCTGGAACAAGCGTTTTGATGACGTCCTGCAACGTCTCGAACAAGGCGGGCAAACGCGGGTCGAAGGTGCGTCGGGAACCGTCAGTGGACTCGACTTCCTGAATCGTGATATCGGCAGTGGCAGCACGGAAGGCGTAAATTGCAATCTCCGAGGCCAATGAGTCCCAGTAGTCTGCAGCTTCCTTCTTCTTGCGTTTGCCTTTCTCCCCGTCCAGATCCGGCTTAAAGTGCAAATCGCGGTCAAAATTGGCGTCCATGCGAAGATTGATGTTGCTCATGATACAAGGCAGGTCGAGCTCGCTAAGCATTTTCTTCGTAACTGGGGGAGACCTTCTGGCTTTGCGCAATAGCCGCTGGTCACGGGAACTGAGTCCCAGCGCTTGCGGTATGCTGATAGCTTCTGGTGACGGTGAAGGCTCTCGCGGCCGAGAAATGGCGGATGATGCCGGTTGTTGAGAGCCGTGCGGATATGCGAATGGTTGTTGACGCCGACGGAGAGGATGAATAGAAGCTCGATCATCATGTTTGTGAGAGTCTCGGCCCTCCTTCTTGTGATACTCCTTTGAACGGCCTCCTCCACCGCCATAGGCCTCGAGAGACCCTTCAGCGCCCTCCTCCTTCCGGGCCTCCTTGGTGCCCTGTAGATCCATGTTTAGACACGAGATGGTCCCTACTTAGGGTGTCAGATAAATGAAGATTCCGACAATGGCAAGGCCACGCCATGCACCGAACCAAGGCGCAGGCCAGACCCCTATGCAACTCACAAGTTTAGAAGCCCCCTGTTTGCCTGAGGCAGGCAGCCAATCCGCAGCCACCGAAAAGTGATGCAAGGTGAGCTGTCGATTGTGGTGGAGCCAAGGATAGCTTGGATCTGCAGCGATTGCCTCGTGGTCCAGGGGAAAAATTAGATTAAAAATAATAATAAAAAGGCGCGGTGAGGAATCACAAATAAAGGAAGAGATATTAAGCGCGTATAGTTAAACCAAAGTCTCAGGCGATCAAAGACCAAGGGGAAAAAAAGGCAAAACTTTCAAGGCAAACAGAAGCCCAAGTCTGAATAAATAAATCCAAGCAGAAAAAAAGAAAGGAAAAGAAAGAAAAAGGGAGCGATTGGTAAAGCGACCGGGATGCACAGATATAGTCAGTGTGTCCCCCAGACACCGGATTCGGGTGGACGCAACCAGTTCTGCGCATTCCTCTGCTGTTACCCGCACACATCGAGACTGAACTGGTTTTATTGGGGCTATTGGGCTATTGCGGTAGATCGTCGCATCGGATCTGATGTGTTTTCATGTAACTTGATCTGGTCGAAAGGGGCGAATCCGCCTCACTTTGAACGTGAAACCAGTGCATTGGCCACGTGAGTCTCCTTTTCGCGCACTGTATGCGGTTTGCAGGGAGAGCAACCTCTGCAAACCAGCAATGGCAGTCTATCGAGGTGATCGAGGTGATCGAGGGATCGACTCGAGAGAACGAGTGAAGCACCAAGAAGATGAAGAAGCATCGGGTCGTTCGTCGGGATCGGAATGTTTTCAGTGTGGCGCCTGATTCCTCAGGCCAATAATATCTGGACTGTAACGTTATCACTTTCTATACTTCCAACTGCACTCTCGGCGTCTATTTCGGCTATTGGACTTGCTTCTTTGTGCCTTGGTGTCATTCAATTACTGAGACAGTATCAGTATGCCCAGCACTAGATGCACCACTCTGAACCGTCCGGAGAATCGAAGATGAATTAGCCCTATTGACACCCGAATCAGGAACCCGCTCAATAACATCCGCATCAATACCCTCATGTCTCAAAGGATGCAGATAAAAAGATGTTTTCCCCATGGAATCTCTTCTTGTACAGTCCTATCTTTTCTAGAGCTTCAAATTCAATCTTCAAAACCGTCGATCGCCAAACCATCTGTGGCTACTGTCGCCGATCATGAACATCTCGGCATTGCTATATTTCTGGAATATCTTCTGGGCTACCCCGGCATTTCTCTTTTCGAGAACCACCAAGTCACCTAATGTTTCCCAATTCGAAGTACATTCTTTGCCGGATAGCCCTGCGTTACCAACCAGCTGGGCTGGTCGACTTCCGGTTCCGGGCAGAGCGGATCGGAATGATATCTTCTTCTGGCTGTTTCAAGCAGAGCAAAAGACATACGACGATAACCTGATAAGTAAATTAAGTCAAATGGCATACAAAACATACAGTAACTAATAGTATAAAGTTTGGTTCAATGGCGGCCCCGGCTGTTCATCGTTGATAGGATTAACCACCGGAAATGGCCCCATTCTGTTCGATGGCAACTCGACCAAACTCATTCACAATCCAAATTCGTGGACAAAACTTGGCAATGTTCTGTATGTCGATCAACCGGTCGGAACAGGCTTCTCAACAGCCAGTTTCCCCTACCCGGTCAAAGACAATGCACGAGTGACGGACGACTTCACACGCTGGCTACATGGCTTCTTCATGTATTTCCCACACCTTGCAACAAAACAAATCCATCTAATAGGAGAGTCATACGCCGGCCTCTACATACCGTACTTCGCATCAGAACTCCTCAACAGCGAAAACAAACTACCTCTAGACGTGCGGTCAATGTCTCTCGGCGATGGCTCATGGGGCAATGGAGCAGCAATGTCATCCGTCGCAATGGGAGCCTATCTAAAATCCAAAGCATACATGCTCAACATCCCCGAAGAAATCCTCTCAGTTTTCAACGAAGCAGACAAAACCTGCGGATTCAACGATATACTCGCCCAATCCGCGATCTACCCACCAAAGCACAGAATCCACATTCCAGGGAATCCAGAGAACTTCAACCTGAAACGTCGGCTTAGCAGAGACATGAATGACGCCCTAGACTCATCATGCAACATCTTCCCAACAACCCCAGATGAAGTCCGCATCTCAATTTTCAACTCAACATGCTACGGCCACTGCGCCGCCCACTCAACGGCAATGGACTACATGACAACGACGTCCGATGACGGGTCCAGAAAACCGGCCTGCTACGATGTTTACGACATCAGCCATGACTGCAGCACCGTCTCCTCTTTGCCATTGATGGCCGAGTACTTCAGCCGCGCTGACGTCCAGTCTGCTCTACATGTTGGCCATAGTGGCGCTTTCCAAGCCTGCAATTCGACTATTTTGAGTACACTTCTTGCGGCAGACTCACCTGTTCCGCCAGAGTACTCCATTCTCCCATCTCTGGTTACGAAACATAACGTCTCGCTGCACATCTACAACGGAGAGTGGGATATGTTGATCAATCACATTGGTACTGAGTTGTCGATCCAAAATATGACCTGGCGTGGTGCGCAGGGTTTCTCACAGAAACCGATTCAAGTTTTCTATCCTGATGATGCGGCGCCTTCTTTGACGGTCAATCCGACGGGGACATCGGCTGCTACTACTACTCTCTCGACTGTAGCGGCCACTGCTGCCCCTGCTGGTACGTGGGCTATGGAGCGTGGTGTGTCGTACCACTTATTTCGGGGAGCGGGACATAGTGTTTTTGCCACTAAGCCGAGGGAGATGTTTGCCTTTGTGAGAGATGTGGTTGTTGCTCCGAGAAGGGGCTAAGGTTGGAGGATTAGGGCAGGGGTACTGGACATATTGCATTTGGTGGATGGAAAAGACGGAGGGACAATTCAGATGGCCATTGATATTTTGAATCTGTATAATTTTCGGGCGTGTTTCTTTAGTTCGATTCATTTTCTTCTGGATATTGGATCGATGCAGATTTTCATGGACCACATAATGATTATTTCGTGACATCTTCACACTCCTGCATTTATTTTACTACTCTCTTCCAGTCTCAGTCACAAACACCAAGACAGCAACCGGGAAAACAATCTCGAGGCTAACAAATAAGCTCGGGGCGACGGCGCGCGGCGCGCGACGGCTAATTTGGGCGGGCGCTATAGATAACGCGGCCCGCTCTCATTTGTAAATTCCATGACGGAAAGTCATATCAGCCTCGCACTGTCGACGGAGGAAAATGGAATATATAGATCCCTCTGTGTCTGTCTTGGACAAACAGTATGATATCCACACGCATTTCATTAAGTCTTCTTATTGGTCAGTCTATACTTGGTCTTCATTCTGTAGTACTTTGGTTGACTGGGAACAGATTACGACAATGACACAAACACACTCCAGCAGAAGTGAGGAACGACCTCTAACTATTTCGCAATGGCGGGAATTACAACAGACGGTTTCCGAGCCTACTCACATATTGTCCCTGCTCGAACAGGCGCAACCAAACACATCAAATGCCTGGATCTCATTGGCAACCCCGGCACAAATTATGGAACAATGGGAGAATATAACAGCGCTTCGATCAGAGGGAAGAGACCTTCCACTGTTTGGCGTACCATTCGCCGCCAAGGATAATATCGATGCCGCTGGTTTTCGCACAACAGCCGCATGCCCAACATTTGGCACTGAGCCTGTCTTGGCCGACTCGACAGTGGTAGAACGACTGAAGCTACAAGGGGCCATTATCATCGGCAAGACCAACCTGGATCAGTTTGCGACTGGTCTTGTCGGCACAAGGTCTCCATATGGCGCCGTTGCCAATTCCTTTGATCCAAAGCGCGTCAGCGGCGGTAGCAGCTCCGGCAGCAGCGTGGTCGTTGCCCAGGGACTTGTTGCGTTCTCTCTTGGCACAGATACAGCGGGTTCGGGCCGGATACCTGCCGGCTTGAATAATCTTGTTGGACTCAAGCCCACGCGAGGTGCGTTGAGTACACATGGCGTGGTACCTGCATGCCGATCACTTGATTGTGTTTCGATCTTCGCCTTGACTCTGGACGATGCAGACCTCGTTCTGAGACTGGCTGAGGGGTATGATGTTCAAGATGCATACTCGAGAGATCGGGCGAGCTGTGCCACTGGCAAGGTTCCTCGAGGTGCCTTGTCCTCTCAGCCGAAGCTGGCTGTCTGTTCCAACCCCGAGTGGTACGGCCAGACTGAGCAGATTGAACCATACCAAATGGCATTGGCCAAGGCCCAGCGACTAGGCTGGAAGCTAGAGTCTGTCGACTTTACGATGCTCTTTTCTCTTGCCAACCTTCTGTATGAAGGCCCCTGGGTTGCTGAGCGATATGCTGCCATCGAAAAGTTCATTCAGTCAGTCCCAGCTGAGGCCATGGATCCCGTTGTTCGAGAAATCATTATGAAAGCCGAGAAGTTTTCTGCTGCAGATCTCTTCGCATGCGAGTATAACCGACAGGAGCTGTCCCGCGAGATTGAACAAATCTTCCTGCAGTATGATGCGCTGCTAGTACCTACAGCTCCCACATTTCCCTCGATGCAAGATCTCATGAATGAACCAATTAAGGCAAACAGTCAGCTGGGCAGATATACCAACTTTGTCAACTTCCTGGACTGGTCTGCTTTAGCAATTCCTGCTGGCTGGAGAGAAGATGGTCTTCCTTTTGGTATCACCTTGATTGGAAGGGCGTGGGAAGAACCTCGATTGATCAAGCTTGCTCGGCGCTGGATGTCTGATTCCCCCTGCTTTCTGGGAGCAACGGGTGTGGAGTACCAAGAGCTCTGCGTTGAGCCCCCCAGCTCTGCAAACTCGATGCAGTTGGCTGTAGTCGGTGCTCATCTTTCTGGATTTCCCCTGAATAAGGATTTAGTCTGCCGGGGCGCTACTCTGGCCACTGCCACAACTACAGCTCCATGCTACCAGTTATATGCTCTACATACAACAGGTCCGGTTTTAAAGCCCGGCCTGAAGAGAGTGAGTGATGGTGGCAATTCAATCGAAGTGGAGGTTTGGGACATGCCGCTTGACCAGATGGGCAGCTTCCTTAATACGGTTGCAGCACCCCTAGGCCTTGGATCCATTGAGCTGCAAAATGGCCGATGGGTACATGGATTCATTTGCGAGCCTACAGGCTTTGAAAATGCAAAGGACGTGACTGGCTATGGCGGATGGAGATCATACATCCAGTCTCTCGCCATTTCGACCGCCGAATCGTCGCGCGATGCATCCCCTACACCTGCAACCAGTGTCGGAGATGTCGGCGAGAAGCGTATCACGAAAGTTTTGATCGCCAACCGCGGGGAAATTGCAGTGCGTATCATTCAGACTCTATGCAAAATGGGGATCTCTTCCGTGGCTATTTATTCAAGTTCCGATGCTCGTGCGCCACACGTTATTGCTGCGAATGAAGCACTTCCATTGGTTGGAAACACAGTATCCGAAACGTATTTGAATGGCCAACAAATTCTTGAATTGGCTATCAAAGCCGATGCTGATGCTGTCATCCCTGGATACGGCTTTTTATCAGAGAATGCCGTGTTTGCCGCCGCTATCGAGGCTGCAGGTCTGGTCTGGGTTGGCCCGACCCCTGAGCAAATGAGAGATCTTGGGCTGAAACACCGTGCGCGTGATATCGCTATTACAGCCGGTATTCCTGTCGTCCCCGGCAGCACGGGCCTAGTAACTAGCCTTGAAGATGCCCTGGCAGAATCAGAGAAAATTGGCTATCCAGTAATGGTGAAAAGCACCGCGGGCGGAGGCGGAATCGGCCTTCAGCGGTGCGCTGATATTGATGCGCTGCGAGAAGCATTTGACAGTGTTCGTCGACTGGGGGAGGCGAACTTCGGCGATGATGGAGTTTTTATTGAGCACTTCATTGACCGGGCCCGACATATCGAAGTTCAGGTGCTGGGCGATGGCGCAGGTCGGGTGATTTGTGCTGGCGAGCGCGATTGCTCACTCCAGCGTCGAAACCAGAAGGTTATTGAAGAATCCCCAGCTAGCTTTGTTTCAGCGAAAATTCGAGCTGACATGCGTCGTGCTGCTGCTTCTTTGGTTACCTCTTTGCAATATCGCAATGTTGGCACCGTGGAATTCATCTTCGACATCGATACTGAAAATTACTATTTTTTGGAGATGAATACGCGTCTCCAGGTTGAGCATCCAGTGACAGAGGCCGTGACAGACCTTGACCTTGTTGAATGTATGATGCAAATTGCTATGAACGACTGCGGTATTCTTTTCCCTCAGCAGATAAATGAGGTCCCAGTCTCCGGTGCGGCGATTGAAGCTCGTGTATATGCCGAAAGCCCCCTTCAAGGATTTCGACCTTCTCACGGAAAGCTTTTGAATGTTGAGTTCCCATCTAATGCTCGCATTGACACATGGGTCAGTTCAGGCCAGGAATTATCATCTTCTTTCGACCCAATGATTGCAAAGATCATTGCATACGGCGATGACCGTGCTGCGGCCCTTCGAAGTCTTTCAGAAGCCCTAACCAAGACGATCATCACTGGCGTAGAAACAAACCTGAAGTACCTGCAGCAAATTGTTGCTTGGGAGCCATTCAACTCTGGATGCTTCACAACGGCATCGCTGAATGATTTCCAATACGATGTTCAAGTTGCGGAGGTCATTGATGCTGGGTCCTCTACTGCTGTTCAAGATTTTCCTGGTCGTCAGGGTCTCTGGCATATCGGTGTCCCGCCCTCTGGACCAATGGATTCTTACTCATTCCGTCTTGCCAACAAAATAATTGGCAATGATGACCGTGCCGCAGGGCTTGAGTGCTCCACTCAAGGCCCGACACTTTTGTTCCACTCCCCAACCGTCGTTGCTGTCGTCGGTGCGGATGCTCCTATATCCATAGACGGCGAGATAAAGGAGCCTGGTGTTGCGATCAACATTGAAGCTGGACAGAAGCTTTCCATCGGTACAGCCACCAATGGTTCCCGAGTTTATCTCGCCGTTCGAGGAGGATTCCAAGTTCCCGAGGTTCTCGGTAGCCGTTCGACATTTGCAATCGGTCACTTCGGAGGGCACAATGGACGCAGCCTTCGGGCTAGCGATCTTCTTCCTCTAATAGCGAGAGAAGAATCGAGAGAGGAAGTGATTGAGAAAGCGAGCGAAGAAGCGAGTGAAAAGAAAGACCCAATTTTTGCTTTGCCGATACCTGAGAACCGAGAATGGGTCGTTGGTGCGATCCCAGGGCCACACGGTAGCCCGGGCCATTTCACCCAAGATGGCCTACAAGAGCTTTTCAATGGTAAGTGGACCGTCCACTACAACAGTAATCGGCTCGGAGTTCGCCTCACCGGACCTCGTCCAGAGTGGGCACGCAAAACAGGTGGTGATGCTGGCCTGCATCCCTCTAACATTCACGACAGTCCATACTCAATTGGAAATGTAAGCTTCACAGGTGATGAAGCGGTTGTCTTGACAGCAGATGGGCCAAGCCTGGGAGGATTTGTTGCGTTTGCAACAGTTGCAGAGGCTGAGATGTGGAAGTTTGGTCAGATGAGACCAGGCGATCGCCTCCGACTGCGTGCCATCTCCCTCGATAATGCGCAGGCACTCACTCGGAACATGGAGCACTCGATTGCTAGTCTCAGCCCATTGGTATCGGAGGACTGGGAGAATACAAGCTCTGTCACTGTTTCCAGCCCCGTCGTGAGAGAGATCTCCGAGGCCGGCCGCTTCATTCGTTGCTGCCAGGCAGGTGATCGTGCCTTGCTGCTTGACTTCGGCACTGAAGATAATTTCAAGCTCAGACAAACATTTCATATCATGACTTTCATCGAGAGGCACCGTGTTTCACCAATTCCTGGCGTCGAGGAGCTGACATCAGGGGTTCGAAGCCTTCATATTCGGCTGGAAGCAGGGTTCTCACTATCGCAAGTTCTTGATGCACTGGTCGCGCACGAGAGTTCTCTTGGGAGTGAACTCCCCTCTCGACTATCATCTCGCGTCGTGCACATGCCTCTCGTTTTTGACGACGAGAGAAGTCGCAATGCCATTTCCCGCTATACGTCGACTATTCGTTCCTCGGCACCGTATTTGCCCAGCAATATTGAGTTCCTGCAAAAGTTGAATGGACTTGATAGCCACAGTCGAGTGGAAAGCAATCTGTATGAAGGCGCGTTCCTCGTACTCGGTCTTGGCGATGTGTATCAAGGGTCTCCCTGTGCTGTACCACTGGATCCCCGCCACCGATTGTTCGGAACCAAGTATAACCCTTCCCGCTCTTTCACTCCTCGTGGTGCTGTCGGTATTGCTGGTCAATATCTATGCATCTATGCGACTGACTCTCCGGGTGGGTATCAGCTCGTCGGTCGGACGGTTCCAATCTGGGATGAGTTCCACAGGCCAGAACTGGGCGAAAAGGCGCCGTGGATGTTTTCTCTCTTGGATCAGATTCGTTTCTACCCTGTCACCGAGGCAGAGCTTTCTGCAGCGGAGGCCAATGGAACTGCCAGTGATCTCATTATAATCTCCGACAATGAGCTGGACCTCAATGAATATGAGGGGTGGCTGGAAGAGACTGAAGAAGATATTGCTGCTGTTCGGGAACAAAGATCTAAGGCAATGCATGAAGCTGATTTCTTCGATGATCTACTCACGCCGTACGACGCTGTTGCAATGCGGCCCGGTCGAGGCTTAGAGAATGACGAAGACATGCTTGGAGAGCGAGTAAAGGCACTATTGCCTGGGAGGTGCTTCCGCTGCGCTGTCAAGGAGGGAGACGAAGTGCAAGCAGGAGATTCTCTGGTGAGTGCATTGTAAGCCGATCTCAGTACTCAGGCTTCCGACTAATTGCATATAGATCTGGATAGAATCCAACAAAATGGAGGTCAAAATATGTGCCCCCATCAGTGGAAAATGTGTGAGACTGCTGGCTGCTGAAGGAGACATTCTTGAGCCCAGTGATGATGTTGTGATTATTCAATAGGAAGTCTGCGCGTAAAAAGCAACAATAAAGCAATACAGCCATAAGCCATAATCTTATCAAACTCACCTGTTTGGACAACTACAATTCGAGGCATTCAAGAAATAGACAAAAAGAAGAATCGAGAAAATGGACAAAATGACCTTGAAATACCATGTTCGCTTTGAGATTTCTTTGCAGCGACTCTTGGAACAGTTCATCGACGGTGGCACATATCATGTTGGTAACCCCTATGGTATGATGTCAAGCTTTGAGATAATTCGTCATTCGTTATATCGTCGATCAGAAACCCTTGAGGCCATCAATGTTGTAAACATCGCCGTAGATCGTTGCAGAACAAAAGTCCGCGAGTGCTAAGAGTCTCGATATGTTGCTGCCTTCAAAGCAGCCAAATCCCCAACTTCCTCATGAAGCATGCGGAGTGCCTCGCGAGCAAATGGGGCGGCAGATGCTCTGACCTGCAAGACCCACCGAAGCGTTTCAAGTTGTTTAACGTACCCCGCCGCTTCGTCTACTTCTGGACTCGTTGCCCACAGAAGACCAGCAAAGGCACCAACCAAAGCCACTTGGGCTGCTGCCGCAAAGCCCCAAAATGATTGAATGTGTTCGGGTTGAAACGATTCAATCAGGTTCATCGCCGATGTCAGTCGGGACCGGGCAGCGGCTCGAATTGCCGAACGAAGAGAAGAGGTGGTATCGGGCGTCAGAGCACGGAGTAATGCGCGGTGCATGGTCAGCTCTGCTGCCATATGTGAGAGATGCAAGGCTCCGTTTGTCGATAGTCGTAACGAGGGCGTGGATTCCAGCTGGAGACTAGTAGGCACGGCCACATACCATTCGCGCAACTCCATCGCTAGTGGTTTCGCCAAATTCATCGCACCCGATGGTCCAATCCGCTCAAGTAGCCCACCTTTCTTTGTTGCACCAATTGAGCAAAATGTGGAGATGATCCGGCTAAAGATCTTGGTTAACTCAATCATTTGCAAGAATGCAGCCCGACCTGCACCTCCGTCTACATCTGCGTCGCCGTTTGCCTCTTCACTGCTTGCGTCCTCTGGGAAATCGTTAAGTGTACAACGGGCAACATCCCAATCACTTGCTGCTTCGTTTTCGTCAACCTGAGCAGATATGAGAGATGGCCGCCCGTGCACAAGGACACCCCACTTATCCTGCATGTATAGCGCCCAGGCTAAACGTCGCCTTAGGCCTTTCTCCCATTCTGGAATTTTCCAATCTGTGCAGTCAATATGAATCCCCAAAGTCTGCCCGAGCGACAAGAGTTGAGCTGGAAAGGTGCTGTGGGAAGATCTGATTCTTTGCAATAACAACAGGCCAGCCTGTAGTGTAGAAATTTTGGGCCGCTTCAGGTCGTCATCCATTGCACGCATGGCCAGACGTTCCAGAGCTTCGGCATCGGGTGTCTGAGTGGCCGTAGCAAGAACTCGATCAAAGAGTTTCCAGTCTAGTGCGACAAGATAAACGGCAGCGAGGAGCGGTGGTGAGAATTCGCGATAAGACCGAGCATATTTCTCTAGAAAAACGCCCTTGTCCAGAATCGGAAATGTGCGGTGCATGATACGAAAGTACAGATTTACTAAGGTTGGCCCCAGTGGACGTATTGACTCCTCGATGCGATCCAAATCCGCAATGCGTTGCATCTCAGATGCCGAGTCCTTGTCGGGGTAGGTAATGAAGGCGGCTGATTGATTCACGCGTCGAGGGTAGCATCTCTCTGAGTCAGTGAATGAGATCGCTGACGGTCGTAAATCAAGAAGTTCGGGTTCATGATAGCTCGCCGGGCCAATAAACTCAGAATGAAGATGAAGCTCCAGACCCAGTGTACCTTCTAGTCGTGAATTTATTGGATCAGACAGCGCAATATCTTCGACAGAGCCCGCAGTAGATGGTGAGAGCGAGCTGCGTCGTCTTTTTGTCCTTTTAGAGGTTAGCCAAGAATATTCCTGCAGGCTATTCAAACGTACTTGGTTTCTGCATTGCTCAGTTTCATAGCCCTTTTACGTGGTTGTGGACCCTGGAGAAAAGTACATTCAAGTCCATTCAAGTTGCAGAATATACAGTTGGCTTTCTCCGGTTCTCGTATACATCGCGACTTGCGATGACGACAGCGATCGCACGGGCGTCGCGTAGGCTGGTTTGCAGCACCAGACCCGGACATTTGAGATCAGCTCCGGGGCGTTCTTTCTGGGTGTATATACCCTGTGATAAGAGCATCAACACATTCGTCCGAGTTCTCTGAAAGGATAAGCTGGTGATGTTGACATTGAGTCGCGCACGTCCCTATTTGGCTGAACAAATGCCGAGGCTCACGTGATCATATATAATTTGTCTGTTTAGAGACGTGATTACGTTCTTCATGAGGAACAATATGTTTTTGCAGCAATTGATAGCACAGAGAGCTAAAGTCACTAGGAGGGGATAAATTAAGGACAATGATGATACCAATATCACGTCCACATTCCTACTAAACGTCTGGTACCCTGAAGAGCACGATAGGACGTCGAAGTGACTAGGATATAGCCATATGGCAGTTTGATATGGCTGTGACCTCCAGCTAAACTTTGCTGATAGTAACTTGGACATAAGTGCTGTATGCTTTTCATATAGTAGGCACTACGCATGATGAATTTGGGTTGGGATCACATATAGGAGAGAACGTAGAAGAGCTATCTAGCTAAGCTATATCTAGCAGACCAAGAGATCTGGCCTACAATCTCAAAATATTTATCAAGTCTGCTTTCAGGGGAAAATATGAGTTGTGAGTTATTAAAGAACACGCTGGGTGATTGGAGTAGGATTGATAAACCGGTAGAATATCAAAGAGGCCATGATCAGCCACCGCGATGAACAGGCTGGCTACCTTAATCAAACCATACTTCTCTAAAGAAACCCAAACGATTAGAGTATGAATCTTCAGTAAATTGAGGATTGCGAAGTATGAAAAAACTTGAATCAGGTCCGTGCACGATCAACATCACCCCTTGGCGTTGACTTGCGTCAACTCCAACGATTGCGAATTAACCGAAATATCGAACTCTGACATCGTCTCAAAATCAAGGACTCGAATCTGATTCGCACCGCAGCCTATAAGGCCGACGCCAATAAACTTTCCCATGCGTCTCTCCGCGGCGCTCTACTCGGCCAATCACGCCTGGCTGGGAGGCTTGAAATCAGCACAATTGCAGCGTATTGCCCGCGCCACAGGCATCCAGTCATCAGGGACGAAAGGTGTACTTATTGAGCGCATTGCCACAGAGTTGGACTTGCAGGATGGCATTGCCGGATGTTCAACCTCGACTTCCAGCGAGGGCAAGCCACCAAAACAGAGTCCGCCGTGGAGTATCCTCAGCATCGACATGGGAATTCAGAATCTCGCGTTTGCTCATCTACGAGCTCCCCGTTCTTCGGAATATGGTTTCAATTCCGAAGACTCGCATTATACACCAGCCTTGGAGTTAACGGCATGGCATAAACTTGCCGTATCAGAGATATCGAATCTGAACCTCAAACCATCAACACCATCGGAAACCGCGACTCATAGCGCAAAGGTTAACTCAAAAGAAATTGAAAAAGAAAAAGATAATTACTCGCCGGACCTCTACGCCCAAAATGCGTACAAACTAATAACATCCCTCTTGGAAGCCTACAAGCCAACCCACATTCTAATTGAGCGTCAGCGTTTTCGCTCCGGTGGGGGAAGCGCAGTGCAGGAATGGACACTGCGCGTTGGTGTCTTCGAAGGCATGCTGTATGCCATTGTACATGCCTTACGGAAAGAAAGGGGTGGCTCTTTGCAAGATGTTGTTGTTCAGGGCGTTGAGCCGAGGAGAGTTGTTCGGTATTGGCTTGAAGGTGGCACCGGCAAAGATGCCAATAAGAAAGAAGATGATGGCAAGGCGAAGAGACTGACTGCGAGAGATGTAAAGAAGGCCAAAATTGATCTTGTTGCGGGCTGGCTTTCTTCTGCCTGGAAAAATCAAGACCCAGCGAGTGGTGGTAGCGCAGTTCGCACCATGGAACCTGGCCCATTGGTAGATAACAAGATCGTGCTGGCTTACCAATCTGAGTCTCCTGTTTTGCAGCAAGTTTCCGCTGGATTTCTAAGAAAATGGTTGGACCAGACGACTAGGAAGTCCAAGACGGCGAAGTCTCAGACAGAGGGCCAGGCGACTGTAATCAAGGCTCCCTCGGTTAATTCTACTGCTGAAGCAGTGGCCCTTTTACCAGAATCTACAGCTATTGACCCGGGAAAGCTGGACGATCTAGCAGATTGCCTACTGCAGGGCGTGACATGGGTTGAGTGGCAGATGATGCGGGAACGACTTTCAAAAGAGGGGATACAGGCATTGGACTTGAGACACGAATAAGGGAATTAGATTTTCTGTATGAAAAGCAAGTATATAAGTGCTCATACAGTTGAAACATTCCACAATAAATGAAATCTAATTTAATATCTCAGTGTGCCCCCTCGCCATCTGGAATGTATCTTAAGCCATTTGCAAACCGAATATTGTCCATGAGCATCATCATTTTTTCTGTCTTCTTCAACGTAACAACGCTGCTCTCTGTTCTTCCAGCCAAAACATCATGTCCCACAGAATCTTGCTCGTAGCAGAAACCCTTTCCCAAGGTCTTGAAAGTACGCTTCGTATCTACCTGTCCCGTTTTCTTAATCACCAAAAACTCCGGTTTAGATGCCGCTATTCCACCAACGGAAATGCTTCCATCAGAACCTTCAATGCGACAGAATTCTTCTGCTGTCCTGTAACGATAACTTGATGTGCAAATGACTTGAATATTCAAGTCTAGATGGTTCATGATGATGCTCGTCATTTCATCGGCTCCATTGCAGAAGCTCATACTCGACAAGACTTCCGGCTCCTGGCGTGTCTCCGGTTCTGGCAAACAGCCTTCCAGTATAAGATCAGCCCAGGTGAGAGTATAGATACCAATATCGAGGAGGGCACCAGCCCCAAGCGTAGGATCTGCGGTTCGTGAGGTAGAAGGGAGCTTTGAAAGGGGCATCTCAAGTCCGAAATCAACGAAAACTCGAGAGATATCTCCAATGACCTTTTGCTCATGGAGTAACGACTGTAGCTCGGTGATTATTGGGAAAAACCGGGTCCAGACAGCTAAATCCAATGTCAGAAATAAGTCCAAGGGTTCACTTTCAAGTATCATACCTTCCACCAGCAGAACACCCATCTTTCGAGACGCTTCAATCAGAATGCGAGCCTGATTGGCATTCATGGTCAAAGGCTTTTCGCAGAGGACGTTCTTGCGAGCATTAATCGCATTCAATGCAATCTCAAAGTGCATCGAATGAGGTGTACCAATGTACACGATATCAACATTCTCATCCTGATAAACATCTTCGTATTTATCAAAAAGGGTTGGTGATGATTGCGGGCAATTTGTTTCAACAAACTCAGATGCCTTCGTCAAAGACGATGAACCGATAGCCTGAACGACATGCTTGACTGAAGAATCTGGCCTCTCTAACACAAGATCTGACACAAACCACGAAGAAATCCAGCCACAACCTGTTTAATCTTTTAGCACATGTTTTCTTGCAATAGTGTTATCATAAGAGTACCAATAATGCCCCAGCGAACGGTCTTTGTATTTTCAGCCATGTCTTTATGGAGTGAAATCAAAAATAAGCCCGAGAATAGTTACGAAAGGAAAGAAGGCCATCATATGTAGCCATGTCTGACATACCAGAAAGAACAAGACTGGGTAAACCTCGGGAATGCCAAGAGAACAGCATCGGACAGATGCTTGGCCCGCAACTCCCCGGGAATATTTTTGGCGACATGGGTAGGGACTTCGGGGAATGGCGGATTAGGGAGAACCACTACAATAGTCCACTGTCTCGCCTGGTGATGCTTTTGCTACCCCACGGGGTATTTGCTAGTAGGCAATTTGCATAGGGTGAATTGACTCCGAATTCAACGGGGATTTACGATCAGCCATTCCCGCGATACTTCACGTTCCGCCACTCCGCGTGTCCGCAATACCTGGATGAGATTGCTTGCCCAGGGAAGTATTTAGTAGGTTTAATTTGTCTCACACAATGCGGCTTGTCAAGATAATTTGGTTGCAAAAGATAAAGAGTATTTGAATCTCATGTGTCCGCCTCTGAAAGCTGTTTCTCCCACTATCCCTCACCATACACCCTCGCCATGGCAATTGAAACGACACAACCCGCCACCGGCGCTATCCTCCGAGTTGGGATCATTGGCTGTGGTGAGATCTCGCAAGTCGTTCACATCCCAAACATCAACAATCTTGCGCACAAGTTCCGGACGACCTATCTCTGTGATATTTCAGCGCAATCACTGAAACACTGTGCCCAAAAGGTCCAAGGCGGAATCCCCAAAGTAACCTCAAGCTCAGAAGAGCTTTGTTCGTCGGCAGATGTTGATGTGGTTATTATCGCCAATGCAGACGCGTATCATGTTGATCACGGCATCCTGGCCCTCCAGAATGATAAATACTGTTTAATCGAGAAGCCAGCTGCCACTTGCTTCCGCGATATGGATAGGCTCATTGGGGCAGAGAAACTCTCAAAGGGAAAGGTTTTTGTGGGAACGATGCGCCGCTACGCGCCTGCCTTCCTTGACGCTGTCAAGGAGGTTGGTGACATGGAAAGAATCACATATGCTCGCGTGAGAGATATCATTGGACCGAATTCGACCTTTGTTGACCAGTCTGGGACATTTCCACAACGATTCAATGATTTCTCGACTGAGGACTCTGAAGACAGAGTCCAAAGAGAAACGGATATCTTGAATCAAGCTCTTAACAAAGAGCTTGGTCTGAAAGTGACGCCTGAATCTTCAACAATGCTGAGGATACTTGGAGGGTGGGTTATCTCTTTTTCTCAAATGCGGAAATTATGTTTGAGATACTAACGGATATAGACTCGGAACTCACGATCTATCAGCCATGCGGGAAATCATTGGCATGCCTGAAGGGGTCGAAGGTGCTATCTTCAGCCTGCCGGGAATATTCACCGTTCTCTTCCAATACAAGGGATTCCCGGTCACCTATGAATCTGGCTTGAGTGAGATCCCGCATTTTGATGCACACATTGAGGTCTTTTCTCCCACAAAGGTTGTGAGGATCGAGTTTGATACCCCATACATCAAAGGCCTCCCAGTCACAATGACTGTACGCGAGAAGCTTGGAGATGGTAGTTTCCAGGAACGAAGGGTGCGTAAAACGTATGAGGACCCTTATACGCTCGAGCTTCTAGATTTCTACGACTGTGTACAAACTGGAAAGCAACCTAAGACTAGTGCTCAAGACGCGAGGAAGGATATTGAGCTGTTTGGGATGATTCTTAAGGCGGGATTTAGAAAATGAGCTATAATATGAGTTTTTCTTCAACCTATTAGCAGTCTGTTGACGATACTAATGGTACTGCTTTATTTGTAAAAGTAGTCACTTATATACTTTGACTGAGGGGGCACCCTTCTGATGAGTTGTAACCGTTGAGTAGATAGATGTCGACGAGGTATACAGGTGTGATTGACCAGGCACTCAGGCAGGTTCTCTAGCGGCCAAACTAGTATAGTAATTTTCGAGTGAAGATGATTGGCTGGGCCCACCTTTCTAGAACTCCTCTTTCGCATCTTCCGCCACTCCCCGACTGATCGCAACACACTTTACACATACGATTTGAGTGATGGCCGAAACAAATTCAGCGGTCACCGTACCCCATGAAACTCAAGGTAGTCGCAAGCGGCCCAGAACTGCAATGTATCAGCGGAAAAGAGCAGTAGCTGCATGCCTTCCATGCCGCGCTCGAAAGACAAAGTGCGACAATATCCGGCCAACATGTGGTTTTTGCGCCAGCCATGCAGCTCAATGCACATATGCAGAGACAACCAATGACCATTCATCGTGAGCTACAGCTTGGCTAATCTTCCCCGGCGACGTCCACTAATGCATCCCTGCGCTATAGATTTGATCCCGCTAGCTTGGCTATTCTGGAGAGGATCAACCATGCTGTTGCTTTATTGGAGGCACAAAATGCGACAGCGTCGGGAGATTCTGCTACTGGTCGAGAGAGTCAAAGATGGTACCAGCCACTTCCCATGATGCACTCTTCATCGCCTACACATGTGGATCCCCAAAACTTGGACATCAACGACGACTTGCTGTTCGAAGCTCCGGGTTTTCCTGCTACTAAGTATAATTGTGAAGCGATTTTGAATTGGCCTATATTTACCGATTGGGCACCTCGTGTGGGGTCTCTTGTTCTGGGCCCTAGGGTTGACGAGACTACTCACGCACCCCCGATCTCACTAAATAGAGGCATTCAGGAGGAGAAAATAGTCGCGCTCTCCGAATCCTTCCTTTCCAATGTCCACATCAAGAATCCCATCCTCGAAATTTCAGAGTTTACTCAATATGTCAGAGATGCTGCAGAGAATGGGTTGCGATGGGACGGTCCTTCTTGCCTTGTTGTAAGTTCCCCTTGCGATGGGTGGATTGACTGCTTCGAAATCCTACGCTATATGATTCATTGTACCCCATGCTAATATGACGAAAAGCTCATTGCCTGCGCTCTTGGCTGCCTAGCAACACCATTTCAGCCGACACCTGATCCCCGTGCCCCGTTAACCCCGACTTCTGATGTGGCACCGAAAGATGCCAGTGCTCCTTACTATATAGCGGCCAAGAAAAGACTCGGCATGATTGAGCCGTCGTTAATAAGCGTCCAATGCCATTTCTTCTGCGGCGTTCTAGAGATGTACCTCTTGAAACCAATGCGAGCCTGGCATAGCTTCAATCACGCTTGTGTGCAGTTACAAAACTTGCTTTGGACCTCGAGATACATTGGATCGAGTTATGAAGAACATGCTTCTCGGGAAACTCGGCATTTAGAGCAAAGGCTTTATTGGTCGTGCATGAAGTCCGAGTGGTAAGTCTGTGTCCTCAAAAATACGGTACTTGAACTAATTGAAGGAACGTGGAAGTGAGCTCAGATGTGAGATTCCCCTTCCCACAAGCGGTATTGGACGATTCGGTTTTCCAGATATGCTACCATCGCCTCCGACTGAGTTATTGTCGCCTTCATCATATTCAACCGGCGGACAAGAGCCACGTGCCCCATCTCAAGCTGAAGAAGAAGAAAGAAGCTGGTTTTATTACTTGGCTGAAATATCCTTTCGAAGATTGATGAATCGAGCTTTTGTGACAATTGGAGGCAGTAGCAAGTCAAGCTGGATGGATGATATCCAACAACTCATCATTGACCACCAACTCTTTGAAAATCAAATTGATGCCTGGTGAGCGTGTATGCCAGTATTAATGATTTTCTGTTACTGATATCGGTATCCAGGTGTGCCCACATACCACCCCCAATCAGCGCCGATCGAATTGGGGGTCATTATAATGAGCTTGCCCATTATGTTCAACAACGCGCCCTACTTTTTCGGGAATGGATCCATCTTCCATTTTTGTATTACATTATCCACCAACCTTCCAGCGACCCATATACAAATCAAGTCATGCCTCTGGCGAAAAGGGGTCTTGAGCTTTGTGTCGAGACTCAGTACAGTCTTAGGCCCTTTCATCGCCATCACGGTACCTGGTATGTGGCTCGCAGTTCTGTAAACAGGGCTCTGTTACTACTGGCAGCTTCCCGAAGTCAGAAGATTGAGATGCCCGATAATTGGAAAGAAGTTATAGATCATGCATTGCGAACGATACATTACTGGGCTGCGGAGGCTGAGGATCTTGCGAGGGCTGGGTCGATTGTGACTGAGCTATTAGCCACCCTTTGATGTTTTTTGAAGGTTTGATCATGTATTGATCGTTATGATATGGATAGTATTTATTATGAAATCGTGGCCACAACATTTGAAAATCTTTTCTGAAGGCCTCACAGCAAGCATATCGCTTTACGCCATCTTTGATATCACCTTCGACCGTTTCAAAGCGTCTCGATTGGTCCCGGCCTCAAAGCAGCAAGTCTAGCATTTAAAATTGAAAGAAATCTTATAGTCCCTATTTTAGATCTCTTTGCACTTACATCTTTCAAATAACACTTCCAAAAGCAGAAATTGATTTGGGCATTCAGTCAATATCAAAAACAGAGTCCGTTGACCATGGGCAGACCCAACGTGATAGCGACGACGATGATATACAGCAACCACAACGCCAAGAGTCTACCCCGTGGGAAACCTACTCTCCACTCTCCTGTTCAATAGCGAGATATACTCTCATCGAACGAAGGCGGGTCGATAGCTTCCCCAGATAATCGGGTCTCGGGGAGTCGCGGCAGCACCAAACTCCCATCAGAGTCCCGTTACCGCGACTCCCCGCGACCCACCTCCCACCACAAAGATCCTTGCCATGGCCTCGAGTGTTTCTTGATATGTGTTGGTAGCATATGCATTCCCCGCTTCTCCACATTTACCCCATATGCATCTATATAGGGACGGGGTTGGTGTGCCGAATGAGCATAGCATTGCAAAGCTCCGACACCTACGCTGAAAGCCATCTTGACTGTCACTATCTTTGGGCGCTGTAACGTTGTCCAAGTTTGTGCTCCATCTCAGTAAGGGCCAGGTATATAACCCTCACAATTCCTGTATCCAATGTTCTCTAACTGGTTCAATTTCATAGACCCTTTCTTCAGACACAGAGATGTGGCGACAAAAGCCCCAACTCGCGAAACTGAACACCATAATCGCCGGCCTACTGCTCTTTTCAAGCACAGTTGGCTACGATGGCTCCCTCATGAACGGACTCCAATCCCTGGAGCAATGGCAAGAATTCATGAGCCATCCCACAGGAGCCTGGCTCGGCTTCATCAACGCTATCCAGTTCCTAGGTGTTATCCTGGGTTTTCCACTGCAGGCCTGGGCAGCCAACCGCTTCGGTCGAAAACCCACTATCTTCGTCGGATACTTCTTCCTCGCTATCGGCGCCGGACTCCAAGCCGGTGCTACGAGCCCGGCCATGTTCATTGTTGCTCGGCTGTTTGTGGGACAGGCAAGCGCTTGGTTCCAGGTCGCTGTGATCCTGGTCACGGAGATTGCGTATCCGTCGCATCGGTCCAAGTTCTCGGCTAGTTATCAATGCCAGTACTATGTTGGCTCTATCTTTTCTGCTTGGCTTACTTTTGGATGTCGGGATCAGGACTCGTCTTGGGCGTGGAGGCTTCCGTCACTGTTGCAGTTGGGTATTCCGCTGCTGGCGTTGCCCTTTGCTGCTATGGCTCCTGAGTCGCCTCGATGGTTGATTAGTCAAGATCGACACGAGGAAGCTCGTCAGATGGTGGTTAGGTATTACGCTGAGGGCGATGAGTCGTCGCCATTCATCGTGGCTCAGATGGATGAGATGTCCAGTTCCATTGCTGCAGAAAAAGAAGCCGAGTCTTCCACCAAGTGGACGGATATGGTCAAAACAAGCGGCAATCGGCGCCGTTTCTTCATAAGTGTCACTTTGGGAATATTTGCGCAATGGAACGGAGTGTAAGTGGACCCTTGACCCCCCTGAGTTCCGTATAAATCTCGAATACTAACCTTCACGCAGCGGTGTCGTCTCATACTATCTCACTCTCATCCTAGACACCATTGGAATCACCTCAGTCAAGGACCAACTAATGATAAACGGATTCCTCCAACTCTGGAACCTGATCATGGCAATCGCAGGCGCATTGCTAGTGGACCGTGTGGGACGCAGATCCCTCTTCCTCCTATCCACAACCATCATGCTCGTGAGCTACATTATCATCACAGGCTTATCTGGCGGCTTCGCAACAACGAAATCCGCCCCCATCGGAGTCAGCGTCATTCCGTTCTTATTCCTATACTACGGCGGATATGACATCGCCTTTACTCCACTGCTCCTGGCCTATCCAGCTGAGATCTGGCAATTCTCGTTGCGGGCTAAGGGCGTTGCGTTGACGTCCGCGTGCACGTATTTTGCGCTTCTGTTTAACTCGTTCGTGAATCCGATTGCGTTGAATGCTATCCACTGGAAATATTACTTTGTTTATATCGCTCTGCTTGTTTTGATCTTCGTGGTTGTTTATCTGCTGTATCCGGAAACGAGGGGACATTCGTTGGAGAATATGGCTGCTATTTTTGATGATGATGAGAACTCGAGTTGGACGGATGTTCAGTTTGGGAAAAAGATCAGTGATCCTGAGGTGGATCATATTGAATGTCAAGGGATTGAGCGTGATGATCGGTAGATGGTTGGTCTTCAGTATTGGAATACTCGATGGGAATATTATTCGTTTTCTGGCAATCTTGCAAATACTCTACTAGTAATAGACGTGAGCTTCGGCCGTTGACTGCAAGTCAATCTAATATGGCAAGCTTGCCAGCAAGAAATTGTCTCCTGGATTATGGACTACCCCTTGCCTAGTAACAGAGATGGGGGATCGGATAAGAAACTTTGCCGTTTGGCGTCCGTTGGTAGTAAAAGAGAAGACCAAATCCAGACCTCATTCTGGTTTCTTAACTAATAACCGTCGTGGCCATGTAAATCCATCACGCTTTCTACATCTTAGCTCATTGGATATTTGAGTTTTTGTATGTGACGTCAATGCTTCTCGATATCGTCCTTGCATCAACGGCTGAAGAAGATCGACGGTGATCGACAGATCTACAACGGTCACCGCAAGAATTTTATGCATACATGTAATGTATCACATTAGGCAGCCTGAGGATGCTCGCATACTATAATCTACAATGACAAGTTTGAGAAGTCAAGTATGGATAAAGAGGACAAAGCCTCTAGTCAATTCATGAGCAAACCGTACTAACGGCGCAATCTTTCGATCGGCCATCCAGTACATGTAAAAGAACCACACGAAGACAAAAAATAGCAATGCACGCACGAGATCATTCCGAAGTGAAGATCTGATCAGAGAAGCAAAGATACCCTTTCGAAAAGGAAAACAAGCAAGCAAGGAAAAACAGAAGGAAGCACTGACCCTCCCCGCAGTGGAGGTCACAGGCCCGTGTGAGGATACGAGAAAAAGAAAAGTCCGGGTCCAACGGGAATAGTCGTTAGAATTGAGGTTCTCATTGGAGTAAAAATGGGGCAAGGAGATGTCATGCTAGTTGTAAGAACGAAGACGGTCTTCCGGGATTGAGGATGGCTTGCAGATGGGAACAGCAAGGGAAGACTGAAATTCAGAAACAATGCATGGCACGATCATTGCAAGAAAGTAAGATGGTGAAAAGAAGAAACATGGCAAAAATGTAGCGTAAATGAGAAGTGAAATAGAAACTTTGTACCGAAAAGGCTTGACAAAAATAGGTACAATACCAGCGCGCCACTGCGCGATTAGAAGGAAATAAAGACTTTCTCTCAGATCATCAACGGGCTCGTAACACACCGCTCCGTGGGAGGGCTGGGACACCCCTCACATCAGCACAGGACGTGCTTAGATGAAGTTGCGGCGCCAGTTGGCAAGGTAGGGCTTGCCGCTGGGGGTACCGCTGGGAGGGGCGGGGAAGCCGCTGGCAGTGGGGAAAGGCTTAGCGCTGGGGGTTCCAGTGGGAGTGCGAGTAGCGAAACCGCTGGAAGAAGGGGTGAGAGTGCGGGTGCGGCTGTAGTGGTGGACACTGCTGCTGTAAGGGGCACTGCTGGTGGAGGCGGAAGCGGTGGTCTCGGGGACGGGGGCAACAGTCTCAGATCCGGTCTGCTGGTTGTTGTTGTTGGCAGGAGCAGTGGTCTCGGCACCCTATCTCAAAGTCAGTCTAGATTTCACAAGAGGGGGGAAGAAGACATACAGCAGTCACGGTCTCAGTGACAGTGGCGGTGACGGTAACGGGGTTAGGGTTGCAAGAGTCACCGTTACCAGCGCCGTTGCCAGCACCAGCGGAGGTGGAAGGAGCCTCGACGAGAGTAACAGTCTCGGTCTTGGTGGAGTGAAGGGTGTTGGTGTGGGTCTTGGTCTTGTCAGCCTGGTTGTTTCCAGCCTGGCCAGGCTTGGTGATCTCGGCACCGGCACCGGACTCGGTCTATAACAGTTAGTTGAAGATCAATCATCCAGAGAGTAGATAGTACATACAGCAGTGACAGTGTGGTCCTGGGTGGCGGTCATGTAGATGGTGGTGGTGACGAGGCTGGTAGAGTCACCGGAGCCAACAGTGTAGGTAACGGTGATAGCGCTGGCAGACTCGGAGCCAGCTCCAGGGACGTTAGTGCCAGTGGGGAGAGCGGCAGAGCTGCTCAGGATGCCAGAGGCGGAAGAGGAAATGCCAGAGGCAGAGGAGGAGAGTCCAGAGGGACGACCAGTGGGGTAACCAGTGGGGCGAGAGCTGAAGGGAGTGCGGGTGACACGGGGCTTGCCAGTGGAAGACAAGATCTCAGTGGCAGAGGCAGAGGCCGAGGCGGAAGCACCAGCCGAAACGGAAGCCTCAGCGGAGCTGGAGGGAGCAACGGAAGCGATCACGCTGGAAGAAGCGGCAGAAGAAGCGACGCTGGAGCTGACAATGCTGGAGCTGGCAACGCTGGAGCTGGCAACGCTGGAACTGGCAACGCTGGAACTGGCAACGCTGCTGGGGGCAACGGGAGCAACGGAGCTAGGAGCAACGGAGCTGGGAGCAGCGCTGGAGGAAGCAACAGAGGGCTCAGCAGAAGGAGTAGCAGGGGCCTCGGGAGCAGGCTGGACAGGGGTCGGGAACACCTGGACGGTCGAAGTCGACTCGGCAGCAGGAGCAGGAGCAACGCTGACGGAACGAGCCTGGTGCACACGACGAGCGTGCAGGCCTTCATGGCTAGCATTGGCCATCGCGGCGAGAGCAGCCACGAGGGCGACGGAAACCTTCATAACCATTTTGAGAAGTAGTGACTGTTGTTGAACGAGAGTGAGTTGTAGAACTTGGAACAAGTGAACAAGTGAACGAGAGAAGCTGGCAAAAGTAAAGAGTGAGACACGAAATCAATTCGTGGAAGGAACGTATGCTTCTCTGGGAAGTAGAAGAATGGAAGGGAATGCACAGCAAGCTTAAGAAAAGAAAAGAAGAGAGAGAAGAGCAGGGCCAAGGCGGGATAGGCTGATATTAATTCATTTAGATTAAAGTGATCTTAACGCAGTTGTTTTGCTGTGGTCTCGTTAGTGGTCTCGTTAGTGGGGGATTCAACTGCCAACGTGCGCTCCACTGTCTCAGGCACCAGCCTCTGATTGGCAACTCAGCGGAAATTGACCTTTAATCTCACGGGAAATCTCCCTATGAACTGACTCTTAATGAAAGGCTTGGGGTGGCGCTGGACTGACGCCACATGTCAACGCTAACTCATCACCCCTTTTCCTGACCTGAGAGAGATGATAGGATCGGGTATGCAAGTCAGTAGGGGGGTCACTCAATACTCTCTGGTATCTGCCCGTCTGGCACCGAAATGCCCGTCATGTCTATCTTGGGCGGGCATTCACACCCTCGGACATATCCTGGCCTCCTGATCCCGTTTCGAGAATCCTTCCTTGTTTAGGCCTCCGATTTCGTTACAGATCCAGAAATTACCCGGTTTCACATTGAAATCTCCAGGGTCTATAAAATTTGAAATGACGGAAAAGTCTAGCCCCTCGGGCTGGAAATGAAGGTCCTGTGCACCTGTCAATGCCGTGTGGAGTCCGAGTAAAGACTCGGCCATCTTTCATTTCCGAGTTGCGCCATTTGGTGCTGGAGAGAAGGTCGGGTTTTTTCCCAGCGGGATTCAGGTCTGAAATGGTCTCTGCCTACTCCGGTATGGGGGGAGGGTTGACGGAGAAGCTTTGGACATGAAACATCCGGCTCGAATTTTCAGACCCCCCCCCTGCCCCTCTTGGTGTACACTCACCAGCCTCACCACGTTGATTGGCCTTTCACCGAGCTGGGTCGCACTTGGGCGAACCTGGTACTCGGCAAATGGTGAATCCTAGTGTGTCTGGTCTAAGGGTTAGTGCGAACGAGGAGGCTCATCGCAAGTCGAACGCCAGAGTTGGCCAGAGAGAGTAAAGTGTAGGTGTGAAGGCGGTGACGCACAATCTTATCGGCCTCAGACAACGGCCAACCTCGGAAGTAAACAAGAGTCAAAAGTGATCAGTCCAAAATGTCCTGGCCAGCCCTCCGCGCCCAATATGCAACCCTGCTAAAACAATTCTTGAAGTCCACCAAAGAATTCGACGTCCTAACAACCATCCCTCCAGACCACTCCGCATCGGAGACCCTCTATGTCTTAGATTCCAGCTTCAATCCCCCCACCCTTGCCCACCTCCGCATCGCCAGCACCGCCCTACAGTCAAAACCGACGCCCCGTCCCCGCCTGCTCCTCCTCCTAGCAACCCAAAATGCAGACAAGCCCTCCAAACCAGCCTCCTTCGAGGATCGCCTAGTTATGATGGAGCTCTTCGCCCGTGATCTGCGCGCACACCTGGCAACCACACCAGCCTTCGCGGATGCCGCTGCCTCGGGCTCCGAGTACCAGCTACCGGTCGAGGCCCTGCCCTTGATTGACATCGGCGTGACCAAGAAGCCGTATTTCGTGGACAAGGCGGCTGCGATTGAGAGTTCGGATCGGTATCCTGGGGCGCTGGAGCAGGTGCATCTTACGGGCTTTGATACGTTGGTGCGGATCTTTGATGCTAAGTATTATCCGCCGCATCATACATTAAGTCCGCTGGTGCCGTTCTTGGAGAGGCATCGGTTGAGGGTTACTATGCGGCCTGGGGCTGATTGGGGCGAGAAGGAGGAGCAGGTTGCGTTTATGGATGCTCTTGCTAGAGGGGATCGGGATGATGAGGGTGCGCGGAGGGAGTGGGTGCGGCGCATTGAGTTGGTTGAGGGTAGGAAACCGACTGAGCCGCATGTGAGCTCGACTCGGGCTCGCGAAGCTTTGCATTCTGCTCCGAGGGACTTGGACTGGCTGGTTCCGGATCTGGTCAGGCAGTATATCCTCTCTGAAGGGGCATATCCCGCTGTTGGAGCTGGGGCTGCCAAAGTGTAGGCATTTATATCAGTCAGGTATTAGAATAATTCTGCATCCATGGATAATGATATAATATGATTGAATAAATACATCCGTACGCCAAATCCCAGTTTTCAAGGTTATTCTTCTCCAAGCGCGCACTTGATTATCCCAACCACTTTTGCTTCGATCACATATCATACATCACAATAAAGCTGAGGGTCAAGCTTACCAGCGTCAACTGCCTTGCTCTTTCTTCATCGTATTCAACCTTCAATGTCAACCACTAGTCCTTGCGATACTCCTCTTCCTCCCTCTTGCCAAGGGTATATGCCAGTCCACCACCGATCAAGTTGACCAAGCACAATCCCATCGTCGCACCCCGCACCACACCGCGCACAGCGAACTTCTTCATAAACGGCTGGCGGCGGCGTGCTGCAAGGAGGAGGTATAGGCCTGAGAATGCGGCGCTCATACCGGCTGTGTCGGTCTTGAAGCCCTGCAGGTTGGCATAACTGGTGAAGAGCAGGGCTGGCGGAAAGAGCATTGGGAAGAATTGGAATGGCTTCATGTGCTGGGCTGCAATCAATGAGGCGAGGAGGGATGGTGGGAAGGAGTTTTCTGTTTGATGTATGCTGTCAGTGCTGTTTCGTTGTTTCAACTGACCATGCTTTCAGCTGTGAGCTCGGCGGGATTAGATCCTTACCACCCCATGCGCGGAAGCGCTGGACCAGCGTTTGCTTGGTCTCTTCAATTGTGTCGTCGTCGGCCATTATGAGTGATTGTCTGTGTTCTCGGGGGTGGTGATGTTGAGGTGAGGTTCAAGGACGGGCGATGACGATTTCACAACCGGTACGCAGTATTGATAAAGCTTTGACGGCCCAAATGTGTCGCTGCAGGCTGGTCAATAAAACAGGCCCTAATATCCAGGTTGAAACGGATATCTACTCACAAGATCAGAACTGCACGGAGCGGAGCACGGACAAGTTATGTAACTATCGCAATCCTTCAGAGGATCTCTTGGCAAAGACACCTAACATCAGCCAACCTCCCACTCCACCCGGGACTTATCTCGGACCATATCAACTCCCTCTGTTGCTGTCGCTTTTCTGTCGGATTGAACGTTGACTGGCGCGTGATTGGCTTTGCATTTTCCGTCCTACGCCACCCAAAACTCCCCCAACACCGCCCACTCCCCTCTCCAACACAAAACAAAAGCGACCTCGAGACCGATTTTCCATTCTCCGACCGACAAAGCAAGGTCGCTATGCCCTCCGCTACGGCATCAGGCTCCGATGCCAAGGGTGGCGCGAACTCGCGCGACCACAACCAGGGCAACCAGAATCGCAATTATACCCCAGATCAAAAGGCGGCAGTGTTGCGGATCCGCAAATGTCAGGCGACGGCATTCTATGAGATCCTAGCGGTCGAGCGCTCCTCCACGGATAATGAGATTAAGAAGGCCTATCGCAAACAGAGTTTGTTGACGCACCCTGATAAGAACGGTTATGATGGCGCCGACGAGGCGTTCAAAAGTGAGTGATGGGTGTCTCCGAGTCTAGTATTACGTTCTATGAGAGCGCCCGCTAATGCGCTGTCGCAGTGGTCTCCCGTGCGTTCCAGATTCTGTCCGACGAGGACAAGAAATCTCGCTATGACAAGTTCGGCGGCGACCCTGATAGCAGATTCCAGCCCGGACCTAGTGCGCCGAGCGGCGGATCTCCATTCAGCGGATTTGGAGGCGGTGGTGGATTCCCGCGTGGTGGAGGACCTGGCTTCGACGAGGAGATCTCACCAGAAGAACTGTTCAACCGATTCTTCAATGGAGGATTCAGCGGCATGGGCGGTGGATTCGGTACGACACACCAGCAGAAAAAAAAGGCGCATTCAACGCCAAAAAGAAAAAGAGAAAAAGCTAACAACCTCATTTTTACATTCTAGGTGGCCCCCAATTCGTCTTCAACATGGGCGGAGGCCCAGGATTCCGCGTCCATCAATTCGGCGGCGGCGCACCACGTCGCAGACCTCGCACAGCAGCAGCAGGAGAACAAGAAGCCCAGGTGGATGGGCGCAATTTCCTGCGCCAACTTCTCCCACTTATCATCCTCTTCATCCTTCCTCTACTCTCTTCTCTCTTCTCCGGCTCCTCGACTCCATCAGGCCCCACGTACCGCTTCGACACGCCCGTTTCTCCGCATACCCTTGGCCGCACAACCCCCAAGTTAAACCTGAATTACTTTGTCAACCCGCTCGACGTCGATAACTTTAGTGCGCGCAATTTCCGCGAACTGGACTCGCGCGTTGAGGTGGATTATGTACGGACGCTGCGCAATGGATGTGATGCCGAGGCCATGGAGCGGGATCGACGGTTGCAGGATGCGCAGGGGTGGATTTTCCCCGATGTTGAGAAGATGAAGGCTGCGAGGGCTATGGAGATGCCTAGTTGTAAGAAACTGGAGAAGTTGAGAGGAAAAATTAGGCTTTGATATTGATCTTGGTGTCAATGTTGATGTCGATGTCGATGTCTTTGATGTCCTGTGATGTTATTTGTCTGCTTGTCTCCTGTCTGCCGACTACATAGGGTTTAGACTGCTCGGCTTGTTTATGGCATTTTCCTTTCTCTCTTTTCATTTCTTCCCCTTGTCTCCTGCTCTTTGGTGAGTCTGGAGATCTGCTTTTAATATCATTAGCATACACCGCAGCAGGCGGCGTCTGTTGGCGTTGAGCTTCTTTTGCTTTCCTGTACATTGTTTGGGAGCTCAAATGCATTTTTTTCTTGTTCGTGGTGCTCATCTTGCTTAACTTGGCTTTTGCTCTGGTACCTGAGATGCTATAGTCACGCTTAACCTACGGTTTCATCTATGAATATAAGAGGACATAGTCAAAGCTATAACTTAAAGCTTTTCCAAGCGATGTCATCAGACACGAGATCTGTACGGGCTGTGAATTTGAACCTGAAGTTGCTTCGGCGAGGATTTCTTTGCAGCCACAGGTAAGCAAAGATCTTCCCCAAGGTTAGAATGTCATGATCCAGCTTTCTTCGTCATCTACTGCGAAAAAGGAGCTGTGGCCGGCACTTTGCATAGAACATGTTTATTTTATATTCATGCAAAGTGACATCGCCTTTAAATGGTTTATTCTATCCACTACCGGACATTGATCTCTCGTTTTCTTCGCTGAGGTTCTCCTCTTCAAATCAAATCTAAAAATGATTGGCATGTTTCTACGGCGCCGCCAATAACAGGCTTCCGTAGTACTTGGTATATCTCCCTGCCAATAAGCTTCCGATCCCTTGCTGTATATCAAAACAGTCCGCCATTTTCACTACCTTTTAGGTCGTTGATTTAATAGTGGATACTATTTCTTTCTATTACTCAGGACGTAGGATACACCCTTTCATCTTATTTACTATTGTCTAAATCATGTCGGTCACATAATGATAGTCAAACATCCACGGCTGTCCCGAACGAATTTCTGATGACGAGTTCTGTTCAATATATAGTTATGACCAGATCGCACAGAAGCGATCTCTGATCAAACAGAAGAAATTACCACTCAAGGTATAACACCTTAGTTAGGTAAATTAACCCAGCTTTGGTAAACCCTGAAAATATCAGTAGTAGTGTCCTATCCCTCAGTTAGTCTTTGTATCCTCAAACAAAGAGTGACGAGATTTCGCTGTTTTGGACATTGGCTATGCTGCGACAATGTCTTGGAAGCGCACAGACAGAGCTTCATGGCTCGTGAATTCGAGTTGGATGTCGAACTCGCTAACCATACAAATGACTTGGAAGATACCCGGCTCATGGCTGCTGACCCCGTGAAAACCCAGGTACTGTCGATGTACCGGTTGCTTAGTCAAAATCATCAGACCAAAATCCGATCGTTGGAGACGAACTTCGATCACCGCAGAATCACCAAACGCGCTTCCCCCGCGGATCTCACTGGAGTTGTCGAGTCGCCACTCCACTTTCACGATTTTACGATCCCCACCGTTGCGATTCTAACCACCAGCCCTTCCGAGGTCAACTTCAGAAAATGTCGGATACCCTCTCCGACGCGGACAAGGTGAGTGAGCTACTTCATCCTGGGTAAACGCAGCAAAGTTTCCGGGGTATCTTGAATTAACATCCCACAAGATCCGCAATAAGCGCCTTGCAAAGTTGTCCAACCCAAACCCATCTCCCTCTCAAGACAATACCTCCGATTCAGCGCAATCATCGGCTCATACCTCCCCGGCACAATCTCCTTTGTCCGCCCACCCGACAGGTGGTTTCGGTGGATCTCCCTCGTTCTCGCAGTCCCCGCTACAGTCAGAGGGGAAACGCATCAAAATCACACCGTCTACCCACACCCCAGAGCGAACACGATCCAACCCGCCGTCAGCCCCCGGCACGCCCCCGCCCCAGAAGATCGAGAGCATCGAGACTTTCGAGGATCGCACATTAAGCGCCGTGTTCAAAATTACCCTCAAGGATGACGGGCGCCAGGAGATTCACGGCAAGCGCACCTTCTTGCCAGGTCTGCGCAGCGAGCTAGAAGGAGAAAGTCAGGATCTGCGGATTCAAGTCTCTGTCTTGGATCAGGCTCTTTTGGAAGCCGCTTCGAGTGCTGAACGAAACCGTCCTTTGGATTATCTGCTGCCATGCTGGAAACGCATCACACGGCTTTCAAATGGGTTCCGTCGGACTGGAGATGACGACCCCAAGTATCAGATCCTTTGCGAGGCGCGTCGGCTATGCATGAGTTATTGTATTTTCGCGATTACCATGCCAGAGATGTTTGGGTACGTTTAACTCGCATGTGGGTGCTTCCATTGGATGTACTAACAGTTCACAGAAGTGATGGCTCTGGGCAATCATTAGCCTCATATCTGCTCCTAGACCCCGAAGAAGAACGTGGCATTGATTTCAGTTTCATGAACGAAGCCGTGAAGAGGTTTGATGAAGATGAGAGTATCAAGCCTGCATTCATTACTGCCGTAGAGCAACTGAGTGCGCAGCTTTCATCTATGGATGTTAACGATGACTACAAACCCTATACCATCGCTCTTCGCAATCTTGTCCGCCACGGCACCCTTGCAGCTGCCCTCACAGAATCATCCATTTTCAACGCTTCAAAAGATCCGGCCCAGTTCGAGAAAGTCACTCTCCTAGGGCCGTGGTTCAGTTTATCGCCTCTCCAGGGCAACGTCACATTGTCTTATTTCTCTAGTCCTAAGACGCGTGATGCAGCTTACATCTCGAATGCGCAGCGGTCACTTCGGATGACACAGCAACTGCTGAGCTCTGATCTTCTGGACGTGATCAACCATCTGATTCGAGCTTCAAAGGAGGCTCGGGATCGTGTTTTGGATTGGTTTGCCACTGCGCTCAACATCAATCACAAGCGACGCGCGATGCAGGTGGACCCGGAACAAGTATCTTCGGATGGGTTCATGTTCAACCTCACAACATGTCTAGACCAGCTCTGTGAGCCTTTCATGGATGCTTCATTCACCAAGATTGACAGAATTGACTCGGATTATCTCCATCGAAACTCTCGGGTCGAAATGCGCGATGAGACCAAAATTAATGCGGATCAGCATGCATCTGATGCGTTCTATTCCAAGAAGGTTGAAGGAACTTCAAACTTCATCACTGAGATCTTCTTCTTGACTGTTGCAGCTCATCACTACGGCAGCGAGTCATTGACCTCAAAAATGGAGCAACTTGAAAAGGATCTACGGCAGATGGAGAATATGATCACCAAGTTTGAACTTGAGCGCCACAAATGGATCAACAACCCGGCGCAGCTTGCCACTTTCGACAACGCCCTCAAGAAGTACAAGGACAAGTTTGATTTGGGACTGGCCCTGAAGTACAGCCTCCAGGGTGTGCTATTTGACGATCATTGGCAGAGCCGCTCTATGCTTTTCATGCGATATGTTACTGTATGGCTTTTGAGACTTGTATCCGGCAAGAATTTCCCGACCGATAAGATTTCACTGCCACTGCCAGAGACACAGCCAGAAATTTTCCAGTGCCTACCGGAATATTTCGTGGAGGACGTTGTTAGCAACTTCAAATTCATCATGTGGTGCATGCCACAGATTATCACTGCCACCCAGGGTGATGAGCTGGTGATGCTGTGCATCACGTTCCTGGAAAGCTCTGCCTACATCAAGAACCCTTACCTCAAAGCCGGCCTTGTCTCGATTCTGTTCCGGGGCACTTGGAAACGCCCTGGTGGCGCCAGCGGCGTTTTGGTTGATTTACTCAATTCGCTCCCATTCGCCAACGACCATCTCCTTCATGCAGTTATGAAATTCTACATCGAAGCAGAGTTCACGGGAGCGCATACACAGTTCTACGACAAGTTCAACATTCGATATGAGATCTTCCAGATCATCAAGTGCATCTGGCCCAACACACTGTACAGACAAAAGCTGTCTATTCAAGCCAACCAGAACTTGGACTTCTTTGTTCGATTTGTCAACCTTCTATTGAACGATGTGACCTACGTGCTTGACGAGTCTTTTGGTGCCTTCAAGACCATTACTAGCACCCAGACTGAACTCAACATCAGCGGTGCCTCGATGGATGCTGCCACCCGCCAGCAACGAGAAGAGCACCTGTCACAATCCCAGCGCAGCGCCAAGAACTACATGCAGCTCACTAATGAAACCGTGGCTATGCTGAAACTGTTCACCGAGGCACTGGCAGATTCATTCACAATGCCCGAAATCGTGCAACGTTTAGCAGACATGCTGGACTACAACCTTGATGCCATGGTGGGTCCCAAGAGCGCCACTCTTCGCGTCGACAACTTGCAAGAATACGGCTTCAACCCGCGCGCCCTTCTGAGCGAGATCGTCGATGTTTATCTGAACCTGACTGGGAAAGAGAACTTCATTTTGGCCGTCGCTCGTGATGGCCGGTCCTACAAGCCCGCCAACTTTGAGAAGGCGGCTGATATCATCCGCAAATGGTCTTTGAAATCCCCCGAGGAGCTTCGTCGCTGGAGTCAGATGCAGAAGAAGGTCCAGGCAGCTAGGCTAGCCGATGAACAGGCAGAAGAGGATCTTGGGGAGATTCCAGATGAATTCCTGGGTATGATTTCCTGCGATGACCTTGATTATGCGAATTTGCTAACACCATTTAGATCCTCTGATGTACACCCTTATGGATGATCCTGTTGTCCTCCCCGGCTCACGGATCTCCATTGATCGAGCTACGATCCGCTCACACCTGCTCAGTGACCCTCATGATCCATTCAATCGTGTGCCATTGAAAATGGAAGATGTGGTTCCTGGTAAGAATCCTCCTCCCAATTACTTTTGTTTTTGCTTCTAATACTCTATTGCTCAGATGACGACTTGAAGGCCAAGATTGAAGCCTTCAAATTCGAGAAATTGGCCGGTAAACGCAAGGAGATGGTCCCTCATGAACATATGGACACATCTACTGGTTAATGTGGTGTATAGGTGTAGCATTGCATTGCTTAATTCACCGGTGTTTTTGTCGCATTTCTATTAGCGTACTTAGCATAGAATGCTGAAACATTGACAATAGATCGATAGCTTTGTGCCTAACTTGTGCCTTTAGGGCCATGATTTCAATCAATTGTTTCCTATTGTCCGCCCTTTTATATCGTCTGAATCTTCGTTACGGCTAATCGAACCCTTGCAAACAAAAATATTCAAATTTCGACGCATGTCTAGCTTTTCTGCGTTCGCCAGACAGATTTTCGATTTATCTTCTGAGACTCTCCATGAGATTCTGACTACATAATTGACCATTGTATGTGAGGAAGCAGATTGCTAAGAAGACAATGTTTCCACCTGCTGCCAATTTTTGGAATACCCAATGCTCAGGTCCGAATGAAAGAGCGGAGCAAATTGAAGCTGTCAATATACCCCTTCTCGGCCTGACCGCCTTTCGGCGCATTACATCACCTTCTCTTTGTGTTTACCCTAACTTCGACCTTCATACTATTTTGCTATGGGTGCGGCAATCTCCACCTGCTGGGCAGCTATGCCTGCCAGCACAGAATTCTATCCCCCAACTCCACAGGTATACACTTGTATCCTCAACATCTTCCAATACTTCCCCCTAGTAAGGCCCCCTATATCTCTTAGAGGTGCATTCAAAAGCTAATCCCATCGGTCCAGGTGACAGTATTCCAATGGCTTCTCTCCTGGCATCCGGCAGGTAAAACTTCCAACAATTCCATTCTCAATATTCCAGGTCGTATAGCCTGGTGCGCCATGGAGATCGTCGGGCCTGTAAACCTGATCTACAATCTGATGCTTCCATCGCCCTCCTCACCAGCAATTGGTGATCTCCCCTGGCCTAATGTCCTCGTAGCAGGACTATATTGTATCCACTACTTCAACCGTTCAATTATCTCCCCCTTCTTCTCTGCCCCAAGCATGTCCCCAATCCACCCATTCGTCATGACATCCGCCATGGCATTCAACTGGTTCAACTCAAGCTGTCTAGTCGGATGGATACGCGGATACACCATTCCAACCATTCCAAGCTTCCACGCCAACGAAAATAGTCCCCACGCCCGCCCTGGCATTGTGGATTTCATCCCAACGGTGGGCGTGCTCCTCTTCGCCATTGGCATGGCAGGAAACATTTATTCAGAAACAGCCCTTTTCCGCTTCCGCCGCGAAGAAACAGAGAAACGTCTAGCCAAGAAATCGGATGACGCTAAGGCTGGCACTACTGCAGGGCAAATCGATGGAGGCAGCCGCAACAAATTCCATAAAGTCTACGTCATCCCGCCTACGCGTGGTGTTTTTAGATATATTCTTTACCCGCACTATGCATTCGAGTGGCTTGAGTGGTTTGGCTTTGCTTTGGCTGGTACGGCGGTTCTGAGTCTGTCGACTGTTCCTGCTGGTGCGCCTTCCGCTGCTGTGGTTCCGCCGCTTCATCTTGCGCCTTGGTTGATTCCTGTTGCTTGGGGTGCTGATAAGCTTGCTTTGCAGTTGCCTTTGCCTGCTGTCATTTTTGTTGTTAATGCTGTTACTAATATGCTTCCTCATGCGCGCTGGGGAAGAAAGTGGTATGTTGAAAAGTTTGGAGAAAAGGGTGTTGCTGGAAGAGGTGCGGTTGTACCAGGCTGTGCGTGGATGTGAGGCCTGAAGATGTAACGTTGTTTCTTTGCCTTAAATTCATGTATGATCTGGGTGTTGCCTCTCGGTTAATGATTATCATAATGTCTTGTCCCTGAAGCAATATGCGGTTGTCATCTTACGTATCAGGGATTGCTGGAGGTTGCTTCTCCGTCGATATCATGTTAACTATTCAAATATTTTATGACCAAAACGGATCTTAAAGAGGCAGCTCCGAAATTTAAGGATGAAAAAGCAAACTCCAAGCCTATGTATCCCCCCAATATTCTCCCCTTCGGCAAGTTAGACTGGAACGACAGTCACAATTGAATCCCCAAGACGAGAAATGTTGCCATATCCAAGGGAGAAGACACCTTCCGAGCCTATTACGTCCGGCTGGTTTTATTCAGGATCAATAGGGTGCTCCCCCCTGAGAAATATTTGATTTCCACATATATTCATCGGCAGTATTGAACATTCTTTTGCTGCTTTTCTGGTGCCAACAATAAACAGAAATATCGAACGATTTCTGTCCAGTCTGGCTCGTCGGAGAAAGCGCATACGGGTTTGAGTGAATGGATTCAAAAGACCGGAGTTTCTATATGCCCAAATACAATATCTACCACCATCATGGAAACTAACGTGGCAGCTAGGGCGTGGGTACGGCTTCTCAGCCATTACAGATCTAATAATCATTCAAGTACCGGAGCAAGAATTTTTCAAAGTATATGCGTTAGACTAAATTGAATATGATGGGTATTGCTTGTCTGCTAAATGGATCAAATTACCTAGCCCTTGCAGCGCATTGGCACCTATGAGAATCAATCAATCGATCAATCAATCAATAATAGTTCAATTAACCTGTTAAAGCCTAACTAGTATCGTAATGGCTATGTAGGTGTGGGACTACGCTAGTCTCGAGGTTGTAGATGGGTAAGCGAGATAGAATCCTGTAGCGTATACAACAATAAAGGATATACGTATGTCCGTAACAAACTTATACCATCAATGAAACTATTATTACATGAGACCTGAGTACCTGGCTGTTTCTCGTTCAGTTATTTGAACCTGAATTCCTGACTGGTGACCCATGTCTTCAAGGTCCTGTAGCATCGTAGGTTCCCACATTCCCAATTGACTCACTAACAGACAAAATCCTTGGAGACGAGGAGTAAACGTCTTCCATTCTTGTAGCCATGGTCGAATAGCTTCTAACAAGTATGTAGTCTCCCATTCCCATTCCCATTCTTCTTGGAAAGATAGTCCGTCCGTAACAGTTAGCCATTGGAGGTTTTTTGGAAGCCCTTCCTCCAAGGGAGCCCTGTTTGGCGTGGACGGAGAAAATCCAAGCAGAAATGCAATTGGAATTTCTAGATTTTGCAGCATATGAAGTTCGCTAAAAGCTTTGAACGAACCGCTAAATCGGAGCTTCGGATATTGGGGAGCCGATTCTGAAAGGGATGACCCTGCCGTAATAGTCAAATCTGTTAAAGAATTTTGAACGTGGGATAGATCCGCAGCTATTTTATCCAAATCAATGATATCGGTGACATATTCATCTTGAAGATCTCGTCGGAAGTACCAATCCCAGTTTAATTTCCGAAGTTTTGGGGTGGTTGATAGTACTTGGCCGAGATGCCCTTCACGTAGCATTGTCAAATCGAGCGATATGAGTTTGGATGGATTTGGAAGGGATTTTCCGGGCCATATGAAAGTTGGCGGGTTATCGACCAAGACCCTTATCCGTTCAACAGATGGTAGATAGAAGAGAGGAAGGACATCTGCGGTATTCCTAGCGTCTGTGTACTTGCGCACAAAGAGGTCAAGGCCGGGAAACACAACCTCGACATCTTGGAGATGTGAAAAGGAACTGAGATAGCTGTTTTTCTCACAGAGGGCCGAGCGGAGCATCATACCCATTAGGCGACTCTCTCGTGTGAAATTTTGGCTGAGCTGGAGAAATCTCAGACTTCGCAGCTGTGATAATAAGAGCGTCATAAACGCGTCCATTGTTCCGGCGCGTAACTCTTGGATCCATTCCCTAGCAAATGAAACGGAGGTATTTTCGATACATTTTATGAGCCTATCCAAAGCAATTTCACCAAGTGGAAGTTTCGGACTACTTAACTTATAGTTATGGAAGTAGTCATCGAAGCTGTACCCACTAAGGATCAGAACAGAAATAGAACTTGCGAGCTCGGGCCTTTGCACAATATTTTGCAAAAACTGAGCGATCGGAGGGGTTTGAGATTTTGTCCATGTCAATTCGACACGAGCGTAGAGAAATGGCTCAGCAACCGCGCGCAAGTCCCTATGCGTAAGACATAATACGTAATGGTCGCTGCGCGATAAAGCCGCAAATACGAGGCGCAACAGCTCTGTTGGGATGGTGAGAATAGAGGCCGCCATTTAATGATTTCCGACTGCTATTTCAAAAAGGAGTTAATCAGATACGTAAAGAGTGATTTAAAAGTTGCTCAGTCACTCGTGCCTGTTAGAAGGAGGGTGCAGCCCTAGTCCGGGTCTAAAAAACTGTCCCCAATCAGGAAATAGCTCTATATCCTCACCCTGTGTGTTGGAGCATCTGTATTGATGGTATTGTTCTGTCATCCTGATACGCACTACTCATGCATTAGGGTTAGACCTGTATCTATATTACTGGTTTGTGAACCATAATAATACATCTACTTTACATATGCTACAAGGCTGGACTTCATTTTTGCTTAGTACTACTTCTACTCTTAAGGCTGGTGGTACATTCAAGTGCTTCGTTCAAGGCTGCATTCCCCAGGAAAAGGCGCTGCTGGAGAATTGCCTGGTCAGCACTCGCACTCCGAGTGAATAAATGCAAGCTCGAGGTGGACTCTTGTCCGAATCCAGAATCATTTTCATGAGCATGAAAAGGCAAATTGATATCATGTCAGAACTCCGGAGCTGCTCTGGCTACAGCGAAGCGATGGATGCCCATGTGGACTAGTTGAGCTTAAACTGCACGGATTCAAGGCCCAACATTCATGTATTAGAAAATTAGAAAAGTCCATACCCTACAAATAACCCCCAAGAAGTAAAACGCTCAAACACGATCGTCGGCTTCAACTAATCTAAGTCCTTTTAACGATTTCATTCTCTCTAGCCGCGTCGAGCTTGGAGCCGGCGGTAGTGTCGGTGAATTCTGCTGCGAATGCGAAACCATAACCTCCGTCGTGCAAACGATTCCATCTCCCAAGATCCTTTCCTCGCTGGAATTGCTACCATCACGCGCAGGATACGTCAAGGAAGTGTTTGCGGAGACAGCATTCGATTTCGGAACCTTCATGTCGTCATGTTCGATGACGCTCAAGTTGCCAGTGAACTGGCCGTGCGAGTGTAGCTGTTCGCCACGAGATCTCGACATAGATCGCAGTTTGTATTGCCTGCTACCGTAGTACTCGCGTGTTGTCTTTGATCGCGATCCGTATGTGCCAAGGACGCGCTTGAAGAGTGGTTTTAGGGTCGGGAGGCTGCCTGCGATTATACCGGTGTTGCTTTCCGTGCTGGGGTTGATTAGTCTTGATTCAGAGGGGAATGATGTATGCAGATCACGTACACGACCCAAATTGTGAGGTTTGTATAATCCCAGAGGAAGTCTCCGGTTCGGCCGTAGTTGGGGAGGATGGAGATCTTGACGAAGGCAGCGGCGCAGGCACTGGGTCATTAAGAATCGACGGTTAGTTATCATTTTTGGTAGATTTGAGTGGTTGTTACTCACAAGACTCCTAGACCCAAGATACAAACAAGAGATGCCTTGACTCGTCGATTGACTTGGAGATGGCGGAGCATGAAGATTGGCAATATAGAGAATATCAGATCGGTTAGAATATTCAAGGCTGTTCGAGTTAGTGCATTCACGCTATTCTGCCGGAGTTCGTCATACCTGTGTTTGTATAGCTCAATATGAGCAGTTGTCTAGGGGAGAAGCATTGGGAGACAACCGATTTGTCCCAATTCGTTCGGATGTCTTTGCATTCAAACATCAAAGTCTATGTGAAACCAGGTGTCAGTTTCACTATGAAGCATCAATAGCACTGATGAAATGTCGAAATAGGTTACTGACCAAGAAACAGACCGTTGTATACAGCGTCATGAGAACTGTGGGGTAGACCGAATGCATGAGTATGCGAACGAAGACACTAAGAGGAAGCGAATCCACTGGTACATACTGATTACTACCCAAATAAAGATCCTAAAGCTTTTCTGGGGTGCAAAGCGCAGCAAAAACAACCCAATCGAGACCTTGACCAAACCAATGGCCCATAGGTAAATTCCCTGGGTTGCGAAATTCAAGTGCATCGCTTTGGATGCTGTTTCCAGCACATAAGCCGTATGTCTACCGGCGCCATACTTCACTTCTGGAACAATAATCGCAAACCCAGACAGCGACAAAAGCATCGTCAGGGCCATGGTATAGTCGTCCCAGCCGACATTGCGAATGATGAAGATGCGCACGTAGAACCGCGCCAGCACGATCAGTAGCGCCACTGCGGTTGTAATACCCGTGGCTAGGAGAATGCGCCATCCTTGATCGATATCTGGTAGGCCGGCGCCTGCCAAATATGATGTATCTGACATGGCTGTCGCAGAGGGTCACTGCCGTGGGGACATAGGGGGAATGGAGAGATTATGTTGACCAGGGTAGCAATGAAGGATTATCGGCTTATGCAGGCGCCTCACAACTATGAATAAAGCGCCTTCGCTTCAAGGTTCGCGTGGCTTCGGAGCAGGCAAATAGTGAGTTTCGGGTCCGTACATTTCCGCCGGGGTCGTTTCTTTCCCCTTGATATCCACTCGTTCGAGCACATTTTGATGGCGGAAGTATATTTCTAACCGAGACAATCACAATTTTCTTGTTTAGGGCGTCTCGTCTGGGGCTTTGGAGAAACCGCGGCAGCGAAATCAGACCACACTATAGTGTTGCCGAGATGTGGTGCAGACGAAGCGCCTCTCTGGAGAGAAGCATTTACCCCCTGTACATTGGGCGCTCTAGAAGTTTCTCTTACACACCTTGCATGTACTTTGTACAGCGATGCTTTTGATGGCAGAAACAAGGCCAATGAAATGCCTTGGGTTCTCTCGGCATTGGCTGGATTGGGAGACTCTTAGGCCCCGGATCAATTGGGGGCGGAGACCATATCCATGCAGTTCATTTATTCCGCCCACTAGGGCACCGGAAGGGCTTTCCAGATTGCAGCTCGCTTGTAATCGAATCATTCACACCCTGTGAAGACCATTGCCAAGCCCGCTAAACAACAGGTGCCACGAGGTGGCGGTGAGATATCTGGCGTGCAGAAGGGGCCTCGGATGTGATACACATCATTCGAGGTGATCGCATATGGATCTTCAGGGCTCCAAGGGCCGATCCGACTGTGAATCTCGATCGACAAGTCCCAAGTGGACTGCGCCTTGGGCAGGATTGTCCCTTAACGTCGTGGTGGAGCTTCAGCCGAGCGGGACATTCTCCGAAGCCCTGAGTGGCTGCACAGGGCTGCAAGTGGCTCCAAGTGGCTCCAGGAGGCCAGTGGCCCGAAGTGACCCTGAACTATCGTTAGCTCAGGTGAATGGCCAGTTCGCGTGCAGTCCAGAGGGCGAGTAGAACGCTATCATGAACCGTGCATCAGTCTAACCTCTGGAATAGGGGGCGATTGACAGCCCTTAAAATGGTCAATCATGCCCGAATTTAACTTCAATCGGTCGAACAATTTTTCATCTCTTGGCAACAGGAACGTGCGGTGTTTCATCTTCACAACATGGTTGCATTCTCCGCTCTTGCTCTCGGGGCTCTGTTTACTCAGGCGTGGGCTATGCCCGCTGCCTCGAGCTCGGTTGTGAGCTCTGCTGCTGAGCCCACGGCTGCTTCCACCTCGCTGCCGGTGGCCGCTGCTCAACTCGACCAGTTGGCTGACTTGGCCTATAACATCTCCAGCGCTAGCGTCTCCAGTGACTCGGACATCACGAAGCGCGGAGGATGTGGGATCCAGAACCTTCGCATTCGTCGCGATTGGAGGTCCTTCTCGAAACCGCAGAAGAAGTCCTACATCAAGTCTGTGCTTTGTCTCACAGAGTTGCCAGCCCGTACCCCCTCCAACGTGGCTGCTGGTGCCAAATCTCGTTACGATGACTTTGTTGCTACGCACATCAACCAGACTCTGGGCATTCATTACACGGGTACCTTCCTGGCGTGGCACCGTTACTTCATCTGGAACTTCGAGGAGGCACTCCGTAACGAGTGTGGCTACACTGGTGACTACCCGTACTGGAACTGGGCCGCCGATGCTGACGACCTGGAGAGCTCCGAAGTCTTTGACGGCAGCGACACCTCCATGTCCGGCAATGGTGTCTACATCCCAGCAGCCGGCGATATCCAACTGGCTCTGGGCGCTTACCCGACTGTCGATCTCCCCACCGGAACAGGTGGTGGTTGTGTCACTAGTGGCCCCTTCCTGAACTACACCGTCAACATGGGCCCAGCCGCCTTGAATCTCCCTGGCGGAAATGTCAGCGTCGCTGAAAACCCACTGGACTACAACCCACGTTGTCTGAACCGCGATCTGACGACCGCCATCGTCAAGAGCTACGCCAACTACACCTCGGTCGTGGATCTCATTCTCCGCCACGACTCCGTTTGGGACTTCGAGATGAACATGCAGGGTGTCCCCGGCAGCGGGTCTATTGGTGTTCACGGTGGTGGTCACTACTCCATGGGTGGTGATCCTGGTCGTGATGTCTATGTCAGCCCTGGTGACCCGGCTTTCTGGCTCCACCACGGTATGATTGATCGTACCTGGTGGATCTGGCAGAACCTGGACCGCAAGAACCGTCTCAATGCCATTTCTGGTACTGCTACTTTCTTGAACATGCCTGCCTCGCCAAACACTACTTTGGATACCATGGTTAACGTTGGTTTTGCCGGTGAAGGCCCTATTGCTATGAGCGATATCATGAGCACCACCTCTGGTCCTTTCTGCTATATCTATATTTGAGGGATAGCAATGGCCTCAAAGTTATAGCTAGTGCACCTCTATGACTTTCCTATCTGTGTGGCTCTCTCACTGGAGTCTACTGTTATTTCTGCTTGTACATAATAGATGATAGATTAAATAACGGCAGTCTCAGGGGCAAGGCCAAGTGAAAAGCAAAGACCACTGTCATAGCTTCCGGTTCATCCGGATATAATATATCCTCTGGCCACTCTCCCTTGTAGTGAATTTGGATTAATTAAAACTATTATAAACGACTAGTCAAAGCCCCCAATTCCCACCAATGATCACCAATGATCAGTGTGAATATTCAATACTAACGTTTTACTCTAACTGAATTCGGGTTGAAGAACGTTTTACCCGAAACATCCACATGAAATTGATAACTAAGGGTTAACTCCATACCAACACTGGCTTGATCACTGTTCCTTCCTTGAGCTGCGAAAGTGCCTCTCTAAATTGCGATGCCTAAAGAGTGTTTTCCATTAAAAATGCACTGTGAAAACTCAAAAAAAGAAAGCCCAAACAAGTCAAGTGCACTAAAATTGGCAACATACCTCGAAACTCCGAACCGACTGGTCAATTGGAAAGCGGCTCTCTCTATACCATTTGATCATCTGTGGGATTGCCTAAAGATATGTTAAGCATGACGTTTCAACTGAGAATGCAGAAGATTAGTGAGGGAATCACACCTCTGATGGAATACAATCGCCTTCAATACACCCCATAATCGAACGCCCCGACTGAACCGAACCCACGGTCAGCCTGTTACCCTCCATCTTTCGGTCTGAACAGTTCGGCACTTACATTGATGTGCTCCACTACATCGATATTCAACTTGTAGCCCCGCGGTGGGACGCCGATCAGAATGAGCTTTCCGAGTTTTCGTGTGCACTGCAGTGAGTCTTCGATGAGGCTCGGTGCACCTGTCGTATCAATAACCACTGATACACCACCTGAAACCAGACTCATCGTAATCTCTCTCAGCGTCGTATAGTCCGAAGCCCCTGTGTTAATAGTATGGCTAGCACCGAGACTTTTGGCCAGTTGCAACCGAGCCTCAATTCTATCTACCACAATGATAGTTTCACAGTTACGTATCTTGGCAGTCTGTATTTCCTTCACATCAACATCAACGACCCCCAATCTTGAAGAACTAGATCAGAAAAGGAACATCTCACCATCAGTGCCCCCATCCCAACAGCCCCCAAGCCCAAAATCATAACAGCATCTTCGGGTCCAGCATTTGAAGTGTTCCAGATGGCGCCCATGCCAGTCTGAAACCCACAACCGAGCGGAGCAAACAGTTTCAGCTCGTCTTGATCATGGAGCAGTCCTTTCACGTTCACGATACTCCGTTCGCTGACAACGCTATACTGCGCCAAGCTAGACTGGCCGAAGAATCGGGACGTGATGACATCGCCGGTACCGCTGATGCTCATGGAATTCTTGTGGCCGATGTAGTTCTCCAACGCGAAATTCTCACAGTATGCAGGATGCGACTCGTGGCATTTCTTACACGAGCCGCATGAGTGGTAGGATAATAGAACCGGATCGCCGACCATTACGGAACTGGTGTTTGGGCCTATGGAGCGTACAATGCCTGATCCTATTGCTTGGTTAGTACGTTTAGTATTGGAAATTGGGCGAAGAGCGTTGGTGAAATGACTTCTTTGATACCTTCATGGCCAACGACCTTGGGGTATGTGATTCCAAGGTTTCCTGATGGTATGGAGGAGAGTACAATATCCGTGTGGCAGATTCCAGTGGCGAGCATCTCTACCAGGACCTCACCCTCACCGGGTACGCCAACGTCCACGTCTTCGAGCGACCAGTTCGTTTGGCCAGGCTCTATGGGTTCCCAGGCCACAATCGCTTTTGTGGCAGTCATGGCGCGTATACTCTCTAAAGTCTTCGGTCGATGTTGCGGTTCATCTGTCAAGATAGAGCAGAAAGATGCTTCTATCACATCACAATAAATCCAAGTCCACGAGGTGGGGTAGATCCCCTCTTTGGCTTTGTTTGCCTCGGCACTGCAGCTTGCTGTTGGAGGGTTTCCGTTATAACTCGCTTGTATGGGATCAACCCCATTTATGAATGGAAGAATCAGTTGCGTATGCAGCGGCTAGATAATGCATTGGGGGTCTGCTTACTGCATGAAGTAGCGGTCTGTGGATGATGCAGGTCTTTGTGATCTACAAGACTTGCCACTGGCACGATAGCAACGTAGACACTCTTTCTCTTCGCCACCTCTGTGTTCCCTCCTAGAGTCATACTACTTCTAGTGGCCGCTGATCGCTTCCTACCTGACCTGCTGTTGGGTTTTTGCCTATGCTCTTCATTGCCAGTGTTGACCTGTCCGCTCGACTAGACTGCCATCGCGATGTCCCCATTTCAATAGATATCTCCATTCAGCTCCAAGTCTTTGTTTGGATTTCTTTGGCCACCGGAAGATCTTTACCCTACTCTGATCTTCATGTGCATAGTCCCCATCAAGACCTCCGACTTTGAACAACACCATCGCAATCTCTCATTATTCCGAATTGGACATAAGTTATAAAGCAATAAACAACTCCAACCAAATAGCAGCAAAGCCACCCATTCCATTGCCGTGAAACAAGAATATAAAATATAAAAATAAAACAAACAGCAACGAGCCAACATCTACCAACGGAAAAGCTTAGCCAAAGGAATGAACATCCAGAAAAGCGAAAGCACCGATCCCTCCGAATGTACACTGGGCCGCGTCGAACCAGCATTCGAGACAGCCTGATACGGATCCTGACCATAGGTCGAGTTCAACGTGACATGCGCAGAAATGGATCCATCCTCCAACCGGATCCATGTCTCGATTTCTTCCTTTAGATTCGTTTCATTCAGCAGGATTTGACGCCCGCCACGCGTTAGATCACCGTAGCCTCCGTATCCTGTGTGTCGGCCGTAGCACATGTTCATGCCATTTCCGGTTAAATCATGGTCGACTAAGGTGCCGTCCCACTTGAAACACCTGTTTTCATTGTCAGTATTGTAGTCATAGGATATAATATTTGGTATTTAGTATTTGGATGTTGAATGTAGGATTCTGCATACCAATCATTCTGATGATCATGACCACTAAACCCAGCAATCAATCCCTCCGTTTCAAGAAGCGCCTTCATGAACTTGACATCCTGTCTATCATAGCTCCAGTCGCCGGTCCCCTGGGGGTTAACCCGTTCACGATTAACCCCCGGGTTCCGGTGCGGATCCACGCGATCCTTGCGTTGATATTCCAGCATTGCATGGGCCGGGATATGGTAAAAGGCCAGCGAGGGGATGACTCCCCATTTTGCCTTGATCGCAGACTCTGTCTCCGTGAACCAATCCACAACCTGCAAAGCAATCACATCACAGTCAGCCGTTCATTCTGCATTCCACGCGCCTCCTGTGCCCCCAGACTCCAATATCGCTGAATGCTTACCGACTCATCAATCCAACTAGGCCTCTTGACGGACGGCCCCCCTTGCCCCTCGGGCTGATAGTAGTGACCGCCCTTCGAATCGAAGAACCAAAGAATAAGCGCCGGTTTGTCCGTCGGCGCAGCACGGTGCGAAAAGACCGGCAGGTAGTAATTCGTGATCCCCGCTTTGGGGCCGGAGACCCTGCTTTCAGTTAGACTGTTCGCATGGCGCGTCTCGGCTTCGAACATGTCCTTCTTCGGGTCGAGATTGACCTCGCTGTCGTGGTTGCCGTACGTCGAGGCCCATTTGTATCCGCCGTATAGCAGCGGGGACACGACTCTGTCGACATATTTCTTGCTGTCGGCTTTTTGGGTCCGCTCGCCTGATACAAGGTCTCCATTTAGGACTACGAAGTCGATTTGTTCTTTTGCCAGGATGTATGACATGACTTCTGTTGATTTTGCATCTTTTTTGTCGTCTGTATATGGGTTAGTCTGTATTTCACTGTTTGGCCCCTTCTCTAGAATTGGGTGAAGGCGTGATGGTTTCGGGTTAGCTATTTGGGTACATACCCTCGGCGAAGTGTAGATCCTCAAAGACGGAGATGTGGAAGGTGCCATTCTCTGTGAATCGAAGCGTGCGCTCCGTTGGTGTTCGGAGGACTGTCTGGGTCGACAGTCTATCGAGTGAGGGTGCCATGTTGAAAATAGAGCTGGGATAGATATATTCTCACCAATATGATCCCATTCAGGGTCTCATTCAGGTCTCGAGGTCAGTGCAAGGGAAAGGTCAAGTGGTTGGAGCGGGAATGGGGCGCCAAGACGCACATCCCTTTTCCCCCGCATTTTGCTGACAGGGTCATGCACGCCATTGTTGGCTTATCTTAGGTCTTAGGGCAAGCTTCGGTTGTGTTTCGTGTATGGAACAGGACCTTGGGGCTTTCTACCAAGGTGTCTCCCGTTACTCAAGGTCCTTGTCCGCGTATATATATGTATATAAGTCCTGGTGCATACCCCAGCCTCCGCATCTCCTCTCTGCCCTTACACTCCACAAAGGGCCAACTGGTGTGGATATGCCTCACTCCACAATGAATATGGATCGAGACAAATTACCAGGCTACACAACAACACTCAGAAATTAGGGGATAGAGGGCCTAGTGTGCAGAACAATACTGTACAGGACCCTGCTATACTATAACAGCATTATGGTTCGGACAAGGACACCCAAGCATCGATCAACACCTACTGCGGTTGCTCTGAAAGAAAAACACAACTACATGTCTACGGGAAGAAAAAAATATTGTGGAAATGTAATATTGACATCTGTTTCTACAAGATAATAGAAACAGTTGATCGAGATCGATCAAGCAAGGTTGTACACCTTGCACATGTGGAAACCACACAATGTTGAAATAGTAAAACCCGACACGGCTGCGTGTCGTTAAAGTCACAGCAGCCATGTCAGATATAATCGTCAGTCATGTTGAAACTCCAGGCCCGCTTTTGGTATCCTCTAGAAACCCATTGAAACCCATATGTTGAACTTTTGGTATCATCTTCGTAACTCATCATAAAATAAAATGCCCCGATCCAGAGACGACAGGTTGAGAATGTCGCCTCCTATTAAAATGGTTAAGGGTTGAAAGGATCTACTGCGCATACTTGGCGCGGAAGAACTTGGCGGCGGCGACCATACCCTCAAGGGCGGCCTTGGTCTCGCGCCACTGGCGGGTCTTCAGACCACAGTCGGGGTTGACCCACAACTGCTGAGGAGTGAGGTACTGCAGCATCTCCTCGAGACGGTCCTTGATCTCCTGCTCGCTGGGGATACGGGGAGAGTGGATGTCGTAGACACCGGGACCGATGTGACGGGGGTAAGCCTGGTCAATGAAGACCTGGAGGAGCTTAGCGTCAGACTTGCTGTTCTCGATGGACAGGACATCGGCATCGAGGGCAGCAATGGCGTGGAAGAAGTCCTGGAACTCAGAGTAACAGAAGTGGGAGTGGATCTGAGTGCCGTCGGTGACACCGGCGGTGGACAGCTTGAAGGAGTCGACGGCCCACTTGAGGTAGGCAACACGCTCGGAGCCAGTGCGGAGAGGGAGACCCTCACGGAGAGCAGGCTCATCGACCTGGATGACGTGGATGCCAGCGGCCTCAAGGTCAACAACCTCATCGCGGAGAGCGAGAGCGAGCTGCTGAGCCTGGACGGACTGGTGGACATCGTCACGGGGGAAGGACCAGCGGAGACAGGTGATAGGTCCAGTGAGCATACCCTTCATGGGCTTCTTGGTGATGGAAGCAGCGTACTTGGACTCCTTGACGGTCATAGGAGCGGGACGAGAGATGTCACCAACGATGATGGGGGGACGCACGCAACGGGAACCGTAAGACTGGACCCAGGCGTGGGTGGTGAAGACGTAACCAGTGAGACGCTCACCGAAGTACTGGACCATGTCGTTACGCTCGGGCTCACCGTGGACGAGAACGTCAAGGTCGAGCTCCTCCTGGATGCGGACAACCTCCTCGATCTCCTTCTCAATGAACTTCTCGTACTCAGCGGGGGTGATCTCACCCTTGGTGAACTTGTTACGCTGGACACGGATCTCCTTGGTCTGGGGGAAGGAACCAATGGTGGTGGTGGGGAAGAGAGGAAGCTTGAGGGTCTTGCCCTGCTCGGCGTGGCGAGTGGGGAAGGGAGATTGACGGTTGTGCATCTCGGGGGTGACGGCAGCCTGGCGGGCCTTAACAGCGGGGTCGTTGGTGCGGGCAGAAGAAGCACGGGCCTGAACGGACTTGGCGTTGGCCTCGAGCTCAGCGCGGACGGCAGCGGGGCCCTCGGAGACGGCCTTGGCGATCACGACGACCTCAGCGGTCTTCTCAACAGCGAAGGAGAACCAGTCGCGGACCTCAGCATCGAGGGTCTTCTCGCTCTCAAGGGTGTGGGGAACGTGGAGCAGGGAGCTGGAGGTGGCAACGACGACACGCTCCTTGCCGAGCTTCTGGATGGCCTTCTCGACCTTCTCGATGGCAGCCTTGAAGTTGGTCTTCCAGATGTTACGACCGTCAACGACACCAGCAGAGAGGACCTGGTTGGGACCGAGGGCAGCAACAACAGTGTCAAGCTGCTCGGGGTTGCGGACAAGGTCAATGTGGATGGCGTAGAGGCTCTGGAGGTGGGCGAGGACATCAACGTTGTGGACGATGTCACCGAAGTAGGTGGTGAGGGTAATACGGGGACCCTTGGCGGCGAGGGCACCAATCTTCTCGTAGGCAGGCTTGAAGGCAGCCTTGGACTTCTCAGCAAGGTCGAAGACGAGGACGGGCTCATCAATCTGGACATCCTCGGCACCAGCGGCCTTGAGCTTCTCGAGGAGCTCAACGTAGAGGGGAACAAGCTTGTCCAGGAGAGAGATGGGGTCAACGCTCTGGCCACGGTCGGCCTTGGCGAGGGTCAGGAAAGAGACAGGACCGAGGATGACGGGGCGGGTGGTGATGCCAGCGGCCTTGGCCTCGAGGAACTCAGTCACGGGCTTGGGCTCAGCAGCGAGCTTGAAGACCTGGTTGTCCTGGAGGGCAGGCTTGACGTAGTGGTAGTTGCTGTCGAACCACTTGACCATCTCCTGTAAAATTGTTAGGCATGATTCCAAAAAGAAATATAATACGGTAGACACGTACGAGAGCGGGGACATCGACACCCTCCTTCTGGAGACCACGACCCATAGCGAAGTACTCATCGAGAGGGTGAAGGTTGTACTTGGTGTAACGCTCGGGGATGGTTCCGAAGAGCTGGTGGTGGTCGAGAATCTGATCGTAGAAAGCGAAGTCGTTGCTAGGGATAACATCGACACCGGCATCCTTCTGGATCTGCCAGTGGGCAAGACGAAGACGCTTGCCCTCGGCGAGGAGCTCATCACGGGAGATCTTGTCACCCCAGTAAGCCTCAGTGGCCTTCTTGAGGTCACGGAGCTTTCCCATACGGGGGAAACCCAAAACAGATCTAAAGAGCAAGGAGTCAGTATGACCGAGAAATAGAGGAATGGTGGATTGAAGATAGAACATACGATTGAACCATCTTGACGGTTGTGTGTGTGTATGAGGGGGGGAATGGGCAATGTCTCTTAAGCAAACAACGATGCTTTGGAGAGATGAAGAAGAAAGAGAAAGGAAAGAGGGAAAAGCTCGAAGAAAATAGAGGGGAAGGGAAAACACACTAACCCAACGGGGAGTTACACGGAGGGGCAGTGGTACTGTCATTGAGCCCTCATACAGTTACAATACCGGGGAATATTTATTACCACCCCCTCTCTTGGCCCTGCTGGCGGGGATCAGCATGTAAGTTACAGTTCATACTCCGTACATACTCCCCACGGTAATCTCCGTGATCGGGGCACTAAGGTCGATCACGCCATTGGGTGTCATCGATAAGACTCAATAGTTTGTGCAGGCATTCGGTAAGGACATGGCCATGCATGAATTGGCTAGTTGATATTTGTTTTTTTATACTGGTCATTGTTATTGCCATGATCATATTTATTGGGTCCCAGGGCCGGACCACGAGGCGAATGGTTGGGAGTACGACGTAAACATGCTTCTTGTCTAACCCCGCGGACCTAGAACCAATTGGTCAGAGCTACAACACGCAGAAACAAAATCATCTACAGTAACCCAGGGAACTGTAGTCAACCAAACTCCAACAATTGAGTCAACCCCTATTTGACTAACAGATACCAAGTCACATCCACAACATTCCAGAATCCCCCGAACATCGGTCTCCGTTCAAGCAATTGATCGGCCCACGTGATCTGCCATCGAAAAAGTTAATTCCGGACTCTTCCAGAACTGTTGAGAGTGCAGTGGGAATCGTCAAGCATCCAGTCTCTCGTTTTTGGTGACATCCCCAGTGTATTCGCTGCAAACAGACTAAAAAGAGATACAGCACGCAATGGCCTCTCCAGACCGTATTAGCCCTGTGGAAGCCAAGTCCCAAGAAACGCAGACTCACCGTGTCCATACCGATGAAATGTCGGTGACAAACGAAGATGATCGCGATTTGCTGAAGTTGGGCTATCGTGCAGTATTGGCACGTGGCTGGGGGTCATTTGACAACTTTGCCTGTTCCTTCTCGGCCTTGTACTGCATTGGAGGCATCCGTGTGTTGTTCTACATCGCCCTCAGTGGAGGTGGGCCAGCCGCGATGTATGTATCACACGCTCCATGCACTTTCAGCTGCACTTGTCCTGCAATCCAATGTTGATCACTAACACCTATCTCATTCAGATGGAGCTCCTGGATTTCTGGTAGCATCTTCTCGATCATCACCGCTGCCTGTCTCGCTGAAGCTTGCTCGAGCTACCCCGCCGCGGGGTCTATCTACTACTGGGCATTCCGATCATGGGGTGGTGGTCGAGTTGGTCGGTTCGTCTCCTTCCTCGTTGCGGCGTGGACGTTGGTTGCGTGGACTGCCTTCTTGGCCAGTGACTCGTTTGGGGTTGCCAATTACCTCATCTCTGAAGTTGTCGTATTCAATCCGGAAACAAGCTTCCCATATGAGACGTCCGATGTACGAGCCCGCGCCGTGGCCTGGGCTTTCTCATTGTTGTTCTTGGCCATCGCAACCGCGTTGAACTTCCTCCCACCGCGTATGTACTCCGGGGTGTTCCGGGCGGGTTTCACGGTGATCATCATCGACATGTTGCTCAACTTCATTTGGCTTCCCATCGGCGTGTCCAAAACTTACGGATTCCAATCCGCTGAATACGTCTTCACGTCTACATACAATGGTGGTGGTACGAGTCCCGGTCTCAACTGGGTTCTGTCCTGGTTCCTGGTGGGCAGCTGCTTGGTTGGACAAGATGCGTCGGGCCATGTTGCGGAAGAGACTATCTCTGCGAAGAAGGCAGCTGCTAAGGGCATCTTCTGGGCCACTGTCGCCTCCGCATTGTGTGGTTTCCCGATCATCATCTTGTTCTTGTTCTGCATGCCACCCATCGAGACATTCTACAACACCAGCGCGCCCCAGCCGTTCATCAACATGTACGCCTTGGCGCTTGGACCACATGCCCATGTGGTGATGACAATCATCTCAATGATCGGAGCTATTCTTAATACCTCAATCTCCTTGGTGGCTGTTTCACGACTTGTGTTCGCCGTGGCGCGTGACGGTGTCTTCCCATACAGCGATTTCCTATCGCGTGTGTCGAAATCAAAGCAGCCTCATAACGCGATTATCTTTATCTCGACCATCGCCGCTCTTTTGCTTTGCACACAGCTCCCGTCTCAAGTGGCTTTCTCCAGTTTGATCTCGACTTCTGCAGCTGGATCACTTGCAGCATATGGCCTCGTTGGAATCGGTCGCGCTTTCATCACGCGCAAAACCTTCCGCCCGGGCTTTTGGGACTTGGGTCGATTCGGTGTTGTGGCTGCCGTTGTCACATTCATCTGGAACGGTTTCGCTTTTGCCGTGCTGTGCGCACCGGCTTACTCGAACCATGCTATCGACGAAGACTCGAGTCTGTTCAACTACGCCATCGTCATTATGGGTGGTGTCACTATCCTTGCTATCGCTGAATGGTGGCGCAAGTCGAACGATGATTGGTTCAAGCATCTCAAGGTCACTGACTCGAATTCCGAGGTCAACCAGCCCATTGAGCGGGAGGAGACCAAGGATGTTTCAGTGTGAGTCTGAACTTTCATCCCGCTCGCCGATTCAAAATGTGGTGCTTCTGACGGGTTATGGCGACGAGGGTGAAGCACCGAGGAGGATCTAACATGGCATCCATGCAGGGATGCACAGAGTAAGTGTATTTTTACGTAACACGCATGACGGGTGTTCGAGGTCTCGCGTTTTTTGGTCCGCCGAAAGCGCAAGCCTCGTTCTGAGATATTACCGTTAAAACTTGATCTGGACAATACCAGCGAAAGGACATGCACGCTTCATCCCTCTTCCCTCTTTGGTGTCCTGCCTTGCAGACGCGGTGCTCAAGGCGGATGCTACTAACTGCCTCTTCGGAGATGTAGATCTGCGGTTTGCTACTGGCAAGTTGATCATGCCTGTTCCAGACTTTCTTCGCCCTATGCTGGCTGCAGTCACTGTCTCGGTCTTGCGCTATCGGTGTGCTCCGTCGGTCTCTGCGATATCCTGCATTCCTACATTACTGCCTTTTGGCACAATGCTGGTTTGAAGTTCGGCCTGTACATGTGCAGGGTGTCGCTTGATCGATCAGGTCTCTGATCTGCTCCGTGCGCGAAAGTTATGCCCATATTTACACATTCAATGTGTGCATGACTTGGGATCGAGCTGTTGGATTGAGAGTTGCAGTACGATGTCCTGCACAGAGATATTATCTCTCTCTCCCACTGGACCTGCCTGATTGACATATCGGCATCGTAGATTGTCAGCTACAGCAAACCGCTCGTAGACACGTAGATGCATAAAGTGATAGTCCCGAGCAACCCGGTGTGTTATCTTGATATGATTGGACAGAGCACCCTGCAATTGAGTTTTGTCAATCCGGGGGCTCAGTCGCTACCCCCGAGTCCCAAGATTTCAAACCAGAGACTAACGGTAGGTCTCCAGTAACGCATCAAGATACTAACGCCGTAGAAACATCTGTTTAGCTCACGGAGATCAAGGGCTAGTCTTGTCTGACGTCAAGCGGGTGATCATTGCCGAAAACGTACACGCTCCCCTCACTCCAAAGCCGGGGAAATAGCCCAACTTCTAACTTTCATCTTCTATCTGACATCTATCCATATACAATTCATTATTACAGCATTTTTCTTTGGTAGCGGTGTTCTATCTAATAGGGCTCTTCACAATGACATTCGCCGGCAGACTAGCAATACTCCCAGGAGGCCTGGGTATGAACAAGCACCACACAACGCCCTGTATATATAACGAACTCAGCAATTGACAACCCACTAGGAGGCCTAGGATCGAGCATAGGCAAAAAGCTCCACGCACAAGGAGCAAGCCTAGCAATTCTTTACGCCCCCTTCGAAGCTACAAGGCGCGACGAACTCTTAGAATCAGGGTACGGGGCTAAGGAAGGCACAATGGACAACATCCGCACCTACGAATGCGACATAACATCACCCGACTCAGTCCAATCCGCCTTCGACTCCCTATCACAGCAACCATTCTCCGCAGCAGAGAACCCATTTCCAAGTATACTAATCAACACAGCCGGCTACGTCTCCCTATCTAATATGGAGATCACACCTCCGTCCGAGACGCTAAAACACCTAACGACCAATATCCTTGGTCCGATGCTGTGCTCGCAGGCGTTCGCAAGGAGTTATTTCGCGGCATCTGAGTCTGGACAATCGGCTTCATCGATGGTTCCAGCTCCGCCAGGGAGGATCATCAGCATTTCTTCCCAAGCTGCGCATGCAGCGTTATATCGCCACGGTGCTTATTGTGCCTCTAAAGCGGGCTTGCTGGGGTTGACGAGGAGTATGGCTTCGGAGTGGGGAGGGCGGGGCATCACGGCTAATACAGTTTCGCCGACTGTTGCTTGGACCGAGTTGGGGAAAAAGGCCTGGGGGGAGGAAACGGTTCGGAAGGCTTTTCTGGAAAATATTCCTACGGGCAAGTTTGCTTTGCCGGAGGAGGTTGCTGATGCGGTTTTGTTTCTTTGTCAGGTGGGTTCTTACTTCGTCGCGGTTGGCTTCGTCGTTGGGATTGGTTTGCTGACCTGTAAGCTTGATAGGATTCTAGTGGGATGATTAATGGGGCGGATATTCGGATTGATGGTGGGTTCACGATTCGGTAGGTCTTGTTTAAAATTTATTAAGCATTGATGAAATCTCCACAATTTTTGAGACAGAATCAAGAATAATCACTCGCCTGAGAAGGATGAGGATTATGACATGTGTTTCTACATTTATTTTCCACTTTCAATTGTGAGATGCCTGAAACGCGGAGTCAACTTCATTCTCTGGTACATGGGCACCACTCTGATTGCATCACCGTTTGTGGGCGTCAGATAACAATAGCCACGAGATATCCAGTTTGGTCCTCGAGTTTACAAGATAGTAAGAAAAGAAGGATATTTCCTGCAGAACTTTGGAAGCTCACCGACAATAATGTTTTTTCGCATATTGGTTTGGGGGCAATATCAACAATGACAGTGCTCTCGCATAACAACGTTGGAAGTTGTAAACCGAGTATTAAAGTCACCACCAAGAAAAGGAAATGAATCACAACAAAATCCAAAATTGCACTTGACTTTCACTATCTGGAGAAGTATTCTGTTTAGAGCGAAAAAATAACTCCCTTAAGGTTGCCCCCGGCAGTACGATGCATTCTATAAATTGGTTCGGATTTCTATATTGACAATCTTTCAAGATATGCATGACGCTGTACAAAATCAAAATTAAAATGGCTCTAATTTTTCTTCGCGTTTAGAATCCCAAGATGTTCACGGATGGTTGTCAACTCTTTTAATCGATTCTCCTCCCCTTCCTGTAGTAGGCGAAGATGCTCGACCTTCAGCTGTTGAAATTCATCATCGAGTTTGTGATGCCAAGGATACAAAACGCAAACTTGGAAGCAGAATGCTGAGCTTGCGATCACAAAATTTGTGAGAGAAAAGCCGCGCGTGATGATCATTTTGCCGTTGAGTTGAAAGAGGAAAAGTATCGGGGATTGAGCTGGATCCGTGAGTGAATGCTAACTGGCGAAGGTAACACATTATAACAACTTACCTGCAGATATCAGAGACCTAGCTTGGGCCTATGTTTGATTCTCTAGGCGTTCGAAAATCTGGAAAATGTTGCCTTCACTAAAGAAGAGCCCCTGGGCCGAAACCCGGGCCTGATCCAGGCTTTTATTCCTCCGGCTCACTACGTCACGTGGGTGTTTATTCAGGAGATATCATTCTGATTCGAAAGGAGTGTGGAGACGTGCTGGTATTGCCATCAGCTGCGCTAATACTGTCAAGGCGCTCGTGACAACTTACTGCATTGGTTAAGAGATCTGTACCAGGTTGCCTTGTTCAATGTTGGTCACTGTTTGCCGCCAGGCACAAAGGATCATGATCAAACATTATAATATAGTACAGTTTCAGTCCTGGCTTCAAGCCCATAGGACTTCTCTTCATTCTACTGCTCAGTTATTCTGCAATGAACTATCCATGGATATCATATCTGAACTTTCGGCCGAAGCGGTGATTCCTCGGGATTTCGCAGTTCCGAGCAGCCACCTCCTCAGCCACCTCTTCCGCCACATATGGCTTCTGATTCAGGAAACATCAACTGTTGCTCAGAGCCCCTTCTCCCCAACTTCACAAACTGCAACTCCGAGGGCCCACTCGGATCTCAAGATCTCGGCGGCAGTAATCCGTGATCCCGCGACTGGATGTAACATCGCGTAAACCACATTTCGGCACCGCTTTTGAATGACAAAAGTATTAGACTCAATCTTTGTAGGGGTCTAATCGAGGTAAAACTTAGTGTGACTTACATTTCCCAGAGCCTGTATAGGACTATAGCCATCGTCCTCCAGACGACAGTTCAGGTAATTGACATAAGCTTCATCAGGAGTGACGCTCTGGGCACTCTGCCAGAGAAACTTGCCAGATCGAAGGAACATGTAGATGATTCCGCATGCCCATATATCGCCTTTTCTGACATCATTGACGTCTTGGTGCGTATAACTCTGACGACGAGAGCCACGACGACTGGGAAATCTTTCGGGTGGAAGATAGGGTATGCTTGAATTTGATACTCTGCTCCGAATGCACAAGGGTGGCGTATGATTAGAAGCTGAAGCTCGTCTAGCGCTTGATACAGATCGAGATGATGTGAAGTCCCTCCCATGTGATATTTGTATTAGTTCTCGAATTGCATCTTGATCTTCACCGAAACCACTTAGTTTCACTGCGCCCTGGGCGGTAAGCAGCACATGCTCTGGCCTTATATCACCGTGGGCGATATTGTGCCCGTGTAAGAAAGCCACTGCTCGTAGCATTTGAATGGCTAGGCAATTTGCCTCATCGGTGGACAGTTTCTCTGCCCGTTGCACTTTGGGGGCCATAAAGGTGTGTAAGTTGCCACCAGCGAAGTAAGGCATGACAAAACAGAGATTATTTTGCTTATTATAGAGAATGTCGAGGATTGGGACAATATTAGGGTGAGAAAGAGCGATACTTGGTGTTTCACTTTGGAACGAGCCAGGCAGTGAAAGAAGAGGCTTTGGGGTATTGCGGAATACCTTGACTGCATATAATTCCCGTACGGTATTTGATATAGAGCCTCGCCTCAATCTCGCTAGCATCTGACCGGACGAAGGCGGCGGAGTCGTGGTTTGATCAACGGTCTGCACTTTCTTTTCATACAATTGAACAGTATTGGAGTCATCATAATGGAGGACTTTGTTGAATCTTCCGTATCTCTCTTCGAAAGACGTTTGCAATGTTCCGTCTGATTGGAATTTAGTCGTGGAGGCTCTTCGCATGGGTTTCGACTTGGGATCTTGTAAATCGGTTACTGGTGGATGAGATTGGGTTCCTTGATCAGAAGGTCCATGGTCTGAAGATGTTGCCTGTGAAGCAGAGCGGCCCTCAGATTCAGGTGTCAGCCACCCCCACTTAGAAAAGATGCTTGCTAATCTATCTGGAATGCGAGGGGTTGCAAAGTCCCTCGTCTCTGTATCATCCTCCCTTCTCACATGGTGACGATGCGATGATAAGGAGAGGGACGGTATCTCGACATGCTCAAAGGGATAGTGGGAATGGATATCTTGAATTTCTTGAGAATCTGGGCCTTGCATTCTCTATTTCAGCTTTTCGTGTATAATAACGGTTGTCTGTTGCTTTGTTTCACAACATTCAAACTAAAATGGTTCCCAGAAGATCAGTCTTGGCAGATAAGAATACATTTGAAACAACCACCATACAAGGACGTTGAGAAAGAGGTGTTGGTCCCCGAGAGATGACGCATCCATGAATCATCTGACTTCTTTCTACCCTATCCATGGATAGGTATTTTTGAGTTCGGGTTAGTAATAAATGTGTCCGCTCCCGAGGTGCCAAGATGAACTTCACAGGTTATACTGTCCTGATGGGGCCCCTAAATTACATACTTGAGTGTGGATCAGGTGCGGCTACCGATCGTATGTAGTTTCACCCGGGTTAGAAGTGGCGTACTCCGCGGCCAATAAGATGGAACCACTTATGATACATGTAAATTTTATTTTAATATTTTTAGGCCTGGCTGTCTGGGATGATAGGCGTTGATAGAAGTTGCTGCGAGCGGAATATCATAAGAAAGAGTGTGTTGCTGCCCACACGCAGTAACCAAGGTTACATGGTGATTAAGGATTCTGCGTTCAACGACTGACAAGTTTGATTCATTGACTAGAAAGCCTCCTGGAGAAACTCCTGTAACGAGAAGTTCTCTCTGTGATGTAAACGTAGGTACGAGTAGATAGATGGACATTCCACTTTAGCTCTCAATTCGATCCACCATGTACTAGGGCCTGCCTTGCGGTACCAAAGATACAACAATAACAGAGCAACAGGGTCTCTCTGCCGCAGCAGATTCTCAAATGATCCATTTATGGTGAGAATGAACATCAGGGTGTGACTTGTGGAGACCTCTTTTTCCGGAACATTCAGGACCTGTGAGAGTGCGTGTGCAGCACAAAAGTACGCATTGTTCCCCGCCGTAGATGAGTCCCCAAGCAAGCATAAGTCAGCCAAAGCTCGTGAAATACCACCTACACCCATTTCTGGAAAAGGTGCATTCATTTGAGCAAAGGCTGTGGTCATTACGCTGAATAGACTGTCTGGACGGAGCGGGTTCACTACGTGCCACAGTGACATTTTACCGTTGCTCATATGCAGCCAGTCTAGATCTGACTCGCCTGAGTTCTTTAATGGCCAGGACTGTTCCGGCGTGCATGGATCGAGAGAAGAGAATATCAAGATGGTCAGAGCAGCGGCAGTGGCCCATATCGGATCCTTATCTTTTGATTCAATTGGGTCTCTTAGTCGCCTGTTGAGAAGTGTTGTGCTTTGAGACCAGTGGTAACACTCTTCCATGGTTCGGCGACTGTCTGACTGATTCATGTGGCGGTCGTATGTAAATGCCACTGCAAGAGCTGCATGCATCAGAAAAGGATACTGCAAGCCATATGTGTTAGACGATGTTTGGTTTGTAATTTTCGATCATGCTTTGTATATTTCCAATTTTCATGATGGTCACAGATTTCAGACTCACAGCAAATGATAGTTTTAAGAGATTCTGGTTCACATATATCGTGTTAGGATCATCTGCAATAAAAAGGCTTCGTTCAAAACAGCGAGTCATTAAATTTCGACATTTCGCGTTCAGTTCATAAGATGCATATTCATTGGATATCCAGACGGCACTGGAAACATGGGTTTTAAGGCCTGATTCTTGTCGATCCAGCAATTGCTTCCCTGTATCAGCAGCGATGGGCTGTAGATCTGGAAGATTAGGCTTGAAGTTGCATAATACCCCGAAAGAACTACATCTCTTGCAATATGGTTTATTTTCGTCACACTAAGAGACATTTTGATTGACTTAGCCAAACGCACAGGATGTAAATGATTTTCACAGTGATACCTTCACCTTCCTGAGCTTGCAATTCCGGCAACCAAATCTCGACCTCCGGGTAGTCTTACACTTCCGAGCCTCTCTTGAAGAAGTTGAGGCCATGTTTCGTCAATCACCCAATACTTGGGGCAGCTCGCATATGAGGTGGTCTCCCACTCTCGGATAAGATTGAACGCCGAGAGGATTCGTAGTGAACGGATAGTTAGTTAGTAGCCAAGCGCCCGTCGGACAGGCGTAAGCTAAACCCCTTTTGGAAACAAACTTCCAAGCTAACCCAAACTCGGATATCGATGGCTCTGATTGGCTGAAAGGTTGGCTCCATATCGAAGAGTAACTTAGTCGAAAATGATACTTCGATGATATATAAACCCGGTTGATTGCCTTGGATTGTTGGACTCAACAGTTGGTTCTTCTACAGTCAAAGTTGTGAAGTCCTGACTTGAATACCACAGCCCTTTGAAATATTTTTCCATCTCTAAACAAACTTCCAACACAACACTCAACATGTCCACTCACCTTGCCGCCGTCTGCCCAGCCAAAGGGCAGCCTTTTGTGCTTCAACCCCGCCTGACCCCAAAGCCAGGACCGGACGAGCTCCTGATCGCTGTCAAATCTGTGGCCCTCAATCCAGCGGATGCCATCATGCGAGACCAAGGCCTTCTCGTAGCTAGGTATCCCACAGTCCTTGGGTTCGATATGTCCGGTTTAGTCTTGGAGATCGGCGAGAATGTTCCTACCAATGCTAGTGAAGATGATACAGGCCCAGTTTTCCGACCGGGTATCACCCGCATCGCCGCCTACGCTGCGTCCGTTTGGAAGTCATGCGACCCAGACTATGGCGCATTTCAAGAACGGTGCCTGGTCCCCTGGCAGCATGCTGTACCTCTACCGGATGAAAGCATTTCTTGGAATCAGGCCGCCACTCTACCTGTTGCCATCGAGGTACCTCTCAGCGCATGGGATGCCATGGGCATACCTCGGACAGGAGATACCTCTGCGTCTGCTCCTGTCTCTTCTGGACCTGTTATTGATATCGGTGGTGCCAAGGGAAGGCCCACTACAGAGAAGCTTGAAGCTCTCCTGATCTGGGGTGCATCTTCTAGTGTCGGCACGATGGGTGTACAAACAGCACGGTTGCTGCGAGAAGATGTCAATTCTTCTTTTGCAGCTGTATACGCCACAGCAGGATCAGCGAATCATGATTATGTGCATTCTTTGGGCGCGGACCGCCTCTTTGACTACAAAGACTCACAGGTTGTGGATGTGATCATCTCAGCAGCGAAGGAGGACGGGCTAGTGATTAGGTACTGCTTTCTTGCTACAGGAGAGCTGGAAAAATGCCAGGCTGTACTCAAGGGATTCATCGAGGAAATTCAAGGAGAAAATGGGACAAAAGTCTCCAAGATCGCATCTGCACCCCTGCTTCCTCCGAGCGCCGAGGTAATTAGCGGATTGGAGACGATATTTGTGGTCCCGTCAATGGTGGAAGCGGAGAGGTTGGAGCAGTTTCGATACTGGCTTGGAATGTGGCTCAAGGCCAATTTGGCCAAGGGGGCCATCAGGCCAAGCCCAGAGCTGGAAGTTGTGGGAAAGAGCTTGGGGGCTATCAATACTGGGTTGGACAAACTGCTCTTGGGTGTGAGTTGTACAAAGCTGGTTCTAGAGATCACGGGTTGAGAAGTCCAAGAATATTGATACCGGTAAATGAGTCGGTGAATGAGCATTTTAGAGTAAATGAATTCAAATTTCTTCAGTTTATTGAGGAATTCTTTCATCTCAGCATGGATGGAGCGAACATGGTTTCCTTGTTCTTAAGATTTTATGCCGTTTAAAACGAATCAATCGGTACTTGGCTTTTTTAATCGCACCTACAGAACTATTTAACAATTAGAACGCAACACTATCAATGCACCATTTCTTTTGGCATGATTATTTTACTTATGACATTTTCCACTCGATTAAATCCCGGGTGATACTGTGCCATTCTGATTTCAATGCGGCTTTAATATGAGTAATTATATTTTGACGTTATATAGTACAACTGAATTAAAGATGAGTTGATAAAAGAGACTAAGAAAAAAGGAAAAGTTTGAAAATGATGAAGATCAATAGAAAAGGAGAAGATGGGGTTCCGAAGAGGAAGAGAGATGCCAGTTATCATGAGCACTTGGCCGTCTTTGTGACGGTAGCGGTACTGGTGGAAGTAGTCTTCACAACCTTGGTGGAAGTGGAAGTAGCACGCTCAGTGATAGTAACAGATGGCTTGTTGGTGACAGTGGAGGTCTTCACAACTGTGCTGGTAGAGGCAGGGAGAGTGATCGTGCTCTTGATAGTGGTAGTCTTGGTGACGGTGGTGGTGGAGGCAGGAACCTTGAGTGTGCTCTTGACCGTTGTTGACTTGAGACTCACAGTGGTGTAGGTGGAGCCAGGGAGGGTGACAGTCGATGTCTTTCCGACAAGGGAGGTGACAACGTCTGTGACAGTGGAGGCCTTGAGGGTCGTCGTCTTTCCGACTGAGGTGGTGTCAGTGACGGTCACAATGGAAGTGACCGCTGGGATGGTTGACACTGAGCTCTTGGTTGCGACCGAGGTCACGGTGTCGGTAACAGTGGCAGCCTTGAGTGTGGTTGTCTTGGTCGTGACATCGGTAATGTAGTCAGTCACGACAGGGATCGTGGTGGTTGATGTCTTGGTCACGTAGGTGATGTCTGTGGTGTATACTGTCACGGTAGCAGGATTGGCCCGAGGAAGAATATCACGCTTGATCTTCTTGGTGATTTCATTGGCTTCATCGCAGCTGAGTGTAGTTGTTACAGTCTTGGAGGCTGTCTTGGTCGATGTGGATGTAATCACTTCAGTGGTTGCCTTGGTACTGATGGTGGTGGTTCCTCCGTTTCCGACAGTGACAGTAACAACGGATGTAGTCTTTCCAGCCTTGCCACTTACTGTCTTGAGGCTTGTAGTTGTCTCCATTTCGGTGCTGGTGACGACTGACGCGGCAGCCGTAATAGTGGAAGTTGCGGTAACAGTGCTCTTCAGGATGCTTGTGGTATCCTTTCCAGCCACGGAAACCGTGACAGTCGTAGAAGACTTCTCGGTAGATGTAACAGTCTTGGGCGCTGGAGTGACTGTGCTGCCGACATCAAGGGTCACGAGCGAAGTCTTGGTCGAAGTAGTGGTAGGCTCAGTAACTACGGCAGTGGTTGTAATAGTCATTTTTTCCGTCGTGGTCTTTGAGACAGCCTCAGGGGTAACTGTCAGGGTGACAGTAGACTTGACGGTCGAAGTCTTGTCAACCGGAGTAATTGTAGCAAGGACAGCGGTGGTTGATGTGGACACAACGTCAATAGTAGTAGTGATTGCCAATGCGGAGACAGTTGTGGACGTCGAAGTGACAAGTGTACTAGCAACCGTCGAAACAGCGGTTGATGCGATAGTCGAGCTGACGACGGCGGTGCCAGGAACGAAGGGAGTACCATTCACGTGAGTGAAGTCAATCCAAGAGGTAGTCGTAAAGAAGTTGGCCAGCTCAAATTGGATAACTCCAGCATTGTCCAGCTGCGTAGCGAACGATGCACGCTGCGAGGTACTAGACCCGGGGCCATAATTACCATATTCGGCAAATGTGACACCAGAGGTCTGAGGGCTAGATGAGGACCACTGTTCCCAACCTGCAGCCTCCACACAGGATCCGAGGTAGGAGTCAATGTATGCGACACGAGCAAAGGAGTTCCAAGGTCTACCGAGGGAAATCTTAGACATGGATCCTGAACTTGGGGTGATGGTACACTGATCAAAGACGAATCCGCCAGCGGTTGTAGTAGTGGTGCGCTTATCAGCTGTAATGTTGATGTCGTCCTCGTTAGGAGCGATAGTGGTGTTGAGGAAGTATCCTGCGCCACTGCCCCAGATCATGTCGATGTTTCCTTCGACATATCCGTTGCTCATAAAGAAGTTACCGTTAATCAAGAGGGCATCCTGGTTACCTCTGACCTGGCAGCCTATTTTTCACAATTTAAGTATCACTCTAAGTTGGATATGGGGAATTCAACTCACCATAAAGACTGGCATACTTGCTTGACTTGACAGCAAAACCGAGTGTCGCGATATCATGCTGGGTACCGTTGTTGTTCACGAAGTTGATGTTCATTGCCTTAATGAATGATTAGCATCATGTTTCTCGCTGCTACTTCACGGGGCGGATCTTACCTGGAAGTAGTTTCCGGTAGCATAAACAGTGGCACTGTTAGAGTTGGATTCATCCGCACTAGTGTCAACACCATGGTTGTACTGGATGGTAACCTGGTTGCTGGAGTAGTCGTATGTGGAGTCAGAGTATCCCATCATGATTACAGAACCGGATTTGCTGATAATGAGCTGTTCCTCGTAGGTACCGGGGTAGATGAAGACAGTAGGTGTGACCTTGGAGGAAGTTGGAAGAGCATCAAGGGCCTTCTGGATGGTATCATAGACCGTGGTGTTGGTTCCAAGGCTTGTCTTGGAAACAATGTAAGCACCGGAGGGAGGTGTTGTACCATCATAGGCGACCGTGGCAGTAGGAGTAGCCGAGGTAGAGGTGGTGGTGGTGGCTGTTCCTGAGACAGCTGTAGGCGTATCAATGGTATCCCAGTAAGTCATATCAATCCAGTCAGTGGAGTCCATGACGCTTGCAAGAGAGTAGGTATCCTCTGTCAGGAGGGTGGCGTATCCAAAGGCCTCACGAGCGGCAGCATTGTTTTCCCAGTTGCTCGGTCCAGAATTATTGAACTCGGCGAATATAACAGCTCCAGTACGAGGGTCAGAGGTGGACCAAATCTTCCAGCCAGAAGGTTGAATGACGGAGGACAGGTAAGAGTTCTTCACAACAACCAGCGCGTACTGGGAGTAAGGACGACCAAGGTAGACAGTGTTGGTCAGATCGACAGTTGCGTCAGCGGCAGCTGTGAAAAGAGTTTGATCGAAGATATAACCACCGATCGCACTGGATGAAGCTCTGCTGTGCGCAGTAATAGCTGACTTGGCCCTCTTAGCTCCGATAGTGCAACCCTTGAAGTAGGCCTTGGAATAACCCCAAATGAAGTCAATGGCACCTTCAATATACGAGGACTCATAATATTGGTATCCTGTCGTGCTTCCAGTGAGCAGAGTGTCTTGCCAACCTTGGAAGTAGCAACCTGGAATCTTAGTGTTAGCATGGCTTATCAAAATAGCTTATCAAAATAGAAAATAGAGAAAGCATACCATAGAATGCGATATGATTTCCATAAATTGAAGCAGCAAGTGTCACGTAAGAAGACTCCAGACCATCAAGATTGTCCGAGTTGATGATGTTGATATTGTAGAAAGCGATGTTGTTAGACGCGGTGGCAATGGTAGCGGTTTCAGCATCGGAGTGACCAGTCGGTAGAGGAGACACGGAAAGTCCATGGGCGAAAGTGATCGTAACTTCATTTTCGGCGTAGGTCTGACCAGGGTTTCCGGTAGTATAACCAATGATCATGACCGGGCCATTTCTGTTAATCGAGGGAATTTGTTCTTCATATGTTCCTGCGTACATGAAGATTACTTGAGTGGTAGTGTCATCTGGAAGAGAAGCCAGAGCATTGGTGAGATTGCTGTAGGAGCCACTGATGGACCCGGAGGGACTGACCAGGACGGCGCCAGTTGGGGGAGTGGTCCCGCTTGAGGGGTGAGCCCATGAAGCAGATGCGGTGGCCGTAGAGAGAGATGTTGCGGTAGAGCTAGCTGTGGCAGTGGTGGTTGCTGTGCTGCTAGCTCCTCCAGTCAGATCATAGGATGGTGCAAGGCTGTACGCATCCATATCAAGCCATGTGGTGTCTCCAATCCAGTTTGCTAGGGTGTATGCTTCAGCCTGCGTCTCGGTAAGGTTGGTCGCAAATGAAGCACGGCTGCTAGACCAACTGCTTGGTCCAGTGTTGTTGAATTCTCCGAATGTGACATAGTCCGTTTGGGGGGAACTTGTTGACCAGATGTGCCATCCAGTGGGGCTGATATGCTTATCGAGGTAGGAATTCATGTAGACGACACGACTGTATGCAGAGTAGGGTCGGGCGAGCCAACTGCTCTGGTAGGTACTACCGTATGAAGAAGTGTAAGTGACAAGACAGTTGTCAAAGACGTAACCTCCGGTCGCAGTGGCTGAGGAGCGACTCATCGCAGCAATGCAAGAGCCAGCAGTGTTTGTTGCAATCACGGATTGATAGAAGAAAGCCGTTGAGAAACCCCAAATAAAATCAATGGAACCCTCGATATAACAGTTGGAAAAGACCTGAGTGCCCTTGTTTGCGAGAAGAGTATCCTGGAACCCAACAAAAGAACAGCCATAAGCTTGCACGTTACCGTAGAAGTCAGCGGCAAGGGCGGCTGTGTTCGCGGTCTGGGGGTAGGTGTTCTTGAAGTCGATGTTATAGATGGCAAGTCCCTTGCCATCCGAATTTTTGGCATTAACGATTGGAGTCTCCTCATCCTTGTTGGCACTGGTCAGAACTCCATTGGAGTATTCAATTGTCACAGTGTTCTGGGTATAGTCATTCTCAAAGGTAGTCTCTCCGCGAATAATGGTCTTGCCCGTGCGAGTGACCGAAATTTGCTCACTGTATGTGCCACTCTTAACAAAGATCGTGTACTCTTTGCTGTCATTTGGAAGGGCGGCAATAGCAGCAGTCACGTTCTTGTACGGTCCAGCGGTGGCATCCACGACAAAGGTAGATGATGGAGTGGCAGCAGTGGTTGTGGTTGTGGAAGCCGAGATAGTCGAAACATCAGATGCGGATGTTGCCAACGAGGTGCTAGTGGTTGAAGTCAAAGTAGTCGATGTGGCGACATCTGCGCTCGCAATGGCAGCAAGGACAGAAGAGTCAATCCAAGTGCTATCAGAAGAGGCATAGTTCGGGTAGGCAGCGGCGAAGACGGCACTGATGCTGTATGAAGACAGGTCCGATGCAGTCAAGAGAGAAACATATTGAGATCGAGTAACAGCATTGCTTGCATATGCACCTGCACCAGAGTTGGAATACTCGACAAATTTGTTTGCAGTGTTTTGACTTGTTGCATCGATATGGGCACCACTGGCAGCAACACAGCTACCCAGGTTGGAGTCACGGTATAGCACGGTAACTCCAGCGCCATTGGCAGCTGAAAGATAGACATTGCTGGTTGAGGTTCCCGACTTCTGAGCCACGGTGACATGGTCAAAGACAACCATCGAGTTGTACAATACCGACGTACTGGAGGTAGTACCCTTCATGTAGGTGATGAGAGCAGAGTTGTCGATCGGCACAATCTCTGTGTTGTAAACATAGAGACTTGCTCCTCCATAGATGATCTTGTCAAGGGCTTCAATATACGAATTTGCTATGATACCAAGACCCACGCTGGCAGTGATACCTAGACTTCCAGTTGAAACGATTTGGCAGTCATAGAATGCGTACTTGTTTCCCTTGAGGACCATGGCACCGTAGCTGGCCCCAGTGTTGACGAAGTTGATATTCTTGAAGTTGACTTGTTGGACATTGTTGTTCACAGTCAAAACAGTTCCAGCATTGGTAATGACTACCTTGTTCTTTGAATAGTCATCGGTTTGATCGGTTTGACCAACGACAGTGACAGTTGGTGTCGCTGAGACGGTGATCGCTTGAGTATAGGTGCCAGCCAGAACAGTCACAGTGGGAATTGCATGGATCTGGGCGTAGGAGATACCATCTTGAATAGCCGTGAACTGGCCGCTGCCATCTGAGGCAACAGTTACGGCAGTCGTCGAAGCTGTTGGTCTGTCAGCTTTGTTTCTCTGTTTCACCAAACAGAGTACTCACTAAAAGAAGACGAAGTTGATGTCGAGGTCGAAGTCGAAGTAGCGGAAGAAGCTGAGGTAGAAGTTGAAGTCGGGATTGATGTGGTAGTTGTCACTGGAACAGAAGACCCTGCAGCTGCCGCCAGGCCAGCTAGACCCAAGATAGACAAGAAGCGCATCCTGGAAAGCCTGAAAGGCAATCTGAGCAAAAGTGGTTGAAGCGAACCTCGCTATTAGAGTATATCTTACGAGTGCGATTCGACGGTTTAATTCCGTCCCATGGGCTGTGCGTGGACTTTATGTATGAGTTCGCCGGGAGTCAGAGTGCTCCGGCCGAAGATGAGACTATAGCACTTTGGGAAATGTGGCTATTTCCAACCGATATTTGTTACTATTCTGGGGTACGAATACGCGACAAGCAGACCTATAACACCACCGGGAACAAAGCTTGAAGTAGACTGTGGAAATTTCTGTTCCAGGCCCACGGCCCCGGAGAGACAATGGGAGTGTTTTGGATGCCCTGAAGATCGACCGTGGTCTCTCTAGGTGGCAACAGCCTTGATCCAAGACGATCGGTGCCGGAGTCTCCGAAGCTGGAGTATTTGAACGAGATTAGATTTGGTGCGCCACATTCCATACTGACAGAAGACAGGCTGCACACGTGGCCGGCGGATTCCGTGCGGGTCTTCGCAGACAAAGCCAGCAATTACGCTTTAGTATCAACTGTGTCGGTCACATCAAGTTGAATCTCATAGGTCTTCCATCCACGATTGAGCTGTCCTTGAATGACACAGGCTATCAACCATCTGGGACTTATCGTCCTCGTTACTAGCCAATTCACCGTTGTGTCTGAGTACTATAGAGTTGAGGCCGAGACTATTGATTTTCATATCACCTGAACCCTTTTTCCACCGGGGATTGTTCCCAAAAGCGTTAGTTAGAACCATCTCTCGTTGTGGCGCAGTGGACGTGTGTCTGAAGAGAAGATAAGATGCAGGAAATTATGTCCAATGCTAAGCCTTCCGCCAAGCCTTCGATCATATCGGGTTAAGTCAGTTCGAAGCTTGAACTCCTTTCTGTGTGCTAAAGTTTTCGCCTCATGCATTTCCAATTGTCCGCCAATCAAGATCCCTTCTTTCTTCACCGTCAGAAAATTCACGGGCGATCTCCGGAGAGTTACCGGAGAAATGGATGATATGTTCTTATGTCTTAGAATTTTTACCTATCATACCGACGGACCATAGGAAATTTTAACGGGATGTGCAAATTTTCCGGGTGAACACCGGCTCCGACTGCACCTGACAACTGCCAGGAACCCGATCCAAATAAGGTTAATCGCTGGACAAGCGAAAAGTGGAGAGAATTTGTAGATCGGTAAAAATGTCCTATTTCCAGTGTTATCTCAGTTGATCGATCATTCGCTATTGCTCGTTTTTTCTCTCTGTGCCCCATTTCTCTGAAACCGTCACTTCCGTCAGTCACATTCTTGTCGGATCGCTTGCCCAATTTCAGGGTCTACTTCGTTTGTCTCTCACGTATACCGGTGCATGTATGCATTCATACTCCGTGGACCGATAAATTTTAGATGATTGCCGATCAGAGATTTTCTAATCATCGTGATGAAGCAGATGTTGATCATAAACATCGCCCATTTTTCAATCAACAATAACATTAAAATTCCGTTTGTAGAAGTCATCATCCTTTTTGCTACCATATAAGCATACCCTCTTTCATGATTTGAAAAAAAGTAAATTTCCAGTGGGCGTAATATCATGCGATGTGTCATTCGATGCAAATTCAATGTTTCCACAATCTTTTACCGGAGATGTACAAATCTCAAAGAACGGTAAGCCATGACTCTCGGTTGTGCCTTGACTAACAAATTACCATTGTTCTACTGCATTCCCAATTTGCTAGTTGAGACTTCGGTTACGACCCTTGGTCCCCAGTTCATTGTTTTACTCTATTTATACGCCAGTTCTACTTTCGAGGGCATGTAGGTGTATATATGCATAGGACTTATAGCACTGCACCAGCAACGGTGAGTTATTGCAGGTTTAGCTTAGCGGTCAACATCAACATGGACTAGAACACCAAACTTCCATGCTTCAAATTATATTGATATACGTACTTGAGCAGACCTAGACTCACTCTAATCTGTACTTGTCTTGTTTCACATATTCAATTTCAGGTGTGCCTCACACGCAGGTTGCGCCTACTCTTTTCATGGCTCAACAAATTAAGAGCTTCATAAACAAACGTTATCATCGGACTGATGAAATCAAAGCAGACTGGGTTGTTTCACATCAAGCCTCCTCTTCCTGGCAGTCTGAGTCTTGGAGATGACTCTGGTGCCTCTCCTTTGGTGCCTGGATTGGATCATTTGCTTCCTCACAGACGTTGCTGGAACTAGGTACGGCGCAGAATGGATGGGAGATATTAGAGCGTTGTGGGTGCTTGGTGCCTAAGCTCGGGGATATTTCCGATGATTTGTGTGCGTTATTGAGAGCGAACTCCCCAGAGTCGAAGTATGTTCGATTCTATCGTGATTGTTAGAGCTAACGAGATTTCGCCGGTACTTCGGTACTCAGGACCATTGATTCCTCGGGGAAAAGCTTCTCCCTCAGCGGGACAATTCCATATCGACTCGCTATCTAAATATCAATGAGCACATTTGCTACCATTCGGACAGGCGCACTGGTGTCTTACTTTGCTTTGCGCTAGTTTCTTCTGTTGCTCTGACATCTTGATGTGGAGGGATCATGAGATAAAATGGACGCTATCGGTGCATCGTTTCTTGTTTAAAAGATCGCCTCTGTCATAAAGATTACATGACCTCATTTGGGCATTAGTAGTGACTCACCCTCTGGTACTGCAATTCGAACGAGGTTGTGGCAAAACAAACATGGATTCCGTGGTTTACGGTAGGCACTCTCACAGGTTCTCTGTGAGTGTACGTGTCACGCTATTTGTGGCGTACAAAATCTACGAATGATTTATTTTTTATGTTTATCTTAAAACTTTATTGCAGTATTCTTGGACAGCAAAAATATCAGTGGATAATTTGCTCTGAGATGAACGTTAATCCCACATTGATAATTCAGGTCCGGATAAATTATTGGCGGGTACCAGCTGATCGGGTGCCAGCTCATTGAGGGTTGTAAAACGCTCGGACAGGTTTGACTAATACGCATTAACTTTTATCCGGTGTACCTCGGTAAGGTTTGTGATTTTGACAACCCTTAATGAGTTTTTGTGCTCTTTGTGCTTTTTTTATGGCTAAATGCACGTTCTATACCCATTTATACTACACCTATGCTGTACATTTCACACAATACTGTCATATTTTTATCATTAATATGATGAGTTGAATTCTAATTTGACAACCTATGATCTGTATATGTACTACCTCGAAACTAGCCATGATAAGGTCAGTATGTTGTGAGAAATTAAAATTAGTGCATTGTGGAAAAGAAATATGGGAAAACATGGGGAAATAAGGGGCCATCATTTTATTTTACCAAGGCATTTTCCCAAATATTCCCAGGTTATGACAGTGGTTGCACAATGGATTATACAGTGTACAGTAAACCTCATTGAGGTTGGACTGAGATAAATTTTTTTTTAAAAAAAAAAAGCGGGTGCTTAGTCAAGACTTAATGAGCTTTTACCTAGACTCAACGAGCTAGGTGCCCCATTATTGAATGTGATAAAATCAAAAAGCAAAAAAAGATCCGGTTGGGCGGAGTCGAACCGCCGACTTCAAGATGAATGTTTAACAATTACAGTCTTGCGCTCTAAACCAACTGAACTACAACCGGATGTGATTGGTCAAATAAATCATAGTAAAATAATTGTACGCAATCAGCACTCTGTAGTTGAAAAAGATATCTTTGGGTTCTCACCTTTTTTGTATTTCCAGTGCATTCCTGTAGATTTTGATCAGAAAATTACTTGTCTTGGATAATCCAGATACCGAAGAATTTCATTATTCTTTGGTTTTTTACCGCCAACGAAAGTCAACATACAAATATATATTTCAAGTAGGAGTGCAGAGTGGGAAGAGCACGGAGTGAGAACTGCAACGTTTGAACTGGAGGACGCCAATTCTTTGAAAGTTGATCAATAACATTGACAATATATTGCTTTCTATCAAAAAGAGGCCAATAGGCAAGAACAGAAGCAAAACAATTGGATTAGGCCCCAATAGTCTAACATGTAGTCATCAAAATTCTCCTTCACTGTTCTCTAACGCTCGAAGCTTGATTCTTAAGATTTCAGGATACTTTATCTTTTAACTTTCATAGAGTCATATAACTCTAGATTCGCAGAATAAAAGAAAGGGACCGTATAAATTCGTCGCTAGTAATTCTGAGGGGTCTAATACAAAAAGCTCGCTAAAAAGTCAATTAAGGTTGGAAACCAGCACCATCAAGATCAACTGGCTTGATAAACCTTGAAACTGCTGAACTCCCAATAAGCTGTACTGAACTGATCAGCATTGTCTCGCACATATGTCTCACATGTACCGGAACAACTGCTTTGATCAGTATAGTACGTGGTCGCACCAGCCCAATCACCGCAAAGGTCGATATTAGCGATGATACTCTGGTTCTTGAAATGAGATCCCATATCACAATCCGTATTGGGGAAGTCTGCGAAGGCTTCCCCCCAGGTTGATGGGTCGGGGCTGCCTGATGTCACATCAGATGGGATGCTGGAACGAGCCCATTGCCAGACTCGAATACCGGCGTCACGAAGCTCCATCGCATAGACCTATCAAGTCACAATGTTAGCCAGGTATATTCATGGAGAGTTGTGTAGGTGATATCACGACTTACTCCGCCTCCGTTTGAATTGAACTCAGGGCCGTATGTGCTTTGGGTACCTTTGACTCCACAGCCGGAATAATCATTGGCCTCATAGTAACAGTTCTTGTTTTGCACGGAACCATATTCTTTCCGCTTGACACCCATTGAGCACCCTTCAGAGGTGTGGAGAGTTGCTTGGTTCCCGTAAACACCCTTGTTGGCAGCTTCTACGACATCGATCTCTCCATGCGCCGGCCAGTTGTCGGGGTCTGTAAGCCATAATGCAGGCCATGTGCCACATCCATACGGAGTGTGCAAGATGTCGAAGACGAAAAGACCATCCGCATAGGTGTTATTAGATGTAATCCTCACAGATTGGCGCCCACTGGCAGCTTCTGATCCATTATAAGTCGTATCCACTCGCAGAATGGCAGAGGTGTCAGTGGCGTATGTGAGATTGAGCCACTCTGCGTTAGCCCGACCAATGTATCTAAAAAGTGAGTTAGCGCCATATGTCACGCATTATTCCCAATGGGAGACATACTGGACAAATCCATTGGCTGGATCTGCGTCAGTGTAATATTCAAAATTGTCGAAAAAGGATGAGCCCGAGTAGGTATCTACCAGGCTGTAGTCCAATGAAGAGTAGTTGGGATATCGGTTGGCTCGCACTCCCAGAACAGCTCCCACGATAACAGCGACAATAACCACAATGATTCCGACCGCAAGAAGGATTTTGTTTTTCACAGACCATCCTCGAGGATCCCATCTTGAGTATTGGCTTCCGACTTCTTCACTCCACGATCCATAGGCAGGCGGTTGACTAGCCCTTGAGAATCCCGATTGGGGTAATTGCCCTCCCGTTTGGAATGCCCCATGGTCATTCTGGGCATAATGGTCAAGCATTGTGGTTGTGAATTCTCGACGGGTCAGTTGGATAGTTGATAGTATAGCGAGCGCTTTGCGAATCAGCAACCAGCACCACCTGATCAGCTCAGGTCAATCAGACACGGAAGAATAGTAATGTAGGAAATACAAGCCACAGCCCAAGATTTATGGGAGAAAAATTGCACGGCCTAAAAACAGACTGCGTATGCAAGCAGGGCTTGGGATGACAGGATCCGCGGCCAAGAAAGCAGGCCACGCGTTAGATAAGTGGGGCGGTTGCCATCCCGGCACTCCATGGCCATATCTCATAAGGGACAGTGCAGATTCCTACCGACTGAGGTTTGTTTCCCGTTGCCTCCAGGTTCTCATTTGTGGTGTGTTTCTCCGCTATTGACAAGTGGCTCTCGACCCAAGGTCGCAAGATCCCTGGACCCAGCCTTTCTGACCTCTAGCACTTGTTGAAGCTGTGGCTGGTGTGAGAAGATCCTCGTCCTGATAGCGATAGCAATTGCACGTCCTGTAGAATCCGACAACTAACTTATATACGTCTCCAAACCTCTCTCCCAATTTCAGGTCCGCTCACGAACAACTCAAAAGTCGGATTTCCTTTGATATAAAAGAATTACCACAGACTACTCAACATTCTCAAAAAAAAAAAAAAAAAAAAACCAAACGAGCAAAGCAAAAAAGTGAGAAAAACAAAAAAAACATACAACAGCAAGTCTAAGGTGGTGGTCACCTAGCGCCCATGGTTCGGGCATGGGCGCCTCGCCGCTTAATTCAGGGCACTCAGGACGGATATTCACCCACCTGAATATTCCGCACCCAAATATTCAGCCCGTACAACAAAATGTACATTTCCCATCATGACCCAAATAGCGTAATTCCGTATGTTATCATTCGGTCGCGTCACAGCCTTATAGCCTTGAAACAAGCTAAGGTCATAAGGCCAGTTATCGTATCAACCTCTGCACGGACTCAATGCCTAGAAAGAGTGGAACGGTAATTTATAAGGTGCGAATAGCTTCATTTACGATTACAATACTCCATACAAACGATATGGTGCAAGGAGCTACTGTAGTCCTAATTAAGTCTTTCATATCTGTTAGAAAATTGATCATGTGACAATCACGTGAATAGCATCATCCTGCTCCAGTTGTTTACCCATGGATTTTTTTTGCCATGCTTGATCAGGCTATATATTCGCCCATCTTCGCCTCTCTATTTCTTCTCTCTCCCCACACCCCCGAATACGTGGTAGCCATGCTCACATTCATTCTCTATCATCGGTATTCATCAGTCCCATCCCACCTCGGGATATTATTACCATGATTAAACATTTGACCGGGCCCCGGGGCGAAGCGGCGTGGCGAAAAGAAAATAGGGTATTGGCGTATTACAGATATCACTCCTAGATGAAGCTAGTCAAGTCCCTAGTCTTAATCCCAGCGTTCGATCTTTTTTCGAGAACTCCTCAGGCACCCTACTCGCTCATCTGCTCTCCAGGATTTCCATCAATTCCACCTGTCCTTCAAGTGTCCTGATTCACTGTCCAAAACAAAACGGCGTGCAACTGACACGTTGACTAGTGAACAAATACATGAGATAAAGTGCCCTCTAGGATCTACACCAAAGCTGTCACTAGCAATGAGACCGGTCTGTAGTCAACGATCGTACCTCCAAGCACATAGCTAATGGAAATAGAAACATCAAACGCCATCCGGCTTGGATAGCTTCCGGCGGAAATATTCCATTTGGTGGTCGAGTTCCTCTCACGTGCTGATTTCCGTGTACTATGTCTTGTGAACAAAAGTATCCGTGCATTCACTGAGCCACTCCTCTACTCGAGGGTTACGTGGATCTAGCGAAAATCCGAATCTCCTCCCCCAATCACTCAATTGTTACGGACACTCCTTTGCAGGCCTCAGCTGTCTGGTTACATCACAAACCTCTACCTCAAAGGCAATGTCTCGTCTCTGGGTGCGAAGCACTGCATTGATTCTAGAGTCCCCGTTTCCAGCGCCGAGATAGACAAAACCATTGCTTTTGTCCGGAAAACCAGAGTGCGCTTTAGTGAGCTTTGGATAGAAGGATTGTCGTAAGGTAAAATAGATGCTTTGGTAGCTCTCCTTTTAGCGTAGCTATCAAATCTAAGATACTTATATCTTGAATCTACTTTTGTTAAACAGAGTGCAATTATTAGGATAGTACTCCGTTCAGCCATTTATGAGCCTGTAGATCATCGGCTCCTAGAATTTCGGCATCTTTAAGACGTTTCTTTTCTTCCCTCTCTTAACCGCTATTACATGCGCGACAAAAGTGTCAAAAATACAGAAGATATCTTACCATTCTTTCATTTACTAAGCGTTCAACGGATGAGAGTCGCGATCCAAACTCCGGTTTCGTTTATGCGAAATATAGCAAACTTACCTATTCTATTCTATCGAGGCTGAAAGCACTTGAATTGACCGTAGTCCGGGAGTCATACCTATACGAAGTGCTTTTAATTACTAAAAGTGTTACAAATATTCGCTAGGAATTCTATTACGATTCTGGTATCGATGATAAGGTTAATACGCCTATCATCGATCTTGATTCTCTTAGTGCTACGATATCTTATATTCGGGATACTTTAGAGGATTTAACCATTTTTGCTATGGTTGACCTCGGAGGTAGCGATCAATTTAATCCTGCCGTTCAGATAAAGGGCTCGCTATATGCTTTGGTTAATTTGGATAAGCTTACGAGACTTCAAACCCCGTTACTGTAGCGTTTCTAGTAGGATTTACACAAGACACAACGAAGCGAGTCCAGGAAATGATCCCAAAGAACGTCGAATTTATCACCCTCACGTACGACTTAAGGAATCAAAATCTGGATGGAATAAGTGCACCCCATTTGCCTAGGTGGAATTGGATGGATTACGCCGTTTTCGGCCTTATTCAATCATGGATGAAAGATTGGAAAGCGTGCACTCCAAATCTTCGTGGCATTTCTCTAGTGCTAAACGAATTAGATATTGGCGAATGGTGTGCTAGTATGAGGGACCAGCTCAGGAATTTATGTGCTCAAGCTGGTGTTGAACTTGGAGATTTATGTGGAAAATGAAATGTAAACAATGCTCGTCTTTCTCTAGAAGACATTCCACCACAGTCAACTTTCCCAACACTTCCACAATATGATATCTACCCAACATTCAATTGCTGCCCGGTGTAGCACTTGGTTGGATCCCAGGCGCATAATAATGGTGTGTGTAGCAAGTCCCTTCAAGATCATCACCCTGAAAAAGTTCAGGGTGCCCACCGTTATCTGTGGTCTGGTCCATTAGGACTTCGACCGCTATGCCTCTTCTTAGGGGTGGCTTTCTAGCAATTGGGGGTGGCTTTTTAGCACTTCACCTTTTATTCAAGGCTACTTGGCATTTGTGTGATTACTGCATTGCTTGAAAAAAGAACCTTTCTTCTTATGACTTTGTTCAAGTTGAAATTGGCTCTTCGTAAAACTAAAGGGATCTTGCGACCGCAAATCTTTTCAAAAGAGGTTCGTTCAGGAGATTGTCCAGCAAAGTAGTATCAACACCGACAAGAACCTCCATACCTCCATCCGGTAACATTGGTAAGATAATCTGTATCCCATCGAGAGGCCCATTACCAGGCATTCGTACAGAAGTCATGTTGTGACCGAGTTTGGAGCCCCAATCAAGAGAGTAAAGAGGATAGGAGGCCCAGGAGCTTTGCGTGCAGTTGACTCCGGCACTGTCAAGACCAGCTGTCAATGCCAGGCATCTAGTATCGTCAAGATTATCTATAAGAGTCATCACATCATCGGTATACTGGTTGTCTGCTTTTGAAACTGCCTTGCGGATGATAGTTGCCAAATCAGCCAAATTAAGCGATTGTAGCATCTTGCGAATCGATACTGAAGGTGCGCTCCACAATAGACAACAACCCAAGGTATCAGGATGTATTTTTGGTTCCATGCGGCTCCTTCCATCCATCGAGATACTCAAAACTGAGATTGGATCTCCTTCGAGGGTATCTAGAGGATTTCGGATGGTTTGTACAGAACGCCAAAGCAAGGCCGACACGGCATCGTTTGTTGATATCCATTTCTGATCTGATAGCTCGGTAGAATTTTTAGGGGACGCTTCCTCCTTCAAAGCCTGAAGAGACTCGGGAGAGAAGTAGAACAACTGTGTTCGTTGGTTGGGATCCGTCGCCTTCGGTGGTGGACCACTAGCAGGTAAAACATCGACTAAAGTATACTCCGGGTGATTTTCGAGTCGGCCCTTGTTGTGACCCGCTGGCTTCATCAAAGCCTCTCTGTCATTCCAAATAGCTTCATCCAGATAAAGAGGTCCCAAGCTCTCGTGCTGCGCTCGTCGGCAACCATCGGCCCAAATCTTTAGCCAAAGGTGGAAGGACGCACCATCTCCAACCAAATGCAAGGCACACCAGTTTAGCACTAGTCCCCCACGGATGAAATTTGCTTGCACAAGAGAGGTTGGAAGACGGTCACCGGGTTTAGGAAAAACGGACTGGCGACATATAAGATTGGCATCAAAGGCAGCCACGGGGAAAGATCTCTCCTTCAGCTCTTTATGGCTCCACGGGAAAGCATCAGATTGCCGAAGGTCCTTCACAACCACGCCTTCAAAGTCGTCGTCTCTCAAAGGTTGAAGCTTAAAGACACCTCTTTGCCTCCAGTCAAGGTCGGGAACAGCCTCACAGTTTGCCAGGCGGACTGTCTGTTGCAATGACGAATATCCCGCGCGAATGATCCTGGATACTTCATCGATGTCATATTCCTCTCCAAGATCAAAGACGAAGAGGTAGCGTACCCAGACTTTGAGACCAATGCGCTCCAAGGAAGTCAATTGAGGAATAGATTGTTCTGGAAGGCGGCTCTTGGTGTTCACTTCATTATCTTTGGACTTGATTTCTGTCTGCCCAGTCGATGCTTCGGCGACTTTCAAAAGGCGCTCCATGAAGGCATCTGCCTCAGCGGCATAATGACATCTTTTTCGAATGCTAGCCCCGTAAACAAAGAGCAGGTACGGTATGGGGACACAGGCCAGTGCCATGAATGCAGGAACGGAAGCTGCCCAATGAATCCCGAGATTTTCGTACATGACTCCCGTGAAGAGAGGAAATGCTGCACCGAAAATTGAACGCAAGGCAGAATTTGCTGCAATCACCGAGGCTGCATAAATCGTATAAGAATCCACTAGATAGTTCAAGCAAGGCAAGAATACCATGATGCACCCAAATCCAAACGGAAGACCAGCCATGATAGGCACAATCCAGTGAATAGTAGGAGAATTAGTCCAGGCAAACCAGAAGAGCCCTATTGGGAGGGCAACACTAGCTATGAAGGAATCGGGAAGACGCGTCTCCGGAGCCATCCGTTTGGGTCCCTTGGATGCCTTCTTTTGGTAACGAGCGTGGCTGATAAACATGCCTGGAATGGAGAGCAGGATCCCGACCATAATCCCTAAAAAGCTCAGTCCACCAAGCCCCTCGCTCCAACCACGTATCTTCTGGAAGATGATCGGGTATGCAGCGAAGAACATATATAAAGTCCCATAGATTATGGACATATATAATGAGATGAGAAGCACAATAGGTTCACGAAATAGAAGCACCCACGGTCGAGACAGGGTCACCATCAAGCTTGAGCCAAAATGATTCATCTCCATGCTCGTGCGATATACATGGCCAGTGTTCTTAGACAGTCGCTGCGCTCGCCGTTTCAAAAGAACAGGCGAGTATGTCTCAGGCAAGAAAAGAAACAAGGTCAGCCATTGAACAAATGCGATAATAGCCAGAAGTCCTTGAACCCAGCGCCATCCTGCTCTTTCCACCATAAAGCCGCCGATGATAGGGCCCAAGGCTGGCCCTAAGAAAGGGGCAACCACAAAAAGCCCGAGGGCCAGACCCCGAGTGGCTGGAGGAAAAAGGTCTGCAATTAATCCCCCAGAGATAGCCATGGGCGCAGAGCCCAAGCTCCCGGAAAGAAATCGCAAAACAAGTAGCGTCTCGATGTTGTGCGCCCCGGCGGTACCAGCCAGAGTCGCGGTCAGCGCGGCACCACTTGCGATATAAGCATAACGACGACCATAGACTTCACTGAGCGGAGCCCACAGAAGAGGACCTACAGCAAAGCCAATGACAAACAGCGAGACCCCCAGCAGCGCGATCTCCTCAGTGACCGCAAAATGTGCGACAATTTTGGCTAGCGCACCTGAATAGGCTGAGGACGCGAGAGCAACTGTAAAGGCAGAAAAAGCACCAAGCAGATTGAGTAGCCATTTCCTAGTTCCACAGAAGTTCATTGGATTGTCTTTGTCGTCAGACAGCCAGCCGACAATGTAGGGATCTTTCTGGCTGCCAGACCCGCTGAATGAGTGGTTGATAACTTCTGGTGGGAGATCAACCTGATCGAAGGCCTTTCCAAGGTCGGTGTTCTTCCAAAATTGGAAAGCTTTAGAACTGTTGGAGGTCATCTCTGGGGCGAGGATACACCCTGGCAAAGCAAGTATGATTTGACGAATAGATTAGGAATAACGCAATGATTCACTCGGAGTATCCTCTGGGGGGCCTGAAGGCTACGATTTAAAGACTAGTATGTTCTTTCGCCAGAGGGGCTTCATGCTGCGAGATGGGGTGTGAAGCGACAGAATCGTCATAATGAACCCTTGCAGCGCATTTTTGGGATTCATAAAGCTCCCGACTATCGATATAGGCGTGCCCACAGTGATGTAACGCTGGAGATGTGTACTGTATGTGAGGTCTCTCATACAAAGACAATATTGCCAACCCCTAGAATTGATCTATATTTACCGGTGAAAGGCCCAAAATTAGGGCCTATAATCAGTGACTTACTCAGATTTATTCAGAGTTGACTTTTTGCACGCTGATCCTATGCAGCCGCTTTCTTGCCCTAAGATCTCAGAAGCTGCATGATCGAAACTTATGATTGGTCCTTCATTAATCGGTCATGCAGTGTAGATCTCTAGTAGCATCTCAAAATTGTATAAACCGTAATTTCATGCAAGCGAAAACAAGGTCTCGAGCTTCACGCTTATCCACTAGGAAGGATTTCAAAAAAAATAATTTGAATATTCGGTCTCCCGATCATATACCATATTTAGTAGCCCCTTCTTCGATGCAGATCCTGGGGTCCCATGACCGCCCGTCGTGAATGTACGTCAAGAGACCCTCTCTATTGACTAGTTCCTGCAACTCGCATTACAGATTACGGCCTTGTGGGTCCACTGAGTGAGACCCAACTTGCTGGGATCCCGATGGCTTGAGAAACCTGCTTGGCATTGATCTTCGTAAAGTCCGTCGATATGGCAGGGCGCCAGCTCATAAGAAAAGCTTCTTTCCACGAAGGCGCAAGTATGGTCATCGCCAAGCTCATAGCATAAAGGAGCTATATGAAGAAGTTAAATCTTTTGTTTGACAGGCCAATCGGTAGAGATGACATGAGCCAAGCTGAGTTGCATCTCGAGGACCTGTATCCACGCAGAATATTTCATTGCCAGAGAAACCTGGCCTAGACTGAGCCTGTGCGAAAGCTTATCGTAATGGCATGTTCGCGGGTGCTTCGCATTCAGCGCCTCAGCCTGATTTATGAGGTGCAAATAAACATTCCCGGACGAGTCTGCATGTGGCGTGGCTGCTGGATGTGTACCAGATTACTGGAATCCGAGAGCGAACACCATGGCTTCCAAGTTCTGTACGAGATGTATGCCCTCCAATGCTGCAGGATAGCACTAATAACTCGTTATGGAATTTCTGACTTCACATTATGTAAGCACGTCAAGATGCATGGATGGATGTGCGTCTGGACCTTTTGTTATGTTCGAAAACAAACCCGATCGACAGCAAATATTTAGGTTCGATTTGAATACTGTATTACTGGTCATTCAATTACATTAACAATTTTTGTTTTGTTTATAGAGCCAAAAAGCAATGAGGGAGACGAGCTTCTGGAGGCTGACAACGACAGCTGGAGCATGGTCGGTACCTTGAATTTGTTGATCACCGTATTCACCGCTAAATGATATCAGATCCACTCTATCGGGTTCTTGGATCGTAGATACTGAGTTTCTATAAACTTTGTATACTACAGTGATGGAGATGGATCTGCAAGGGTGGCTGATTCTCTCAATGTCGAGAGCTGCAGCGCTAGCAAGGGGTCGGCGATCGCGCTATTCATGCTAGATGCTGATTTCATGAAACGCATCAGATGGAAATTGTTCTATAGGAGCATGCAAATCAACTGTCTCTATCGCTTTTCAGGTTTTTGTTTATTGAAAGCTCAATCTTATCCACAAAAAGAGAAAAATAGTTGGATTCTTGCTCCACTTCAGGTGCAGAAAGTTCGCCCAGCCTCATCGGTCGTTCTCCGAATGACCTTCACCGTTTCTGCCAACGCATCCTTGAAAGCATATCCCGGGATTTCATGGCCACCATCATGAACAACTGTTGACAAAATCTCGGGCGGAAATAGTTGTTGCAACTCAATCGCTTTCGCTGCATGTGGATCGACTGAACCCCACACCAAAGCTGTCGGAATACGGATCTTGTCGATTATATCGAGTGGGTTGATCTCCGTAAATTTACCTCTCCCGAGGTCCACATAGTCCAATGGTGCCATGCGAGGCGAGAAGAAAATCGCGCACTTGAACGGTAGCGCCTTTTTCTCCTGCACCTTGCGCATCAGAAGCGTGCACGCCAACATCATTCCCTGACTAAATCCCAGAACCCCATCATAGGGCCCTTCCTCCTCAATGAAACGTTCTAGGTCATTTACTGCTTGAAGGGAAGCAGAGACCGAATGTGGGTCAAAATAGGAAAATCCTTGGTCATCGGCCACAACGAGGTCCCGTATCTCTAAATTACGGTAAGAAAATAAGCCGCAACGAATGGCGAGAAATGGACAAACCAGGTGCCAATTCATATGGAAAAATGCCCTCCACAAAGTCATAGGTATGGCCATCACCAATCTCATAGCGTAAAGGTGCTGACAAGATACAAAAATCAGCATATCTGTGCAAGCAAGTATTTGAGGACGAACCTGTTTGTATTTCGAGAACCTTATAGAAGTAAGTCATTTGGTTTATGTCTCGCCTGATGGGGCATGCCACAGATTCCTTACCTTCGAGTTGGTCCCAACTCCGTGCAAACTGTGAAATTCAGCAGACCGAAAATTACTGCCCTGTATTCAGGCTCACATACCACAGAAAACGCATTTTGGTAGACCGAGATGGCTATGACGTGGATTTTGGTAAGAAAAATTGGATGAGACTCGTGAAAACTGTTCCAATCTCATAGTTAGATTCAGCTGGCTTTTAAGCGCCCCATTGAGCGGTCATATCCATCAGGGCACGATGTACGATGACGAAGACTTCCACGATGAGGGACTACAGATATCGCTTGGAATATCGATAATTATCTTGGTAGATCTGCGCAAACCGCAGCCACTTATCCACTTCTTCATAGCGTGATGCAAGGCGATCAATGTCTCGAAGTCAAAGTGGGGAAAAAAGCATGGTGATTTCCCTATGGCAGTCTCGTATCCATCAGGTTTTCTTTCGTAAATCCCGACTAGACTCATCTCAGGCTTTGGCCAAGAATTCAGTAGCGAAGATCTGAAATGCACGATTTCTGGACTATAAACTTTGATTAAACCAAGTTTCTTCTCATGCGTTACGTGGGGAGAAGATATGATCTCACACAAAGCCTGACCGCTGCTTATTGTCCCCATAGAAAGCCTAGACGATAGATAGTATGGAGGATCATTATTGATCCCGTCTTGGTCGAAATATTGGAGGGGGAAGCTTTATAAAAAGACATTTTGCCCTCATTTCCGCAAAATCATCTTTACTTTATCCTACATTGAATTCAGAACCCTCGACTATCACGTCGGGATGTCTCATACAAATGAACCAAATGTGCAATCAAGCAATCAGCCCTTGGCTATTGTTGGAATGGGCCTGCGATACCCTGGTGATGTGAACTCCTCAGATGATTTTTGGGATTTGATGATGGATCGACGATGTGCCTCTACAAAATTCCCTTCTGATCGCCTGGGTGTTGACAAACATTATCATCCCGATAATACTCGAATGGATAGTCTAGGAGTTGATGGGGGACACTTCATCTCCGGGGATCTGGGAGCCTTTGATGCACCTTTCTTTTCTCTTCCTGCCGCAGAAGCAGAAGGAATGGACCCTCAACAGCGAATTGTCTTAGAGACAGCCTACCAAGCTCTTGAAAATGCCGGACTCACGTTGGAGCAAGTTGCGGGAAGTCAGACATGTGTTTTCACGGGCTGCTCGGCCAACGATTACGCCACATTCTACTCCAAGGACCCCCAGAGAGGGGGGAAGTATGCGGCGTACGGTCAATCAATGAACATGGTCGCAAACCGTATCAGTTGGTTCTATAATCTCAAGGGACCTAGTGTCAATGTCGACACTGCTTGTTCGAGCGGATTGGTGGCATTGGACATGGCTTGCCAGTCAATATGGAGTGGCGTGTCCAAAGCGGTAAGTTGAATATTACACTATGGCCAAAGCTCGGAGGATATCTGACATGTATTGTGCAGGGACTTGTTGTTGGAGCAAACCTGATGTTTGCTCGCGAATTTACAAATGCTTTAGACAACCTCGGGGTACTCTCCCGTGACAACAGATGCTTCACCTTTGACGAGCGAGCAAATGGTTACGGACGCGGAGAAGGCATAGGAGTTCTCATAATCAAGCCGGTGGAGGATGCCATTCGCGATGGCCATACTATCCGTGCGGTCATCCGCGCCACTCGGTCGAACCAGGACGGATGGACGCCGGGTATCACGCATCCAAGCCGTGAGGCCCAACTCGACCTTATGGAGGATTGCTATCGAGAGGCTGGATTGGATACCGCTGCCACCAGATATTTCGAGGCTCATGGAACCGGTACTCCGACTGGAGACCCCATAGAAACTCGAGCAATCGGCGCGTTATTCAGGCCTCATCGGTCATTGGAAGACCCGCTTTACGTGTGAGTATCCTAGCTGGTCATAAAGAAAGTGCTGCATAACTAGTATCTGACCATTTGATTCTAGGGGGTCGGTAAAGACCAACATCGGTCATCTTGAAGGTGGTAGTGGCATCGCTGGAATTATCAAGGTCGCTCTATCTCTAGAGAAAGGGATCATTCCACCTGTCAGCGAAAACTTCAACTCTCCAAATCCGGCTATTGACCTCGACTATTTGAACCTCAAGGTATGCTGTAAAATTTGAATAAATTATTCCGTATTTATAGCTGACTTAATCCCCTCGATATCCAGGTTGTCACGGAACCAATTACTTGGGCGCCTGGGCCCCGACGAGCATCTGTCAACTCATTTGGATTCGGTGGTACAAATTCCCATGCCATTTTGGACGATTCTTATCACTTTGTTAAGCAGACTGGACTTGACTCAAATTCTAGCGTCGCCTTTTCAAGCAATAATTTATCTAATGGAGACTATAACACCAACGGGGCTCACACCAATGGGACTCACAATACTGGAGCCCGTATTCACACCTTGGCAGATTTGAGTTCGCTTCCGACCAATCTTCGCATCTTGACCTGGTCTTCCGCAGATGAGGGTGGTATCACTCGCTTTACAGAGCCGTGGGAACGTTATTTCAGCAAGGAACGCTTAAATGCAGGCTCGGATACATATTTGGATGATTTGGCTTACACGCTCAACCAACGACGTAGTCGTCTGGCATGGATGACATACGCCCTCGTGGACGACAAAACTAAATTGGCTGGCATCCCGAATGACTGGGCTCCGTCAATCCGACGTGAAGAAGCCCATACCATGGCCTTCGTCTTTTCAGGGGTAAGTGAATCACAAACTCATAGAAGCAAGAGTCTAACTTGGGAACCTCGAATAGCAAGGTGCGCAGTGGCCGGCAATGGGACGGGAACTTCTGACTCGGTACCCCATGTACCGCCACAGCCTGATTGAGGCAGGCATCTATCTAAAAAGTCTCGGTTGTGAATGGGATCTACTCAGTGAGTAATTTTGTTATGAGCAGTTGACCAGAGGCCTAACTTTTCCATTTCAGGTGAGCTGCAGAAAGAGACAGCCAAGTCATCGATTAACGATCCGATGCTCGCGCAGCCACTCTGTACGGCGGTACAAATTGCACTTTTAGACCTCGTTTCTGCATTTGGAGTAAGACCTGCTGTAGTAGTTGGTCATTCTTCCGGTGAGATAGCTGCCGCGTAAGTTATTTCATTCCTCTTGAGTCCCTTATTTGTCCTCTTTCATAACATCTATCATCAGATATTGTGTCGGCGCCATTTCTCGTGAATTTGCATGGCGCCTGGCCTATTTCCGTGGTTTATGGGCAGCGAAGCTAGCCACTGCATCCTCCACGAATGGGACGATGATGGCTGTCGCTCTATCACCCGAGCAATTTAAACCCTATTTGAACAAATTCGAGTCTATGGAACAGCCACTGCGAGTCTCCGTGGCCTGTATCAATGGACCCAAAGGAATCACTCTTTCTGGAGACCGCAGCCAGATCAACGAGCTTCACGCATGGCTGAAGGAAGACGGTGTCTTCGTGCGCATTTTACCAATTCCAGTAGCCTATCACTCATATCAGATGGAGGAGATTGCAATCGCCTACAAGGAAAGTGTGGGAGATGACCATAAGTTTTTGCCCCGCTGTCGGGATGAAGGCTCACCGCGTATGGTCTCTTCTGTCACTGGCGAATGGGTGAGCCCCGAGCAATTAAGAAAGGCAGATTATTGGGTTACCAACTTGCTATCAACTGTACAGTTCCTCGATGCATTCCAAAAGCTTTGCACCAATTCCGCGGTGTCTTCAACGAAAAAACTGGATGGATCTCATCGAAAGCATCTGGTAGTTGATACCTTTGTTGAGATCGGACCTCATGCTGTGATGCGAGGCCCGTGTCGCGATATGCTACGAGATGCTGGCCGGAAGAGTGACGTCCGATATTTATCATTATTGACGCGAAATGCATGTGGAGTACAAACCACTTTGGAAACCATGGCGTATTTGCACTGTTTGGGATATCCTGTCGATCTCAGTGCAGTCAATTATATACCTTCAAAGGCTCCCAAGTATCGACCAAAGGTGCTTACCGATCTTCCACCATACTGTTTCAATCACAGCAAATCTTATTGGAGCGAAGGGCCCATCAGCAAAGGATTCAGGTTCCGTCGGTTTGGAAGGCACGAGATGCTAGGATGGCCTGACGATGACTGGAATCCATTGCTTCCCAACTGGAGCAATATCCTTCAGCCTTCAGATCCGATTTGGGTAAAGGATCACCAAGTATGTGTCGTAACTACCTTTGATGATTTTATCACTTCTGATTTATGCATATTGACGTGATTCAGATAAGCAACACAGTTATCTTACCTGGGGCCAGCATGCTCAGCATGGCCATTGAGGCTGTCAAACAGCTGACGGATCCTAGTCTTACCCTCACTGGGTTCAATTTCAAGAATGTGCAGTTCATGTCGGCCCTAGTTATACCTACAGGCATTCCTAGTGTGGACACCCGGTTCTCCATGCGGCCACAGCGCGACGATGAACCAGAAAGCGGTGGGTGGTATGAGTTCGGTCTGTTTTCTAACAAAGGGTCTTGGACTAAACACAGCATGGGACTCATTCAAGCGGTGATCGACAAAACTGGAAAGAGTGATGGTGATGTCCCAGTGGGGCATGATGATATCCTAGCCCAGTTTCACCAAATGAGCAAGCGATCAACCACTCTTCTCGATCGCGAGATATTCTATGGAAGTCTCCAATCAGCCAACTTCCAATTTGGATCTTCATTCAAATGTATTTTGACCATGGCGACTGATCAAGATAACAGTCTGGTGACTGAGATTCAAACTTACACGCCACCAAGCCCAGCAAATTGGAGTGAGGAATACACTATCCATCCAACGACACTAGATGGGCTTATGCAAAGCACCCAAGTGTTGCTCTCCCAGGGTGGACAGAAGAGAACTGCACCTGCAGTCCCCACTCGTATTGACCGTGCGTGGGTATCGAATACCGGCCTGTGCAGCCCTACAACCTTATCTTTCAAAACTTCAACTCAGCTCCAGCATGCAGGCCGACAAGAATCTAAATTTGGTCTGGCAGCAGTCAGCACAAATGCTGAAAACGTTCTCATTGCAATGGAAGGTGTCACTTTTACCGTGATCGATTCACAACAGAATGCTGGCAATCCCAGCCGCGCCTCTGAAGAGTCAAAATGTCATCAAATTGAGTGGAGGCCTGACTTGGCCCTTTTGAAAGAGGATGAAATCGTCGAATTCTTCAAAAAGAGTATCCCTGGTACAACGGGGCTGACCTTTGATCGCATGAATTTGGACTTGATGATTGGAGGTTTCATCTCACGTGCTATCAACGCCATGGAAAAGACAGGCAAAACTACCTTTGCCCAAGCAGAGGTTCAGTCATACGTGGAATGGCTGAAGCAACAAATTCAGATAAACATGGCGGGAGATTCACCATTTAGTTCCTCCTACTGGCAATCACAGATTCAGGATGATACTGAATTTCAAAGAATTTGCGACTCTGTCGAAAATGTCAGTGAGCAGGGACGGCTATTTGTGGATGTTGGAAAGGCTCTCCTAAACCACATACGAAGCGGTTCAAACAAGCCCTGGTCTGACATCGTGGACCAGGATCTCCTCCGAGTATCGTATGAAGAAGTGGTAAGTCTATAGCATCATCTTTGCTTTCCCAGGGTCAAACACTTACATAGGAGCAGTTTGAGAATTCCCCGGGAATTTCCCGCTGGAAATCCTATCTCGGAGCCTTGGGGCACAAGCACCCCGCTATGAAGATACTCGAGATTGACGGCGGCATAGTATCTATCTCTAATCATGTTCTGGAAAGTCTATCCGTTGATAGTAGCAATGCCCGTGTGATCCCACGTTTTGCTCAATTTGATATCAGCGACAGTGATGGTGATCGATTGGCTGCTCTTGAAGCACGAATGGGCAATTGCGGACCACGAGTTTCCTTCAGCAAATTGAACATTGAGACTGATTCAGCCTTATACGACGCTGAAAATGCCGGCTACGATCTGGTTGTTGTGTGTTTGGTATGGTCTTAACCCTTCTCCCTCTCCGCCGCATAATCTGCCATGCTAACGGTTCAGGCATTCCATGGCTTTACTTCTATCGAGAAGTCCTTAAACAAAATCCGAAGCATGCTCAAGCCGTAAGTTGGATGCTCTATAAAGATGGATTTCTTTTGATGTTTCAGTGGCTAATACATCATATTCACAGAGAAGGAAAGCTTGCCATCATCGATATGGTCAACCCGGGGTCAGTCCGCAGTGGATTTGTTCATGGCCTGAACGAGAGATGGTGGATACGTAAGTCTTGTCCCCTTTTCGGCGCAGGCGTTTTTCTAAAAATTTACCTTCAGACACCGAATCGTACCGACAGTACGGCAATCTCATCGATGAGAGCCATTGGGATGAGGTTCTTCGGCAATATGGATTCTCTGGCTCAGAGCTCGTCTTTTGCGACCACGACGATACCTCTTCTCATGAAATTAGTGTCATCATATCCAGCGCTGTTCAGGAACCTAAAAATCCTGAGGATCCTTGTCCCTGTCCCATCTCACTGCTTCTGGATCCAGCAGGAGCTTCCCAAAAAGCCCTTGCCGAGAATCTACACCACCAATTGGGAAATATAGCCAGCAGTGTGGATGATTGGCAGATAAACAAACAGCTCCCGGAATCCCCTCCCAAAGACCTGGTGTGCATTGTTCTTCTGGAATTGGATGGCTCAATACTGGCTGATATGGACCCTACAATCTTTCAACGGCTTCAAAAGCTGGCTCTTGTCTGTCACAAGATAATTTGGGTCACATCTGATGCAGGTAGCGACTCTTCACCTTTCCTTCGAGTTGTGGATGGACTCTTCCGGGTCCTCAACTCGGAAGATAGTCGAGGGGTTTTCACCACATTATCCCTTGCTGGTCCAGAACTCCAAGCAAATCTGGTTGCCAAAGTGGTCTGGGCCATCTCATCCTCTACAACACCTGAAACAGAATACATTGAGCGAGCCGGTGTTTTGCACATCCCACGTTTCGTTGAAGCTCCCCATATCACTGCACCTGTCGCACAACTTCAAGCTTCCCACTGCCAAGAGCGCCAGCAATGGAATTCAGGACCACCTTTGAAGCTTGCTCTGAGTGAATCTGGTATGCTCGACAGTCTTCACTTTGTTGAAGATACTGCTCGAAATTCACCATTGCCCTCAGATAAGATTGAAATCAAGGTGAAGGCAGTTGGCGCCAACTTCCGCGATATTTTAGTCCTCCTTAAGCGGATGGATCAGACAAATATAGGCTTCGAATGCGCCGGCGTGGTGACAAGAGTTGGCAAAGAATGTGTCAATTTCCAAGTCGGGGACCACGTTGCTGGCTGCGACTTTGATACATACAGTAGTTATGCACGATTACATTGCGATGCCGCTATTAAATTACCCAAGGGTATGTCCTTTGCTGAAGCTGCGGCTATTCCAACCAATTTCGTGACCGCCTGGCATGCATTTGCGTCGGTCGCTAATGTGCAACATGGTGAGACCGTACTTGTTCACTCCGCTGCGGGTGGAACAGGCCAGGCAGCCGTCCAAGTCGCCCAATACCTTGGGGCCAATGTCATTGCTACTGTCGGAAACTCGGAGAAGAAAGCCTTCCTGGTGGAACGTTACGGGATACCTGAGTCCCATATATTTTCCAGCCGAGATACAAAATTTGTCGTTGGAGTCAAGAAAATAACTAACGGCCGTGGTGTTGATGTTGTTCTCAACTCGCTGTCTGGAGAAGGCCTCGTTGGTTCATGGGAGTGTATTGCCCCTTATGGTCGATTTGTTGAAATGGGGAAGAGAGACATTTTGGGCCACAGTTCCCTTGATATGTATCACTTTGCGCGAAATGTGACTTTCAGTGCGATTGATTTGGCAATGATAACGCACGAAAGGCCTCATATGATTGGCAATGCGCTGCGAGCCCTGATGCCACTCTTTTCTTCCGGTATCCTTCGGGTCTCGACGCCTCATCGAGTATATGGTATTGGTGAATTGGAGACGGGACTCAGAACTCTGCAAGGAGGACAGAATTCTGGCAAAGTTGTGTTTGAGATGCGCGATCATGATTTCGTCGATGTACCTTTCCCTCACTCTCGTTTACCAGCCTTATATTGACTTGTGACATAGGCCCTCGTTTCCCCGAAACAAAATCACAGTTTTAATCCTAACGTAACATACATCGTTGCTGGCGGGCTTGGTGGCTTGGGTCGAAATGTTACCAGATGGATGGTATCGTGTGGAGCCAGGTATTTGCTTTTGTTGTCTCGATCTGGGGCACACAGTCAGGGTGCATTGTCCTTCATCCGGGAGCTGTCCGCTCGTCAGGTCAAAGTACTAGCACCCGCATGCGATATTACGAACCGTTCAATGCTTGAAGCCGTCCTTGGGGACGCCTCTTCTGTCCTGCCTCCGATCAAGGGCTGCATACAGGCAACAATGGTTCTTCAGGTATTTCAATAATTCCCTACAGCAGTGGAGCTTAGATCACTTACCATGACTAGGATGCTATGTTTGAATCAATGACACACTCTCAATGGGTGCAGGCTACCGCTCCTAAGATTTCCGGTACCTGGAATCTACACCAACTCCTCCCTTCTAGTCTTGATTTCTTTATCATGATTTCCTCCATCTCAAGTGTTATGGGCAATCGAGGCCAGGCAAATTACGCTGCTGCAAACAGCTTCATGGATTCACTAGCTCATTACCGAACGGCCCGAGGAGAGCGTGCCACATCTCTCAACATGGGCTTTTTCCTCTCCGCTGGTGCTGTTGCCGAATCATCCTCTCTGAGAGAGCACTTTGCATCAAAGCTCCCCTTTGTTCCCGTTACTGAACCGGAGCTTCATGCTCTGCTGTCAATATACTGTGATACATCAGCTTCTAGGCCAACCCAGGGGGATTGTCAAGTCATACTTGGCTTAACGACCTCTCAAGAAATGTACAAGCGCAACCCCGAGGGAGCATACTGGCTTCAGAAGCCTGCCTTTAGGCAGATTCTGGCGACCGACCATACGAGCCAGACAGGAGGAGACTCATCTCAGCAAGGCTCTAGTGGAGCGGGAAGTAGTCTCTCTTCTGCCAATTCATTGCAAGCAATAGCTGTGGTGGTCATGGATCTGCTATCGACTAAACTTTCAAGCTCTTTGGGAATCAACAAAGATGAGCTTTCAAGCAAGCAACCAATGCATAGTTATGGGATTGATTCTTTGGTTGCAGTGGAGCTTCGAAACTGGTTTTCAAAGGAACTCAATGTGGACATCGCAGTCTTTGACATGCTGGGAGGAGCTACGGTTGCTGCCGTTGTTGACCAGGCATCTGGGCAGATCTTTGCCAAGCGGACAGCTTAGAATTTCTACCGCGCTGCTCAGTGGAAGGGCTGGAAGCTGGAATATTTATGGCCATGGGTCGATTATGTTCTTGAGACTCGCTGTCTAGTCATCGTCACACTGGTAAAGGGGAAGGTTATAGGCAAATTCCTAGTATAAATAATAACATCCAGCTTTCTCCAGTTGAATATTGCGGCAATTTGATATTCGTCAATAGAATAGTGGATATAACTGCATTGGCGCACTTGGTCAGTGATTCCAATCTGACCTCCAGATGTAATAAAAGCTAGTAAAGAAATCCCAGAACACTCAATCAATTCGATCTTGGGTCTGTTTACAGGAATCTTTGAGGCCCAGATGACATGATAAACTTAAAAAATACCTGTGCCGCGGGGTCTCAGCGAATAGTTGTTCTCCAGGCAAGCCATGCCCTGCATATACAATCACGCACCAAACGTAGAGCACAGGGAGCACTTCATCCACACTGAAAACGGTGGCTCTGGGTCTTCCTCCAAAAATTCTTCCAGTCTTCCTGGCAAGTCCCTAGCAGTGCGGCAAGGTCTGGTCGTTGTAAAGCTAGCGAATTGATATTATACCAACTTTCACTATGTCCCCCTGTATGTAAAGTCCCCTATGGGCCTTGAATAAATTAAATGTTAGGAACATAAATTACGGTGAAATCCTTGGCGTTGTGCCCCTATGATCTTGGTTGTCCTTGGAACTGTGGATAATGAACTCGCAAGAGCTACTGATCCTGGTATAGCGGATTCTAAAAATTAGCTTAATACCTAACTAGCATCCACACTGGCCGACTTCAAACAAACAAAGCAAAAAAGTGAGGAAAAAAAACATACAACAGTAAGGATTCGCTAGTGGTCACCCACCTAACTACTAACTTACCGGCGTGTGGCTTAAGTACGGCTGAGCGGACGGGAAGCCCTGTTCTCCACACCCTGTGGTCGTATGTGCTGATTATCTTAGTTAGGAGAAATAAGTAGAGTAGGTTATAATAATTCTAAGAGTGATAGATACTATGGGTGAGAAGGGTGAGTGCGCTATAAACAAGGTGATAAGCAGGGTGAGAATCACCCGAGTCGTGACCACTGCACTGCCCAGGTGACCCCCTCAGCTTACCAACAAAAGAATTTTTTTTGATAATTGTATATATATGCCAAAGTGCCGAGCGTTTCAGGTAGGGGGGTACACAATCCAATAAGACGTCAATGACGATGAGCACTGCTCTTTGCTTCTTAGGTCAAGCGGTGGCCACGCACAATATTGTAGTATAATTGAATAGTTCGTCCCTACTATATTAGTTACTATATTCGAATAATTTCAATATTATGGGTCATTTAGGTACTTTGGATGGTTTGCCCTGTTTGCATAATTGCCCCTTCCCTTCATTATATCGGGACACAAACACTTCTTCATATCTCCTCTCCACAACGTGTCATCTATCATATGTATTCTTTGTTCCCGGGCTTTCCACCTATTCTAAGTAATGTGGTACCCCTTAGACATCGTATCTAGGTCAATCTTCAAGGCCCTACGAGGTCGGACAAAACATACCAGTGATTTGGATACGAATGATACGTCTTCTCCACGTATTTCAGCAATTGTAAGTAACAAGGGGTAAGTTAATTGTTGACTTTGTTGATTACTTATGGTTATAGAATGGCTCGACTGAACATATAAATCCTGATTCTAATGTCGAATTTATCGAGGTGCCCCGATATTACCTCCCCGGGGTTATAGAGATTATCGGTCGCGGTGGCGAGTGTTTCGTCGGTGCTATTGATGAGTTCATAGTCTTGAAATATCCATGTATCCCGGGCGATTATCAGAGCATCCGAATAGAGGCCCAGCTTCTTGATGCTATTGGAAGCCATCCTCGGGTTATCGCCTCCAAAGGCCTCACGGAAAATGATCTTGTTCTCTAGCGCGCATCCAACGGTTCCCTGAACGATTATATCACATCACAGTCATTTATGCCTCTCGATACGAGGCTTCTCTGGTGTAAGCAGGCTGCCGAAGCAATCACTTATATCCATGGAAAACATGTCATTCACTGTGACATAAAACCTTCGGAATCTCCTGCTTGATGGAAATCTCAATATACTACTTGCAGACTTTCAGGGGATGCTTAAGTCCGCTGATGGCGATACAATACTAGATGGACTCTCTCGGGAGTGCTCAAAGTCATATCAGCCTCGAATCCATGGGGATTATGCCTGTATGGCAACCGATCTTTTTGCGCTTGGTTCCGTCATTTACTTTATTATGACCGGGAATGAGGTTTTTCCTGAACTTGACAGCTTACAGGATGATGAAGAGATCTTGTCACGCTTCCAAAATGGGCTCTTTCCGAATGACAATCATCCTTGCTCTCAAACCACAGAAAAATGTTGGAAGCAGCAATACCGGCAGGCTGCTGAGGTTGTTTCAGATTTTTCTTTCATTCGAGTTACCTAGGCGCTAAATTAGATTCGGGAAATAATGTACATCTCCTAGTCGTGTTGCATCGCATTGTTCCTCTCTTACTACTCAAGAATCTATCATGTTCTCGGCCTATAAGGACGACTTGAGCAGCAATATAAGGCATACGGTTGATATCTTCTAACGAAGCATATGAGATATATAAGGCAAAGGTTGACCAAGAAAACAAATACGAAAATGAAGCGTGCAGGACCAGCTCTTTTTCTATATTTACATCATCGGGCGTACGGGCAACTTCTTACTTCAACTGGATGAAGCGCCTGAATAGCCATTACGATACTATTTAGGCTGCAACAGATTAATTAAACTTTGATGGATTAAATAATCGGTCCGTCCACGGGTACACTCGCTATGATTCTTCCCATCCAAACCTCATCTCCGAAGCCTCTCACTGCCTTGGTCTCCCTCAGGCATTGGAAGATGTAGTCAGCCCCACCATTATCGCACGATAGTTTCAAAAATATAGAGATCAGCAGGGTTTCCTCCATCCATAGGTGGTCAATGAGTTGCTCGTGATTTGCGCTTTACAAAACGGCTACTTTGTGATAGGAGTCAGTAAATTGTGAATATATTAATAAAAAAACTTTGCGCATCCGATCGCTCATTAATGCTTTCTATTTTGCATGTACAAGACTCTCCATGCTGCTAGTATCCCGATCGTCACGATTAGACTGTCCCCATGTAACCTCCATCTGCGTGGTCATGGTGATCATGTTCTTGGAATTCATTTTCCTGGGCCCATGGTCCAATTCATGGTCACCACACTCGACAGTGGTGATAGTTTGATCATTCCCGCGACGACTGAAGTTTGTCCCATTCTCGAGATTGTAGCCCCGACCGCTGCGGTTGGTGGAGCCGTTGTACGGGCCGGTTCGGGTCGAGCCGAAGAGCTTGGGGACGAGTCGAGTGATAAGAGGCTTAAAAGAGGGGGCACAGGCAGCGACAAACGATAGACCGACTTCGATAGTGGACACGCAAAAGAGAACCGAGTGTGTGTAGTTTTCGGGTAAATGGCGGTCGAAATTGTCGAGGAGAATCACGCGAATAATGCCTGCCACCACGGTTCTTGGTTTGTTAGTCACGAATCCAGATCGTTCGGTGGATTACTCACAGAAGTCCAAACGACAAAATACCAATCAGCATCAACTTTTGATTCCATTGCATTTGTAGTCGATATACGATCCAGGTAGGCAAAATTAACGCCAGGACATCGGTAAGAATGGAGACCGAGGCCGTGCCGGTGACGAAATCTGCGAAATTGAGACAGACCGCATCAGGGTATGAGGCTGCATCCCAGTTGGCCGCGATAGGCAAGCAATGGAAAACAGTGATCAAGAATGTGACCACAGCGGTGAGGCCGTTGAAGATCAAAAGTCCCCAGATGGCTTGGCGCACCGACTTCTTTTGGCCGGTCAAACGCAAAAGGAAGAGCAGGATAGAGGTTTTGACGAGAGCCAAAATGGGATTGTAAATGAGCTCGGTCTGGCTCCGTTAGCGACAAAGCACCACTGGATGGAATAGAAAGAAAATGCATCGACCTACCGCGTAGCCATATTTGTTGCCAAGAGTAGCGGAATAGTCAAGAGGTATGTCCGAAACATTGTATCCGATATACGTGTAGATAATCACTATGAGATAGTTAGCTTCATGACCCTCATCCACTACAGCGATCTCAGTATGCTGATCTTGCCTTTATAAGATGTACACGTCTCCGCCCAATACATGATCTGCCGATCTGTCAATCCTCTAAACTCCTGGTCTGAGCGGTCAAAATACTCACAATTGCGACGCAAATAACCCAGTCATCTGCACTATGTTAGATTTGTAGTTCCGATAAGCGACACAAAAAGTTAGAAAGAGGATGTCAAACTGACCTGCGGCAAACGACTGCGTCAGTGTACGGCTATAAAGGCGAAGAGCCACAGCCACGGTCGCGACAGAAGGAAAGGCGAAGATCAGGCCAATAGCCTGAGGCTGCAGATTGTCGCTGGATACCATATTGCGTGCGTGGGCTCGTTCTATGCAATTGCACCCCGACTGTCACTTGCAGTGTTGAGTGGAAAAAATTCCACTCCAAGGGCCAGGTCTGCATACCTATGTATCAAACAAGCCATTTCTCGGAACAATGAGCTCGCATTATGCATGAATTAAATCAAGTTATTTTCCTCCTATGAAGTGGCTTTCCATCGTCGGTTTCATTCCGTGGAGCTAGTGAGACAAAGTAGGGCTTCGATTGATTTTGTTCCGAGGTGGCTGTCTTCTCTATGCCGAGATGCGGCTAACGTACCTCCTTTCGGACTAGTCTGCAGCTTCCGATGCATGGAAGTTGTCCATCGAGTCTAGTCTAGTTTCAGGAATATGCTAAATTGGGGGCCAATATCGGAATTCACCTCAAAGTGGACCCGGAAACCGACGATGTCAAAAGCGGATGTGGCGACGGACCGCACAATGCCAATTCTTACTTAAAAATTGAGGATAAAATAGAAATCGGAGCCGTGGACCTCGGGAGGAGACCTTCTAATAAACTGTCCGATTTAATATATGCATTCTGTGGGGAGGTTGGTGGCGATGAGTGTTCCCAATGAAATAGATGAATAACGCCTCGTTCCCAATAGTAAGCTGCTAGATATGTACCTAGTTGCTTAGTGCGCAAGGGTTTGTTACTCCTTCGGCAACTGCACCAGACAATTCAAAAGATTGCAAGGAAATTAAATTGCAACATCACACAATGGGCCCGGCACACGATAAACCTCTAAACGAGTGCGGTTCTTCGGCCGGTTCTACCGGCAAACCTTTTTAGGGCTATGTAGTTGGCCCAGTATTGCCGATGTACTATTTAAGTAGCTCTCCTTGCCACGATTCTGACAGGGGGTAGATCAAATCTCCGTCTTTTTCTCTTCTTCACGCCTGAAGCTTCAATTTGTTTGGAGTTTATTGTTGCGTAGCTCAATATCGTCCAGGATGAAGGGTATCCGGGAACTTGCTCTTGTGGCCAGTGCCTCACTTGCCCAGGCGACGTCTACAGCATCAATCACGGCTGCAGCTACTATTGTGGCGGACACTGCTGTCTCCGCACCTTCCTTGTTTCACCATGAGAGAGTGCAATTAACCGAAGGTGTCCTTGCTGGTGTTTCGGAGGCTCTGCAAAATGACTCTATCGCTAGCATGTTTGCTTTCGCAAACTCATCTTCTCAGTCCACCGTGACCAAGAGGAGCACACCACACAGCTGCAAGTTGATGCCTGGGGATTTCTGGTGGCCTTTGGATCTCGTCTGGGATGTGTTTGACCTCTTGCTCGGCGGCAGTCTGATCAAGACGGTCCCTCTGGCGTCGTACTGTTATCCGGATTGGCCCCAGTACAATGCCGCCAAGTGCGCCAGCATCACAGCCGATTGGCTGATCTCAGATCTTCACATGGCTGACCCTGCTTCTATCATGCTGCCGTTGTACGAGGGTCGCTCTTGTCTACCATCGCCATATAACTACACCGACTCTTGCACACAAGGCGCGTATCCCACTTATGCGGTAAACGTTTCCACTGTGGCGCAGATCCAGCTGGCGGTGAACTTTGCCCGCAACCTGAACTTGCGACTTGTGGTGAAAAACACAGGTCATGACTTCAATGGAAAGGCCTCCGGCAAGGGCGCTCTTTCTATTTGGACACACTATCTCAAAGACAAGAGCTATCTCCCGTCTTTCAAGGCCGCCAACGGCTATGTCGGCCCGGCCATCAAGTTCGGCTCTGGTATTCAAGTTCACGAGGCCTATGAGTATGCCAAAACTCTCGGCCACTCTGTTGTCGGTGGTGAGGCAGTCACCGTCGGTCTTGGTGGTGGCTACACTGCTGGTGGTGGCCACTCCCCTTTGTCTAGCATGTATGGTATGGCATCCGATCAAGTTTTGGCTATGCAAGGTAAGTCGCTCTATCTCAACAACTTTTCACATACAATTCAATCGGTTTACTGACTCTGCTTAGTGGTCCTCGCGGATGGCAGATTTATCACTGCCAGCTCTACTGAGAACTCGGACGTATTCTGGATGCTTCGCGGCGGTGGTGGCAGCACCATTGGTGTCGTCACTTCTCTCACTGTCAAGGCACTGCCTCAGCTGGAGACAACGACTGTGACATTCAACTTCACCGTGAGCGACACCCCGGGCCCTAGTGCCTTCTGGGCTGCCGTCGGATCCTACCTTGACAACTTCGAGGCCTTCGTTGATGCGGGCACTTACGGTTACTACTACATTGGAGCGTCCTCTATGGAAATTGGTACAACCTACGCCGGCGATACCGACTACTATTTCCGCATGGAATCATTTGTCGCCCCCAACATGAGTGTTGCTCAAACCGAGGCTCTCTTGGCTCCCTGGTTCGACACTCTTAACAGCCTGAACGTCACATACACCCCCTGGTACAACAACGCCGATAACTTGTAAGTTTAATCCCCTCGTCCAACTCTTTGGTCGTCCTTTTAGATTCTCGGCTTACAGATAAATCAGCCACGATGCCTGGGAGCCCGCCTTCCCTCAGGAATATGTTGGAACCGATGTTGTTAAGACTGCTTCTCGCCTTCTACCTCGCAGTGTCTTCCAGAGCGATGATCTCCGCAATCAGACCTGGGCTGCTTACAAGGACGCCGTGGATCAGGTGCGTTATGTTCCCACAGCCCCAGCAGCACCTCCTGTCAATCGACTTGGTTGGTCACTAACACACTATAGGGTCTCTTCATTGCAGGCTTCCACATCAGTGGTATAGGTATCGCCGTTGAGCCTCCTACGGATAGCGCCGTTCTCCCCGCGTGGCGCGATACCCTGACACACGTTATCGTTGGTTCCCAATGGAACTTTACCTCATCCTGGGATGTTGTTGAGAGTTCCTCGCTCTTTGTCACTGAGTGGATGGACGTGCTTCGCGAGATTGCCCCGGACTCAGGAGCCTACATGAGTGAGGGCGATCTCATTGAGCCAAACCAACAGGATGCCTTCTATGGTGTCAACTACCCGCGTCTGTACGCCCTCAAGCAGAAGTACGATCCTACTGGTCTCTTCTTTGCCCTCACTGCTGTTGGTGCCGAAGACTGGGAGGTTCAGACCACCGATCCCTTGCCTTACTCGTGGAACAACAACGGGCGACTCTGCCCGAAGTCCTCTTGATAAGAAATACCTCAATTAAGATGGGTTTTTTGCATGAGTAGCCATCTTCTCACGTTATGAAGGTCCCAAGTTTGGGACGAGGAGATTCTGTCCTATTGTTCTAATTCTTGATGGGGCCATTCACATGGACTTCATACATCGTTGGAGATATCTCATGGCTTTATAATAGATAGTTTGTACATAGTTAATGCCGGGAGAATTTTTGTTATAATTTTGCGAGTCTACCCCTCTCACTACTCGGGTACCTTGAGAAAAAAACCTATATTTTCCGGTCTTCTAATCGGTCGAAATATTCTTCTCAAAATAAAATAATCTCGAGGTGATTCAATCGGTCTAGATTCCACTTTTTTCCACCGCCTTTAAATCTTTTATTATCACTGTACCCTTTGTACTATATTACCCCCAAACCTTTCTTTCTACTTGGAACTAAGTTAGCGTTTCTATACTTTAACAGAATATATAGACCAATCAGAAGACCTGAAAATGTTTTTTTTCCCCCCAAGGTACCTGAGTAGTGATCGAGAGAACGTATAGGATATGGCGTCCGTACTCACATTCCTACATACTAGTAATATATCGCTTGATTCTGATATGGACCGGGCTGCATCAAGGTTGAGCCCTATATACGGCGCGAAATACTATACGTAAATAGTGAAGTGGGAAGTCGCTGCCCCGTTTGCGAACTAGGTCAGCCGCTGGTACCCGCGAATCCCGTCCAATTGATAACGAATATTGATCGATCCTACCTTAGTGGTGATAAATCTCAAACTCTGGACCCCAATCATTCGGACTAGAGTTGGCAATCTGCTCGCGTTGTCTAGGAGAGGGTTTTGAAATTTCCTAATCGGTGAATATCGTTGTCAATGTTGATGGTAGATCTACCACGGTATTTAGCTGTGTCGGCAGGAAGTCTTAAGGAATAGCAGACCATCAATCGCCCCGATATTGCCGTTATCCCCTATAGCGATTGGCCAATGTTAGTGAACGGATAGGAGACTGCAATCGATTCTGTTAGGCGGAGGGCTTGGATCGGGACGTTGGACCAAGATTCAATTGTTAATGTGGGATCACCTTAACGATGGGCCAATGAAAGAGGGTTTTGCCCGTGAAATGGAAGCAACGCGTGTTTTTCAGCATCATGGATTCCTTGTCATCTTTTTCTTGTCGTCACTTCCATAACCAGGCTTGACTCCCAACATGCAGCAGAGACAACTGTAAGCCTTCAGAGCCTGGCAACGGCATCATGGCTTACGCCTCTCCCGTCGTTGAGCCGAGGTCGGCGATCGGCGAGAGACTCCACATTTACACCCGAAGCCCTTTGCCCTTCAATTCCAATTCCAACACTTTCAATAAAAACATGGGTCAAATTATGATCCCCACAGTTAGTACCCTTCGCTGATGAGGAATATTGGAGGGAAGATCGTTGGTCGGTGGCCGCGTACCTTGCATCCCTTGGAAAGCAACTATAGATTGACTTGCTTTAAAATGTGGCTCCTGTCGTCTGCATGAGATGCAGGAACAATTCACCTTCTCTCAATTTGTCTTCCTTTTCCTTCGAGGTTCTTTTCCCACCCGTCATGAAGCTGCTCTCCACCCTTGCCGGTGTGGCAGCTTGCGGCTCATCACTCGCTTCTGCCCTGAGCCCCCCAGTCATTGATACTCACTACGGTTCTATTCATGGCGGTCTCTCTCCTTTCCGTGGAGGCAACAAAGCGTTCGTGTATAAAGGAATCCCGTATGCTCAGCCACCTACCGGCGACAACCGCTGGACCAAAGTAGCTGGCCCAAGCTACTGGGGGAAGCTGAATGCCACTGAGTTCGCCCCGCAATGTGCCCAAACAATCGGTGATGCTGGTATCTTCTCCAGTGGTAAGAACACAACCAGCGAAGATTGTCTATATCTTAATATCTGGACTCCGGCATACGAGAATCAGAACAATATGACCTCCAAAAAGCTGCCTGTACTTTTCTGGATCTACGGTGGCCGTTTTACGGGGGGCTCAGGTGATGTCAAGACCTACGATGGCACGGGTTTTGCGCAGAAAGACATCATCGTGGTTACTATCAACTATCGTCTTGGACCCTTTGGATACCTAGCGCACCCTGAGTTGACAGCTGAATCAGGCACCAACAGCTCGGGCAACTATGGTATCTTGGATCAACAGGCAGCTCTACACTGGGTTAACGAGAACATTGCCAAGTTTGGTGGTGACCCTGATCAGATTACGGTTGGTGGGCAATCCGCAGGCTCGGCTAGTGCCCTCGACGCGATGTGGAGCCCTCTGGCTTCAGGTCTTGCAGCAGGAATCATTGCGGAGAGCGGTGCACGCGGACCTCATGATCCGATGACTGGTACAGTGGCTACTTCGTACCGGACCAAGAAGGCAGCCGAAGCTCAAGGAGGTATGTGAAGAGGGAAACCAAGCGCCAAGAACGTTCAACCCTAATATGAATATTTAATCTAGTCAGATTCTTGAAAACGATGGGAGTGAAATCCATCGCTGAGCTCAGGAATGCTTCTATGGAAAGCCTTCTTGAATACGATGGAATTTCCGACACCATATGGGAGGGTACCCCCTTCCAGAACTTCACCGCTGCATTTATGGAACCGCCTATGTGGCGTCCCAACATTGATGGCTATGTCTTCCCAGACACCTACTCCGAGGCTTTGCGTAATAACTCTCATGCCGATATTCCCATCTTGACCGGAAACAACGCGGATGAGTCCGGTGCTACCCCAACTCTCACCTACTCCGCCTCGACATACCATGATCTCTTCAGCAATCTGTTCGGTGGTCTTTCAGATGAGTTCTTTTCCCTTTATCCAGGTAAAAATACATCGCAGGCCTCTCAGAGCGGAAAGGAGTTCTGGAGAGATCTGTCTCGAGTCGGAACATGGCGCTGGGGTCTTGACTGGGCTGCTGGTGGTGCCTCCTCATCTGTCTACACTTACTATTTCAACCACTGGCCGTAAGTTGGATCTAACCTACACTTGAATTCATGTTTTGTGTTCTCTTGACTAACTATTTTGCAGGGCCGAAGATAAATCAGGGGGTGCCTACCACGGAAGTGAACTTTGGTATACGTGAGTGATCATATTAATCCACGATCTTCTCGGTCAACAGCAACTGATTATGATCCAGCTTCAACAACTTACCCTATAGCTCATACTCGAATGTGACATGGGAGCAGGAAGATTATGCTATTGAGACGAAGATGGCAAACTACTGGGCCAATTTTATTCGCAATGGTAACCCTAACGGCAACGGTCAGCCTCAATGGAAGGCCTCCAAGAAGGATCAAGAGACTATGTGGCTAGGAGACCAGTGGGCGATGGGCCCCCTTACCGCGAACCACAAGCGTATCGCGTTTCTTCACAAGTGGGTTTCTACCTTGCCTGCGTGGTAATTCAGTGTCTCATGGTTCTGAGTGGTCTCGGGTCAGAGTCTGTGACCCACGCCCACTACATGTAAATATGTTCCTTTTACAAGAGTACTTTGATCAAATTCGAATGCATGTAACTTAAATGAAACATCTATGTTTTCAATATCTCTTTCCTTATTCGGCCAGGCCCCTTGTCTGTGGATAACATTGCCTTTTAAGTTATGTATCGCAACGTATATACTTCCTTGCTATTTCCTGAGCCTAAGGCTCGCATCGGAATTTTTGAATCTCCGATGTTATAATCTAATGCATTATCTGTCGAAGCCATGATTATCCAAGGTCCACTTCGTGTGTTGGTTACATTGCCCGGTTGTACTTGGGACAAGCATTTTCAACTTTTCTCGCATTTCATAGAAAGACTCTTGGCAACGCGTACCTCTGAAGACAAAGAACTAGACTAGCGGAAATTTCATGCCCTTTCGTGGTCAAAAAAAAAACCAATTGTTGCCAAACACGGTGATCACTTCCTCGAAAGGAATCCCATTCCGACCGCTCAAAAACCGGGGCTCCCGTTAAGCCCGAGCTCCCGGTAGGGCAATCATTCATTCCTCTTTGATTTTGGTGGTCTCCAAATCTGCAAGGCTTGTGTAGATCTTGTGAATAAAAGCCACACCCCGCAACTGGTAACTCAAACCGAGCAGAACCTGATTGATTGTAGATCCTTTCCCCTTGACGTCTTCTGCCAATTACGTGTTTAAGGGTGAACGCGGGCAAAATTCCAGGCAACCCTTGTTTATTACGTGCAGTGTCTGATTTACTGATTTTTTTATCGCCTTCAGCCTGATCGAGTTGCCACGTTGTGGATATATACGTGTAACGAGGTGATGCTATCTTTCTCAGTTCCTACTCTGCAAATCGAATTAGTTATGGATGGATGCAATTGTTGGATCACAAATTCTCAATTTCATCTAGATGAAACTCCTCCCGGTTCTAATCTTGCACCTATTGTGTCAGACATTGTAAGCTCATTCTGGCCCGACCACTAGTTATTCTCCAGATACAATGCCATAGCCACCTTTCCAATCACTCGGAATAATCTGTCATTCCTGCTTGAAACCAGCCCAATGGCTAGCTAAATTTCGGTTGACGCGGGAAGCCAAGGAGTCCACACTAGGAATTACGAATGCTGATCTTAACGTGTTCCAAGGTAGTTTTGGGAGGTGGACACTATCCATCTAATCACCGTAGCCCAAGCGAAGGTACGATGTCTAAGCGTCGGCAATCATTCGGTAGGCCATTTGTTCAATGATTTATCCCGAGTCCAGGAACGGGGTCTTCAACGCGCCAAGGAAGAAAAAAGTCTATAAAACTTCCAAGTGGTAGCTTGCGTCTTCATTGCGGGTGATAATAATTTCTCATCCCACTACCACTTGGATCGTTCTCTATTTCTTGTTTACCAGCGGCCGCTCAAATGCGTCTCAGCATTGCTTCTGTTGTCGGTCTCGTTATCGCGCCTGTATTGGCGGGTTGCCCATATGCTCGAGACCTGGGTTTGGATGTCAACGACCAAAAGCATCCTCACATTAATGTGGCCCGCGGTGTTGCCTCAAAGAGCTCATCCGCGTCGATCGCTTCTGCCACACCCGTTGCTGGAAAGAAAGGTGTTTTCTATCGTGAGTAGTAGCATCTGTTTTTAACCATCGCACAACCCGATGAAAGGGAAACTTACTCACCCCAACAGTGAACCGTATCGGTCCTTCGGGCTCGCAGATATGGATTAGCAACGCAGACGGCACCAATGCCACCTTGTTAATGGGTAACCAGACTGGCGCGTTCGATTATCATCCTAGCTGGTCGCAAGATGGAAATTGGATCGTATTCACCAGTGAACGACGCGGGGCAGGCCAGTCGGACTTGTACCGTGTGCATCCTAATGGAGCGGGTCTTGAGACATTGGCGGCCACCGACAGCGTCGAGGATGCCGGCACACTTTCGCCAGATGGAAAGTCTCTGGCTTATGTTTCCACGTATGGAAATTATACAATGAACATTTGGGTCAAAGATCTCAAGACTGGAATCGCCCGCAACCTGACTGACACCCCAGCAAATCGTGCCGACAATACTTGGCCTACTGGCCACTACCGTCCGTCATGGTCCCCAGACGGAAAATGGCTCGCCTTCAGTTCTGACAGAGATAATGACTGGACAGGTCACAGCGAGGGGTAATTGTTTCATTTAGAATTGGTATTCTCGATAATGGTTGCTGATAATTTCTCATAGAGTCGGCTGGGAGCATACCCAGAACCTCGGCCTGTATATTGTTCGCCCAGATGGTTCGGGATTCCGCAAGGTTCTGCATCAGGACGGTTTTGCTTTGGGTACACCCCAGTGGTCACCGGACGGCAAGCGCCTCATCTACAACAACATGACGAGGGAGAACACCTACTATGCGCACGGTGTTTCTAGCGAGCAGTTATTGGTTCCTTCTCAGATCTACAGTGTTGATGTCGCCACGGGCAAGAAAATAATCAAGCATGTCGTCGACGACAACCTCAAGGTTGGCCAGCATTACATCGGCAATTCCACCAACATCGGCTATTTGATCAAGGCAGGCACTTCCGAGGGAATTAGCTACAGTTCGCGTGACAAAACGCACAAGTCCTTCAATTTGACTGGCCTTCGCGAACCATCTTGGTCTCCTGATGGTTCGAAGATAGTTTACAACGTTCTCAACTGGGATCAGCAAACCGGCAACTCTCAACTTTGGAGCTTTGATAGCGAATGGGATTATCGGTACGAAGCCAGCCACCGTTAGAGGTGATTTTATATTTTCTGACTCTTCTCTAGCTACATGGATGTCTTTCCTACACACAATGTTGCTTCCAACGGAATGGCTGTCACAGAGAAGGTACTGGGAGGCGCCAACAGCTCGCTTGTGACTTCATCAACAGACTATACCGATCTGACCGACTCACTCGACTCTTACGACATCTACTCCGCCGACAACAGCACTGAGGTTGAATGGCTGGTAGAGGGTAACTCTGGTGCCTTCCAGCCATCCTTCAACCCGGACGGCGATGAACTCGTCGTTGGATTCGGTGCCTGGTTCGTCTCTCGCTCCACCGACACTGGTGCCATCTACCGTGTTGCATCCAACGGCAGCTCCCACACCAACCTGACCGACTGGGAAAACAACGCCGGTTTCCCCTCGTGGTCTCCCGATGGATCGGCAATGGTGTACCGCCTGTGGAACATTCAGACTGGCGCTCCTCAGGGACTCCAGCTTCACAACTTCACTACCGGCGAGACCAGCAAGTTGACTCACGGTTGGGACAACACCCCTGGTTGGTCTCCAGATGGTGAGCGTATTGTCTTCACCCGTAACAACAACTGGACCGAGTCTTATGGAGCCCGTTGGTATGCGGATCGCTTTGATATTTACACTATTCGTCCCGATGGCTCCGAGTTGACCCAAGTCACCGACAGTCTGGCCAATGACGCACAGTTAGTTTTCCTTTTCTTTTAATCGTCTTTTTGACAACTTTTCGATCTTGAACATGTCGCTAATTTTCTATAGTGCTGTCTGGTCCCAGGATGGTCGCATTATGTGGTCCACTGGCATGTACGGTTTCAAAGATGAGAGTGCCCTCTACGACAACACTTTCCAGCCTTACGGTCAAATCATGGTCATGAACTACGACGGAACCGACAAGCACATCGTCACAGACACGATCTGGGAGGACTCCATGCCGCTCTACATGCCTAATCAATACCTTGAATAAATGTTGCTTGGAAAGGTGTTGAGCAATGTAACCATAGACTGGTGTATATATAGTTGAACATTATGGGTGAAAATTATAGACTTTTCAAATGAAGTTGTATCGTTTCGTGAATTTAATTATATCCTCATGTCTCCTCATCCGTATAATTTTGATGATTATGACTATGGATGCGGTAAGCGCAATCTCAGCTCTTGGGTTTCTATCTAGTACTTGAATCATATTTTCTATGATCATAGTCGCCAAATCCCATAAATTCGTAGTCAGCGGCTTGTTGGCCTGATTCCTGCATAGATTGTGACCGCCTAAGCCACCGCCCCTACACCGTTTGTAAACCACCTAGTTGGTTAGTTAATGAGCGCAAGTTTACACCATCGTGGAGTAAACGACTAAGTTACATAAGTCCCAAAATATTGAAATTGGCGATTTTTCCTTTACATGTTTTACCCAACAATTTGTGTAGAAATTACAGTTTTAGTTCTATATCATGGCGATCCATTTTGCCTACAGTGGACTAGAACAGTTTTTAAATATCTTAAGGGACCAAAAGCTTCGCGCCGAGCAGGCCGGATTCGATTTATTGGTATTTTCAAAAGTCGAGCATGACTTCCTACGTCGCCACGAAGCTATGATCGAGCGAGAAAAGATTCGAATATTTGAATATGCGCCAGATAAACAACAACTCATCCTAAAGATGCCAATCCGTGCCATCTTTGTTGCCCAGGGAGTGATATTCAGATATTTGACAGAGCAAATGATAAAGGTCGGGATGAAATATGACGACTGGATGCTTCTGAACGGAGGCGATTTTCAACTCGAAAACGGGTGCACCGTCGAGCCAGACCTAGCCCTCTATTCAATGGTAGGTAACAAAAGGACGTCATTGTTTCCGCATATCGTCTTTGAGATTGGAATTTCGCAATCAGTCGAAGATTTAAGATGCCGTGGAGACGATTATATCCGGTATTCTGAAGGGAAGATCAATGCGGTAATTTGTTTACATGCGCCACAAAACCAAAGTCATGTCAGCTGGGTAGTATATAAGGCGCTCAGGCAATCTGATCAGGGCCAGGCTTTTGAGTCTGTGATTTGGGGTCGTGGTTTAATCACGTTCGATAAAGATGATCACAGTGGGCAGCACGGTCTACCGGTCAACATTACCACCACGGGGCCAATGATCATTCCTATCGGAAAGCTTCCAGACACCCTGGATAAACTCGAGTTGACTGAGGAAAGCCTCGTCAAAATCACAGAAAAATTTATCTCAAGGCGCTGGCAGGGGTAAATAAAGATTTGACCCTCTCTTCAAGCTTTCTTTGGATATCTGGGAGTGAAGTGTCTGTCCACCTTGCGGTGAAAATTCTCCCCTCTCTCACCCTAATCTTCAAAATTTTCACTTACAATCATCCTATGTGATTGACCTTGAGACCCTTATCCATCTGTTAGCTCGATAGGCTGCGTCTTCGCAATTATCTTCACTTGCTTCGGTGCTACCTACCGAACTTCTAAAGCCGGTGTTAGCGTTTTTTTTTTCTTTTTCGATAGCTTTCTTGCGACCCGACTTTGTTGTAAAAGCTACGCAGCGCCCAGAAGCTAGAGAAGTTTGAAGAATGGTTTTGCCATTAAAACATGGGTGACTTTCATCGTCATAACTATGAACACATATATTTTTGCAGGGTATAGAAACAAAGTGGATCGTAATGTTTTCTTGTCATACACATCCGAATGGGTGAATCTACAGGAAAGCAGACAGAGCGGCCATGATGGCAACGCCGACAGGGATGGCCATGGTAGAGGCGCCGCTGTTAGCGGTGGTGGTAGTGGCAGCAGAGGAGCCGGTGGAGGTGGAGTTCGTGTCAACACCAACAACATCGGTAGAGTTAACACCAGAGACGTAGGTCTTACCGTCACGGGTGTAGGGGATGTTCAAGTCCAATTCGGAGAGGGTGTCGTAGGGGAAGGGGGCGGTGTAGTTGTAGGTGGGGGTCTGGCCCTTGTAGGTGTCAATGACAGACTGCAGGATACCGTTACCGGACGAGCAGGTGTCGTTGGTGGTGGGGATGGGCCAGCTGGCACGGTACTTGCTGAGCTCGGAGACGGACAGAGGACCGGGAAGAGACTCGTTGATGTACAGGTTGGTGTTATCGATGTCCCAGTTGGTGTAGTTCACGGCATCAGCAACGAAGTTGAACAGGTTGGCACCACAGTCCCAGCGACCCAGGGAAGGAAGACCCCAGTTGGCCTGAACAGTGGCCATGGCAGAGTAGTGGGTGTAGACGGTGTCGTCAGTGGTGCCGATGAGGTGCTTGGGCAGAGCGCCACCCAGCAGGATGGTGAAAACGCGGTTGCGATCGCTGTAGGCCTCAGAAGAAGGTACGTTATAGGTCTCGGTCTCATCGAAGGTCAGCATCAGGATAGTGTTGTCCCAAAAGTAGCTGTTGTTCATGAGAGGCTCGACCCAGTTCCGGAGCCAATTGGAGCCGTAGGTGATGTTGGTGTCGTGGGCATCGTTGGTCATGTCTGGTGAGGGTTAGTATCAGTTTCAATTGATCGGCCAGAATAGCGAAAGATGAACATACTAGGGGTGATGAAAGCCCACTGCGGGAGCTGCTTGTTCTGGAGATCATCCTCAAAGCTGGTGAAGTTCTTGATCAGACGTAGAGCAGTGTCGTTGTTGGCGACAGAATCAAAGATGACAGCGGGGTTGTGTTTGCGCACGTAGTCATTGGCGAAGGTTTCCTGGTTGGAGTAGTTGAAGCCCTGGAAACCAGGGAACGGCAGGTGCTCCTGGTACTCACCCCAGGAGATACCCTTGAGATTGAACAGATCGACCAGAGTGGAGACATTAGGGATCTGGTGGAAGTTATCTATACAGTGGGTAAGTTCAGATCAGCGATGTGTTAATAACCGGGCTGGGAGAGAAGTCTCCTACCGTTATCCATGCCGTAGTTGTCACCGGAGATTGAAGCAACATAGTTGGGCTGCGAGGGGTGACCAGTACCATAGTAATTGGTCAGAGTCAGACCCTTGCTGGCCAACCACTTCTGGTTGGTGTCGTTGGCAGCGTTGTCATAGTCCTAACGCATGTGAGTACATGTTTATGGTGTTGTCCGGCAATAAATGAAACAAATCCATGAGATTCTATACTTACAACGTTCTCAAGCCAGACCTGGTAGAAACGGTCAAAGGAATTGCCGGTCACGTTCGAGGTCCACACCTGGGGAACGGTGGTGGCCTCGGCAGCGGCGATGGCAGTTTTCGCGGGCTCGGAGGTGGTGATGATAGCACCAGCGGCCATACCGGCCAGGGCAAGAATGGTAGTCACAGACATTGCGTAGAAGACAATGGTTTTGAGAGAGATGGTCCACGAGAAGAGCAACAGCAAGGGCCGATCCCATTCACATTTATATACAACAAACCCCTCACGCACGTGTGCAGGAAACTCCCCAATCGACGAACCTGCGTCTGGGTCTGTCCAGTCAGACCTGCGGATTGAGAGCACGTTCCTGACCCCGTCGGCGGACCCTCGGGAATCGACCCTGGTTGGCGTGGGCGGTGTGGGGGCCAGTCAAATCACAGCCAGTCAAATTCCGCTTATGATACGCTAGTTTCAGCCGAAGGCTTGCCCATTGCTTATCTCCAGCGCTGGAGTCAGAACGGCTTAGTCGGGCTGTTCACCTTGGAATTTAGCTGTGGACGAGTGTTCAAGCGTCGACACTGGGACACGCGTCATGCCACATGGGTATCACGTGGTCCAGAATCGGGCTGACGCCGGGGCGTGACTCGGGGAGGCACGTGATCCGACTCATGTCCTCTTCAATGGACAAGGAATGTAACTTTTATTCAGGAAATGCGGTTCAATTCGTCCAGAAATGCATAATTTATCGAAGCCACGAGATAGCTCAATGGTTGTATTGTTTGCAGTCCCATGGGGATTTCCATAACTCCTGCATAGCCTTTCCGATACTGTAAGCTGCAAGAGGTTGATTGAATTTGGAAAATTTACTTGTCGGTAATGTCACCGCCTCAACCTTTCAATATCTTTTACTAATTATTGAAGATTTCTTTTGGATATCTCCTCATCTCTCCCATCTATTCAGGACAGAGAGACTTAATAAATATTGTAAGTCCTAATTGCCACGCTCAACTCTCCACCTGAGGATCGTGAAACGCTTCAGCAAGCATAGAATCCCTATTGAATCGATATAATGATTTGTATATGTATTGCGGGACAACAACGCCCCTCCGATCCTGCACCATTGATTTGATTCGCGCCGAGCTCGCTCTACGCGAGGTATCGCAGCTTGAGAAAAATTCACTCTATAGAATAATTGCCCCTCAAAAGGCCATAGCTATCGAGTCTTACTTAGCTTGAAGAGGCTCAAAGGCTTCTCGCCTAACACGAGCACGGTCTATACCGAGCAGAGAATATGCTTATCACCTCACTTAAGGAAGCATACGATAGCATAAGATGAGATTCTAAATCGCTTATGCGCAAAGAAACGGTTCAGGATTTTTCGGGTTAAGGTGGATGTTGCAGCCGGGGATGTGGATGCTGCGTACTGAGACATCTATCTAAGAAAAAAGAGGGAAAGAGGCCATCGCACTAAGGAAGTGTTAGTGTTGTATTAGCTTTCGAGGTTTCGAGCTCTCAGAGGACCAGAAAGTCGAGATCAGAAACGGCTTCCACAACAGCCTCAAGGAGCATAGTTCCCCATATTCGCTATATTGAGAATCATTATTTCTGCCTACTTATGCCACCCACCCTGCCAAGGCCTTCAACCCTTCAAACCTTCAAAACTGAATACTGATGTCAGAGAACTTTAAAATCGGGGTTGAACTGATCAGGACTCATGGGAATTTACTGTTTTAACTTTTCTTGAGAGTTAATCACTCGCTAGCTTCCAATGGGACAGAAACGGTGTATGTCTAACCTTTTATTGCGTTTAAGACTAAAAAGCCACAAATTCATGCCGCCAAGGAACAAGTAACATTTTAGCGCTTTTTGAGTATTGTATTTTACATCCAGTCTTCAGTACATCAATTCTGAGCATTTTAATGCGTTCGATAAATCATCAATCAAAAATACTTACAACTTTTGGACTTAGGGGGCACTCAATACTTCATTTAACTATGTGGCAGCATAGCAAATAGAAGTATCTTTTGTTTCTATGATTGATGACCTAGAATCAAAGGAATAGTTCCGATTTACATACAATTTTGTCACATTTACCTAAAGTAGCAATAAACTTTGGACATTTGGACACTCGGGGTACATGAGTTGCGTAGGGGTGCTAGCAGACTCAGATATAATGAGTGGGCTGCTTGAAGAGGGCCGGTAATTCAGCCAATTCATCAAAATGTTAATAATTTGACATAAATTATAATACTTAAAAAGGGCTAAAATGGGACCCATTTATTGGTGGTATCACTTTGTTGATCTTAGCTATAGCAATCGAATATCCTTTACATTCATTTTCATCGTGATGCTTTGGAGCCCGTTATCTGGGTTGGCTACTTTGGCCTTTCCTGTGTTTTTTTGTCTTCGGGTTTCTCTTTATTTCTCATTATGTATTCTTGGTTCTGACTCGACTGTTGCCTCCATAAATGGTTGAAGTGCTGAATTTCACGGTCTCCTGTTAACATTACAACAGTTTATGGTTATGCTACACGTTACGAAGTAGTCATCTTGACCAAAGACTGTAATGCTGGGCAAATATACTACGCTCCCCTTATCCGGTATTATGCTGAGGTTCATTCACCAAGATCGGACGTTTGATGAAAAAGGCACAACCCAGACATGAATCAGACATGCATTCAATGATCAGCATCAGAGCTGCCATATCCAGCGTAGCACTGGAGAAGAATTCTGATCAATTTAGTCTTCTCTTATTACGATGAAGACCCAAGGCACATTTGAACGACCTCATTCCGTGCAGAAAGACTTGCCAGTACGGAATTTTTAGTGTCAAATTCACCTGCTTCGATCATACTGGCTTTCAAAAAAAAAGAGAACACAGGGTTCCATATTTTTCTCCAGTGTGGCCCCTAAGCTCTAGTAGCTTGTCTTGTTACGCAAATCCGCTTGCGGTTGCTCCCGGGGTTTGAACCAATCACCACCGTTCTCAGTGCGAGTGCGTAACAATTGTCTCGAGTGGCTTGAGATCCCGCGAAGAATGCGCACGCGACTGTGGAACATGTGTCTCATCAAATGCCCTAGATACGGGCTTTACTGAGAGCAAATTCTCTAAAATGATTCGAATCTTTACGATCAGAGGGGTTCACCGTGGAAAATAGACGCTGGATGATTTGATTCAACAGCACAATAGCAGTTGTATGCGGATGTAACAGTCCCTTCAAGGGTCAGGTCCGCGTCAAGGGGATGTGTTGACGTCATGATTAGTCAGTGGGCTGGAACCGGCGACTGTTCTGGAGAGCGCTGGAGAAGAGGGGAGAGCGGAAAAAGTCTGTTAGGGCCAGGAAAGATACTTTGAGCACTCAGACTTGGGTTGGTCAAACTTTGATGCTGTGAAAGGGATTGAAAATGCCTCATATCCAACAAACTTTTCACCCCAGATATTATCTCGGACACTATATTAGGCCAAACTCAATCAACAATGATCGACTGTTTCAAGTGGAGACCTTGATGCATGGTACCTTGTCATGCAAAGAAGAGAGAAGGTTGCATTCAGACTGGGGAACGGTGGACCGTCTAATCCACCAAGAACCGTACATTGGTCAACACGGAGATACTGTCCTTGCATTTCCACTGGCCCAGAAGCTCTCCACATCACACTCATCCAAGAGCGGAAGTCGGTGCATCGGAAGCGAACAGCAGAGATTTCTGAGACAGGCTCGAATATGAAGATGTAGCATCTAGTCTCTGACGAAAACAGACAAGACTCCATCTCGAGTCGATTGAAGTGGCATTGGGTCTTTAGGTCGAAATGATATAAAGCTGCTGTTTGAAGTCAGGATGAATTTTCCTGATCAACACACATCAAATTCTCTACCTTCACTTCATCCAACCTTTTTTTCAATCAAATATTCAAAATGAAGTTCATCGGAACCGCTGCCTTCGCTCTCTCCATGGCCTCCGTGGTCATTGGGGCCAAGCTCTCCGAGTCCGCCGCCATGGATGGCGCCAAGAGCCAGTGCACCACCGGCGATATCTCCTGCTGCAACTCCAAGGAGGAGACCGAGGCCGATGGTATTCTCGGAAACCTCCTCGCTGGAGGTCTCCTCAACGGTCTGCTCGGCAACTCCAACTCTGCCTGCGCTAAGACCAGCCTCCTGGACGACCTGAACATTTTGTGTATGTGATTGCCGCGGAAGATCTATATCACGAAACCAGAGACTAACGTATGCGAAAGCCTCCACCCGTGACACCGACTCCGGTCCCGTCTGCAAGAACATCATTGCCTGCTGCCCTGAGGGAACCAAGGAGGTAAGCCATTCCAAACCCCCAATCAAGATCACCAAGAGTCTAACCACGCAAACTATCAGTGCATCGCTGTCGACAACTCCGGCAGCAAATAGATTAAGACTTCGAAGAAACAGGATGTGCACAAGGACTAATCTCGGGCTTACATTGGCTTGTTCTCCCTATGTGGCACCCTTGCTGTGTGGAGCAATATATAGCAGCTCTTTCAAGTCAATATAAATAATCCACCTTTTTGAAAGGAATCAAAAAAACTATCCTACATTAGGAGTCTCTTAAAAGAAATGTTCTACTGTAATTCTTTTCACCTCTGAGATCCTGACCCCAGCCTTTTCCTTGCATGCGTTAACCCATTTCACCACGACCTGGTCGTGGTTCAAAAAGTTAATGATTATGTGACCATAGCTTCGACTGCAATGCGTTCTGCGCAGGACCAAAATATATTTCCGACATTTCACTACCATTACGTAGAATTCATCTTATTGATAATCACACTAAATGTAGGAGATGCCATCCAGCATTGAGTACGATCATTAAGTTTACTTTTGTCACACGATCGTAAAGCCCAATTTTCTTTTGCTATGTGGGATCACACATCTTCCAAATACGAGACAACCCCGAAAAGGCATAGACTGCTAATTCTACAGAATGGACCCAAGTCGATAACGTTAGATCACCGACACCCGCAGGAATACAGAAAAAGAGACATATACACATTCAAGAAAGTGCATCATCAATGCGAGAGGATGACCCTTGGATTAAATCAGGTGTTTGGTACACGTGCTAGGTGAATACAGCAAGGTTCTCTTGCGATCAGTTGGATGCATTTTCCACTCCAATGTCGATCATTGATAGCACACAGAAAGGCTACAAGCAAACTTAAATCGGTGGCTGAACTAAAACGACACAGACATACGTCATTGGGTGGTAGTAAGTTAAGAATTAGAAAGTCGAAGAGAGATACCTGAATTATTCATTGCCAAGGCCAATGCGAAGCAAGGCAAGGCTGAACGTACATAGACGCGTAGACAATTTCACTCACAACGACAATACTAGGAGATCAATGCAAGCAGGAAACCTTTACAAGCCAAAGTCTGGACCTTATCTGACCTAGCCGGCTAGCAACGCAGAGCTACAAGTATTCTCCGATCAACATTCTTTGTGGCATTCTTGACCCAGCCTCAACTTTGATAGTGGTAGGAAAGCTAGGGTGATTGTATTCATCAAAATGAATGTGAATGGTCCATTTGATTTCGTAGTCTAGCATTGCCTTTGTTGGACCAAACTTGATTCAAAAGTTCGTTGCCCAAGCCAGATAACATTCAAATGCTGATCAAGCCCAATTTAGGCGGAGAATCTGATTTGCTGCATTCTACTGTGACCAAATGCCGTTATTGCTACGACCATGACTCCTACTTCTCAGTTTGGACGGCCATCACTGCCTATATGAGAGCTTTGGTTCCACCGAGGAAGCGGAGAGGGTCGTCCGGTCGCGCTCCTGGAAACAATATCCGGAATTTAATGATACGATCATCGCCGTGGAGCTCCAGCTTACATATGCAGCGTCATCTCAATAAGCCGTTAATTGGTCGGGAGATTTATTTTTGGGACCGTTGCATTCGCCGGGGACTTGTCGCCCCTGGTCCCACTTCCCGCTTAGGGCTTCTCTCCACCAGGGGCTCATGGGTATCATGAACACGGCGAGATGGCCACTACTTACATAGACAGTTGAATTACGGAACAGCTCATTGATGATTCATTTCGCTTCTTCTGGGGACATGTCAAGCGTCATCCACTACCTTGCCACATTTGTTCGGTTCTCTAGTGTAGACATGCGCTTTGTTGGCGGCCTAAGTATAGAAATGATCACAAACTCTATTTGATTTCAATATACTATAGAACCAAGCTACAAGCTCAATAAAGTCCAGCTGACTTAGTGCATTAAACTTACTGTGTTGAAAAAGACAATTGTCTCCGCTGTAGACTCCTAGCAAAGCGGTGGTTGGGTTGGTCATTCTGGATTCCCGGATTGACATTCCCGACGATCGCTGGAGAGGCGTAGTATTGTACCATTTCTGTATGAAATTGCTCCTGGAATAGCCCTCGCAGCGGTTCAGGGTCACATTCCTTGTCTATTACAGGTATCTACGTCACAAATAAGGACCATAGGGGTCAAACACAAATGTATAAATTACCTCTCATCATCCCACCAGTAGATTTCATCATCACACTTCACATCTCTTCACTTCCTCTATCAAACCAAGTTCAATCTTCCAATCCATCAAAATGCAGATGACCAGCTTCACCACCATCCTGGCCTTGGCCATGTCCGTTGCCGCTATGGCCCCGGTTGCCCAGAAGACCAACATGGTCCTCAGCAACTCCGCTGCCCTCGGTGGTGCCAAGGAGCAGTGCAGCTCTGGCGACATCGCCTGCTGTGACTCCAAGGAGACTCTCTCCGGCGATGGTATCCTCGGTAACCTCCTCGCCAAGGGTGCTCTGAACGGCCTCCTCGGCAACGACGATGCCGCCTGTGCCAAGACCAGCGCTCTTGACGACCTTAACGTCCTGGGTTAGTTTGACACTACATTATGTACCAACGCATGAAATACTAACATCATACAGCCCAGACCAAGGACACCAACGAGGGTCCCTCTTGCAAGAACATCATTGCCTGCTGCCCCGAGGGCACCGGCAAGGTAAGCAAACACTTCGAGTTATTAAGCACAGAACCGCAATTAACGCCTTCGATAGTGTACCGCCATCGATTCCTAAGTGCAAACAGTCTAGGAAGATGTCCCTCAGACGCATGTTTGAAAATCATCGCTTCCTACATGAAAACTTGTCGTTTCGCTGGCTGTTTAACCTTGTGCCTATTTTTCGCAATATGTCGGCCTTTAGTACCTTTTAGTGACCCGCTAATAATCAAATACAAGCGCAATCCTTACTTTGTGTGGATGCATGTTTCCTTATCTAATCCTACTTGTAAAAACCCTTCCCATGCCCTCGTAATCAAAGACCCAGCATCAGCGGACATTTGTGTGAAACTACCATGTTATACATGTTCACCAGTCACTGAAACAAGAAACCCGCTTGGAAATACATAAAGAAAAACGTAATATAATGAAATAACGCTTCGATCAAAGTTAAGGAACAGGCTGATACTTCTGGTTCTGGCGGAATAGTTCGCTTTGCCTCCACCTCATTTTGTTTTCTGCCAATGTCGTGAGCTCCGCTTCACTCTGGCCATCGTGGAGCGCACGTTGAAGTCTTCCATCTCGCCGTTGTCGAAAGCAGAACCATGCGAATGCACCGATAATAAGGGCACCCGCGACGGAAGCGCCAACATAAACACCGATATGTGCACCAGTTCCTAGGTCATCCCATTTCTGGGCCAAGGTCTCTGCTGCCTTTTTGTTTATTTCGGTCTTTGCGGTCGAGTTTCCACTGTCCACAGGAGTTAGCCACCAGACAATAACACAGAGATCCACTCCCAGGTAACTTGGAACAACTCACCCGACCACTTCAATACTCTCGTAGGTTCCAGTCTGGCCTGAATATTTGTACTCTTTACCAGTGTGGAAATCCTGCACGCGGATCTTCTGCACCGACATAGTAAATGGCACATTCGTCCAGTTGACCAAACCACCACCCCATTCGAGATTACCAACAGACTGCCCCTCCACACCCACTGGCCAATTGCTAACCTTGACTTGACACGGCGTTTGCGGATAATTCTTGCCATAGACAGTCAATGGCTCGGAGTAGTTCACTGTGCGCACGAGGTCGCCATCGATCCACCACTCAAGACGGTCTTTATCCCAGTATGAGGTATAGTTGTGCCATTCGGTGTCGGCATTCGAAACAGCATGATATCCTCCTCGATCACTGGTAGTCGTATTTCCCTTTCCGAAAAAGTCCGATTGAACCCCGCTAGTGTTATATCCCACCCACTCCCAATCGATCTCGTCCAGGTCGTCTGACTGCAGAATCACACTGCTGATGATTCCGGCTCCTTTGGCCATTTTGACGTGCGCTTCCATGACTCCGAAGAAAATATAGAAGTTCGAAACTAGCAGGGTCGATGCATTTTCGGTCTTGATTGAGAAGTCTGCTCCTTCAGAGGTATAGTCTATGGTTCCGGTTTCCATGTTCCATAATTCGCTATCGAGAGTCGAGTTGAACAGCCATGTGTGCTCGGTGCCTAGGGCAGGATCGGGGTCGCAAGTCGTCTTGTTGAGGGGATTACAATCCGTGCCGGTGTATTCGGCATTGGTGACATTGAGTAGAGCACTCAATGCTGCAAAAAGAAAGGTAGAAAAGAACTTCATGATGGCTGTGTTATGTCCCGCGTCAGCACGGTTGGTTCGGTCCGATCCGAATCGGCCGACTGGCTATGACGGTGCAGCTGATGCGGTTCAGAAAGGGCGTGAGCGGACAGAAAATCGAACGGGTATATCGCGGAGAACCTCAAGGGTTTGGAATGAAAGTGTCCATGTCTGAATGTGAAAATTGGAAATTCACTGTCACTGACAGCGAAATCAAGAATAGGGAGGTCAATAAGCGAGGCTAAAATATCTATCGATGATTCCACCTGTAATTAGAAGCCATCTATGCTGGTTCAAGCCTAGCGTGTAAAATTGTTTGTGAGTTTATCTCCGAGACCGACGCGAGCTTGCGAAGCCTGCGAAGCTTGGCTGCACGCTAATGCTTTTTATATCCACTTTGACAAATTAGATGGAGAAGTTTGCTCGATTTAGTTAGCGAACCATTCAGGCACCGGTCTTTTGAGAGCGATGATTGGTCGCGCTAATTGATTCATCCCGCCAACATCCGCTAGAACGAAAATGTTCGAGAAAACAATGCAGTCATTCTGTTTGCCCGAATCAGAGACAACGCTAATTAAATCAGGGAAATGACCGTTAAAAGTGGCGTTCAGGAGTACGATGACGCCTGTACTTGGATTGGATCTCACGATATATAAGGGGAGGTATATCTGTCTTCGGGAAAACCGAGCGAGATAAATCTATGAAACCGAACACGAGGTATCGATACTCTCAGAGGACACTAGCTGCATCAATGTGTTGTCCTTGGCAAACAATACCATATCACCGGACCCCCCTTCAAACTGGGGCCAGGAGAAGTAACCTTCCTTTGTTGGGTTCGGGGCAACATCCCCTATCGCTGCACGGACAGGACCGCGCGTGGGATCCTCGGCAAAGCTTAGCCATAATGCCTCCATAGCGTAGCTGACCTCCCATTCGAACTTCGACGAGGCGCCGCCATACTCGGAATGTGTCCCAAAGAGCAAAGGTAGCTCTGAGCTATGGTAGGCACCAAACCAAGGCAGCGGCGAAATGTTTGTGAAATTGCCAGCGTATTCGTATCGGTAGGTTGGAAGGCCGCCAAGGTGGCGGTTCTTAGCTTCTGATGCGACGGGGCAGCTGATAATCTTAGTAGCACCGGCTAGGGCTTGCTCCCCAGGTCCGCTGGGGGTGAAGGAGACAAAGCCAGCACCTTCATTTGAGTTGCTGCCAATGATCATGGGCTATGTAATTTAATTGCGTTAATATTATATTTACCATTGGACCAGGAAAGGCGATAATACTGACTGTTTTGGCAATTTTTCCATCCAATATCCGCTCGGTCCAGTTTGAAAAAGCAGTCTTGTTATCAATGACTGGTTTGAACGAGATGGACGGTAACGTATCATTGCCGGAATAATATGATAGCGCATTTTCAAGAGTCTGAGCTGGTACCTTTCTGACGCAGCTCAATTCCTTCTCAGCGCTGAGCCCCTTACATCCGACCAGTCCAGCCAAGAAAGTGAAGTTTGTGTGGGCTACATCACTTCCACTGACGATACCCGGACCCCCGGAGTCTGCGATCAAACCGGCAACCAGGGGATCATCAGGATATCCATACGGATACACGGCAACACTGCCAGCTCCAGCAGATTGACCCCACAGTGTTATCCTCTTTGAGTCGCCGCCGAAATTTCCAATATTGGCATAGACCCACTCGACACTATCGATGGGTCAGTTGAGGATTCTCCAGGCTGTTGTTGACTTACGCCAGTCTTTGATCCAAAAGCCCCACGTTTTGGTCTTCCAGTCCCCTCGCATTAGGAAACCCGAAAACATTGACACGATAACTGGTCATAAGATGTCAGCCCATACTTCCATAGCAAATCATGATCCAGCTTACTTCATGATAACAACAATGTGAGACTGTGTTCGCTGAACCCATTTGTCAGGAATCTTGTATAGAGATGCCTGGCCACCACTAGTAAAGCCACCTCCCGGAATATACAGCAGAACTGGCAACGGGCGCTGTTGCGATTGAATGCCCTTAAGGCTGGGTGCCCAGATAGAAAGATACAGACAATCTTCAGAGTTTCCACCGCTAACGAGGAATTCAGACTCATATTCCGTGTAGATTGTTGATGAGTTGGTGTCAAATTGCTGCATGCAAGAGTTGGGAAGCGACAAAGCATTGATAGCGCCACCGTGCTTCTTCGTCTGCGGCCGGGCAAAGCGAAGGTCTCCCACCGGAGGCTCCGCAAAGGGAACACCGAGGAATTGTCGAACATTAGGAGCGGTATGGTTGACAAAGCCTCTGACTGACCCAGAGGTTGTCTCAACAATCAGACCAGAGCCGGCATTGCTTCTAGGGCTGATAGTAGGAACAGCCAAAGCATCCAAAGTAAGAGCCGCGAGGACGGGGAATGTGAATAACTGCATCTTTACGACCCACTAGAGTTGAGTCAAATTAATATTTCATCTCTTTGCGAGGCAATGCAAGCCCTTTTATAACTTACCCCGGAATTTTGTTTTTTGTTCTAGTTTTTTTGTTCATAGTACACGGCAGAGTGCTTCTTGCAGTACACTAGAACCCGAATGCTAAAGCGGGGAATTGAAGACAACATGTTGCGAGAGATGACCAGCAATTACGGGAAAAGCGCTGTGCCGGTGGACTCCATAGTGAAGTAGCCCTATATAGCGGGGTTGCGGGGGAGAAAACCCGGGGACAAATGCAGGACTTTCACATTCCATGTTCTCAGTCGTCCATTGGAGGGATAATTCCCTGCATATGGTATGCATGAGCTAGCAGAGGAAATGACCGGGGATTGAACAGGGGGTGGAATATCGCTATACCGGGAGATGTCTAACCCAAGCCTCCGATCCTCAGAAGAAATTTTGATTGATCAGCAGGGCCGTCACTTAGCCAGGGTTCAATGAGGCACATTTGCGGGGTCCTGCTCCCCGAAATCTGGGGTTTCATCGCCGTCCTACTATCCCTGGGAATTGGGTTCCATTTTCCATAGGGGGAGAATTGAGGATATGCAATCGGTATTGGCGTCCTTACCGCAATAAGTCAAGCAGGTCTGGCCCAGGATTTGTGGGTTCCAACTGGGATATAGTAAGTTGACGATGTTTTCCGGCTTCATGGAACATGAAGAGAAAGCCCTTGACCATGCAGCCTGATAAACCAGGCCACTACACCAACACCGTATCCGAGAGTGACTCACCAACAAATTAGTTCCATGTCCTGCCTTCGATACTCGCAAAAATCGATCGGGCAGATAGAACAGCATTGAAAAGTTCCCCGGCAAGATGGGAAACCGATTTGAGCTTCCCAGTTTGCAAATACCGAAAGGTTCAACAACTGTAAATATATCTGTGATCGACAGGTAAGCATGAAGTCTCCGAGTAAGATCTTGCATCAAAAGCTCAAGACATACCCCATACGTCACAGCATATCGCTCACAAACAGAGTCAAGTACATGTATGAGCCTGCCAACTTCTCATCTACTCACACCGTCAATCCCGCAACATCAAACCTTGAAGATCCCATCTTTATCCTTTCTCATTGAAAACACAGCAAGCAAACGAAAACTGCTCTTCGATCTTGGTCTGCGAAAAGACCCTTCATCGCTACCACCCACAGTCCTGAAATTTTTATCTGATTCGGATTGGGATTTAAGCGTCGACGAGAATGTCTCGGATATTCTCAGCAAACATAACATATCGCCAGATGAGATCGAGGCCGTTATTCTGAGCCACCACCACTTCGATCACGTGGGAGACCTCAGTCAATTCTCCAAGACAACGGATATTGTTGTTGGCCCAGACTTCAAAACTACGTATCTGCCAGGATGGCCGATCAACCCTGACTCGTCTCTCATCGATGCAGACTGGAAAGGGCGAAATATACAGGAAATATCAATCCAGCAAGGCGCCAATATTCAAACCATCGGTGGATTTCAGGCGGTCGACTATTTCGGCGATGGAAGCTTGTTCCTGTTGAATGCCCCGGGTCACACAATCGGACATTTGGCAGCTTTAGCAAGGGTCACCGTGGCTACCGACTCCGTCTCTGGTTCGGAACCTCATGCCAGAGACACATTTGTTTTCCTGGCTGGCGATATTTGTCATTACCCTGGAACGTTTCGACCAAGCGAGCAAGAACCTCTTGACTCTGTTACTTGTTCCAGGATGGGAGGGTGCCCGGCGGCATTTTATCTCGATATTCATCCGCAGAAAAGCCTGAACCAACCATTTTATGAAATGCCAGCAGATGCCACCGTGGACGAAGTTGCTGCAAAAGCCTCTATTCAAAGACTGTGCCAGTTTGATGCGAATGAAGATGTGCTGGTGATCATTGGACATGATGCTTCCCTGGCTGGGAAGATCGGTTTGTTTCCGGTGAATGTCAACAATTGGAAAGCTGAAGGGGTGAAGGATAGACTGCATTGGAGCTTTCTCCGAGATTTTGGCAGGGACACGACGACCCTGTAGCCAGCATAATATGGCACCGGCTCTGGTAGGACCGAGGTTCTTCAGTGAAGATATCGCGAGACTCCTACTGGAATCTCAAAAACTACTCGGATTTGAAGAGCAGATCATCTACCGGATGTGGAGTAGCATCAACCTGTGGGTCACGCCAGATCCAGTGTGGATTTCATGGATCATCACTAGATGAGCTGTAGGGGACAAGTACAAAGAATGATTTCAGAGGAAATTGAAAGGCGCACCAATAACCAATTGCACGTCTTCGAAAAGAATAGACGAAGAATGTGTTGTATTTTACACATGTCGGCAAATGGAAGTAGAATATCTGACCATGGATGAAAAAGATGAACGGAACCACCAATCCAACCTACATATCCTCCCTTTTGTAAAACAACAAAATCATTGGCAAGCGTCAAGGGAGAGAAAGATAAAATGTATGACTCGAATACGTAGAACACTATCGCAGGCAATCACACCAACGGCGAACATACTCTACACCACACACGCCGCACTACACCAATACAACTACCCACGGTGCGTATCCGCAGTCCCAAATGTAGTTCCCAGGTATTCTCGCTTTCCATCAAAACTCCTTAAGCCATGCTAACCCGTAATATCGTAAAGAGACTCATCTGCGATTCGCCGGGCTGGGTATCTTATGCGCTAATACCGGGGAAGCAGTCAGCGAGGCCCTTGTTGTGCTTGTTGGAGGCGTGCTCGAGGAGACTAAACGGTAAAAATTCGTTAGGATCATGTAGAGAAAAAAAAAAGCCGCGCCGGAGAGTAGTGCACGTAGCGATAAGGACATAAATAGCCGCAGGCTGGGGATCACATACGCAGGGGCCTTGGTAGTCTGGAGGAAAGTCTGTCTGCAGGTCTGGCACATAATGCTGCAGGCCTTCTCGTTCTAGATTTGCAACCAACGTCAGCAGTCGCACCCGGGAACAGTCGATGGACATTGATTCCATTTGGTAGTGACATACACTCTTGGTCTGGGACTTGGCAGTTTTGGCGTCCTTCTGGTTGCGCTCGCGCTTCATTGTGGCCTTGGCTCCCTGTGGAACATTGTCAGTCAATCCACCGGAGGCTCGGAGATGGAGCGAAGAGAGTTTGATGGCATCTGCTCTGGGCGTTTCGAATTTCCACTTACGTTACCCATATTTGCGGTATGAGACTCGTGGTCGGTGAAATAGGGAAATAGAAAAGGATGAAATGCGACGGATGCGTAGTCAGATGTCGAGGGGAATCTGTAATTTTTCTGTAAAAAAAGTAAGAGCGGGTTATCTCCACGTGGGGATACATGACTCAGCAAACAAAAAAAAAACTTCCCCGCGCCAGTCCCGATTCAGTATACTTCGGATCCAGTAGGGAGGTTCCTGACTGGAGGATAGCATACCATACATACCACGGGACAAGAGACTTTGCCTTTTCACAGAGAGCCTAATGGTCTTTGCATCACCATAATTACTGATTTCTGAGAGCATCGGGTTAATCCAATAATTAAGAAAGGGTCGTCGAGACTTTGTTTCATTCAACACTCAGCAAAATAAAACCCGGCGACTTCCAGCAATAAAATAAATGTGTCGCAACTCACTACGAATACACGACTAGGAGTCTTCTTGCGAAAGCTGATTAAAGAGACACCATCAAGATACCCGCGATCATAGCCGCGGCGCAAAGAGTGACTGCAAAAAGAGAGGCTCCCCTGGACTGTAGCTGGGCTCACATAGCTGACAGCAGCCCCCTTCGAAGTGGAGCTTACAGCAGCAGTGGGATGATTGGTAACGGTTCCTGTCCCAGCTGCACCGGCCTGTTCAATCAACTTCTTGCAATTTCCCGTCGCACTTTTCGCACTTTGGATTGTGGCCGCACCATTGAAGTCGCACGCAGCAAGGACTTGTTTATGAGCATGGAAGTAGCGATCAAAGATAAACGAGAGTTGATCACGACTAGAGCACACACTGTATGCGCCGTATTCTCCGGATGTGGCGTTGTCAGAGATGGCGTCGCAGGCGCCTTTCGAAGTTCCGCAAATCTGACCAAACAGTGGCCCAAAGTCATGTGAGCTCACGTCGCTCTTGACGACACAGGACAGAGTATCCACCATGCAAGAGCATAGCTCCTTGTTTGGAGAAGGAGGAAGAGGGCTTCCTTTTGCCCGCCAGGTATCGTCAACAGTGGGACAGGCCTGAGGTGAGTTGGTGGGAGAATAACTGCCACTGTTAATGCCAGTCGGATTGACACTTCCAATTTCATTTGAGTAATATCGGAAGTCTGATTGCGTATTCACGGACAGATCTGAGGCGGATACCAGGCCGTAATCGTTAGGCGTCTCGAAGTACATGTAAAGTATGCCACCACTCCAGACACTGTTCATATCGGAGCCGAAAAGCACTGAAACATCTTTGAACTTGCGTGGTTTGACAGTGTTGCAACCATATTCCGAGAAAAAGATGGGGATCGAGTAGTCTTTGTATTCTTGTGTCCGGTTCTCGTAACCGGATGCCTTGAAACTACTGTCTCCGCAGAACTCGTAGATGTTATAGCCAAAGAAGTCGATGGAGTTTGATTGATCGCCACAGTTGAGAAAGCTAGAAAGTTTCAGACGGACGTGTTCGTGGTCGGTGGTCGCGTATCCAATGGCCAGGGATGTCCTGTACCCCTTCGACTTGATGTAGGCCTTCATATCTCTCGCTGCAGCTTTTACAAAGGCAGCACCGGCAGACTGATTTGCATGGTTAACAACCTCATTTCCAGCAAAGAAGCCAATCAAATTGTCATATCTATGAAACGCATCAATGACCGAGGTGTACCGGTCGTATTGATCGATTGTCCAAGAAGGCGAGTCGGCAGTAATGGAAACATCAGGAGATGCCAGATCGGTGATGACATAAATCCCGGAATCAGCAAGCATCTTCATGCATGCATCGTGGTTCTTGGTCGGATCGATGGCATAAGTGCGTATGACATTGGTCCGCAGTTGAAGGAGATAGGGTATATCGCGGGCACACTGATGGGGATTGACCAGAGGATCGAGGTACTTGGTGGCATCGGACGACTCGGTTGTGTTTGCTCCGCGAGCATCAAAGTCTTCTGGATCAAGATTTATAATTCAGTTCCCATAATGCGATTAGCTCAGTAAACATACCCTGATAGGCTATTCCACGAATGTAACTGATAACTGCATTAGAATGATCAGATTCTCACAGGGGATACGAGGACTCACAATTGAGTTCCATTGTTAGAATAGAAGAACTTCGAGCCCTGTTTGATGGTCAGCGATTGGATACCTCGGAGACTTTCCGCACTCACTTTGATCTCGATCTGGGGAACACTGGCCGAGCCAGAGGCTGCGTCCACCAGTCGCAGAAAGACGGCGACAAAAAGGAAGCACGTAAGCATTTGCATTGCGAGTTTGGTGGCCATCTTGAGCTGATGAGAAAGGAAGCAGACAAAAACCAAGAGGACAGAAAGATGATGGCACACGTTGGTGTGACGTGAAGAAACTACGAAGCGAGGGAATACAAGAAGATCCAAACAGAAGCAGGTGACATTTTTAGAGGCAGCAGCGATGGCGAGGAAACAACAACGATTGAGGAAAGTGCCACTCTCAATTTGATCGAAACCTTAGAAGCCAATTATTTTACCCTCAATTTGACAAATTATATACAGTTTCTATCCTGCTGTGAATGTTTACAAATCTCTTGATGATATGCAGCATATTTAAACACAACCTTCATTGACATTCACATATAGCTCCCGTGTATTAAACAAACAAAGATTGCCAAGAGCGCGCCTTGGAGCGCTTCTTGGGGCTTATATATCGTTCTTATTGTATACCAGAAGAAGAAGAAGAAGGCGAAAGCTTCGAAGTAGCCAGATACTCATACTTCCAACATGTTATTAACCGCGTTATGCCGAAAAAGTAATCTTATACTATCATATGCAAGATGGATTTATATTACATTATACTCTAGATACCAAGCTATATTTCAGAGTCAACTTTTCGACCAGCCGATGAGAACCGTGCTCAGATCCCTTGCCAGAGTCTTCAGAATGAGCCAGTGACGGGAGCACCCTCAAGTTTGAAGTAACCGGGCTGGAGCGTTTGGTAAACCTGCGCGGGATCATACTTCTTCGCAATGCTTTTCAACAGAGCCTTGTTTGACGCTCCGTAACCGGAGACGGGATCCTGGAACATGCTGGCGTAGTTCATGTAGATGTACTCGTTGTACACACCCAGGGTCTTAGCCTGTGCAACGACCTTCTCCCAGAAGCTGTTGACAAAGCTGTAGATGGTCTCGTCATCGGACTTGTTTGTCCACCAGCAGGCAATGTGCATCAGATGAACGGGGCCAGTCGAGCCAGCGAGTCCAAGAGCGTTACCACCGTGGTTGTTCATGTTTTTGAGCATGGGCTCGGTGATAGCTTGATAAATGATGACGGGCTGGGCGCCGGTGACATTGGCAATCTGGGGAATCATCGAGTAGAACAGTGTGACGACCCAGTTGGAGAAGTCCTCATCAAGCTGGAAGGCAAGGGGCCAGTATACCTCACGAAGACCAAAGGGGTTCTCGTTCTCGAGATACTTGACGTACTCAACCAGGGTCTTGGTGCTTGTAACATCAGAAACTGCAGGAATGCTTCTGTACTGTTTGAAGATTTCTGGGTCAGTGACGTTCAGTGTGTAGGTCAGCTCAGCGGAGGCGAGGTCCATTCCGCTGGTCTGGAGGAAAGCAACATATTGTTGAGCATGGCCATCTACGGTGGCGTTGTTGGCGACGTTGATGAAGGCGTTGATAACATCGTCGAAACCAGAGTCAGAGTCAGAGACGGTGCCTCTAAGGAAGCTTCTGGCACCTCCACGCATAACGGGCGCAGGGATGGTGTAGAGGTTATATTTGGTGACAAGACCAAGATTGTTGCCACCACCACGCAGAGCCCAGTAGAGGTCCGAGAAAGAGGACTCACTTGCAGTGACAATCAAACCACTAGCAGTAACGACCTAAATTCTGTGAGCAATTGAATGGCTGAAAGATGGAGGTCATCTTACCTCGAAGCTTTGAACGTTGTCACAAGCCCATCCATATAAGTTGGAGTGGTAAGAGATACCACCACCCAACACGAAGCCTCCAACACCAATGCTGGAGGCACGACCGCCAACAGTAGCGAGGCCGTAAGGCTCGAGAGCAGAATAAACCGACAGCCAGTTATTTCCAGGTCCAATAGAGGCGACAGACTTGTCACTGTTCAAAGTGACCTGGTTCATATCCTTGAACCAGATACTAATTCCATCTGGTCTGCTGGAAGCTCCAGTGAAGGCAGCGTGGCCACCACTTCGGGCCGCAAACTCACAGCCAGTCAGACGGGAGAGCAAGACTGCAGTACTGACGTCTGTGTTCGCAGTAGGCCGGAAAACACACCGAGGCTGGACCTCTTCTTGCTGCACAGACCAGAATGAACTCGTGAAGTTCGTATAGCCCGCAGTAGTTTGAGCTGACACCTTAGATCCAAAGAGGAAGCTCAGACTTGCGCACTAAATTCGACACACACAATCAGTATTGGCTCAGATTTAGGGAGGCTGAATTGATGGCTTCATCTGAAGCCATTCGGCACTAACCGCAATGGAACAAGATGTCTGGCTAGACCGCGATTGGATACTAGACAGCGATTGCAGGGCCGGGATGTCCGAAACGTTCACGCCTAAATCCTCCAATGCGTTGGTGACATTGAAATTGGCTGGCTCAAATGAAGTGGATTGAGCAATCACAGCTCCAACCGCAGATAACCCGCCAAGTAAGGTCCAAGAATGCATGATGACAAGCTCAATGGGCTGAGGTAAAACACCACTAAATAGGCGACGTCGCAAGAAAATATTTCGGAGGAAAAAGCAAACAGGTGGAGAAAGAAGGGCCTCTTTTTAAATCCCCAGTTAACCGATCAAACTATATCCAGATCGGATCCGATGCACTTAAGAATATACTACGCTGTGCACTGTTGAACGCTTTGTTCAGGGGAAGCATGGCATGGCCCTGGCATCGCATCCACTTTTAGTAAACGCGCGAGACAATTTCGCTTCGATCTGTAAGCGAAGCGGCATATACCGATTCAGTGGGACATCCGAACGGTCTTTTTATGAAAACTAACTTGTTGTTTCTACTACGGAAGCCTGGAGCGTACTCTGCCGGATTAAGGCAAAGCCGTTTAGCTAGTCTTTGAGCCATGGCGAAAGATGCCGATGGACTGAATGAAAAAGTGACTATTTGGTTCAAACAGGACGCACGATACCCGTTCTATCCGGGACAAAGGTATTCTTGAAAAGGGGCGAATGTTCCTTGCGTTAAGCGACCGGGCTTAGAACGCCACGCATCGGGGCAATCCTTAGTGGCATATCGCGGCCCACCAATGAGAGCATGCGAGTGGTCTTCTCAGGATCAACCTTTTCCTGCTTTCACACATGTAACAACGGCATACTTAATCAACTGGTGTTTTCCAGGTCAAAATAATCCAATTCCTATATTTTGGTCTTTCTTTTTTGGATGATGATTTCTCGCTGGGCGGCCCGGCAGCCCGTCCCCTGGTGCCACCGGAGTTCGAGGCGTCCATTGTGATTAGCCTGGGCGCTGTCTGACTTGTCTGAGTGGCTCGGCCCGTAGTGGGGGAATCTACCCTGGAGTCCGTGCTCTATGTGTGTATTCGGCTGAGTTTGAACATCCCTGCAGCTGTCTCTAAGGCATTCGAGGCCTGTGGCCATTCTGAAACGGACAATGAAGCTGACTACAGCCATGTGGGATAGAATTCCGATCGAAGGAGCTTATATGGATATTAGGCGTCCCGCACTATCCTTCGGATTTTATTCAAGTTTTGCCCGCTGTTAGCGATGGCAGCATCTTCGGCGGGCAATTTTGGGCCCCAAACAATCAAAGGAACAGGAATCGCGTTGATTGTGCTAACCTCGCTTGTTGTGGGTACTCGATTTGCTGGTGCAATTCGACGACCTAAAGATCTCAAAGCAGAGGACTACCTACTGATTCTGGCTTATTTGTTCTTTTTGGAGCTGGCCATTCTGTACATCTACATCGCCCCTGCTATTTTCCGACTGGCCGCACTTAAGGCTGGCACAATCACCGTTTATCCGACTGTTTTGGAAGACTCAGTCCATTTGCAGATAGTTTTCTTCGTCACAACCTCGTCGCTATGGCTGTGTCTGTGGATGATCAAATTTTCGCTCTTGTCGATGTATAAGCGATTATTGGTTGGAAGGCCATACATCATTGCTTGGTGGGTGATCTTGGTTTTCTGTGTTCTGGTAAGAACTTTCCGGATCAGCTGGCACGTATTCCCATGTGCTAACTCAACGCTCGCAGTCTATCATCGCCTGCATTGTCTCATCATGGGTTTCGTGTGAAAGCTTCCATGCCTGGTTCACTGCGGGGGTGTGCTCTACCCCACGAGATCATCGCGCTGCCGTTATCAGCCTATACTTTGCATATGCGATGGATATCATTACCGATCTAGCGAGTATGCGTCGCGTTCCACATGAATTGGCTACACTACGGATAATCTGACTCATTACAGTTATGGCTTTGCCTCTTCGCCTGATCTGGAATCTCAAAATGAAATCGAAACAGAAAATAAGTATCGGCGCCCTATTCTGCTTTGGGTGGATTTGTATCATCATCTCTACTATCCGAGTTGTTCAGCTCGGGGAATCAGTGAATGGAGTCCCATCCACATCATGGCTAGCCCTGTGGGCAACTATCGAGGCATCAATAGGTAAGCAGTCATGTCGAACTTCACAAAATAGCATGTTCAAGGACCTTACTCACCACCGTCTTGATAGCTGTCATGATAGGTTGCTGTCCCGGTCTCTATCGCGTCATCAGAACCAGCATGTCGTCCTCCAAAGCTACCTATCCATACGACTCGTATAATATGAGAGGTCGCGGCGGTGAAGGTATACCGTCACATCGATCAGGCGGGCCGAGGAACGGGGACATTGCTCTGAGCAGCTTTACTGGAAAGGTGGAAACATATCAGTCTGCAAGTGCCTATCGATCATCAAGTCCAGCAAGCAGCCAAGAGAAACTCGCTCAACCATCTGATCGAGGTACAATTATGGTGAACTATGGGGTTGCTGTGACGGTGGAAGATCGATCAAGTGACTATGGCCGAACAACACGCTTTGTATGATTAATATTTAGAAATAATGACAACCTTGGAAAGTTGGTACGGGTCAAATTTCCATCAGACTCGATCTTTGAATTGTCAAGATCGATAAATCAAAAATTAAGTGACGGAAACCCAGTAGAGAGACGATCTTGTTAAGAAGATCGCGCTTGACGGATTTTTGACAGTTAATTTTGTCCTTCCGGGATTTTATGACTTTGATGGCAGATCACAAGAGTAAGACGTGGAGATTCGTGTCTTACCAAGCTGAAGACTAGGTAATACCACGCCTTGGCAATATCCCTTCTGCTAACCTTAAATTGGGGTTATGAATGAATGGCCTTTAGGCCAATGCTGGATGAATTACGACCATTATTCGGCTCAAAATAGGTAAGCTTTTACAAGGAGTCAATTTGACACGCAAAATACACAATATTGTCGATCGATGATTATCAGATGCTTTCACAAACACCATCCAGAGGGTTCTTCAGGTACTTCATTTATTATTCTATTTATATCTGATGTCATTTGGGAAACTGCGTATTAGACAACAATGGGTTTGCTAAATAAACAATGGTTATATCGAAGTTCTATCCAGATATGGTGGAATAAGAACAAGAACCTTTGTTTGGCCTATTTCTGTAATTGAATCGACCAAAATAAACACACAAGGGCAGCTGTACTGTTCTCGGGAACCGCCTTTGTTCCACCTTCCCATTGTCCCAATGTCAAAGAAACTGGACGATTTCAACTTCAGCTTGTTTCCAGATTTTGACTTATCCTTTGATCCCAGTAACAATGTACATGTCACAAAGTCTCTCGAACTTAAATCATACTGCCCCAAGTTGCAAACAAAGGGACCTCGAGTATTTAATTCCCGCAATGCGTCTTCAATCCTCGATATCAAACGCAAAGAACACAATCAACAAAAACATCGCACAAGAATCAGTGTTCCAATAGCCCATCATGACAAAGAAAGGCTACAAGAAGTCAGCGCGAGAGAGATTTATATCAAATTTGCAGCACAGCATCAGGCGAAGAGGAGAAGTCAGGATTCTTGAAGAACTGAACATCGCCGGTGATCAAGCCGCCCTGGGAACGGTTTTAGGAGTACTGAGGTATGTTTTCTCTCTAGTCGTACCAGTCGAGCCCAGCGACCAAGCAAATATGCTTAGGTCTAGTTCAATACGTGATGCGATCAGAGAGCACATCCGTCGTCGACTGTACTTATTTCCTACCGCTGTTACGGATTACGTGCCACCTATACCAGAAGTACGCGTCGAGGATATTCTTCAGCAATTGGTGGGGTTGAGACTTGATGAGTTCATTGGCCTGCACCGACGAGGTGAACTTTTGCAACGAAGAGGTAGTCCGCTCCGAAGCGCCCCGAGGGGTAAGAGAACCCAAAACAAATCTCCCCCAAATGATCAATATACCCCTTTCCGTAAATTCCGGGTAGATATGGAAAAGAGCGTTGGATCAACAGAGCATCTTCAGTCAGGAACATCTGCTGCGTTAGTACAGAGCAACCCAGTTGCACAGCATCAAGCAAATACGCCACAAGCTCCAACTACAGAACTGCCATATGGAATGCGGCTTCATCTACATCTTCAAAGTCAAAATCGAGAGGGAGACCCATTTCCATATTCGAAAGTCAAAGGCACAAAACGGTCCTCGGCGAAGCGGCAACGAAGCAAAAGTCCAGACGAGGCGTCGAAGCGAGCCAAGAAAGATAAGATTAATGAGGCCGCTCAACCTCCCAAAACTAAAGCTTCAACTACTGCAGCTGACCCAAATATAGATCCCGCTTTACAACCGGTTGCTAACGAGCAAGAGACACAGGAGCAAGCGCAACAGCAACCACAAGTACAACCCCAGCCGAAGACCCAGCAACAAAATGAAGAGGAGGACTTCGAAACATCAAAAGAGGAAAAGGAATACCTAAGACATTTGCATGAAATCCACAGAGGCCAGGAGATGCAAGCAGCACAGCCAACAGAGCAGCCAACAGAGCAGCCGACAGAGCAGCCGACATGGCAGCCGACATGGCAGCCATCAGCACAACCGGTAGAGCTTCCGACATGGCAACTAACAGGGCCAAGATGGCAGCCAGAAGTGCAGCCAACAGCACAGCCGACATGGCAGCCATCAGCACCACCAGTGGAGCTTCCGACATGGCGGCTAACAAACCTAAGATGGCAGCCAGAATTTCAGCCAACAGCACAGCGAGTAGCACAGCCGATACCACAGCCGATGCCACAGCCGATAGCTCAGCTGGCAGGACCGCTAACATGGCAACTAACAGGTCAGGCCGAAGAGGCCCCACAATACCCAACACAGCACCCTGCTAATACGCAAATGGGACTGGAACTCTCCACTGAAGAATTGGCCATGAGATATGAAGATATCGCACTTTTACAGCAAGCCATCGCTGCTGATCAAGCAGAAGTTGAAGGAGGTCCAACTTACAGAGCAAGTTTGGCGCCTGCGATACAAGAACAGACCGAGCAACAAGGTGAGTCCATGTATGTGGCGATGCATAATCCAAATGATGACATCATTGGTGAGCCCATGGATGAATCAATGAAGGACGCGGAGTATGAAGAAGAGTTCAGTGCCTTGATGAATGTTGACCAGATGGAGGAATAGATCGAACAAGAGGCTAAAATAGAAAAGTGAGCGCAACCGGTAGAGCGTACTTCATACTGCACAGTTCTGTATCATTAGATTCGTGATATTTCTTTTTTTAATAAACTTCTTTTGCATGGCTGTGGTGTATTGAATTCTGGTTACAAGTTAATGTGAGATAACAATTGTTTCAATTTCGAAAATTTTGAAATTTTGAAGCCGGCAATTGAACCTAGAGAATGCATTCGTAGGATATAGAAATAAGAGGAAATTTGCTCTCGCTCAACAACTGATTAGAGATCAATTGTCATAGGCCTGCTACTCTGTCTTGGCATGAGTTGTTGGTACGCTGTGTTTTGGTGAGCATATGGAGACTAAGCCACCTCGGTCTGATTTGGCTCTTCAGTCAAAATGACCCTTCCTTTGGTCTTTCTGCTATCACGAAGAACAAAGAATTGAATGATAATGACGCCAAATATTGCGGCAATGACCAGTCCAAAGGTTGCTGGAAATCCGTAACCTAGAAATTGAAATTAGCTATAAATTTAGGTTGAAGCATTCTGTCCTGGAAATAAAAAAACAATCAACTTACGGAAGCTGGGAGCCATCGTCTGTGGAAAAATCACAATGGGTAGCCAAGCAGCCACAGCGTACTGAAAACCGTTCATACTGCTAACGACAACTGCTCTTTCTTCGTTATTGTCGGCACATACTTCGTTAGCCCAAGTGTAACTAGCGGAGACCAGAGAAAGTCAGCAAATTTCAGACTTATCATAGTTGTGGTGTGTTGATATCTCCCAGATGATTCACTTACAACACGGCTGTCATAAGTTGAACGTTCGTCGTTAGGAATGCAAATTCTTTTAGGGGAACACTCGCAGGCCACGCGGCCAAAATACCGTTAGGAACAAGTCCGAGAATCTTGGGAACACAATATCTGTCAGCAATATTTCCAAACGCTCCAAAAATATGTTGATGTTGGGAGCACTCACAAGCGGTATAATAACGAAAGCAAATCTGCTCCCAGTATAATCTGAAAGGAAACCCCAGAGTACAACACAGGCCGCACCAATCAAAGAAGTTCCAGTTGGGATGATGTTTCGATCAACGACTGAGAAACCCTCAAATTTGAGCCAGATAGCAAAGTAGCTGCCGCTTCCACACGATGATCCGTATAACTGTAGGTTAAGTGCATTAGTCAAGCACTATCTTCTTCTTTCAAACGGGAAATACGTCGGGCACTTACCACATATCCAAAAACAAAAACGTACCACTTCCATGAGCTAAGAATTCTCTTGAATGTCGCTAAATTTATGTTCGCCGGTGCTGCTTTTCCCGCCTTCCGAACTCGCTCTTCAGCAAGGTTGCGTTCGCTCTTCGAGAGATACCACACACGCGTGGTAAATGGGGTATCAGGAAGCAAAAAGTAGGTTGCAATTCCGACAGGAATGGTCATGCACTGTAATTATGATAGTCAGCACATATAACATAGCATCAAAGTCTGTTGATTTAACTAACCCCGCAGACAATGTATAACCACCTCCATCCAGCCAGCCCATGGGCCCCATTGAGATTCTTATACACTGCAGCTTGTAGGTATCCACCAAAGGCAGAGCCCAATGGTGCTGTCATATGAAAAAGGGCAACCCTCTTTGCAAGCTCTGTTTTAGTATACCAACTTCCCAAGACATACAACAGTACAGGGAAAAATGAACTTTCAAAGAATCCGACGAGGAAGCGGAAAGCATAAAGCTCTCCGACATTTTGCATGCCAGCCTGCGCAAAAGTGAATATAGCCCAGCCAACTTCCATCGCTGCAAGCCATATACTAGGTCGAACACGTTGAATAATCAGAGTACTGGGGATCTGCATAGCAGCATAAGCGACCGTATACGCAGTCCCGGCGTATGTATACTCATTGCCGTACATCGATAGGGCTTCTTGTAAGCCTGACACATAAGCATTTGAAAGGTTGCCCTGGTCCAAATATTTCATGAAGAAACCCAGACAGCCAATGCTGAGAATGGCAGCATCTAGTTTGAGAAGTAGTCGGCGCTCTTCGGGTGACTTCAAGTGAGTATCTGTGTCCCAGATGAAGGATCGAAATGAGCGGCGTGGTAACTGAGAATTTGACTCTCCCTCGTGCTCGGGATTATATTCCAGCACCGCGCTGTTTTGATCAACTTTCTTGATCCCTGCCATAATGAATGACCACTCGATATTCAAGACTGCTTTTCCTAGCTGATATGGTTATGCTGATATACAAAAGCTACCCCTCAGACAATCCCTGCCTCATCACGACATGTTTACTGGATCACGTATCATCATCCGTGTTTGGCTATTTCCCCGCTGGTGCGATAATGGCGAAATATTTAACATGTAATCTTTGATCATTTGAAGTATCTATCATTGGTGCCAAGAGGAATACTTTGATTATGACCCCAAAAAGAGGAGATTGGGGTAGGCCAGTTTGAACCCAATGCATCCACAGCGTATTTCTTGATAGTCAGCTATTGCTGATTGGGAATATTTTAAAATAGACAAGGATTATTTAGTCCGACTGCTATGCAACAATCCATTTCCGGTATTAGATGAAGAAACCCCGATCGCTTTCACTTCAACGTTTCTTGAGCTCAACATACGCATCACTCTCTAGTCCTCTTGGGTACAGAAGTCCTCCCAGACTTTCTTGATATCGTGATTGTATATAAAATCCTTGTCTCCGTACAGGAAACTATCGATTTTGTGTTGCAAAATTGAATCAAAATCTTTGGTTTCCTCTTGGAATCTCTGTGTTCTGCTTTTGCTTTCGTCCAGGTGTTGATACCTTTGAGGAAGAGTGGTGGTTAGATTCGATATGGGACTACACGGTGCAGAACTCACATTTTATTGTAGTAAGGAGAGCGAATAGATTCAAATATCTCAAGAGCGTCACGCTCGGGATGGGAAGTGAAACGTGTTCGTTCTAGTGCGCGAGCGAGAATCCAGCCGTCCTCCATAGCAAATGTCGCCCCAGAGCCAAAGGCGCCTGTGAACGCGTGAGCAAAAGCTTACTGGGAGGTCAATCTTGGGATATTTTGAACCTACCAGACAAAGGATGACTGGCATCTCCGATCAGGACAACCTTATCCCATCCTGTGATCTTTTCCAACCGGGGTCCAGCGAACGTTGCAAATTCTCTCCACTCGCCTTCGGCTACCATATCGACAGCATCTCTTATTCTTTGGTCAAAGCCCTGTTTTGAGAGGTCAACAAATGTGACGCAGTGGTGAGGTGTAGAGCAATGGTTTCCCTCACCTGAACACGAGATGCCACTTTCTCGTTAGAAGCGGGAATACCCCAAGGGACCGTCTCGCCTGGGACCTCAGTCTCACGATATGACCGTATGGTGATTTCAAAAAGCGGGTTCTCCTGTTCAGTTTCGTCATCTACATCCGAAAGGTAAACATGACCAGCTTCTCCCCACCACCATGAGGTTGTGGAAGTGATATCTGGGATCTGAGATAGGCGCGACCTAGGAACCAGAACACGAAATGCAGAATTCCCCGTGAATGAAAGCTGATGGTTCGGGAAGAGGCTTTTCCGAACGATCTAGATTTTTTGAGCCAGCTTGTCAGTTACTTGAGCAAAGTGAAAAAAGAAGCCATTTCACAAACAGAGTGTATTCCGTCAGCTCCAACTACAATATCCGCGATGGTTTCTGTAAGGTCTGAAAAAGCAATCCGTACTCCTTGTCCGGGCAGATTCTCCAGTGACACAAGCTTCTTGCTGTATTGAATAATTCCATCTGGCACCTTCGCTATCAGGGCCGACTGTAGTCGGGTCCTGCGAGCACGGATAGCTCCACGGGAGTCTGCGGCTGAATTTTCCGGCTGTTTGATGACGCTAAGAATTTTCCCTGTATATGCATTCCTGGTAGTATTTCAAGATATGAGATTGGTTCCCTCAATAATTGCAAAATTGACACTCACCTTTGGTGAGTGTTTGATTTGGACCCCCCTTGACCATCTCACTGGCCCCTAGTAAATCAAGCACCCTCCATGCATTTGTGCTCAGACTCAGTCCAGCACCAGCTTCTCTTGGCTCTGGGTTCTTCTCATAGAGAGTTACCTGTAGGAACGGCAGCTGCGACAGAGCAATGGCGGTTCCAAGTCCCCCTGGGCCTCCACCAATTATAGCAACTGAGGTTATCTCTTTACCACCCATTTTTGAAATATACTCTATAATGCCGGCAGTTTCCTAGGATTTGCTTTATAAAAGTGGGAACAAGAGGTTTATAAGAAATGGCTGAGACAAACCAGCTGAGCACATCGCACGCCATACTAACCTCCGAATGAGCCATGCGCTACTAACGCCTTCTAAAGATTCTTGAATTGATTGGCTATGAGGGCTGGTTATCGCAGCGGAAACATGCAATACTTGCTGTTTTCCCACCATAACGTTATATTCTCATTGCAAAACGTAAATTCCGGAAATGGAGTTAGACTGCAAATATTGCCATGTCTCGAGAATCTCACCAGCTATACAGAAAATCACCAGTAAAGCACGGTGTTTTCAGCTAAAACATGATCTTTATGATTGCCATCAATCCAAAAAAGATTTGTATTCTGGTCTCACTCTTAAAAGGCGCCGCGACTATTTAAAACTTCGTTCCACTATTCACTGTGCTTATTCACAGAAAGATTGAAACACTGAATTGTCAGTCTCTGCATGACAGAAACTTGGGGCTAGCTTTTATCAGAAGTCATCTCCTTTCCATTCGAACAAGACCTTTGCCAATCGCTCAAATATTTCGGAAGCAAAGTCTCAAGGCCCGGGCACTCCAAAGACATCGGGGCTGCAGAGGTCAATAAAGCGCGTCGCAAATTCGCGGTTCCCCATATCGGCGTGTCTTTTTGTGCCTCCCATCGTGTCAAACAGTTGACTACTTGTTCTTCCAAAAATGGAATCAAGGGGTACAAAGCGCTATGTCTATCGTGTTGAGAGAGACGACTAACCCACTCTGAGAATGAAACACCTTGCATCGGAGATGAAGGAATCAAGCTGTTGAGAAGTTTAAGCGTATCTGAGACATCCAGTGTCTTGTCGCATCTTGGATGGGTTAGGTTGTATGCATGTCCATGATTGGCTTCTGATATGGCAGTGGATAGCAACGAGGAGACCACAAAGTCTACCGACACAAAGCCTTCATGAACTCCCACTAGGAGTGGAAACTGGCCCATCTGTATCGATGTAGACGCGACTCGCCCAAAAAGGTCATTGGGATTTGTTGTACCTTTCTTTGAATGCCCTAACACAGTTGTTGGGCGATAGATGCTGACCGGAAAGCCCTTTTCAATGGCACCCCACACGATTGATTCGGCAACAAATTTGCTTTGAGCATAGCCTGTATCAAGGAGTATCGCATCAATGTGAGATTTTGGCTTCTCATCCTCTGCCACAAAGTCTCTGCCAGTCAGAAAACCGGTCGGCCCATACACACTAATACTGGAAGTATAGTGAACACCCTTGAGACGTCCAGAATTCGCAAATTGGAGAACATGGATTGTTCCAAGGACGTTTGAAGCACGATGTAGCCGATAAGGCTGTACGTAATGAACGTGGGCTCCGAGATGAAATATGACACTTCCCCAGACTGCAAGCCTGTCGTATTCCAGCGTGCCCAAGCCCAGGTCCGGGGTAGCGAAATCGGCCGGCGAGGCTAAGATCTTGATCTTTTGCTGGCTATTGAGTCGAATGCGATACTTTTCCAAAGTCTCCATTATTCGGGACAAGGCTGTAATATGGTCACTCGCACGAACAAGGCACACAACACTCCTCACGTAAGGACGGGCAACAAGTTCCGCCAGCATAAAAATTCCCAGGAATCCAGTTGCGCCTGTCAAAATCACATTTCCTTCAGATTCAGATGTCCAGTCGGGAACTATGCCTGGTATGGGCTTGATGTTGTTGCCGAGTTGAATGTCCTGTAACAAGGTCTCCCGTTCAGCATTCCCATGCGTGACTCCGTTTTGCTGACCATCAATTAAGCTCGCCATTTCAAGCAAGGTAGGATGGTCAAATAGTGATTTCATGGTCAATTTGGTTCCCATGAAGGATCGAATCTTCGAAAAAAGACCGGCAGCCTGTAGGGAGGTGCCACCCAATCCGAAGAAATCATCATCTCGGCGGAGAGTTCGAATGGGAAGTCCTAGTAGATCCAACCAGATAAATTGTAGCTGACGCTCTGTAATTGTCAAATCCACTGCTGTGTGATGGATACGACTTAGACGGGTGGACTCAATCAAAGTTCGATATTTAACAGCAAGCTCTTTTCGATCAGCCTTACAACTGCTGGTAAGGGAAATATTTGATGAAAGAACAAGACGGGGGACCATGGCGTTTGGTGCCTTTCTTGAAAATTCATCCCGGATGGATTGAGTATCGCATTCTTGCGATGCGGGTACCACATACGCCAACAAAAAAGTCCCGCCCTGAGACTCTTCCATTTCCATTTTCAGTGCCACGGCAGAGTTGACAAGCTTGGTTTCCACAAGTAGTAGCTCGACTGACTCCAGCTCTACTCGGTGGCCGTGAATCTTGACTTGATTGTCCATCCGACCAATATACTCGAACAAGCCTTCATGATTGATTCGAGCAAAGTCGCCAGTGCGATATAAACGACCAGTACCTCGTGGATGATCGACTTTGAGGCTTTGGCTGATTACAAAGGATTCTGCTGTCTTTTCAGGGTCTTTTGGGTATCCTCTTGAGACCCCAATTCCCCCAATCACCAACTCACCCACCTCGCCCTGCTGCACTTGATGCAAATCTTTGTCCACAACATGAATCGCGTAATTGTGGAACGGTTTGCCGATTGGGATAATACCAGATCCAGCTTCACACTCGCGCACCTGATGAAACATCGCGAAGCACGAAGCTTCAGTCGGGCCATACACGTTGAATATTCTCCTGGGTGGGCCATTTGCAAAGATTCTGCGAATGACATGAGGGTTGATTGCCTCACCTCCAGTCAATAGACAATCCATGTCAGCGTATGCGTCCGGGCATACATGGGTGATAGTCGCTAAAAGGCTTGTAGTTTGCCACATCACGTCGACATGCAAATCCCGCAGTTTCTCACGGAATGCTTCGGGGTTTAGCATGACCTGCTTGTCAAATATCACGAGGGTACCGCCCTGAAGGATTGACCCGTATATTTCCCATAAGGAAACATCGAAAGTAATTGCAGAAGCATGGCCAACACGGCTATATCCTCTACCAATTGGCTGAAAGGCTGCATTGTTGGAGATGTTGATGATGCCAGCAGCCAGAACCTCTACGGCCTTCGGCTTTCCTGTTGACCCCGAGGTGTGCAGTATGTGCGAACAGCAATGCTCAAGGTTGTTCGAGACTGTGAAATCGTCCCACTCTTCACACTGCTCTGACATATGGTCTATTGGAATGCATTGAAAGCTTTTCAATCGGCGGCAATTGTTCTTGTCTGCTAGGATAAGTGAACACTCAAGACTCAGAAGCATATCCTCCAAGTGGGAGTCTGGTTTCTCAATATCAAGTGGTACACATGATCCCCCGGCATATATGATTCCAACCTGTGCCACAACTTGATTGATGCCTTGCGAAGCTAATATCCCAATTGGCTCCTCGCAGCGGATATAATGTGCCTGAATGCGGTGATGAAGATACTGAGCTTTTCGGTGAAGACCAGTATAGGTGACTTTCTCTAGACCATGTTCGAGTGCGACGTTATCGCTATAGATTTGTGTATTTGTCTGGATGAGTCTCGCCAAGCCGTGTTGAAATTGCCCATCAAATTCGCCTTCATCAAGTGAACTTTCCAAAGATGGCGACATGATGAATGATTATCGGAAATGAAGATATGAAAAGGTGTTTCGTTCCTTGGTTTAAGACTATCAGATGATGCGTTCAGTCCACGTCCAAGACTAATAGAATTGTATAACCGCGCCAATGAAGATGCAAATTGCTACATCGCTGGGTGCATCTTTCAACTCCTTCTTATATCTTGTTTGGGTATATTACCAAGCCAATAAGAACGAAATTCCGTATTCCAGTTCTTGATTTCATCACAATTTTTTCAACAAGCACAAGATCATGTGGACCCTTCATTCGGAACTATGTCACCAATATTCTTAAGGTCAAATTGCATACCCGAAGCTCTTGCTCATCGCTGACTACGCCTAGAGCTCGTAGAATTTTAATTAGAAAAACGAAAATTACGGTGCAGGAGGTTTTTAATTCTTTTCGAAATGTCGCTGATGATCTCGTAGCTTCGGAATACGGAATGCCGTGAAACTTTATAATTTCATCCAATTGACAACAAATATTGGCTCTCGTTGGCGCAATTAAACATCGCACTACATGAAACGCCCGGTCTATCTAATAAAACATAGAGTAACGTGGGCTATGGTTAATTGTCAATCTCGACATGTAAGGTACTTCCCTTGGTCTGACAGTACATTTCACTCTACGTGCATCGCAGTAATCTTAGTTCTTCAAGTTTTATTATAGCAGGATACATTGAGAATAATTCAATATAAAGCGTAATAGTCACTCTTTTGCTCACTCATCAGGTGGCAGGTAGGCCTTGTATACGCATCGTGATATGCAGTGTAGCGTGAGGTCGTGAGTCAACGTTGCTTCACAATATCGTACAAACGTAATGGTATTGTTACACATTAATAGAAAAAGTATAATTTCTTGTTTATTTAAGATCACTCAGAAAGGAATCGATCTTACGATGTTCGGAATCTAAGCCACACGCGCAAAAAGAACGACCTTTACGACAATCATCATGACTCCTGTCAATCTATTGGACTACCTTCGGTCTCGAACCCAGGTGGATATCGATACTTATGATATTGAAGGTAATCTCCCTGCGAATATGAAGTAGTGATCGAGAGACTGAAGGTGAAATTAGTGTCCAAGGAAATCGGACCATGTCACGATGCCACTGGCAACCAGGTTTGATCTTCTATGAAAAAACTCCAGTTTTTGTTAAAATGCCAATTAAGAAGGTAGTTCGAGGTATACGCAGAGATTGCGAAGCCAAACCGAAAAGCAGTGCTGAATAAGTCGATCGCATTGGCGATTGCGATTCACCACCAATTGGCTACTATCACACTTGTGGAACTTGCTGTGGAGATAGCAGTGAGTCGCTTTACGTCTCTCACACACACTTTCATGAACTAATGGGCAATTTGGGGGGTTTTACTTGCCCTTGAAGTGATTCAGACCGTTCATGGGGATGTCCATGTTATGGTAAACCCAAATTACTCTTACAATACTCGCGATATTGTTCTCAACGCTCAAAGTAACGCAAACTTCATTTCTCAGCGAACTACCTATAAGTTTCGGTACTGAATACAGATTTAGGATTCCATCGCATCTGCCAAATCGCCGAGCCATCATTTGATACGACGCGCCTCGTTACTAAGATACCCGCAACATGGGAAGGAATGCAAGCTGCACGTCAGCTTCAAAGATATGGAATTAAATCACTTGCCACGACTCTGTTTTCGATGGAGCAAGCAATTTTAGCTGGGGAGGCAGGCTGCATTTCAATTTCGCCGTTTCTTCATGAACTAAAAATTCAAATGGTTCCAGGGTGAGTTCAGAACTTGACAGCGATCAAGTGATATTTTTAACGGTCAATAGGTATTTAGACAAGAACCCCATCTTTGACGTCTGCGTGAAAGCACAGAAATTTTATCGAGACAACAATTTGCCCACTAGAGTCAAGGCTTGCGCGACATTGGGGCTTGATGAGCTACTCATGCTTGCTGGAGTCGATGCGTTGACTATTATGCCAGACGATTTGAAGGCTTTGTCTGAATGTGAAAGGGATGAGACGGAGTTGAATAATATCAATCTATTTGTTAACTCAGAAAAGACCCAGGATTTGGTCAACTATCCTTCCTTTATCGATTCAGAGAAGGACTACCGAGTGAGTTTTGCATATAGTGATGAGGGACAAGCACAATTCAAAACGGCGCAGGTATGTAACAAATTTCGCTATATTTGGGGATAAAGCTTAGGTAACAATCAATCACACAGGCGATTGCCTTCTTCTGTGAAGTTCAAACCAAGGCAGAATTTTTAATCAAGAGTCAGGTTGAGCATATTATCTGATGCAAGATACGACTTGTGATTGACTTGGTGTATCGATCCTATTTGCTTCTTCTACAAGCTAATATTTCTATCAACCTTTTTTTGCATTAAAGGCTGACACTATGAGTTTCAATTTAGCTAATTCATTTGTTGATCTTGGGGAATTCAGAGTGGTATCTTGTTGACAAGAAATAAATCATTGAGTCTACGCGCTTCAATAAGGTTGTTCAAGACATAAATTAATCCCATGGTTCAATGCTAGGGCTTGAATACCTCTGATATTAATTACAATTCACTCTAGCAACTGAAAAGTACCAACATATTACACATTAACTTATGCTCTAAAGCTACATGAACCCTAATATCAAAAAAGAATAAGCCTACTCAACCCAAAAATAAATGGTCTATTTATAGCCGCAAAGTCTCGGGATCCAACAAATAGTTCATCAATTCGTAGATGATGGCTGAAACTGACAAACGTCGTATCTTGTACTAAATCCACCGTACCACATCTTTGAACACATGAAAGATTGAAATGTTGACGGTCTAGTTTCACTGCTTGGACCTTCTAACACCTATGTAGCACAGTTAACTAGCAAGATCGAGGTTTATCCGTACGGGATACTGGTCTAGCTCCTCTAATGAAGATATCAACTGCAAGTACTGTATCAATGTGCTCTGGAGCAAGCAAGTTGGGCCAGCTCCAGGTTTGGCAATATAGAGCCTTCTTTATTTTAGTTGCTTCTCGAGGCATATCCAGTTCCTTTCCAGAATTAAACCCCTTTGGACTCAGAAATTGACATTCTAACGGTTAGAAAATACGAGTGAGATATCTTAGTGATGTATTAGCAATATAGATGCGGACAGTTGCCCAAATCTATGGCCGTAGATCAAGTCCCGAGATATACCGTAACACAAAATTCCGACACTAGTAATGAGAAGCTTTAGGTATTCGTGGTTTTGCATCACATCATGTTCTGCCACTTCTGGTTATATACTCAAGCTAATTCAAATTCGCTGAAATCTTTCCGCTTCGCCTATAACAGTCTATCATATATGCCCACACACTTATCATGCTTTTTCGGTGCTTTGAATAATACGATACTACTTCTATTTTCAACTGAATTAGGTTTTCTCTGCGACTATCTCAACAAGTTCATGGCACAACAGCTAGCAGAGAATACCTTACTAGGGAGAAAATGGATATTATCACACCTCCAGAGTCTTTGTCATCTGATTTCTTCTGTACGGATTCCAACTCTGCGTGTGTTTCTAACAACATTACCATCGAGAGTGACGATTGGAGGAAGTTGTCCTCGCCGGCGGACAGAAAAAGAGTGCAGAATCGACTTTCGCAGCGCAAGTACAGTTGAGTATTGGCGTCTTTGATCTGTGAAATATCTTCGTTTACTGACATGCGCCTCGGCCAGGAAAAAGTTCTCGCGTGTCTGGGGCGAAAGAGCAAACACAAAGACCAGGATCGGAAGGTACTGCACTCGGTGACAGCGAAATAAGCTTGACAGGCACAGCTGTGAATCTCGAGCAAGAAAGCTGCTTGCTATTTGACAAGGCCCTCGATACCGCACCAGGGCTTGGTGGTGTGTCTTTTCCCGGCGTCGATTATACGGGACCTCCCCTTTTCATCTCCGCCCCTTTCATTCAGGATGATCTTAGTCTATTTCCCTCAACTCAGCCCAGCTCGAGCAAGAATAGCTGGTTAGAGCGTGAGGTACGATGAACATTCTCAAGCATTCTTTTCCTCTGGCTTCGTGTCAATGAGATACACCAGACTCATCAGATATCCGCTTACTTTGATCCTTTCCGACCAGGCAGATTCACTACCAAAATCACTGGGTATGGATAGCAGAGAACTTTGCTCCCGTGTAGTGGATGAGAGTCGGATCGGGAATACCCCGTTGCACGAAGCTATCGTGCACCACCATATAGCCATTGCCGCTACCCTGATCCAGCGAGGAGCAGATATAAATGTGGTCAATAGCTCGGGAAAAACACCATTGCACGTCGCCTCTGACCTGGGGCATGATTCAATTGTGAGACTGCTTCTCAACAAAGGCGCAAATATCAACTCCAAGTGTTTTCGTGGATGGACCGCTCTTCATGTGGCCGTTTCAAGTGGAAGGCATGAGGTCACTGTCACCCTGCTAGATCATGGGGCATCTATCAATGAGGCTAGTGGATAGCTCTGTAAGTGGATTCTGTCGGGCACGCTAGTTGTGATCACGGCTGGCTCCGAATACCAAAGCAGGCCGATTTAGTAGCTTGTTTGAATGAGAGGAAATCCATTGTGGCGTGTGAAAGGAGAAATAGGCTTTTTGACGAGCACTCTGTACTTGGCGTAACCATATTTTCCATCATACTTTATTCCAATCAGACTTCGGTTCAAATTTGACAGTTGGAATGGAGTGTGCTATGTAAATCCTTGGAGAAGAAATGCCGAGTGTCCTTATATTGCGGTTCAAAGCTGGACAACATTCTTTTATAGCATCAATAGAAGTAACACAGCAGGTTTAAAATGTATATTTATCTATGAGACAAGGCATTATGCTCAGTCAGATGTATGGGAAACGTCACTTGGCTGGCTTATTTACCCTTTTGGGAAACCGAGGCAGCTCAGTCCATACATTAACTTACCAGATCATAGCTTTGAAACTTTCCAACTTTTATAAGGAAGTCTTATTACCGTTTCCATTACAATTCAGCTCCATCAAAGCAGACTAAACTGCCGTATCCAGTTGAATCATAAGTTAAATCAATCTGTTGAGTCGTCCGTTGCAGTATTATCCCTTTCAGATACCACTAGAAGTCCAACACAGTCAAAATATACCTAATACATTTTGATAGAAGTAAGTTTGGTATTTCACTGAGAAAGAATGACATTCTGAAGATCCAAGGCCAGTAGAGAGTGCACCGCAGAAGCGGGATGATATGAATCCCACCATAAACACCCATCCCCAATGCAAGTGGTATCAGCACAAAACCCATAGTCAGTCGGATGATCAAGTATTTCGGTGAAGAATGACCATGAGTCGTATAGTAAGGCCGACGACTATCGAGAAGTATCAGTTCAGCGTTCTGTTGATCGGGACGTTAAGTCGAGTTAGGCTTTAACTTACATTTGAGAACCGTCGCTCAAACTTCCTTATTTCAAGATCTAGTCTGGTGTTGAATTTCTCTACCATGACTCGATGGGCTTCTCGGTGCCACTCGTCCCTTTCCAAGTACGCTGGTGTGCGACTCACGGGGGGAACGTTGATCAGTAAAAACCGACGGGCTCCACAATTGTACATAGTCTCAGCCAATTGCAGATGTCTCTGGAATAGATAATTTAGAGCTTCATCAGTATCATCTCGCTGGTAGGACTGTTCTATACTATTGAAGAATCAGGATTAGCAGTTGGCAGATGGAGGCTAACTTGCACGGCAAACATACTCATTGATTCCGATCCAAATAGCGAAAAGAGTATCTCCTGATTCCCATTCTTGTGGGCTATTGCTGGTCTTGCAGTATTGGTCGCAGAAATTAGTCTCGACTTGATATACAAGGTCATGTGGCACTGCGGACACAATATTGTTGTCGATCGAAGCGCCATATACAGCCATATCATAAGCCAGCAGCAAACTCGTATTGTATGCAGCTGTGGTATAGCCGACCCAATTGAGACCTCCGGCTGAAGTGCCCTGACCCAGTAGTGGATTGCCCAAAGGGTTGGACGGTGATGGCTGAGGTCCAGATGTATTGAAGCCAGTGCTTGTATATGAGTCGCCGCTGTATGTTCAATTTTCCCCAGTCAGTACATTACTATCCACGTTACACACGGGGTCTCAGGAGTTCGTGACGGACAATGTAAATAAGTTCTTAATGCCGACATGCGGTTGCGTCAACACGGCTTGAGCCGCAAGGCCAACAAAGGGTCGCATGGTGAAGCTGCAAATGCTAACTGATAGAGGAAATAAATCTCCATGAGGATTGTAGAGTCAGCACACCAAAATGAGGGAAATAGGGGGGTGTTCGTTATGCTTTTCTCAGCCCTGAGTCTATTCGTCAATTTGTGTCACCCCTAGCTTCATGCATTCAATAGTCATGAACAGAATCAGCCAAGGGGGCCACCATGGGGAATTTGAGAATCATTGAACTATTCTTTGTGGTTTATCAGACCAACCCAGCTGCAAGTTGCTTTGAACTCGTTTCAAGTCCGACGAGCATCGAGTCAGCTAACGTAAATAAGAGTTTCTGCCTGAGGCATGAACATATCCCTGCGTGGAGCAAAACAAAGACAAGAATATTTTTAGAACACCAAAGAATCATAGAGGAGTATATGATCATTCATTATTCGATCATTCTATTCTTGAGCATCGCTCGTAGCATATTTTCCACAGACAGCTACAGCCTTTCGAAATGGATTATCCGGATCTAGCATCTCCTCTTCTGGCGTGGGAATGGTCTTGATCACTCGAGCTGGAGTTCCCACTACCACACAGTAAGGTGGTATATCCTTCGTGACTGTCGAGCCTGCTCCCACTGTCGACCCTTTCCCAATCGTGACTCCGTGCATAATAATGACATTTGCACCCAGCCATACATCATCCTCGATATAGACAGGAAGCCCAAATTCAAGAAACTTCTGCCGGGACAAAACACTTGTCTCATGGCCAGCAGATAGAATACTAACATTGGAAGCTATCTGAACACCATTACCGATGACAACGATGCTAGTATCCAGAATCGTGCAACTGTGGACTGTTAGTGCACGCACGGAAAAGGATCAAGAATGGGCTTTACTTGAAATTGATAAAGGTGTTCTCTCCAATAGAAACATTGCATCCGTAATCAGGCATGAATGGAGACTCAACAACCGTTCCATCTCCAACTTTTCCAACGAATTTCCGCAACTCTTGCAGTCGCTGATCAAGGGCTTCTTGCGGTGACAGCGTTGCCAGGTCCATGTTATTATACGCTCGAGTGAATTTCCGGCAGCGCAAACGGGCTTGGACTAGTACGGTATCCATGGGATAATAGAGCATCCCGGACACCATTTGATCGTATAAATCATAGTCAAGGATACCAGTCCACCCTTTGATGGTCTGAAGTATTTCAGGGCTTTTTTGGGAGGCTGATGTTTGCTTGGTCATCTCGATATAGTGTACCTGGGAGACTGAAACTGAGAGTATACTGTGCATGGAGAACGTAAGAGGGGAAGGCGTTCGAAATATGCGGTTACAACAGCTTGATGGCAATCTGGCGAGAGATTCTGACTTTCCAGAATGTTCATCAACAAGTACAATCATGCATCTCGCTCTGTCTCCATGGGCTCTACGCGGCAGGATACCGTTTGCATCATTGAATTACAGTGGCCACTGATGATTGAGATTACATTGTTATCTAGCGTTGTACGACAGGTCATATTCTGCGAAGATTATTGTACCTCCGTCTGCATATTTCTGCACGATAATAATTGCGCAGAATTCCGTATGTACAACGACTGCATATTGTCAAACCACTTCAAGTGTAAGTGACACCATGAAACATCGGAAAGGAGTTGCACTGACTTGGGTGTTTCTGTGACAGATTTCATGCAACGAAAACAAGGATATTGCATAGTGACATAAATCCCAGTATCTAGTGAAGAACTAGGTATCAGAGCTCCAACATATGACAGCTTTGAGCATAAGTTTTTAGTGAGACGATTTGATATTTGTTCTCAAGCCATCATTGCCCAAAAGCATACATTGTATAGCCAATCAATCAACTCAACTCTGCAAAATGGGATCTCTCAATATTGACAGGCACATTATCAAGCTTCCAGTGACGCCGATAGTTGTCGATGAGAGGGTTGATGTTCAAAAGATCACCCAAACCTGGCTTACAGATCTTGAAGCTCTCCTTTTGAACAATCACTGGTCTTCTTTAAAAACTTTATTTCATGATGAATCTTGGTGGCGAGACATGTTGGCAATGGATTGGGAATTCCACACTCTGAAGGGTGAAGACAAGATTCAAACGTTTCTCAGTGTACATCAAAAGCGATCCCAACTTCATTGTCTACGACTTGTGGAAAAAGGTTCAATCAAGCCCAGACTCGAGACACCTGTTGAAAGCATGACATGGATAACCGCCATGTTCTCGTTCCAATCACAGGCTGGACGAGGTCGAGGTGTCATTTATCTGACTCCAGAAGCTGTCAATCCACAAATATGGAAGGCTTATGCGGTCTATACCAGTCTACAAGAGCTTAAGGGTCATGAAGAGAGAATCGGGCCCAAAAGAGAGATAGGGACAATGGAGACCATGCCTGGGGGTGTCAAAGGAGGAACATGGCGAGAGCGCCGACAAAAGGCGATCGAGGTTCAGAATGGCGAAATGACTGTCTTGATCATTGGAGCAGGTTAGTAGAAACCAGATTTACATTGCCAGTCAGTCTAACAAGACCAGGACAGGCCGGATTGAACTTGGGTGCGCGTCTGAGGTCGGTTGGGATCTCTTGTTTGCTTGTTGAAAAGAACGAGCGCGTCGGAGACAACTGGAGAAATCGATATCGAGTATGGCATGCATTTTCTGTCTTATTTCAAGCTCCCATGAAAATCGAGTTAATTAATCTGTCAGACTTTAACGACCCATGATCATGCCGAGACCGCACATATGGCCTACCTTCCTTTCCCCAAGACTTGGCCAATGTATACGTCTAAAGATAAACTTGGGGATTGGCTCGAATGCTATGCGAACATCATGGAGCTCGATATATGGCTTAACGTGAAGGTTTTAGGTGCCGTATATGACGATGTGAAGAGCCAGTGGACTGTAAACATCGACTCGAATGGTCTCACGAGGGAGCTCCATCCACGACATGTGGTTTGGTGTGCTGGTCACATAGCTCTACCCAGTGTTCCCCTTTTCTCTGGTATGAATCAGTTCCAAGGACAGATCTACCATAGCAGTCAGCATCAGGATGCTGGTGCCTTGAACTGCCAGGGTAAGAAGGTGATTGTTGTTGGCACAGGTAACAGTGGGCATGATATCGCACAAGACTTCTATAACCACGGGGCAGAGGTGACCATGCTCCAAAGAAGTGGCACCTACGTGATAACCGAGGCAAGGGGGCTCCCCTTTCTACCAGAAAACTTGGGCATTGATTGCGAAGACCAGTATGTCACCAGCATAGTTCCTCATTTCCAACTTGTCGGTGGAAATGAATCTAACGCGGCAGATAGGCCTTCCATGGAGGACGCAGATGTTCTATCAGAGAGCTTACCATGGCCCGTCAATTTTGCTCTGGGTGTCTCTCTCACGAAACAGATCTCCCAAGCTGATAAAGAAACTCTTGATGGTTTGGAAAAGGCAGGATTCAAGTTGGAGTTTGGGACAGGCAATTCCGGCTTATTCCAATTGCTGGTTACTCGCGGTGGTGGATACTATATAGACTTTGGATGCAGCCAGCTTATCATTGACGGCAAGATCAAGGTCAAGTACTCACCTGGGGGTATAGCAGAATTCAACAGGACAGGTCTTTTTTTAAGTGATGGCACCGAACTTGAGGCCGAGATTGTGGTTCTCGCCACAGGCTATGATAATATGAGGGATTCGGTCCGCACATTGCTAGGCGACAAAATTGCAGATCGTTGCAAGGACGTCTGGGATTTGGACAGCGAAGGAGAGATAAACGCTGTAAGTTTATTCAATCTCATTATGATAGGCATTCTAATTGATTGTTTCATAGATATGGCGTCCTAGCGGTCATCCTCACTTCTGGTTCATGGGTGGAAGTTTGTCGCTGTGCCGAATCTACTCGAAATTCGTAGCCTTACAACTTCAGGCTACTGAGCAAGGACTGATATTCTGACTCTCAACGTCAGGGGCTGATATGGAGAAATGAGAACTGAGATACATTTGCATTTTGGCTAAATTAGAGGTCATCAGTGAACATGTGTGAAGCATTCTCTAGGAGCTCAACTGTTGAGTACTGATAATCAAACCTGACCATTCTTTTCTGCTGACTCCAGCAATTCTTCAATGGTCATTAAATGCAACTCAGAAAAGAACTTCTCACGTTGACGTTCAGCCTTTTGTCTTGGACAAGCTGTGGCCCCAGTAATCGTCCACAGTTCAGCTTCCACCACGAGCAACTCCTTTTCAGGAAGATTGCGTTGGAGATCGTTGTTGATATCATTGATAGAACGATAACTTCTCGTCAAGGGACGACCTATGTTATATCAGTCAAAAATCTTACTTTGGTCAATATTGACTCACCATAAAATTTCTCTAGCAATTCGGCAGCCCAGTTGAACGTTCCGGATGTCCCTGCGACGTACGTGACGGGCTCCTAGTATTATCATATTTAGTTCCTGTTTAGAAATATCTTGATTTTCTTACCCATTCATCGGCAGCCAACAGTTCAGCGACGGCTTTGGCAACGTCTCGGCCACAAGTCCAGGACTGTGGCTCATCACCGGTGCCACGAACGCAGTAATGCCAATCAATGGGATTGATTGGAAACTCCCCCGGGAGATATTTCATGTATGACTTTTCTTCGGAGACAAAGTACTCCATGAACCATCCCTGATTGAAAAGAGTCCACTGAATACCGCGGGTTTTTCGCAGGATCTCCCGAAATGGTGCCCGTGTCTTTCCATATGCAGGAGGAATGTCTGGGAATTCTTCGATATTACCCGCCCATTCTGAGGGAATGAATCGCTTGCAGTCGTTGGATCTCAGACAGGCGTTGAGAATATTATTGTGTAAACTCAGGTAGTCTTCATCGGGGCATTGGATCAAAGATATCAGAGCTGTGGCACCCGTTTCGTTCAGTATACTGACTACCGAATCTTCGGAATAGTCAGTCGTGCATGTCTTTACTTTTGAAGATATGAACCGATTTTTCTGTATATTGAAATGTTTAGGTTTGAGCTCAAAAGTCAGACCTAGTGATTCTATCTTCTTACCTGTCGAGTCAAAACTATGACCGAGTATCGAACGTCCTGTGAGAGCTCATCACAGAAATATCGACCAAGGTCACCGACTCCGGCAAGGGCGATCGTCTGAGGCTTCATTGTAGTATGCAGAATGGAGAGGATAATTAGGTTGAATGATTATAAGTTTGAAGGGCTGGCAGGACTTGAATTTATTCAATGGCCTTGCCTCTCCAAGAATTAGGTTACAGGTGATACGCTGACACTGCATCGGCATCATTCTAAGGAATGTCAAGTCAGAAGTGCAAGGGACTCTTCGGAACCCTGCCTATTTGTCTACATTGAGATGTTGGGCCCTTTGATTGATCTCTTTTTGGGAACTATTGAGGATGACTGGAAGGATATGTCATCAAGGAATCATAATGACATTAAATTCTGCACATTTAATGGATATGGACTCCTAATAAAAGCATACCGGGGCCAAGCTGGTTCCTTTTTAGGTCCATGTATAGACCCATTTCTGACCTCCACATTGTCATACAATTTATTATAAACGGCTGGAAGTCCTATTCAGTAGATATTGTGCCTCGGATTGAGGCATACCTCAATCGAGAGATTTACCCTATAGATACGAAAATGTGCAGTAAAGAAGGCACGAGAGGGCTGACCTGCGCCTTCTTCGGAATCAACCCAAAAGCAAAGGACAATAGTCACAGCAAACCTCATTTCTTCAGTAATTGTTCAGCCATGTTTTTTTCTATTTGTCCTCGTCTTTATAGACGAGCTATCTCTCCGTCCGATTTTGACCAGCCTAGAGAAAATGAGCAAATCCCAGGCACGCAAGGCAAGGCTCCCATGTCTGGATCGGGCGAGTCCTGTCTGACATCAAAATATCACAGAGCGTACGGGAACGAGCCCAGTTCATCTCCAAGAGCCGAATCGTATATCTTCAAGCTTTTCGCACAGGCTCCGGCGTCGATTTTCGAGAGAATCGAGGCATTCTTTGGAACACCGTTCCATTTTCCCGTTCGGCATAAGGCCAAAGCCAAGTACATCCAAAGCCAGCACCGAGTTGTCAGCACTTGGAGACATTGGAAGCAGTCTCATGAGTGCACGGGGGTACGACAGCGATGCTCAGTGTATCGGAACTCCGCAACATCTCAGTCCTTTGAATGCATCACCTATTAATCCAACCTTCCGCAGGATGGGGTTAAATGACATTATAGAGCGAAGTCGTGAGCGAGAGGACTCGGAGCTTTGGGCTGAAAATGGGGTTCAGACTCATGCAAATGGTCGTGAACCTCCTTTTGGAATGCATTTTGTACCCACTCCCCCGGGAAGTTTGAGAGGACGACCACGAGTCACTCGTGCGAAGCCTGCAACTGCAACGAGTAGTCAATCTGTGCCGTCGCTTGGAGATAGCCGATCGGGTCAGCAAAACAGCTTTACCAAATCGCTTCCGAGCCTCCATCCTAGCCAAGAGATTGTGCCAGGTCAAGAGCATCTTCGGGCTCGGGATGGCGTCGTCGGTAGCAGTGCTGAGAACCTCCAGGGTCTTGGGGCTGATTGGCTCCAATATATGGGAGGAAGTCCTCAGGGTTATCGCACGGCCTCGTCGGGGTCCATATACAACCCATCCCAAGACCTTTCAGTTTCAAAAACAAGACCCCAGCCAAGCTCTCATAGAACAGATCATGAACCCCGAGTTCCGTGTCTGGGTGATATGGGTATTTCGCAAAGGCTCGCAGGTACAGCCTTGGGGTCTGGACAGACATCAGCCAATACATCCGCCTCGGATGTGACGCATCAAAATAAATACGGGTCATTCATGGCTTCTCAAGAAAATGTGGCTTCATCTTCAAAGTCAGAAGCATCAACAATCGTAGGTCTCGAAGCTCAAAAGCAGGCAATGCTTCACAAACGAGACGTTTCCTCATTCTACTCACGACAAAGCAGCAACCCTTCAGGAGAGGCATCCCCAGCTGCCCAGTCACTCAGAGCTCGTCCAACAAACTTGAGAGGCATTCCAGTATTCTATCAAGATATGCTTGACAAGACCCATGTCAACAAGCCATATCCGAGAAAAGAGTCGCCAAAAGGCAAGTTTGGTGAGCATTTTAGGGATAGCAACATGATATCAGTCCAAGACCAAAGCACACCCAGTGAGATTGCAGGGCAGCGGAAGGTCAGTCCAGGGTGGATGACTGGAGGCCGACGGATGGGATATGGATATTCCATGGTTGACAACGCTGAAGGGGAGCCACGGCAAGTTGATGGAGCTGGCAGTCCACTTCCACACGGGGGCTGGCGCAATCAGACCCCAGAACCGACACCTGGTAATATTCAAATGCGTGAGATGAATGCATCTATCCAATATCAAACCGGCATGACACAATCACCTGGTTCGGGTCCTCCAGAGCAGGGCCCGTCTGGCAGCCCGTCTGATAATCGTCGCTTCTTCACTCCCAGAAGTCCTGACAAGGCCTTGGATGAGTTCATTTCGACACCGGAACGGTGGGCAAGAATCCAAGGTCGTTCAGCCCAAGCTTACAACTCGGCGCCTCTGCCTGCGGATCTAGCAGCAGATAAAATGACCGTTGCAAACCCACTGGGTCCAATCCCAATACGAGATCAGCAAAAGGAAGACTTTTTTCGCAAGGGTGTCGACTATGTCGAAGATTCGGAGACCTTTCTGGGTCGATGGACAAAGAATAGCCGTGGCAAGGAAATAGTACCACGGCCGCTCAAGATCAACAAGGGCAACAGTTTCAAAAGCGAACAGAGACGGTCCTCTCAAGAACTTCCACCGCCAGTACAACACCGATTCTCGATGGATCAGACAAATCGGCCTCAATCTGTATACTTTGATTCTCGGGACGACGGGGGTACAGATCAAGTGGAAGAGACCCCGACACGTTCCCGAAGTGGACGTTGGATTCTGAGGTTTTCGAGGAACAGAGAAAGTAAGCGGCGTTCGAATCTCCCTCCGAAAGAGCCATCTCAGAACTCATCCATGGAGTACGACGACAGTGGGCGTCAAGAATTGGGAAGAACCAACTCCACCCGAAGCGATATGGCAGAGGAATTGGCGAGCGCGTATCAGGAATGCATTGCGATGCCAGGGGCATTCTATGGCAGCAAATGGGCTAGCCGGACTAGTCTGGTTGTGGAAGCTGAGTGATAAAAGGACTGATGCCTTATATTATACTAGGATTGGGACACACGGAAAACATTCTTACAGTGATGGATCTGGTGTCGCAGTTATTGTTACCCGCAGGAACAGAGTTGATTGAATTATGAATATATTTCCTCCGCGCCAAATGTCATTAATCGTACAGAAAAGAAGAATGGGTAATATCCCTAGTACAAAGCGCATACCAAGCTCGAGTGAAATCAGAGTAGCAGTGGCGAATGATCTACCTTCGTTGCCGCTTGTTGCTCTCACTTGTGCCACTAAGCACACTAGCAGACCGCTTGTGGTTTCCTTCTGCGCCGTGGGCATGATCTAGCGCAGACTTGTCGTTTGTGGACTGTGCTTGGGCACCAGCAGACGGATTCAAGACACTTGCATCGCCGTCCTCAGCCTCGGTCTTGACCTGGGGGTGAGCAGGTTCCGGCTCTGGGATACCATTTGCTTCTCTGTATTTGCGCTCGCGCTCTGCCTTGGCAGCCTCAAGAACGCGGATCTCGCTTTCAACCTTCTCGGAGACCTTGCGGGCATCAAGTAATAGATTGACAGACTGGATAAGTTTCTCAAAGTCCTTGCAGACGCGCTCTGTAGGCATGAAGAGACGGACGGGGATCTCGAGCTCGGAGAGCGCACTGGCCAATTTCTGGGTTTGTACGTTGGACTTGGCCTGAGTGAGGCGCTGGGCACGGTCGCTGCGGAAGTTGACACCTGCAGTGACACGCTCGTGGTGCTGAACGCCATACCGGGCTTCCTCTGCTGGGGTGAGAGTTCGCACGTTTTGCTGGTTTTCTCTTGCGGTTATGGACCCCTTTTTGTTTGCGGCTTGAGTTACGGGGGTTTCGGCGCGACCAAGGCCACCGGCATGAGTGGGTGTCTGGCCAGCGGGGCTGGGAATGGCACCGTCGCCAAGAATCGAGCGGCGTTTCTTGCTCTTGTCGGCCTGCAGGAGGGTTTGTAGAAGTTGAGATAGGCCTGCGCTAGACTGATACATGGTCGTGTTGCCAACGCTAATAGGAACCTCGAGGCGGGAGTACAGTTCGCGGCGCTCGGTGATGAAGCTCTGCTCATTGCTGGTGATACGCTTCAGCTCTTCAAGAAGCATTGCCTCCTCACGAACTTCGTCGGCAGTGCGGTTAAGCTGAAGAGCAGCCAGCTCCTTGCGATCACGTTCCCGGTCTGGCTCGAACTTGAGCATCTTCTCGTGTAGTTCAAATTCTGCTTCTGACATCTCCGAAGGAGGGTGCTCCAGTGAAAGCATTGTTGCAGCAATGTAGTAGTACCGTGCCTTCATCTGTTCCATCGTCCGAAACTGCTTGGCTGGTACAATCGCATTGGCGTCTGGTTCCGTTTCCATTGGCGGTTGGTAGTCGTATCGGTCAGCGATTAGCACCCATCGAATGTCGTATTCAGTGGCCAAATCCACAAGGTAGTCGGTTTCCTCACGGGACCAGTCTTCGCTTTTGAGAAGTCGCGCATATTCATCGTCTGTGTATCGCTTGGGTAAGCGCGGTTTGACATCATATTTGGCGAAAGCGTATTCCTGCTCCGGTAGCTTGGGGGCATCTTCCTTCCCATCTTCCTTTGGCTGATCCACTTCCATCTGAGAGTCAGACTCCTCGGGTGCCGGCGCCGGTACGGGGGGTCTGGCCGACTCGTGTTTTCTCTGCCAGTGATTGAGAACCAGGCCATCAGAGCGAGCATTGTTGGTGAAAGGCGCCATGCTCCTATACGCAATCTCATATCAGCATTTACTCCAATATCACAGTATTCCGTGTCAGAGCATACCAAGGTCGGACGCGCAATTTGTTCATCCATTTTGGGCGACCCTTATATTTATTCTCATTGATCGCGATGGGGGGCGCTCTTTCGCCTAGTAGCGCGTACAATTCGCGAGTAATACCCTCTATAGCGGGAACTGTCAGTCATTCGTCTCATTTCCAACGGTGCAGATGAGACTAACCCGGTCGCTTTTCGACCACCTTCTGCTTCTTGTGTGGTCTGGGCTGCCCTTCTGCGGGCAGATCCAGCATGTCACGCACATCGGCGGCCGCGGCCATGATGGCAGTTCGGTCGGGTGGAAATTCTACGCCGGCGCGACGCGATAAATCGAGCTACGAGGTGCGGGTGATGTCGGAGGCTGCGAAGGGGTTTATCAAACAGAATGACACGTTTGTCTTGATGAAATACAGAATAGAGAAATGGTCAATCGAAGACGCTCTCGACAGAGGTTTCCCGTTGGTAAGGGAGGATTCCGAAGATGGCAGGCGGTGAAGTGCCACGGTCCCTGATGTTGACACCTTCGCGGAGATAGTTGGAATAGCGACTCTCCAATTGCCCACTCCTTCATCATGGCTATCTCTGGGACATCCTCATGGCTGGCTTCAGTCTTGACTTTCCTCTCTCTTTTCTCGCTCCTGGTCCCCACTAATGCCTTGTACTTCTACATGGAGGGCCGGCAAACGAAGTGCTTCTTCGAGGACCTGCCCAAGGATACACTCGTGGCCGGTACGATTCAGCGGTTGATGCTTATTTCAAAATGAAAGCTAATAGGCAAATCTTGATCCATGAACAGGCCGCTTCGAGACACATGTCATCCAACCCCAGACCAACACCTACGCAATCGATCACAACATGAAGGTGCTCATCACCGTTGAGGAAACCTTCGACAATGACCACCGGGTTGTCTCCAAGCGCGACAGCCACTCTGGCCGCTTCCACTTCTCCGCTGCCGACGCTGGACAGCACAGAATCTGCTTCACTCCGGAGACTGATGCCACCTCCGGTTTCATGTCCACTTCTCTCGGTGCTGTCAAGGTCAGCGTTGACATTGCCATTGGCGAGACCAGCAAAATCGAGACCGAGGACAAGGACAAGATGAAAGATATTGTGCAGCGGGTCAAGGATTTGAACAGCCGGTTGCACGATATTCGTCGTGAGCAGGTGTACCAGCGGGTAAGTGATTCCCATAACCAGTCCAATGACCCACAATCAAATTGCGGGCCTTTGTGACACTTTATATTCTACATTTACTAATGCGACTCGCTCAGGAACGCGAGTCCGAGTTCCGTGACCAGTCCGAGACCACTAACTCTCGCGTTGTTCGCTGGACTCTTATCCAGCTGGCCGTCCTTTCCGCCGCTTGCGCCTGGCAACTCTCCCACCTGCGGTCATTCTTCATCAAGCAGAAGCTGACTTAAGTGTGCTGCTGCCATTTTCCTTGCCACATACCTCGTTTCTAATGCCTTGCATGTCCCTTTCATCTTTGCTTTGGTCACGTTAGTTTACGCAAATATTGACCAAGGGTTACCCTCGGGATTCGATTCATATTGTTTATTTGCGAACGAAATGTCCGACAATGTTGGCTAGAAAGGCTCCAGACTATCAAAAGGCTTGGGTACTGACAGTCGACAACACGGATGGGTATTCCAACGCAAAAAAAAGACTGCGGAGTGCTTGGAGCGATGTCGATCTCGATAATGGATGTAATGATAGCTTCTTTTCTTCTGTTTTTTTCTAAACCCCTGTAAATTGCCTAGTTAGCTGTGCTCGTACATTGGGTAAGATGCTATTACCGTCCAAGTTTTCGTCCCGGATGTCAATAGCCCTAACTCAGCATAGCAAACAGATCGACCAAACCTTACAGGTTACTTGGTCTCTATGTAAGAACACAATATGTTTCTATTGCCAACGAGTTTAACTAGATCGCGAAGAGCAGCGCGTTATGACACATAGGACAGTACATAGTTCGTCCGGTAATCCTCAGACTCTCGCAATGGGCTTCCATTGCCCTTGAATATTCCGACTGACCATCATAGTCAATCCTCCCGCAATCGACAAAACTCCTCCAAATATCCACATTGAGTTGAACCCTTCATTTTGCAAAATAGCGCCTGCTACAGGCGTGCCAATCAAGTTGCCTATTGTCATGACTGCATATCCCATGCCCATCCGGGTCCCAATCAAGCTCCTATCTGGGGAAAGATGCACAAAACAAGTTGGCGGCAAAGAAACAAAGGCGCCCGAGAAAAATCCGTAAAGCAACGAAACAACCACCATACCTGCCAGACCGGATAGGTTCACCAGTGCAAACATCAACGCACCACAGATAATGGTACATAAGGAAATGATGTTGAAGGGGCCAATCTTGTTGGCGAAGAAGTTGGGGAATATCCGGCCGAAGACTGAGCCGGTGGTAATGATCGAAAGAAGATAGAATCCCATTCCCTCGGCTGATATTCCCCTATCAATGGCATAAGATTGGATATAGAAGAAAGGGATGTTCAAGGAAATGAAATTCAACAAGCCTCCAAGGACAAAGACGGTATAGGCAGGCTCCTGGAAGGCAGGAAGATCTATCGGCTTCCTCTTGCTAGTTGAAGGCATGACGCGAACCCTCAAGGCCCCTAGCGGGATGAGAAGAGTCACGAATATCACGAGCCCAATTGCGCGTACAGTCCAGCTAAATCCGATTTGATCGACCAGTCTATGGAAGATTATTGGATACAAAATCCCCCCTGGAGGTAATGTGATGTTAGCTATTGTTCAAGGTCAGGCTTCTTCATACTTGCCTAGACCACTTCCAGCTGCCGCGATGCCATTTGCAAGAGCAAGTTTCGAAGTGAAGTATGTAGACAAGATTGCAACGCCGGGAATGAAGATAAGTCCCACTCCGATGCCAATGCAAAAGCCCTGTGCTAGGAGCACTTGATAGTATTCATGACAAATACTGGTCATCATTTGTCCAAGAAGAATCATAAATGATCCGCTGTACAAAAGCGCATAAAAATATCCAGCATCATATAACGGCCCGGTCACAAGTCCAAGAATCAACAGCAAAGAGGACTGGACGGAGCCTATCCAGGAGATGTTGGACGACGATGCGGAATACAATTGCCCTGTCTCATAGTACGTCTGATAAGCCCCGAATGTGTTCAGGATTCCCCTATAATAACTAAGTCTTAATTCAAAGAAATCAAAGTGTTTATAGCAGCATTCACAGAAGAGAGACTCACCAAGTGTTAAAGAATATAAAGAAACTTCCAAGGATTTGCAGCCAGGCTTTCAGTCCCCCATTAGGAACGGCTTCGTGCTCAGCAGAACAACTCAACGCAGTATCTGGAGCTTGTTCGTCATGTTTTTCGTTTCTTGCGTTAGAATCTTTTCGACTCGGCGGAAGTGTGTCCATTTCTTTCAGGTCGGACATGTGGGCATGGAATCCCAAAAACAAAATGCTGTGGACATATGCATCTCCGTCGTATAGACAAAGAGGACATGCCCATTTCTTATTCCAAGAGTCATCGCTCAACGCTCTTATCAATTCTCTCTGGTCAAGCTAGCTATAGCACAGCCCTAGACTCCAGCGGAATTCAAGCTTTCGACGGAGTCTGCCGGGCCAGCTTATCCCAATTCTCCGAAATTCCGATTATCCGATTGAATCTCACTTGCCTAAAGCCCCTATAGGCCGTAGATCCTTGTTGATTCAAGTAACCCGGTTCGTTCAGCGCAATCTCTTGATATTCTATTCTCAAGTCGTCGGGGTTTACCGCTTCGAGTCGTAACCTAGACGGGGGCCGCCGATACATTCACACGGATGTTAAGCGCAGCCTAACTTGATTCGACTGAAACCTGCTACAGATTCTGTCGACCACGATAGGGATATCTATATAAGGCTACAGAAAGCATCCAAGGTGATGGGTGTGGACCAAAGTATGAATTTGTTTAATACAGGACGGAAGCTATATCAAACGGGCACGAACAGAAGTATGCATTGCATGGCGGTGCGCTATATAGAAGAATGTTCACTTGAGATGTTATCATCAATCATTATATCCAAAGAGGTAATAAACAAAATAGTGTCAAAAATGCCGAACTGGTATATGGCAGGTGAACATGAAACGAAGAACAAGACATGCAAGCAAAGGAACAGGCTTTTCCTGTTCATTCACGGTCTTGTTTCAGAATGAGAGGCCCTTGGGCAGGAGAGAAAGATGAATAGGGAGGTTATGATGCAGGGTTATGCAAGGAAAAAGCATTATGTTCCGATGGCGATATCAACAAGAATATTGTGTTTTCAGAAGGTGGGCTTGCCAATGCCACCACAAAATTCGAGAATCAATCGTTCCAGGTCGGAGAGTTTGTAGGGTTTTGTCATGTAGCCCTTGATCCCCACTCTAGATGCACGGTTCAGAGCTTCATCCGTGACATCTGCACTGACAGCCAAGACGGTAGGAGGTGGGGGTGCGTAAGAGATAGTGGGTTTGTGGTCTATATCCATTGAGACGAGATTGTTGGATTTGTGTTGGTCTCGGTGATTATCGACCATCTGGAGGATACGCGAGGTGGCCTCGTATCCGTCCATTTCTGGCATCCAGAGGTCCATCAAGACCACATCAATGGCCTTCACCTTGGTCGGCTCACGCTGTTCACTGATCACCCCTTGCATGATGCTCGCGTTGTTGGAATCGGCCTCGGGTTCAGTGGAGCATTTGGCTGCAGACAGAATACCGTGTACTATTTGAACCGCTTCTTTGCCGTCAGCTGCTTCGAGAACATCGCGGTAGCCAAGCTTCCTAAGCATGTTCACAAGAACACGCCGGTTGATTCGGTTATCTTCTGCAACAAGGAAGCGTAGTGGGTGCTTCTCTGCGAGCTTCTTGTCGTATGCATCGCCTGCAGAAATGTTTGTTCGATGAAGACGAGATTGTGATACTCGACGTGGGGGTGTTGAGCTTTGAGACATGTTCTCATCGGAAGTACTGGGGGTTGGTTGCTGTAACTGGGGGTTTTGGGGGAGGATGAATGGTGAGACGGAAGATGAAGAAGGTTCGGAAATGAAGCTGCTAACACTACCCTGTCGTGCTGGGTCGTTGAATATGGGTGGTGTCAGAGTCCGCTCGTTGGGAGTTGCAGGCTGACCATCAGCCTCGCGTTGGTTCACAGGAATACGAATTTGGAATTCTGTGCCACGATCAGGCCCCGAGGTTGACGAGCGTTCACAGGTCAAATCACCGCCCATCTTGCGTGAGAGTCCCTTGGCCACAAGGAGACCAAGACCCAGACCGTCTTTGCTTCTAGTGGTTGATGCGTCTTCGCGGGCAAACGCTTTGAAGAGGCTCGGCAGAAATGCAGCCGGGATACCAGGGCCGGTATCTCGGACGAGAATGAGTACATCGTTTCTCTTAGGATCAATGGTAGCGCACACGGTGATGGTTCCATTGTTGGTGAACTTGATTGCATTGAGGAAGACACACGAAATTAGTTTGGCCAAGTCACGGTCATCGGCAAGCAAAGTGTCTGGTAGTGCTGGATCCACAGACCAATCTACAACCTGCGTGAACAATTCGCCATTCGAGGATCGGGAACGAATCTCAATCCTCTCACCAAAATCCGTTGTATTACTGACTGCAGAGTCAGGTCGGCCACCAACGTGAAGAGACTCGTTAATCACCAACCGGAGAAGATCCCGTAGTTTGGTGAAGCGTAAAGCAGAGCCTCTCAAATTGATGTTGATGCCCTCCAAAAGCAAGTGAGGTGCGGATCTTCGAACAGCGAGAGAGGGGCGCGGATCAACCATGTTGGCCATTACAGCTTCAATCTGGCGAGCGGGGGTGGCATGGACGATCTGGTCACTCTCGTGGACAGCATTCTTGACTTCTTCGCTGCGAGGCGAAAGCTCTTGTCGAGACGATGCTGCGCGGAGTCTCTGCTTTCGTACCGGTCTTGGATTCATCTCGGGTGGCAGACTGCGTCGCCGTTTGTAGGGATTGACAGCGATATTATTTCCTTCAATGAATATGCTCGGGCGGGTTTCAGGAATTTCAGAAAGAGGAGGGATTGAAGGTTCGCCTAAAATATGAGTTTCTTCCCGCTGTGGTGTTTTAGGGACCTGCATGTTGAGATCGTAGGCATGAACGACGTTATCAGCTGCCTCGACAGCCCGTCTCGCGCTATCTTGCACCATCTCAATTCCCTCTTTAAGCGTCTGAAATATTCCACCTGATTTGACAGGAGTCTTGCTCTCCATCGCCTCACGCACTGTGGCATGCATTACATCTAGCATGCCTACCACACCCTGCATGGGGGTCCGTAATTCATGTGACAAACTTCGTGCGTAGGGTTTGAGGGGTTGGGAGTTGAAATGGGAGTGTTCGTGAATGCCGGCATCGTGAGGTTGGGGGATCGAGGGATTCGTAGCGGAATTAAGGGAGGTATGATCGTTCGCTAATACCTCGCCGGAGAGAAGTCGTTGCACAATGAGGTCTTCGAGAGAGTGAAGGATCATCTCCAGGAAAGACCACGACAGATTTCGATTCCGCAGGCCATCTTTCGACCACATCAACCCGAGGTGCGCCAGGCACTTTCCCGCCGCAAATAGTGGAATCGCCAGATAGCCATCCGCGCCGAACGGGAGTTGATCGTCCCCAAAGGATGCCAACGCGCTGAGATTTTCAGTAATCAAACAAGGCCGTTCATGATCCATGTGTAACAAGGGGTTCCCGCCTGCGAAATACCGGTTCCGCTGTAACCCAACTGTCTGGTAGCCATCATTGTAGTAGAACGCCGCACCAAACAGTGACGGGCGCCGCCCGCATAGTTCTGGCATGGGCTCCCCTCCGTGCACCCTCCGTGCCACGAATCCATACTGAGCGTTTGTGATTGAGGTGACATCTTCCATGAGCCGTTTCCAGAACAGCTCGGTGTCGGAAACCCTCAACCCCTGTTTGAGTGTAACCAGATGCTCCATCGCAGAGGTCTGGGCACCGTCGTTCCATGCTCCCTTGTCGAGTTGCACCTCATCTTCACGTACATTCCGATCAGAGATGCACTCGGATTTGCAGGAGGGGAAGGCCATGGTGGGACGTTGCACAGTATTGGAGGCATCCGGCTCGGGCGTGTCGGGCATAGTCCATATGGTAAGAAGGAAGTGAAGTTTCTGGGGGGGGTCTGTCCTTTATTTGTGTTTATTATGTGAGGACAACAACCATGGCTCTCAGAACAACATCCACCACCGCAGTTGAAAAGTGTCCAAAGTGAATCCCAAGGAGGGGAGAGGGGATTTTCCGTTAGTTCTGATGGGGGCGGTCTAGACACGGGCGGGCCTGAAACAGGCGGATTTCTTTGAAGAGCAGCGATTTATTGCTGTCTAGGTTGATTTCTTCTAGCTTGTATCTTACAACTTCTTTGTTTTTCTCGGTTTGTGTGTTTGTACGTGTGTGTGTTTTCCCAATCCTGGTGAAGATGCACGGCACATGGGTAGGATCGGCGATCTAGACCAGACCAGGTCCACCAGGTACTGGGTACCTCGTCTGACATGTATCACCCTGCAGTTGAGAAGTACTGAGTACCTGACAGGGGTACTTGTCAACAAACGATTATCGTGAGATCTTCAACGTCATTGGCTTCTGTTTTGGTTGTTTTTTAATTGGTTTGTTGTTTTCTGATTCGATCTCACAATTCCAATATACTGTATACATATCCCAATCCCAAGAAGGGGGGCCAAGTTAGGGCAACGTCTCGAAATTGCGTGTTTATACTTGGCACAACCCGATCTGGACATCTTGACGACACCAGGCTAACATACGCTCATCGAGTCTATATAATTACGTGGATAGAACCCATGAGACACTATAAGGGAACTGGAAAGACAAGGTGTAACTTAGTCCATATCCCCGCCATGTTCACATATACACAACCCCTTTCGTGATGCAAGCTAGTATCGTGAAACCGAGGTAATATCCGGATCAATGCAACAGCCATTCGTACAACGAGACGTGACATAATCATGTGGATATGAACCCCAAGAGTGCATGCATCTTTCCACTGCAACCTCCTGAACATATAATGTCTTCCGTGAATCCATACACGATCGCCGTCCCAGACGAGCAACTCCAGCGGCTCCGCCAGAAGCTGGAGCACGCAACCTTCCCCGATGAACTGGATGCCTCAGGTTGGGAGATGGGGGTTCCCCTTGGTGGAATCAAGAGACTTGTCACTGTTTGGCGTGACAGTTTTGACTGGCGAGCTCAAGAAACTAAATTGAATGAGCAGCTCAAACAAGTCAGTGTCAAAGTGGATATAGATGGGTTCGGGAAGCTGGATATACATGCCGTGCATCACCGCTGCGAGAATCCCAATGCAATTCCATTGCTGTTTATTCATGGATGTATGAGTCTTTCAAGCTAACAGAGCCCTTCTTCGCGCCAGGTTGACTAATTCACTGCTCATAATAGGGCCGGGAAGCTTCCTCGAAGCGACAAAGCTTATACCACTGCTCACCAAGAACGATGAGGATGGCCCAGTATTTGATATCGTGGTACCCTCATTGCCCAACTTTGGATTCTCACAGGGTGTCAACAAGGTAGACTACATGCAACAGACATGTCATCTATCATTATACTAACAACCCCTCCAGAGAGGCTTTGGACTAGCTCAATACGCCGAAACCCTCCACAAAGTAATGACAACCCTAGGGTACAAAGAATATAGTAAGCCCTAAGTTTCTCCTTTGGACCCTCAAAAGAACAAGAAAGAAAAAGAAAAAGAAAAGCCAACTAACCCAACCCAGCAATCCAAGGCGGGGACTGGGGCAGCATGATAGCACGCAGCATATCCCAATTCTACCCAGAACACACGCAAGCAATCCACCTAAACTTCATTCCTGTCATTCCGCCCTACCCCTGGCGAAGCCCCTTCCAATTCCTAAAATCCCTCCTATCAGTCCCCTTCTCCGCAAAAGACCGCGGCTCCATCGCCCGGTCCGTGGGATACTTCACCCGCGACAATGCCTATATGAAAGTACAAGAGACTCGACCCCAGACGCTGGGATATGGGCTGCATGATAGTCCCGTTGGACTGCTTGCTTGGATCTATGACAAGATGCATTCTTGGTCGGATGGGTATCCGTGGACCGATGAGGAGATTTTGACGTGGGTGAGTGTTTATTACTTTTCTACTGCCGGGCCGATGGCAGCGACGAGGATCTACTATGAAGCCTCGGCGCCGAAGAGGGATGATGATGAGGCAGAAGGTGAAGCTGAAGGTGATAAGCTGAAAACGGGGCATTTGAGGTATATCTCGCTTCAGCAGGTTCTTGGGGCAAGGGCTCCGCAGAATGTGCGCTTCGCTGTTGCACAGTTTGCAGAGGAACTTGTTATGTTTCCTTTTGCTTGGTATCGGTCAATTGGAAATGTGGTTCGAGAAACAGAGTACGACCATGGTGGTCATTTTGCGGCTTGGGAGGTACCAGAGTTGCTGGCGGATGATTTGAAGGCGTTCCTGGGTAAAGATGGACCGGCCTACGGGGCTGTAGCTGACAGGGATGGATATTGATGACTGAAATCGAGTTTGACTTGGTTAATATGATGAAAGATTTGAACGACGCAAAATGAAACACTGTCGTGACGTGACAACGGGTTTTGAATTATCATGATAGGAGTAAGAGAAACATGGAGTCGAAGAACATATGCGCCCTTCGGCTCAGATATCGACCGCTCTCACGTCGCTGTTGTGCTATCCCGTTCTCGATGACCGTACACGGCATATATCATCCAGTGAAGACCGCAGACGCCGGGATTTGCCCTCAAACCAACGGAAAGCCCAAAATAACCACTTCCCCAAATCTAATCCTGTCGTCCCTTCAATAGCCGCTGGGTAACCTTGTCCTTCTCTATGATATAAACCTGGGCACCCCAACCGGAGAGAGCGTCTCGGTCGACGGCACTAAGCAGCGCTTGTGAGATTGTCTCGAAGAGGTCCTCGGGCTCCTACAGTAATAGAGATTATATTAGCAAAAAGTATATAGGTCAAAAGGCGCAATTATACGCACCAGGTTGGGCTCCCAGAGACCCTCGCAAGTACCAAACAACTGGTCGCTTGCTGTTCCGCTAACAATGAAGTCCTTGGCGAAATCGATACAGCCAATGCTGTCAAATCCACAGATGAACGGCTTCCCCGTTGTAGGGTTGATACCAGCCAGAACGGGACTGACAAAGTAAGGACCGAACCGCTTCTCGTAGAGCGATGAGCTGACTAGGTTGGCCAGAGTCTGGGGTGCGATATCGCGCTCCTCGCGCAAGCGGTACATGTTGACCTTGTAGCGGAAAAGATCGGAGACGGTGTTGACATCAGTGGCCAATCCAGTCAGGCCAAGGTAGGTGGATGGAGCATAGTTGAAGATCTTGGGGAAGTTATTGGAGATAGTCAGGGATTGCATGCCCAGGCGGAGGTCGCAGGCAATGGCGACGCAGTCCTTGCCCACCATGGCGACACAGGCACCGCCATCTGAAGAAGGGTTAGTATTTCATTGACTTTCCATGGGGTTCAAGGTTCCGGCATACTGATGTCGAAGGGGTTGGACTGATGGGAGAAGTCGGTCAGCTCAGAGTCCAGAAGTTCAATGGGAGAAAGGGCGCCCATTACGCACCATTATTGCGGTATTTCAAAGCAATCCACAGAGATTAAGAGGCTCCAGAGCTAATCGACAAGACAAAAGAGCAGAAAACGGGGTTGAGAAGGGGGCGAGATGGGGGATGTGATGGGGGGAGGTTGATGACGGGGAAGCTCTGAGGTACGCGAGAGCTCGGATGACGCCCGCACCGCTGCCTGTTTCGTATGTGACCTTCGACAACTTTCTTTGCCTTCCTCTCCGCATTTCACTTGGTCCTTTTCTCACTCATTCTACCTACTCTCTGTGTCCATTTGTTTGTCATTCTGGATCTATATCTTCTCATATTGTCTGCATTTAGCATCTTAATACGATCACAATGAGCGCCCACGTCGTGGTGATCGACGCGACGGCCAGGCGGGCAACTATTAAGACAACTCCTACTAAACCTATGACCGATGTTCTACAAGAGGCTTGCAGGAAGCTTGGATACAATGCTACGGAATACGGATTGAAGTGAGTATATGCTCACTATATCTCAAAAGTGCCAGCCACTAACCGAGTCCTGTTGCGCATCAGACACAATCGCAAGCAACTAGACCTTTCCCTCTCCTTCCGCCTCACTGGATTGAGCTCTGGAGCAAAGCTGGAGCTTGTACAGTTCTCTCGCTCTCCCTCCGTTGTCACCGTCGGTCTCCAACTCCCCGAATCTGAAGCTCGAGGTGCCCCGAATGGCCGCATACTGGACAAATTCCCAAGCACAACCACACTGTGGCTCGTACTGCGCAAGTTTGAGGCTGGCGTTGCAGGAAGTGGTCCCGTACGGAACCTCACTTCGCGTGCAGTGCCCGCCACCGATGGCGGGGAGGGTGCGGGACGGCTTTACTACGAGATGCCTGTACTTCAGATCTTGGAGCGTGAGGTATCAAACTTTACGGATCTCCAGAAAACACTTGCCCAGCTTGGATTTAACAGTGGAAATGTGCTCATGCGACTAAGCTTCCGACGAACAGAAGAGCCGATTGAAAATGCGATGGGGCAGATCGGCGAGTTCTTTAAGTCAGAGGAGGACGATGCCCTCTCAGCACAGAAACAGCCAGCTACCCCCGCAATGACTTCTATGACAAGCATTAGCGAAGAGCCTGCTCAGCAGCCATCTAGCTCTCTGCAGTCTGACAGCTCCAGTGCACCCACTCCATCAGGACCAGATGCCAACCCTACAGCTTCTGAAGTAGCTCCCTCAACGACTGACCCATCTGGACGAACTATCACTGTCTTCTCTCCTCCATCAGACAACACACCATCATCGGCGCAAATAGCCTACAACGAGAATGATTACATTCCCTCTATTGAACATGCAAAATTGCACCAGCGGCTACTCAACCAATCCTCGCGCAACCAACGCTTACCAACGGACGCCGAGGTAGCGGCCAAAGCAGAAGCCGAAGAGGCCAGGCGAGCAGCAATCCATGAGGTGAATGTGAAGGTCCGCTTCCCTGACCAGAGCCAAGTAGTCGCCAAGTTCGGGCCGGAGGACACAGGATACTCGCTGTATGAATTTGTGCGTGGATGCCTTGCTCCACCATTCGCCGGCGAGAAGTTCCACCTCACAGTCCATGCCATCACTCGGGCTCACAATGCAACAACCATTCCTGACTCAGATAAAACCAAATTGATCAAGGGCCTTGGATTGGCTGGCCGTGTATTGGTCAACTTCTCTTGGGATGATAGCGTTGCTCAATCCGTTCACGACCGTCGCGCGGAGGTGCTTCGCCCTGAGCTCCGAAGTCAGGCTCAGCAGCTCAAGGTGGAGCAGCCGCCGGAGCTTAAGGAAGTCGAGGAGCCAACAGCTCCCTCGCAAGCTGGACCGAGCAGTACAGGTGATAAGCCTAGCGGCCCACGAAAGACCGGTGCTATGCCCAAGTGGTTGAAGTTACCAGGAAAGAAATGAAGAGCATAATGGATTACATTTGCTTCAAGATGTGCTACGCTTTGACGATGATGACTGGGATATGTAGCGCGTCTGTTCGGAATTCATGGATATCAGATTAGCAAATAGACTCATATTAAGCACCCTTATGAAGTTCTCATAAACACCAACCGAGCCTTCTACAGCCACATACAGACATGTAGTCCGTGTCCAACGGATCACTGGGTTTCTAGCCTAAGGGACAGTCCGATCTCTGAAGTCTTCTACGCCGTATCCTCTTGAAAAGATCAAAAAGTATGGTATCATAAAATGTTCGAAAATTTGTTTTCATTATGGATTCACTTCCATACAACTAAGAAGGAATACCATGTTTGCCACCCCAATCATGCACAACCAATAGTCAAAACCCCATCATTTCGATCCGCGAGCCGCTTTTTTGCGTCGAGTCGTTATAACGAAAGAAAAACAGAAACGGGTCGAGAGATTTAGTGAGCAGCCTGGGTGCGGCGGGACTCAGCGATGACCTTCTGCATAGCCTCGACCTTAGCCTTGCCACGGCCGAAAGTACCGAGCTAGAAAAAAAAGTTAGCATAATGATATGCAAATATTGTGGCGATTTGTCCGGGCTCGATTTGGGGTTTCGGATGGTCATGCGAAAAACTTCGGTAATTGGGACAGCACAGTAGTAGCACAGAGTTTTCAACCAGCAGACGGGATTTCCGTTCTCATGATTGAGTTTCACTATCCACGCTGTACCATGCTGACCGCAACAACTTTCGACTTCAGGCAGGACACATCACATCCACCACGAATGTGAAGCCGTAGACAAGATGTGCGCAGGGATTCGAGGAGAGACATACGCGCTTCTTAGCGAGCTTGCGGGCACGCTTGTCCTGGGCGTTGCGGAGGAGTTCGATGATGCGGCGCTCGTAGGGAGCGAGGCCAACAACCTCAGCAGCGATCTCGCGGACGAAAGCGGTACGGCGAGAAGACTTGCCAACGGACCGACTGATGCGGGTCTTGGGGGTGTTCAGGGCGGTGGTTTTCTATTGGTCGTGAAGTCAGCATTGAAAATTCATGCAAGATTTATTGCAGCAGCCACAGGTCCAAATCTCCTGTTCGTATTTCGCGTCTGTCGGGCTTCAATGCGTCGTCGATAGTCAGGGTTGGGTTTACGGCGAGATCGTGTGATTGTTGTGTTGAATTCGAGTTCCAGAAAAATTTCCGTCAAATCTTCAATTTTTCTCCAGCGACTCTGGCTTGCTTTCCGGTCCATTGTTTGTGCATGAAATTTCCTTGCGTGGTGATTTCCAGTGTTTTCGTAATATACCCTGAACCGACTGGCTTCGAAGACTGATAGACGGAACAAACAGAGATTTGGAGACCTTTAAATGACCCGGCAATATGGGGGAAAGAGATAGGATTAACGTACCCGACCGCTGTTGAGGCCGACCACAATTCCGGAGCGTTCGTGCACCATCTCGACGGTTGTTGACTGAAGGGTTTGGCGGGGGTTGTCGAAGAGGATGTGAGGAAGCCGTGTGAAAATCACCTGGTCTTTTGCCTGGAACCGCAAAATGGGGCCTTGGCGCTGGTTGGTGCGGTAGGCGAGTGCTTAGGGCTAGGGCTGTCGGCCCATTTGGGGCTAGCGTTGTAGTGACACCTCAGGCATCAAGATTACTGGTCATCTTGGTATTTTCACGTGACATCTCGTGCCCTTCTTCTTTCCTATTGCTCTAGAGAACTGTTGGGATAGATGGGCATTCAGTTTGGATTTGACAGTTGGTTTTAATCTGACATTTCAGAGTATTTAATCTGAATTTACCCCGACCGTGCTCGTCATAGACACATAATTCACATTTACATCTTTTGATATGCAATATCAAAGCTTGGCTGCCATCACCCCATCAAGTGCCTCTTCCCAGCTCTCCTTTAGCTCTCCACAGAACACTTCTAGTGCGGATGAATCCATCATTCTGTTGAGAACATCCTGAAGTGGCTTCCCGTATGCATCATCGGCATCACCCTGCATGACAAGGTTGACCACGGTACTAAGGGTGGCCGATTCGGAAAGGCCACGCTTCAAAGCCCGGGTGTTTGAACGAACATGCTCGAAAACATCGCAGACAAGAGCGGTCACCCGGTTCAGTTGATCAGCTGGAAGCTTGACAGTCTTCACAGACTTCTTGGAATCCAGGTCAATAATGTTTGACAAAGCCTTAAGGATCTCCACGAGAGACCAGATGGCGTGGAAGTATCTCCAAGTCGGGACAGCATGGGTTCCGTCAAACTCAATAGTCGTAATCTCGATAAGAGGAGAAACTTTGTCGTCTTGAAGGGCCAGATACTGTATCTTATCATTCAACCAGGCCTCTACTTGACCAAGCACCTTGACAATTTGGTCCGAAGTATGGGCCTTGGATCCAGCCATGAAATTCGCCACCTTGAGCAATTCAGTGTTGATCTTGCCTGCGTCTATTTCCGTGGGCGTTAAGTCGTTATCGGTCTCAGAAAGCTTCAAGTCGCTAATGCCAGGTAGCGTTTCCTCGATAGGGTTCGGCTTTTGCATAGCAATACTCTTGAGGACACTGAACAGTTGGTCAGTGACTCGGGTGGAGGCCAGCCAGTTTGACTGGATTGGTATTAGTCATTATCAGTACCTCAGTAGTCAGATCAAAACATACTTTAGGAATCGGGCCTGCACGCAGTCGCGTTTCGAATGTCGGTTGGCTATGATGTTCCAAATTCATGAACGCATCGTACGACCGTTGGTCATAAACTGGCAAATTAGACTGGGCTGTAACGTAGTTAGTCGCTGATTGTTTCGTATGGATCTTAGGTCAATAAAGACTTACCGATTTCCTCATGGAAACTCAAGTGTTCTCCTTTTCTCAGTCTTTGCATTCGTCGGGTTTCCAGTGCCAAGATTCTCCGATTAATACTGTCATTGAGGCGGTTCCGCAGCTCCATGGTTTCCTCCGAGTTTACATAAGAACCTTCGCGAAGTCCATTCATGAGAGATCGCGAGACAGTGAGGTTTGCAGAGCGGTAAAAGTCAAGGGCATGAACAAACGCAGCTTGTGGATCAAATTCCTTATACTCGGCGCCTTCATAGGCAGGTGCGGAGAAAGGATGGATGCTTGCAAAACGAGTGAAAATGATATGGCTAACAGTCTCATACTGCACGTGTTTGACCGATAGCTTACTGAACGCTTTCAAGGCGAGTGAACCAGCTCCAAGAAGGACGTAAATTCGAATCAAAGTCAAGAGTGCTTCATAGTTGTGAGGCGAATCAACCAATAGACGCTCCAGAATACCAGCGGCACGGATCAAAGATTTGTCACTGACTTCGCCGGAGGTCTTGTTGGGACGAAGAAGAGCCATGGAGGCAATGAGACAGAAGTCATCTGTGGGTCGGCTTTCCATGGCGGAAGCTTCTTGGTTGTCTTTTTTGTTCTGGGTCTTTGCAAGAAGAGTAAAGCCCTCATAAAAGTCAAGGCAATTGCGGACAATATTTTCAATGGTGGCCTTGGATGCGTCCTTGCCAGACAATTGTGCTAAGTACTGCATCTTGTATGCATTGATCAATGGCATAATATCCTCCTTAAGAAAAAAATTAGCTTGTTTGTGAAGAAAATAAAACACAAGGTATTGTTCACTTACAGCCTTTCCTTCAACGCTGTCCATGCAATATTCATAGACTTTACGGACTAGGCTATCTTCGCAGTTCTCCAGGACACCTCGAATGTCACCGAGGAAATAGAGCTTGTGCTTGTGCTGGTCCCAGTATTTTTGGCATGCAGAAATCAGATCATCCGATGTGTTTTGGCCCCGTGCGATGCCAAGTAGGATCATGTCCAATCGAGCGAGATGCGCGTTGCGAGATTTGGGGCTGAAGTCAATGAACTTTTCAATAAACCCTTGTGTATCCGCGAGCAGGCTATAAAAATATCGTTAGTCGTGGTTCTTTCTGTAATATTGGGCAACATACTCCGGGGTTTCTTTTAAGTGACGAGTGCTTGCAATGAGCATGTTCCAGAACTTCCACTCGTCGCGTTCTTTGAGGGCTTTGCGCCCTTCTTCATCTTCAGACACTGTCAAAAAGTCTTTGGCACACGCGTATCCCTCCTCCCAACGCTCAGTAGCTCCCAGACTATTCAACTTGCTCAACCGGAAAATCTGGTTGTTATTAACAATCCGAGAGTTGAGGCCAGTGCTCTCGCTATCAAGAATCTTGATGATCTCATCGTGCTTATCTTGTTTGTTAAAGATTTGAATGAGCAGGAAAAGTTCCTCGGCATTTTGAATGGCTCTTGGGGGACTCAGTAGCTCGGTCTGTATGATATCATTTTCATGTCCAGTCAGTCATTGCTCAATATTGAGGTCACACCAGAGGCTTTTGGGCCGATATATCTAATTAAAACAGGAGCAACATACCGGATTGGTGGGAACTTCGGCTGCCGCCTTTGAAATCATGCGATATGCCAAGGTTCCAAACAACTTGCGATCCATGTCCGAGGAGGCCGAGTCAATTGAAACAATGTGACAGAAAAAGATGGCCCAGAAGAAGTACTTTCGATCGCGGGGAAAGTTCTTTTGGAGACTCATGGCAGCCTGTTCGTGTCAGCTACCCATATGAATTGAGTGTTTTTTGTGCCATATGTTACCTTCTGAGCAGACTTCCAGTCACGGCTGTCAAATGCGTCCGTAAACCATCTCATCTGCAAATCATGATCCTGTGGCTTCGCCTTGGCTGCTCTCTCCCATAATGCGCTTCGAACGCCGGTCTGGTCATCCATCTTTTCGAGTGTACGGCGAAGTGTGTCCAGGGTATCAAGGTCGGTGACTGGTGGCTCGGATTTACACAGCTCAAGGGTTTCCGCGATTCCTCGCTTCTTATGAGCTTCGTCAGTGTGATTGAAGAGGACGTTCGCTTTCCAGGCCTGTGTTCATCGAGTTCATGAATTAGTGAGATCAATAAGCTCGCTCAGAAGGTTGGATTTAGCAGCTAATGAGGGTGGTCTTACCTTGAGGAAAGGCGTGTTCTCGCCTTTCTTCATGCGCTTTTCAATCAACTGCAAAGCCTGCTTCATATTCTGGCTGTCAATGGCATCTTGAATTTGGTTGTTCCGGCGCAGGAAAACCGCATCATTAGCGGAGCTCATGATGGACGTTTAGCTCAATCCGAGCTCCTGGCTTGACTGCAGAAAGATCAGCTTGGATATGTTCCACTGTTCCAGGCACGGCACGCACCTGAGGTCTTTCGAAGAGCTGGGTTGTAACAGGGACTAGGTTGAAAGCTTTATTTTCATTTGGCGGGGAAAGATGTCAAAAGGAAGGCGGTGTGGTGGCGGGCAGTATGTCGTCGCTATCAGCTCGAGGGGTCCGTGCGCCATATTCTGCCATCGATTACTTATTAATGTATTATCACAATATTTGCATCTACTGTATAATTGGTTCTATTGAATGCTGATTATACGCTTTACGACTTGCTTCACCCTCAAAGGGACATTGTGATATAATCAGCGGGATCAATCTTTATACTGCTCGGTTTCTTTAGGAACAATATCAATGCCCGCATCTACATCGTTTTTTAACACTACTCAATCTTCTGCCAAGTTCAGAAACTTGACAATCTTAAATTTGACCACTCGGGTCTTTTTAGCGAAAAGCTGAGAGTAAAATTTGACGATATAACTAAGAAATAGAAGAGCGATGATTCAGTCGAAGGTAGGAACCTTGGAAGGTGTTCGTAGAAAGTACTAATCTATAAAGGCGGTATATAAGGCGGTGGTACGGGCGGTATGCCGGCACAGGCCTTTGGAAGTGACGGCGGTAACAAACTGCCATACTATACGGCTCTCCCCGCACCATACTGCCAACAGTATTCCAACTCAATAAATGGTCCGTCCCCCTGGTGACGTACATCGCCAACCTAAACTCAATATACTTGACTAGCGGCGCGATCCTGGTCGATAATCGCAATCGAAAAAGGTAAATGTCCATAATTCCATTAAGTAGTGTAGGTTTCGAGTGGATACACGTGGGAAATGATAGAATAAACGTGTTCCCTGCAGAATGATCCATAAATATATATTGAGTAATGAATGATACTTCGGCTACGATGAGAGTAAATTTTGAAAACCAAGAGGTTACCTCAATTTAATACGACAGACGGATTTCAAGGCTACAAAAGATGCTAATATACAAGCTCGAACCAAAGACTGAGACACCAAGAAGTACACAATACAGAATGTAGAGAACAAACCCCATACCCGTTAATGGCGCAGAGAGTCAACTGGAATTTTTTCGCCTGCCGATAGATCTCAGTTACTGGCAGCTTTCCATGTATTAACCAAATGAAGACTACGAAGTCTTCTTCTGGGTCAACTGTTTTGGAGCTGTCAGTAATCGAAGACACAAAAGTATTCAGCCAAAGGTCAACAACAATCGCGGACCACAATTGCTTGACACGACAGAAGAATGAATTGAAAACAAAGGAACTCTTTGCTTGACTTACCCAGTTCTTTTTGCAATCACGATATGCCCTAAACAAGGAAAACAGTAAGCGCAGGCTCTATGGGTCGGTGTGAACGATGGTCATGGAGCACGATTTGAGCATGACCAGGTCGAGCCTTAGAAGCTGACCCAAGAATAATGAATGAGCAATTATGCTCGATGAGGGTTCTGAACGTACTGGAAGTAATCGTGGCACATCTCTCGCTCAAAGCCATTACGCTTCATACATTTAAGGCTTCGATCCGCGAAGTCTTGGCATGGATCGTAATATTGGCTGGCATGTTTGCTAATGAGTGTTAGCTATCAGTTGTGTAAATGTGTACATATGATCTTGATAGATAAGCATTAGGCCAGACCGATGTTTTCCACGAATGGTCGATACCGAGGCGCCTCACGGACTTCAACCGCACGGATGATTCGGGAAAAGCAAACCCATCTCGTGAGAAACAAAGACTAGTTGATGAAGACAATAAGGAAACATGAAGACATACTGTGTAAACTTCTTCTCGGCCTTCTCCCACGCCTTGTCATGTGATTCTCCTTGGGTGGAGTCCGCCATAAGTACGGCTTGCTGATATCTCTTTTGTGTTGGTAAGATGTGATCAAGGCAATAAGCCCAAGTGAAGGCTATATACCGAAGTGTGTTGGTTGAAAATGGGTTGGAGGTTAGCTTGATTGGAGGAGGAAGTTAGCGCTGGGCGTAGGAAGAGTTGGGGACCCGCGGTCTTGGCGCGGAGATCCGCCGTAATTGGGTTGCGATCACTAATTCATACAGTACAAACGCCAGGATTTTTGTGTTGCATGAGTGATTATTTTGATTTGTCCATGAGAAATCCCAGATAGTCTATCGGTCTGTCAGATTTTGGCTTCGATATCATGGTGCTGAAAAGGATTGCATAAAACATCATCCGAAAGTACAGAATCTGTGTGTCACAAGGACTTTATCTGCATTAACTAGTATGCATAAGTGCATTCTATGTAACTCAGATAAAGTACCGATGTAGGTGTTCAGATTGGTAGGGCAATCTGAGGGATCAAGCCGACAAGCATGCTCGAAATGCCGAGGATGTGAACCATAAAAAATGCGGAGATATAAACACAAAAATACGAATGTCAATGGATATAATGAACTGAGACAAACTATATCAATGGGCTTTGTAGAATTCGACTTGTCCATGTTTGTGTCAGGAGCGAGGTATAGGGAGTAAGTAGTGAGAGCTTCCCCAAATGTACAGAGTGAATTGGTGGCAAAACTATTGCGAACAATGGGAATGATGAAGGTGAAAAAGCCGATGGATTGCAAAGGCGCTAACAGTATCTCCAAAGTAAAAGATTCACAGCTGCGCATATGACCTACCGTGATTAAACAGGGTTAATATTAATCATGAAGTATGCATCACGCCTGTAAGGAAATGGAGGCCAAGTGGAACCTACAGGGTGGTAGGTTATACGTCGGCATTGGTATATAGAGAGCACACACACAAACAGTACCAATATTTGCCCCTTGATCAAGGAGTCAACAATTGCAACACAAAGTGAATGATTGATATATGACTCGTCAACTTTGGAACGAGGGTGTTTGCCAACCACTGGAAAAGGTTCCTGATTATGTGATCATTTGCCTGAGGCCTCAAAAGTGTCTACCCTGGCTTCCTCACAACTGATTCCAGATCACGTTGTTTTGCCTTTCAATTCTCTTCGTTCGAAGTTGAGATCTGACTCTTGGCGAGATCTCTATATCTCCCCAGCCTCTGCGCCAGCTATTTGACTTACTTCGCCATACAAAACTTTTTCCTTCCCGACCCCACCGCATCGTGTCGGCAATCGCGCCGTCACTCCTCCGACACGCCGAACGCGCCTGGTGGATGACTGAGTTGCTCTTGCAGTGAAACAAGTCCCTGAGAAGCCTCAGAAAGACAAAATGGCAGCGAAATGCTGTTCTGCGGGTGAAATCTCCGGAGTAAGTTGAGTACTCTACGTACACAATGTGACCGAGACTGACGTGCGCTTTAGCTGGCCAATACTCTCCAAGGACATGTAGATGACATTCGTACTCTGATACAATGCGGCATTTGCATTCGACCCCTCTATGAGCCCTTCACTCTCGCATGTGGGCACACATTCTGCTATTCAGTGAGTCGATTTACATTGATTTGATTCCCGTTTCCCATCTAACGCAGATCTCTGTAGTGCCTATCGTCATGGTTTGCAGGAGGGAAATCAAAGCGAACATGTCCCGATTGTCGAGCACCTGTCAAAACGCAACCGGCACCAGCATATCTAGTAAGTACAACACATGCCCTTATCTAGTTCATTACATCTAATACTCTGGTGATTTACAGGTCCGCGCGGTCGTGCAGATGTTCACAGCTCGTGCTGAGCTGCTAGACAAAGGCGAAACAACTATGGAGCATACCAAAAACCGTCAAGAGGAGGCGGGGAAACTCGACGAAGACAAGGCGAATAACCATCCAACGCAAGGTGGTCTATTCGGTGGACTTTTCAGACCTAAAGCTCCTCTTCTGAAACCCGTCAATGACGTTGACGATGGAGTTATGCGATGTCCGCACTGTTCATGGGAACTTGAAGAAGGGGAGCAATGCGCTAATTGTGGCTATCGATACCCTGGTTCTGAAACAGGCGAGACAGAATCAAGCGAAGAGAGTGAAAGTGGCAGCGACGACGATGACGACGACTCAGATGGCATGGAGGACGATGATTCCGAGGACGGTTCAGAAAATATTGATGATACGAATGGTGGATGGGCCCCAAATCAATATCCTATCAATGGTCCCAACTTTGGCATGCAGCCTTTGCCAGGCTTTCCGAGCGACTACCACCTCATGGGTCACCTTCACTACCATGATTCTCTAATGTTACCTGGAATTATTCCACGATTCAATGCACACTATGACCCGGACGAGTTCGATTATGAAGAGGATGAGGATGAGGATGAGAATGAGTACGACCACGAAGACTCTTTCATCAATGATGCAACACAGCTTACGAGCGCCGACTACGAATCGGACTCGGATCATTCTACTGTTGTGAGAAGTTCTCAGCGCAGTCTTCCTCCCGTACGACACGGCCATCAAGAAGATGATGACGATGATGAAGAAGACGATGACCCTCAATCTTCCTCGGCAGAAGAAAGAGGCTCAAACTCAGACTCGGTAATGGACGACTCATCCGATGAAGATGATATTCGGGCAGTGCCTGCTCGACAGGCATTTGGTAACACACCTCAGCATGCCTGGGTGATTCCCACCTCCTCTCCATGGGCACAAAGCATGCAAAGGGCTCAAAGAGCGCAAAGGGCGCATGAAGCCTCCACCTCCTCCGCCGGGACTGTTAACTTGGACTCAGAATCCGAGGAGGAAGAGAGAGAGACATCTGATATTTCAAGGCCCGCGAGCTCGTCGCCTCCTGCAGCGTCCACACGACCCAACACAGTTCGCGGGCTTTCCGCTCGCAATGTGATTACACTCGATGATTCCGACGACGAAGAACCCGTTGGCCCAGTGAGAAGAAATACTCAAAGACGGCAAAACAGATACTCCCCATACTAAACTTTTTCTTTCGACACAACATCTACTACCACCCTATACAGCCTACTTATTGTTCTTCAGCACGGCGTTTGGGAATAGGTAGAAAGCATACTTGGCGCTTTGTTTGCATTTTACTATCCTTTGATATCCAAAAAACGGGACTTTTTATCTTTGATGGTTCCAGCGACTTTAGTGTTAGATCTTCATGTTATCTTCTCTGCCCCTTCTAACCTCTTTTCTATCACCTTTACACTTATGCCCCGTGGCTTCTTTCCCGGCTCAAATGACCTTTTTTTTCGTTCGCTTTTTCTGGCTCTTACTACCAAGAGAACGCACCAAAACCTAATATCTGATACACACATGTTGAACCTCCAATATATCTTACTTCATAGTATCGAATTTCAAGCTTACCACTTGCAGCATCTCGTTTCAACAAGAGATACTGATACAGCTGGTTATGTGTTTCAATCAAAGTGATCTTAGTGTCCATCCCTAAGTACAGGTGCTTGTCTACAAAAATGTCAAGGTCCCTAGGATACTGAGTTCATTTTGTATAATTGAGATCGCAAGTTTGGTCCCAATGTCCTGAAGAGAAGGTTGATTTATAAACAAAGTACTTGAATCAAGGATCCCGGTAAATACCTTTCTTGCCTTCAATTGGGCTACCTTCTTGGAGCTGTTGTTGAATGTCTTTGGTGAATCATCCAGCTCATATAAAAATGAGAGGGTTGCAGAAACTGATGCTCTACATCAATGATATTCGTCATGATATAGCGGAACTTTCCCCAAAAATACCTGATTGACCACACGGGGTTGTCCTAGTATTGAATCAAGAAGACGAAATCACCAGGCGAGGAGCGTTTCACATTTAAGTCACTTTATGAGCGACAAGACATGTAGACAAAATTAATGTCGGAGAAAGCAGCATATCCACTAGGGCATTGGGATCAAGGTGAGGTAGAATGATCTTGAATTCCCTGAGGTTAGACATCCAATGTTCGCTCTTACGGCGCTGACGGGGTTTAGAGTCTGTACTATCGTCCTCATCATTCGAATCATCGTTTGAATGCTCGTCACTCTCACCATTGTTGGATTGATTAGACGTGGATTGACTGCCGTAGGAGGCAATGCCTGATTCAGAGGCCAAGAAGGGAGTAGTCTCACCATGCTGCTTGCTGCGCTTCAAACATTTGGACATGCAAACCAAGAGTAAAGATGTAGTAACGAGAAGCTACGTCAATAGAATTGCGAGTAGTGCAGCGTCTTCGGCGGTTATTCCAAGTGCCAGAAAAGAAACCGTCAAGCCCAACGTAATCACAAACAGGCCCAGGATCTAATCAAGAAAAGGTTTCTTCAGCTCTACATGTGACTACACTTACTTATACTGAGAATTTATGAAGTCATGTTTTACAGGATAATGCTTGCAATAGGGATATGATTGAATACTCAATGCACCAAAGAAATCCGGTACATATGCAAAAATGGTAGAAATACATACACAGATCTGACTCCAAAGACACCGGACCCCGAGCAACGCTCCCCATTTTATCCTTGACTGGTGAGCAAGGCCGAGACAGAACAATTATGAACAAGATTTATACATCAGCCCTCACGGTTTCATTAGTGGTGAGCGGAACCTCGAACACGACAGTCCCGTTGCGACCCCCGGCAGTAGTGCCTTCGTAGTAGTTGTTGGTAAAGCACTTCCAGCGAGCCAAACGGTGCTCCTTGCCAACAGCAGCAACGATTGATACACCACGAGGCTCGTTTTGGGTCTCTGACTTAGATTTTGATTCACCAGGAATGTCGGATTCGGGACGGCGCTCAAAGACTGCAATGTCATTGATGACACCCTTGATCATGGGCTCCGGTTCTTGAGTTTCGGGCTGAGGCTTCTCATCCTCGACCATACGTTCTGGGGTAGCATCGAAAGCAAGAGTCTCCTTGAGTTGTTGCGAAGGTGTGTCGGGTGTCGCACTGCCGAGAGAGCCCTGGCCGATGGGTCCTAAAGGAATGATAGTTCTCTTATCGTCCGAAATGCGCCAGGCGCGAATCCAGCCATCCCAACTGCCACTGAGTACAATATCAGTACCGGGAAGCGTGGTCAAAGCGGTAATCCAGCGAGGCATAGGGCGCAAGTGACGCATGTTGTGGGCGGCAGTCTCCTCGTTGGTTTCGGGTGATAATTCTTGCAGAGGTGGGATTGGGTCCACGCCATGAGCGAGACGGATGGTGAAAAGAGGCTTCTTTTTGTGTACGGACCAGAGACAGATAGAGCCAGAGTCTGAACCGGTAACAAAGTGGGCTGGTGGTAGGGGAGCAATGCAGTCAATGTTGCTCTCGTGGTAAGGAGCACTTTTTGCGGCGCCACCACGGAACACCAATTGTGTTTCGTCGACAACCTTCCACAAACGGGCTGTGCGGTCACGGGCTCCAACACTAACACACTCGTCGATGGTCATGGCGGCAACTCCGGTAACATGATCTTGATGACCGAAGAGGGTTTCAACATAGGCGTGGCCAGCTCCGCTGATGGACCACGTCTTGATTGTACGATCATAAGAACCAGAGAACAGCTGCTCTCCGGAACTCATCGTCGAGATATGGCGTGCAAAGGACAATGAGCAAACGGAATCTCGGTGTTGTAGGAAAGTCTTGGTGGGCGTCAAAGTCTCCGCATCCCAGATGATCAATTTGTTATCGGCTCCACCGGTGGCCACAAACCGCCCAGAGGGAGACACGGCAACAGATAAAATGTCTTTTGTATGTCCATGCTCTTCGCCAGTTTCGGGGTTCTTGCGCATGCCCCGAGCATACTTAACACGCTTGGGCTTCTTGCGTTGGGGACGTGGAGGCCGCTTGGAAGTATCAGTATCACCGTTTGATGCTGTAGAGGCTGGTGCACTCGGCGTGACCAACTCCCACTTGGTCAGAGTCCTATCCTTTGAAACAGCGTAGACGTATGGCGCATGAACAGCAATAGCGGTTGTTGATTGGGTATCTGAGCGGAAAAAGGAATGGGGAGCGGTAGGGAAGGCTAAGTTCGCAGCGATTTGACGGAACGTCCGTCCTTTGAACTCATCAACATCCTTCTTAAGTCGTTCTGCGATCAAGTCTCGATCAATGTCTGCCGCATCGAATCCGGCTTCGTCGACCTCATCCTTGATGTTTTCCAAGTAGCGTTCAGCGAGTTTCAATCGTCGATCTCCAGCTGTCTCGCCGTCTTCTGAATCCGATCCGCTCTCGTCGTCTGATTGCGATGCGATGTCGTCTTCGTCAATATCACTACCAGAGATTGATTCTTCTCTCTCTCTGGTCCGACGACCGGCGCCATCGGGTTTAGCATCTCCGCCTCGCTTCTTCGATCCTGGGGCTGAGGCGCGGTCATCTCTCTTGCGCTTGCGCTGGGCAGCGGGGACAGTAAAAAAGGAAGACATAGCGGCCTTGTATCAAGCCGGGGGTTCTCTTCCTATTTTCCGCAGAGAACAAAAATAATTGAGGAAATGGCGTTCTCGAAAGACTCGGGCTGCGGAGATCAAAACTTCAACTTTTTTTTGGCAGAAAAAAAAGCGCTAAGCGGCGGCTGACTCAGCAGTAGCTGACCCCGGGAGCTCCAGGCGTCAAGCTCACCGCGCGGTCCTCCTCACTTAATCACTTCTCCTCTTCGCCTTCATTGATCATCTATTTGCTTGTTTCTTTCTTGACTCTCACTTACCGCAAAGATGTGAGTTTATCGCTGGTCATCACTGTGATTTCACAAATGGTTACTGACTGTTGCTAGGGAGGTTCTCTTGGGTATCGCCGGCAAGGACTTTGTCATTCTTGCAGCATCCAAGGCCGCAATGCGAGGCCCGACAGTTCTCAAGGCCGAGGATGATAAGACACGACAGCTGAACAAGAACACACTTATGGCCTTTTCTGGAGAGTCTGGAGACACTGGTATGTCACTCCTACTATGGTCTCAATGAGAAACATGCTAATGACGTGGGTTGTTTTAGTTCAATTCGCCGAATATATCCAAGCCAACGCTGCGCTTTACAGCATGCGGAATGATACCGAACTCAGCCCCTCCGCCGTTGCCAACTTCGTTCGAGGAGAATTGGCGCGTAGTCTGCGATCTCGGAGCCCTTACACCGTCAACCTACTCCTCGGTGGCATAGACCCTGTCACTGAGGCTCCCCATCTGTACTGGATTGACTACCTTGCGTCATTGGCTCCTCTACCATATGCCGCTCACGGATATGCTCAGTATGTTGGAATGATGCTTTAGGACGAAGTGCCATCGCTAACTTGAATAGATACTACTGCCTATCGATTCTCGACAAACACCACAACCCTAACATCAACCTTGATGAGGGACTCAAGCTCCTCACTTTGTGCACAGATGAGCTGAAGCGCAGACTACCTATCGACTACAAGGGAGTAAGTGAAATGTGACCTTTCGAGCATGCCATTATACTGACTTTCTCTCCAGGTCTTGGTAAAGGTAGTGACGAAGGACGGCGTCAGGGAAATAGAGGTTGATAACGATAAGGTGGTCAAGAGTGCTTGAAGGTCGACATGAGGCGTTTGTTGAATCACATCCTATGACGTTTTTCTTTGGTTATGGCTTCATCTTGACATGATATGAATTTGGCTGTAACAAATGAGTAAATTTCCAAATGATCTTTACAATATAAAAGATCAATCTAGCAAGACTCGCATATTACACCTGTAGAGTAGTCCAGTAAGTCGTGGTTGTTGTAGTGTCTATTGGCGGAGCTTCCTTGATCTCGTGTTGGTTGTTTGACTGGTTTGCATCGAGATCGCATTCCGTCCGTAAGAACCGGGCGATCAACCTTCTCTACAACCACATCGCAATGTCGAAAAGGCACGCAGAGCTCCCTTTGGAACAGGACTTTTCAGGCTCGCCCGCCTCAAAAAAGGCCCGCGTCGAGGACCAGATGGAGGCTGATTCTCCGAATGGCGCAGGACTAGCAAGCAGCGAGCTCGAACAGAATGGTCGCAATGGAGCGGATATCGAGGGAGCTGCGCAGCTAGAAAGAGAGGAGCTGGAGGAAGGCGAAAAGGACCCTTCTAGTCTTTCAGATTTCGACGAAGATGCGCCTGCGCTTACTGCACCGAAACGACAGAGCGCTCCCATGGAAGGATATGGCGACCTCTACCTGGACACAATCAACCGCGAGATTCTCGATTTCGATTTCGAGAAGCTATGCTCTGTTAGCCTGTCAAACATCAATGTGTACGCCTGTCTCGTCTGCGGCAAATACTTCCAAGGCCGCGGTCCCAAATCACACGCATATTTCCATGCACTCGAAGTTGGACACCACGTCTTTATCAATATCGGCACAAGGAAAGTCTATGTGCTGCCAGAGGGATACGAGGTTAAGAATAAGAGCCTGGACGACATCAAATATGTGGTGGATCCCCACTACACAAAGAGCGAGGTAGTCAAGCTTGATAGAGAAGTCCATGATGCTTGGGATCTCTCTGGAGCTCGCTACAGACCAGGTAAGAGCCCCTTAAACACTGGACTTCTTGAAATATTTCGAACTAACTATATATATTACAGGATTTGTCGGCATGAACAACATTAAAGCAAACGACTACGTCAATGTAGTAGCCCAATTGATGGCACACGTTCTACCAATTCGCAACTTCTTCCTCCTCCACGAATTCCCCACACCTGGCACACCGGAAATGGTCCTCCGTTTCAGGACTCTTGTGCGCAAGCTATGGAATCCGAAAGCATTCCGGTCACATGTCTCTCCGCACGAGTTGCTGCAAGAAATCGCCTTGCGATCCTCGAAGCGGTTCACTCTCACAAACCAGTCAGACCCGGTGGAATTTCTCTCCTGGTTCTTAAATGCCCTTCATCTTTCTCTGGGTGGATCTAAAAAGCCTTCACCAACACCTACAAGTGTCGTTCACGCAGCGTTCCAGGGCCATCTCCGAATTGAAAGCCAAGCTATCACCGCCCACTCCGATACCCAGAATGCCCGGTTGGTATTCACCGAATCTGGCACCATCAATAGCCAGGTCACACCTTTCCTAATCTTGACATTGGATCTGCCCCCTACACCTCTTTTCCAGTCGGCCAATCGGGAGTCCATCATCCCCCAGATTCCCCTGACCACCCTCTTGAACAAATATAACGGCTACACGGCATCAGAGAAACAGGCCCACCGTGTCCGACACCGTCTTCTTCATCCTCTCCCACCATACCTCTACTTCCATATCAAGCGTTTCAGCAAGAACCGTTTCGTCTCCGAGCGCAACCCAACCATTGTCACTTTCCCGTCTCCCCGCTCTCTGGATATGTCACCATATGTCGAGCCCAACCCCGATATTTGGTCACCAGGCGAGCCAATTCTCTACGACCTCGTGGCAAACATCATCCTTGACCCAGCTGTAGCCGCACCTGGTGCAACCGATGACGCCGTAGACAAGGGCGTTAATGCGGCATCAGGTGCCGGGGGTTCCAGCGGTGCCGGCGGCGGCAGCGAAAAGGTATCGTGGATGGTCCAGCTCCACGACAAGGCTATGTCAGCCGAGAACGCTCGTATTCAGAAGGCCGGTGCTACGGAGAAGCAGCAGCGCGGACCGGAGTGGCTCGAGATCCAAGATCTGTTTGTGAAGCCTGCGGAGAGCGAGACGCTCTTTACTCGCGAGGGTTACCTAATGGTCTGGGAGCGACGCAAGGTCCCTGGTCAGAAGGGAAGGGGCCGAGCATAATCTGGTCTGAGATGGTAAAATCTCAAGGAGTTGGTTTGAATACCTGTATTTCTGTTTCTTCCTATATATGCTGGACTATCCATTTCCTCGTTGCTCCCTCTAGAGCAAGGCTGGTGTATTACTAAACAATGACGAACTTATGTGCCTTGGAGTCAAGCTATTTTGAAGGTCTACTTTCTGGTAGTTGAGAAATAGTATGGGAGGAGTAAAAGGTGAGACTGCTGCGCTGATCCTTCTGTACAACAGGGGCCATGGATTGGCTTACAGTCCTACGGAGCATCAGACATTTTGTGTACTCACGCCTCGCAGTGTGTGGACTTTGAATGCATTTTTGAGGCCCTAACTTACTTGACCTTTGGTTTTTATATTCTTTTTCATCCATTTCAAGTGCCCCGGGTGCATCAAATAGAAGATATAAAACTGTTACTTTTAATAGAAAAATATGACCGTCGTTGTAGTTGACTCGTAAAGCATAACTTAGGTATTGACAACGCCAGCAGGAATAACAAATCAACATATCATAAGCTCCCCCAACCACAAAACTTCCTCCCAATCCTCATCGTCGACCCAACCAGGAATCCCCATATACCAGCTCTCATAGCAATATGCATTCCCCGCATAAGAACTAGTCGGCACATATAAGCACCGATATCAGGCCAAGTTCTTCCACCAAACCACAGGCCCAAAGGATGAACATCCGAAAGCCGAGTAATATCCGAGGGATGTGTGGTCAGCCATGACTGGGTCAAAGAGCGGAAGAAAAGTGCTTCAAGGGGCGCAAGGATAACACCGCTGATTGCGGCAGCGAGATTTGACGCGAGTGAATCGACTGGGTAGGCCGAGAGCAGAGTAACACGGTGAACTCCCGATGAATGAACGGTTACAGGTCTGGGAATGCGAGAGGTAGGCGGGAGAGGTAAGTGGAGAGTATCGGACTGCGTGTCTACGTTGTGCTCCGCAATAGCGACTGGAATTGGCTGGATAGAGGGCTCTTCGTCGATTGGTTCTTCCACCCCATCTGGGAGAATGTTTGGAACGCTGAGTTCTGGTGCTTCTTCAATGGATTCCAGAGCTGTGAGTTCATCATCGGACTCATGGCCTTGGGTCTGGTGCGGCGTTGTTGGCTCGGGGACACTTAGTTCTTGGGGTGTCGTGACGGATTGACCAGCTGTGACGCTGGAAAAGCCGTCAGTGTCGCCTCCTGCTGGTGGATTTAATCCCTGGCGTTGGGCCTGGCTTAATATGAGAGCCTCGAGGAATTCAGCTATCGATCGTCTATCCATGGCGTCCGCATGCCTATTAAGACCCGGGGCATCATTGCCTGCTAGGGCATTTAAGTTGGCAAGGTTTGAAGCCTGGTTCTGTGGATTCCGGTTTCGATTACCCAAGAGTTCAAGTTGCATTGTGATAATGTCAGAGCTCTGATGAATCAAGGATGCTCTAACACGAGGTGATGTAGGAGGAGATGTCTCTGGTGAAGACGGATGAGAGAACAGAGTGTTGGATCGTGAATTGTTTCGGTCCAAGGCCGAGCTCCCGGCATTTTGTGAATCGCCTCGTTGGTCTTGCTGGTTTGAAGTCGTCGATGGACCACTTGTTCGCTCAACTGTGGCTATTTCGGAGAAATAATCATTGCTCATTTCGCCGGGAGACTGAGACATGCGGTTCTCATTTGTGAGTACCTGATGCAAGCCTGCATTTGTATCCAATCGACTCGAAGTTGTAGATGCAGTTGCATCTCGTAATCGAGGTGGTGCAGTGACAGGAACCTGGGCATCAGATGCGATCCCCGAAGGCCTAGGTAGCGAGTCATTCGGCTCATTTCCATCAGTAGAGTTGAACTGTGTTCCCTCGAGTTCATTTTGTAGCATCTCAATCGAATTTCGGAGGGATTCAATCCTCTCGTCTCTAAAAGACGCGAAGGCTTGCTGGTCTGATGACTGGCTCGATCGCAGCCCAAAGAACGAAAAAACCCAGTTTCGAAAAGCACCTAGCTCACACTTGATATCTTCAAGTAGCGTGAGGTTGCTACGGTACATTTCTTCGTCTGATTTGCGTCCCAGTGTTGGCACCACCCACTCAATTAGGTTTTCTTCAAATGCCACTCGAACTGAGAGTTCATCTGCAATGGTTGCTTTTGGCAGACGCCGCCGAATCAGTCTATAGATACGCTCCTCCAAATCCGGACGCAAATAGTAGCCATAGACGAAAGCTAAGATGCCAGGATGGGTTAAAAGACCCACAAGCGAGGTTCCCAGGGAGCCAGGGGAGATATCGGTGGGAAGTGCCGGTAGCTGTAGTAAGGACCCCGTTCCAAACGGAATTAGAAGTTGAGCGTTAGGAATTGACCAGGGTGCCACAAGAGAGAGTGATTGGAGTATGGAATACATGTAGAATTCCACAGAGAGCATGAGCACGGAGCTCTTAGCCCTGTATTTATCATCAGCCTTTCTTACTGTCGTTATGGACGAAGAATAAACCTACATTGTGTACACGAGCCCAAAAAAAGATCGAATTCCAAGTGACTCGCCCGTAAGATATTGGGCATAGTCTCGTAGAGAGGCGAAGATCCGTTTGAGCGGACTCTCACGAGCGATGGCCAATCCGCTTGAGATTGCCCATGCAGGTATTCCTGCGAAATAGAATCCGAGAACCCCTGTTGCTCCTCGCTCGGACTTGATAACCTCAAGCAAAGCAGAGTGTGCATAATGTTTGTAAGTCTCAATAGTTACTTGATGTTAGTCTAACCCTCGAAACTATTAGAGTGCATTTACCTGTACTCGGCCAGTGAATGAAGAGGTCCACCAGGTACCAAAAAAGACTAGTAGTTGGTCGAGGGTCGTTATGACAAGTCCGAAGTCATTCTCGCTCGCAATTTGGTTGATCTTTTGCTGCTCGTTTGGAATACTAGTTTTTCGGTCTTCTCCGCTGACAACAATTCCCATTGTTGAGAGAATGTCATTCTTTGCCCTTCGAAACTCTCGCCCAAGAGTCCTGGACTCCGGATTCACAGGGTGGCCACGAGCATCATACTGCTGCATGTAACTATCTGCGTGGACGCTGGAGACCCGGCGCACGGGGTTAGAAGTGTCAACCACCGCAGTGTCGGGGGCTTCATATGGTGACCGGCCCTTGAGTACAGTCAGTATGATTGATTTGTTGAGTTGTAGCTTGTTTCACAAGGACATCATAACACATGTTGTGTTTGCGGGCCAACTAGTTTCACATGGTACATCCAAATGATATTACATCCAGACAAAACAAAGCCATCTTGAAATATACCACAGGCATATTATTGCAACAAGCGGAGATAATGTATGGGTAAGGCAAGAGAGGTGGCTTACCAAAGCGAGCCTGTTCAAATAGGCCTGTCGACCCATATCGTAAACTTTGACTTGGTCAGTATCGCAGCTACATTTCCTTTCAGCACAAGCAAGATAAATGTTCCCCGATAGAATAAAGGTGCATTCAAAGAGAGACGAAGATGTCAAACACCGTCGAAGGTGAAGTGATGCGGGTTTGGCGCCTGAGGCATGCACGATATCTTATCACCGAACAAACAGAACAAACAAAAAAAGTTGCCCGCTCGAGCTGCCATTTTTTGCGACTGAACTTCTCTCGGGCAATGGCTGATTTCTGATTTGATCTCCTACAGTCATGTCGAAAGCTATTGTCAAAACTACTTTCGAGGCGTCTCGCACGCTCCGCCCTATCTATACTGGCGGTAGCACGGCGCTGGACGCCAGTGGGCGCATCTTGCTGAGCTGCGTCGGCGAGGATGCTCTGATCGTCGATCTTGAAACTGGTAACCAGCTTGCCAGTCTTGAAGGAGTAAGTTATGCCGCTAATTGTTCTCCTGGGTTAATTGCAAGGTACTAACTGCGAGCCGCACAGGATGGAGAAATTGTCACCGGTTTGGCCAGTAAGTAACAGTTGCTCTCGTTGAGATTCAAGTCTAACGTATTTTTTTAGTCACGCCTTCTGCCTCACACGCTATTATCTGCTCGCGCTCAATGTCAATGCGCATCTACTCTCTCTCACCTTTCGACGAGTCTTCTCAAACTATTGAAACAAAACTTCTCCGAACCCTCAAGCCTCACACTGCGCCCGTCGTGACTATTGCTGTCGATCCTACTGGTACTTTGCTTTCCACCGGTGGTGCGGACGGCTCGATCAAGGTCTGGGATATCAGAGGTGGCTTTGTCACGCACACTTTCCACGGTCATGGTGGTGTTATTTCTGCACTCTGCTTCTTCGAGGTGCCTACTGCCGACGAGAAGACCTCTATAAAGAACAAGCGCAAGTCTACGGACGAGGATGAAGATATGGATGAGAGTGCTTCCGCAGGCTCTACTGCTGGCTTCCGCTTAGCCTCCGGCAGCGAGGACGGCAAATTGCGCGTATGGGATCTGCACAAGAGAAAGTCCATTGCATCACTAGAGTCTCACGTCTCTCTTGTTCGCAGCTTGTCCTTCTCTCCTTCCGAAAATGCTTTGATTTCAGCCAGCCGAGACAAGACAGTCATCGTTTGGGATGCACGCACTTGGAAGACTCGCAGAATTATTCCTGTTTTGGAGAGTGTGGAAGCCGCTGCTTTCATCGCTGATAGCGGGCTTTGTGTCATTGGTGGAGAGAACGGGAAATTGCGTGTCTGGGACTGCAATCGTGGCAGTGAAGTCACAGAGGAACAAGAGGCAGGAGAGGAGTTTGAGAGCGTTGTCGCTATCCAGTATTCGGCCGGTTTGCCTTTCGTCTTGACTGTTCACGCAGACCAGACACTTCGCCTTCACTCGCTCGAGTCGCTTTCTGCGTACAAGCCTGGGTCAACGCTGGAGCCCTTGACAATCATCCGTCGTATCTCTGGAAACGACGATGAGATTATTGATTTGGCCTATGTTGGACCTGACCGATCAATGCTTGCATTGGCCACCAACACCGAGAGCATCCGTGTCGTTTCAGTTGCCCCATCAGAGGACCGGCCATCAGACAAGGGAGACGAGGAGTATTTTGGTGCTGATGTCACACAGCTCGAAGGTCACGACGATATCATCATTTGCATCGATGTGGACTGGTCAGGACACTGGCTAGCAACTGGCGCCAAGGACAACACAGCACGTCTCTGGCGTATTGACCCGAAGACATCCTCTTATACCTGCTTTGCTATTCTCACTGGTCACGCCGAGTCTTTGGGAGCCATCGCCCTTCCACGGGTACCACCGCCAGTTGGCAGTGCTGCATACAATGACCCTGTCAACTACCCCCCTGCATTCCTGATTACCGGTTCGCAAGATCGCACAATCAAGCGGTGGGACACAAGCAAGCTTGCTCCTCTCAAAGATGACAAGCCGCACAACCCCAAGGCCATCTACACCCGCAAGGCTCACGAGAAGGATATCAACGCCATCGATATCGATTCCACATCTGAACTGTTCGCTTCCGCTTCACAAGATCGTACCGTGAAGATATGGGCCGCCGAGGAGGGCTCCCCAGTTGGTGTCCTTCGCGGCCACAAGAGAGGTGTTTGGTCTGTGCGATTCGCTCCCCAAGGCACACCAATCATCAACACCGATTCTCGTACCAGCACAAACCGAGGACTGGCAGTCACGGGCTCTGGCGACAAGACTGTCAAGCTCTGGAGTTTGTCCGACTACAGCTGCCTCTTGACATTTGAGGGCCACACCAACAGTGTCCTCAAGGTTCTCTGGCTCCCACCTCCCCAGGTCTCCAACGACCACGGCGACGAAGAAGATGAAGAGACCACAGCGGCCCGTCACAACGCCATTCAGGCACGACCCCTGGTCGCCTCCGCCGCTGCAGATGGTCTAGTCAAGATCTGGTCCCCTTACACAGGCGAGCTCGAAACCACCCTGGACAACCACGAAGACCGAGTCTGGGCACTCGCCAGTCCGACTCCCTCCGGCTCACGCAAAGATGTGAAGCAAATCACCTCCAAATTCAACTCAACCCCCTACGCGATAGCCTCCGGCTCTGCAGATGCAACAGTCACCTTCTGGACAGATACCACCTCGGCCACCTACACCGCCGCTGTGAACGCCAACTCTGAACGCATCGAGCAAGACCAGGAGCTCCAGAACCACATCCGGGCCGGTAACTACCGCGAGGCCATCGTTCTGGCCCTGCAACTCAACCACCCGGGCAGACTTTTGTCCCTCTTCACAGCAGCCATCAACGCTGCAGACGACCCTACCCTCCCAGCCGAGGAACGCAAGCGTGCCGCGGCCAGTTTGACCGGCAACCCTTCCATCGACGAGGTTCTGCAGTCCCTGGACCCCGCCAACCTGCGCACTCTCCTCCTCCGTATCCGCGACTGGAACACCAATGCTCGCACCGCGCGCGTTTCACAGCGTATCCTCTATGCTCTGTTCCGCTCGTACCCTGCCTCCACGTTCGTCGAGCTGGCCACTCAGTCCATCCGCGGAAAGAACGGCCGGGCTGCTGCTGGCTTGAAGGATATTCTGCAAGCTTTGGCTGCATACACCGAGAGACACTACCGCCGGGTTGAAGAGCTTGTCGATGATAGCTACCTGGTCGAGTGGGTGCTTGGTGAGATGGATGGTGGTGTTGGTCTTGGTGGACTTGGTGCTTTGACTATGGACGATGCCAATGGAGATGAAGATGAGGATGAGCATGAAGATGATGTTGATATGTTGGAAGCATAATCTGGCTTTTGTCTTCTACCATGTTTGTATATTGTTTGGCGCTTTCTTTCTTGGAGTACCATGGGTGGGAAGGATAAAAGCCATCTACTTTTAACTTATAGAATTGAACAGTGTATTACGGCTCTTTGACTTTAGTAACTAGATAAAATGGTGGCTACAGTCCACTATAGATTCTCTCAAGAAAACACGAATGGGTAATATGCACTTAGGGCTTTTTTGTCCCTAGTTTGTCATTCTTCACTTTGATTGTCCAGGGTATCTCTATTTATAACACTTTTTGGTGGCCGAATTTAGTCAGACATCTCTCCTGTAGTGCAAGTTATGATGTACAACATCCTCCAAATTCTCAACCAGGTCATTCATATTTTCAGTCGTCACGACGGCTGCGTCGAGAGTCACGATCGCGTTCCCGGTCTCGGTCATGTCGAGATGAGTGTGAAGAACGTGAACTGCTGTACTTGTCGTCTTTGTACCGGTCACTGCGATCACTATCATGATCTCGATCGCGGTCTCTTCGTCGGTCTTTATCATCATGGCGGTCCCGGCGGCGATCCCGATCATAATCCCGATCGCGATAGGAGCGATCGTTCCGTCTGCTTCGATCATCGTCATCGTGCCGGGATCGTCTAGAGGATTCACGGCCACTGGATAGACTGCGGTCACGGCGTGAAGACCCATTCCTCTTGCGGGAGCGATCATCATCATCATAATCGCGCTTGCGGTATTCCCGGTCCTTGTCTCGTCCGCTCTTTTCGAGGTTGCGATCTCGTCTGTCGCGCCAATCTTCCTCCTTGGGAGCGGCTTTCGCCTCTTTCTTGAGGCTCTCGAGTTCTTCCTCGGTCATGTACTCGCCCGTCTTCTTGTTGCGCATCGTAACGGGCATATAAACACCCTCCACCTTCCCATTTTCCTCGCCTGCCTTCCTAGACGCTTTGCGCATAGCTGCTTTACCCCAAGCGCCGAGTTCTGTTTCAGCACCTTTACCGCCTGATGCATCCTTTGCGCCAATACCAAGGAATCCAGGTCGTCGTTCTGGAACACGAGCATTCTTCGCCTTCTCAGCGGCAGCGGCGCCGCCATAATTGCCCTTTCCAATAGACTGGCCGTCCTTCCAGCCCATTCCTCGTAGCAGTGCTGCACCGAACTCCTCCACGGGAATGGCGTTGTAAGCATCCAAGGTAGCAGACTCCGGCCGCGAAGCTACATCTGTCTGGAAAGAGTTGGTCTCGCTGTAGTGAATCGGAGCCTCTTCTTCTTTCTTATTGTTTGATTCGATGACAAGGTCTGTTCTGCGCTCAACATCGCCCTTGGTCTCGCGAATCAGTGCCTGCATGGCAATCTCGTCGTCGGTAAGAGGCTTCGTCGCAACAGGCTTCGCATCGGGCATAGCTTGATCTTCGTCCACCACGCGCTTGTCTTCCTGGGCTTCAGACTCTTTGGCAAAACTCAGTCCGTATGCCACACTCGGCGCATCCGTCTCAACCGTGGGATCTCCGCCGGGTGCTTGTCCATTCTTCTCTGCCTCTTGCATAGCCTGCACTTCACGTGGCAGCAAGTTCTTGCTTTTCTTCCCATTGGTACCTGCACGGTCGCGCCAGTTGTTCTTGCTAGTTACTGGGATTACCAGTGGCTGGTTTTTATCCTTGACTGCTTGTCCGTCGGCGGTGATTGCGCCACCGGTATGCGTGTCGAACCCTGAGACTTCTTCATGGATTGGAGCGGCCTCTTCTTCGTCGGAGTCATCGCCGTGTGAAAGTTGGTGAGGTCTCTGGGGAAGAGAGCGGCCTTTGGCGGCTGGTGAGTCGCTGGCACGGCCGCGATTCGAGGATTGGAGGTTGAAACCGGTCTTTTTTGAAGGACCTTTGGAGCCGGAAAGGGAGAGGGATATTGGTTTGGAGGGCGGTTGTCCGCCTCCATGGGGATCGCGTGAGGACATCGCGAATATCCCGAGTATTCAAGAAATTGAGAAGATGAGAAGATGTCCCAGCGGAAGGCGGAGCATATCGCGAGAGCTTGAACCGGGCGGTGGCAAAATCGATTACACCAACCAACGAAGTATAAACTTGACATGTCCAACTGCGACTTCAGTTCTCATAGCCTGGCAGTACTGGGATGATCTTCTTGATATGATACATGATATTCGCTTCAACTAGCCTCTCTTTTTGAACCACTTCTCTGCGCCGTCTGTACCTCGTATTCAAGTGCATCGATTTCTAGTAATGCCAGATGGGCAACGAATGAGAGTCCAGTGTTTGGCTGAAAAGTAGGGATATTTTTACAAAAATGACAGGCTATTTCTTCTCTCCGCGCAAAGATGGATGCCCCTAAACTCGACATAGAAGACCGCTATTCAAATCATGACTCCACTCATCACTTCCAACTCCGCTCCAGACGAACAGACTCCCAGTGGGATCATATTTGTGTTTGATCCCCAGAAGGCGATCATAGTTCTCTCCATAGAAGTCATGTTTCCAGTTGTTCGTGAAAGGATTGCCTTCATTCATATATGAGCCGCTCTCCGGTGCCCACTGTTTCCAAACAGGCTCACAGGTAGTATCTAACCAGTTTGCCACCTCTCTCATGGACTGATTCGGATCACCACTGGCATTGACGGAAGCTCCATAAACCATGGTGTGAGCATAGGCTGCACGCCAAGCCGGAAGAGTGCTTCCACGCCTTTTTTCTGGCGTATTGGCTGTTCCCTTGCCTGCTTGCAATCCGAACAAAAGCATCGAGCCGGCAGTTGAGTTCCGAGAAACCATGATGTCTTTGAGGTATGTGACTAGCTTTTCTTTAGCAATATCAGAAAGCTCATGTCTTCCCAGAAGATGACTTGTCATTATGCTGACGGATCCACAGCTAGCGCTGGAAAGAGGATCTGGCTTGGTAAATGCCCAGTAGCCTTTAGACGAAGGTGACTGCATAGTGATGTTGACCTTTTCAACGTTGATCCGAGCAGCCAGTTGGTTGAGGGTGGCATTCATGTTTTTCGTGGTCATGTTAAAACCAGTAAGACTGAGCATAGCAGAGACACCAGGCAGATCCTCTTTCAGTCCCAAGAATGACATGGCCTTCTGCTTGGTTAGAGCAGTCACAGTTCCTGTGATTCCATGGTCCATCATATCAGGGATTTGGGCCGCAACTTCGGCCATTGCATTCCAAGATGCTTCACTGCTGGCATTCGAATTCTGAGCAGGATAGAACGTAAGCCCGCCACTAACCACATTGGCAGGAACTGGGTGCGTTTTCAACACGAATTCGGTGACCACTCCGTATTGACCTCCCCCAGCACCACGAATCGCCCAGAACAGATCTTGGTTTTGGATGTCATTGGCGACAAACTGGCGGCCCTCGGTTGTGATCACGGTGACTTGATACAGCTGGTCAGAAGCAAGGCCGTAGTGGCTTGAAAGAAGCCCGTGGCCTCCATTTTGTATCAAGCCACCGAGTCCTACGGTGGGATCTTCCCCGCCAACCACTGTCCGGTTCATCTTGTGTACTGCAGTATAGACAGTTCCCCAATTGTTACCACTGCCACAGATAACGACATCCTCGGTAGTATTGCTTCCAGCTACTTTCCATGCAGGCCTTCTCTCGATTTTCTTGAAATTATGTGTCCAAATTGAAAGAGAATAGGCGCCGGTAGAACTATGAAGCAGTTAGCTCACATACTGAAGTCAAGCGGAAACCCAAATAAATGACATACCGGCCACCAAGATCATGCCCTGTTCCTTTAACCACAATTCGAATGTTTTTCTTAGATGCCCATTTCATTGCGATGGCAATTTGCTGTTCGGATGTGGCATTCACGACATACTGCGGCAGTCCTCCGATGCTACACCCCTTGTCTTTGGAGTATCCATCGACTCCAGGAGGCAAACACGAGTTATTTGCGTAGATGGAGTAGTCCACACTTTCTGGCCATGCTGCATGGTGGGCTGCGTATGACCAATTCTCCTTCACTGTGGTGCAGTTTTCAGAAGAGCCGAAAGGATTCCCCGGATAGCACGAGGAGCCAGCTGGGGCCGTCTTTATGAGGCTTCCATGAATGGTCTGGTTAAGGGTATTCCACTCTTCTGGGGATGGCCACGTCAAATCGCCAGGGGAAGTCTTGCAATTTGGGGCGGCGAACGAGGTGGCAGTCAATACCAGAAGCGAAACAAGGTAAATATGAAGGAACCCCGGCATAACGAGGCTAGAATGCTTCAGTCCAATAGAAAGTTAAAACGAACTGAAATTTTGATTATAACGTTCGAATAGGTTCTCTTTATAATTCATACTGTACGGAAGATTAGGGAAGACGGGAAACGAATACGCTGGTCTTTGATAGAGTGATCTACAGTGTCGATCTATGGATGCAATTAAATTTGAATGCTGAAGATTTTACGTTTTCCAGCAGGCAACAAGCAATATTTCAAGTGAAATTGAAAGCAAATCAGAAAATGACGGTGCCTTAAGCTTGATTTTGGTGTCTGAAACTGAATATCAGTTCCCAATCAGGAGATATTTGCGTATTCGCATATAAACTCCGCTTCCGTCCTTTAACCCTGACTTCGGCGTCAACAGGGTTGAGAGAGTAGATTTTGGCTTGGGGTGCTATCTGTTCTGCATTAACGTATGGTATATCATCTTGACTCGTATTAAACATTCCTGACTGACAACAAGCAGGGCTGACAACGTAGTCCACACTATTCCGTAGACGCTTGCCGACAAGCCAAATTGAAGTGAGACCCATCCTTCACCGCGCTATATGATATACTTCAAAGCTTTATATATCTCTGTCCAGCTATTAATTGCTAAGCGGCTTCGTCCATAGCCTGACGTATCCAAAAATCTGTTGACCATGAACTCCCACTCGACAAAAAGAAGCATAAACGGCTAAGTCTGATCTAAGTGGATCCGCTGCCCCATGTACAGGCGTATTCGTTCGCAAATTACCCGATTTGGAATCTAGAAATAGCTTATGTCGTTCCACTTCAAGACCCTTCGATCTATAAAGATAGACCTTTTCTCAGTCGTCAATTTGCTTATAGTTACACCACTTTAGATTTCTCTGTATTCTTCAACATGGATATCGTTTACCACCCCGGCGTGAATGGATCTAATCCATGGGTCGAATTCTATCCCTATACACCGTCTGCCACCGCTGGCTATGCCTTCGTAGCAATCTTCGGAATCTCAACCATTGTCCATTTTGTACTGATGTTTCCCTTTCGGGCTGCATACTTTATACCTCTGGTTCTGGGTGCAATATGTAAGACCGCCCTTCCGTTTCCTCTCGAAAAAAAAAATTCAGAACTGACCAGAGCATCAGGCGAAGCATTCGGTTACTATGGCAGAGCATGGTCTCACGAGTCCCGAACGGATATAAAATCATGGGCTTTGCAAGAAATGCTCATTATGTGCGCTCCGCCACTCATCGCCGCTACAGTCTACATGGTCCTCGGTCGTATAATCCGCTCCTTCGACGCCGAACATCTTTCCAGTATGCGAGTCAAATGGCTCACATTTGTCTTTGTCATGAACGACGTGCTCACGTTTATCACACAACTTGGTGGTGCAGGTGTTCAAGTCACTGGAGATGCTAATATCATGGCCATCGGCAAGAAGGTTGTTCTGGCTGGCTTGATTTTCTCTCTGGTCGTGTTCGCTTTCTTCATCTACATCACAGCAAAGTTTCATCGGAGACTTCAGCAGATGCCTACACCTTTGATCCATCATAACCCTAGTCTTCATTGGCAGCGGTATATGGTGGCAATATATGTCGCCTGTTTTTCGATGATGATTCGAAACTTGGTGCGGACTGTTCAGTTCGGTGCTGGTCGACTGGCTGAGGTCAACACGAAGGAGGTTTATATCTATGTCTTTGATGCATTTTTGATGTTTTTGGTCATGCTTGTACTGATGGTTTATCATCCCGGTCGACTCATCAAGAAGGCTCGTTACCTGACCAAGATGGGTATGTTTGATGAGCGGATGGGAGAGCGCAACTCTGCTCATATACTGTTGTCAGACACTGAAATGGGCCAGCGCTCAGCTCGTTAAAGGTTGGTTTTTTTGTATTATTTTCTTTTATTCTTACTCTTGCTTTATATATTAAAATGGATCATCAATATGTTCCTGATGGAAGACAACCCGTACATGACATGTTTGAAGCGAGTAATTTATACCATTTTGTGTATCTTTTTACGTTTCAAATCAGTCCCTTTTTTCATATTCCTTTTTGTTTCTTTCTTTTCTAAATATCTTTTGTCCAAGCATTAGATCATATAAGTGAGGATTTTCAATGGCTTGTTTTCATTATTGACCTATTCAATGGATGTATAACAAAATACGGCGAACCACTCTGGCCATAGATTGCAGCTACTTAAGTGGCCCTCTTGGCTATCTTATGGAACAACTAACAGCTAGCGCCTTTGACGATAACATTCCAGTCGGTTTTATGAAATGCCTGCCCATCAACCGTGGGGTTCGAGATGCCAGCGCCACTGTTTGTACAGTGGCCTAGCACGTATAAAGCACCATCAGCAATGCTTCCAAAGGAGTTGAGAGTCTTTGAGCTCTTGGACTACTCATGTATGTTAGTCCTGGTTGGTGTACATAGAGTCATCATATTCCTGGGACTCACATCATTGCACCACCAGATGGCAGACTTGTACGAGCAGCTCACTCGAGCACAATTACTCGGGCCAGGTCCAGCTCTAGGATTACCTTTGATTCCACGGAGGTACTTGATACCATTGGAGATTGGCTTATACCGTGCAGATGTCCACTTGCCGCACACATACTTGGCGCCGTAGAAATCGGTTCGTTTGACCAGTGTAGCGGGTTGATCCTCGACGGGCAAGTCGGCGAGGAATTCTTCGTCCCACTTTGGGTTGAGTTTGAGGATTTCATCATGGGCTTCTTCAATCGTGCCGTTCAAGATGACTCTGTTGCCACCGGGGGTAATCTCGATCTCCCATTCAGGAATGTCTATGCCATATCCCTCTGGGGCTTCAGTGATCGCCGATGCCTAAAGTCATGTATTTAGTCCTGAGTAGTGAATAGACTTGAAAGACCCTGTCAGACAAACCAGAGGAGAGCAAATGGCGGAAAGCACCGCAAGAGCAAAGGCAAGTCTCATTCTTTTGATCTGAGTGGTAAGTTATGTATTGTACTTGATTGTTGATGCTGAGTATGACAATCTAAGTTGAGGCGACAGAGAGGTCTTTATATACCCCATGAAATTAGTCTCTCACCTCAATTGTACTCTGCATCACCAGAACTAAGACGGACCCCGACGAAGGGAAATGTCAGCCCTTGTCATTGGGCGGAGATAGCCAAGCCCTAAGGACTCTCTTGGTGCTGTCTATCACCTGAGCCCATGCTAAGATGAGACAAAAAATGAATCCAGTGCCAAATTAAAGTGCATCTTCTATCTCCGATTAGTTTATTTCGAATATCTAATATACGACACCATGTCTGGGCAAGCCTGGGTGAGAAACGAAATCTTGGCTAGGCGTCCAGCGCGCCCCTGAAGGATTCAGCCCTAAGACCCTGATGGCTACTTTCGGTATCATCCAGCGCTCTGCCTGCTGCATAGCCAATTGAATTAGCATGATCCCTGAGGAAATTGTCCGAGGCATGCACGCTATTTCATGCAGATGCAGCTCTCGGCGCCCGATGAACCCCTGCATTTGCAACGATTGGAATTATGCTCGTAATCCGAGGGTAACATCGTGTGTATTTCTACTGTGTTGCCAAGGACATGTTCGGTTTTGATTCTTCTTTCGGGCGAACTGAGCGAAATAGCCTGTGATTCAATGCGACGCGGAGTATTCCTGGGATACCTCTACATCGGGAAAGCGAAAATGAGGATAGCAACACTTCTCAGAGAAGATATAAAAGACAAGAGACACCCCTCTACCTAAATCAGTTCAGACCATTGCACAGGCTGCGAGTTACTTCTTCTTCGGTATACACTAGAACATTGCTTTCTGACGCCAGTTCCAGCCCGTCATCATGAAGAGAGCCACTGTTGTTTTCACTCTCTGCCTCTATTCCCTCCAGGTAACGATTCAATACCCCCATATGAACTCTCAGTCTGTTTAACAAGACCTCTAGGCTCTTGTGCTGGCATCGCCCTCCCCCTCATCTCTGGATGGATACGACCTGTTTATCCCCTCATGGGAAGTACAGGTCACTCCAAGTAGCGAGCCCATCGTCCTCAATGGGACAGTGGAAGAGTTACACACCAAGCTCCTCCAGCTGAACCCAAAGTGGGATGAAGACTTCGCAGAAATAGAAACAGAAGACGATGCACTCGTGGAGCGTGACTTCGACCTTGAGAAACGCACCGACTTTGCCGGCTCCAAGTATAACTGCTTTGGTCGCTGGGGTCGCTGTGATAGCATTCCTGTGAATCAGGGTATTACATACCTCCGCAAGTTGAATGGAAATCCACGGGCCGCAGCTGGTCCAAGCAGCTGTGCTCGAGTGAGCTGTTCTTACAAGGCTGCCATCTACTGGTGCAATGATGTATGGTGTCTCCTTTCTTGTTTTCGGAAACTAGGCTGACTTTTTTCAAAAGAGCAAGAGTAAAAAGACGCTGAACTCTTTTGGTAGTATTGCTGATGGTGCCAAGTATATCAACACCAAGTGTGTTCTTGGAAGTGGTCTCTCGAGATATACGGCCGGACAGGTATTTCATAAGTCGAACTGGAATGTGATTGTTCAAGAAGACAAATGCTAAGGGATTTGGGGAGGTTGTTCTCTGATAGTGTTCCGCGCACTCTTTTGGTTCGACGTTGGTCATGTTGTTCATATTAGTTAAGTCGAGTAGAAATAGGCAGAAGGGATATTGTGATGAGAGCGGTATATTCCATAGACATATTATTCGCATTTCATGCCTTTGGCTATAGTCTTGAGCTCAAAACGAAGCACTCGTAACGAGTATACCGCCTCGTGCATTGTTTTTGCCGTACTTTGGCCTATCAGTTGAAAGGCGTAGAGCGAGCTTTGATGTACAGGAAAATAGCCAAGGGCGAAGGCGCCTGATTCGTATCTAGACGTTGAGGGGAGACTTACGGGATAGCATGTTAGGGCAAGCCAACCAGAACAGGATCATCAGTCCTCGGTTCATTTGCTATATTTGGATACAATTACAAACCTCAGAAGGAAGGGAAGGCAAGTTCAAAACTAATCATACAATTCATTTCAATTCTTGGAGTCCGTCCATCCCAGAGGGTTCGCCTAATCCTATCAATAATACAGCCCATACCCAAAACATCAAAAAAAAAAAGCACTGGTAAGAAAAAAGGAGCCAGTGCATATCGAGTCCGCTACATTGAGGGAACATCGAAGTTTTCGAACGGTAAAGAAATCAAAGCACGCAAAGAGGTGTGAAAGGGGTTGAAGGGATATGTGGTAAGTAATAAAGGGTAAAGGGGATAAAAGGGATAAAGGGGATAGGTAGCGCGAGGTGTAAGTGCGAGAATCCTAATCAACCGAGGAAGAAGAAAACAGGGTCGAGGGCATAGAGGGGGTAATAAATCAAAGTAAGGTGTGGTGTAAGTATGTACATTTGAAGGTAGAAGTGGAGGGAGGGGGTTGCGTGCCACAGTGGTTTTAGCTGGGTCCTTAGCTAGTAGCTGTTTGAGCTGCTGGGGCGTGAGGGCTCTTGCTCTGAGGGCCGGCTTGAGCACTGCCACTGCGTTGGGTTTGAGGGGTGCCGCTTCGGCTGGGCTGGACGACAGCTCCGTTCATGGCGGGCGAGCTAGTTGGACCACCGCGATTTTGTTGACCAGGCTGAGGGACTCGCATCATAGGGGAAAAGCCCTGGGGTTGAGGAACCTGCATCCCAGAATTGCCGTTTGCCATGTTGGGCGCCGACGGGGTCTGGAAATTGCCATCATGAGGAACTTGGAAGTTCGCCTGCACGTTATTGGCATTCATGGCATTCGCGTTGATACTACCCGAAGCAGCGTTGATCGCGGCCTGTTGGGACAAGCGCTGTTGTTGCGACTGTTGGTACTGGTTGAGTCGGTCAGTGGCTAACTTGGTTATCTGCTCAGGAGGCATGTTGGGGTTGCTGCGCTGGATCTGGCTTTGGATGTTGCTGATTTGTGGCACGACACCGCTCGAAAGAGGATTCGGTTGACCCATGCGAGGCGACGGGGTTGACACGCCTTGGGGCGTGCCAGCGTGGAATGACGGGCTTTGCATTCCTCCTTGAGCCTGCATTGCAGCTATCATGGCTGGATTGTTGGGGGTGCCGTTTGACATGTTCAGATTCGGTGATCCCTGCGATGGGAATTGCTGGTTGTGGAATTGCTGGCCTTGCGGTTGCTGCCTGGATTGGAGAAGGCGCTGCTGCTCCTGCAGTCGATTCGCTTCTCGAATGACACGCGTATTATCGGGGGATGTTTGCATCGTCATACCAGGTCTCGCGCCTGGTCCTTGCATTTGATTCGGCATCATCTTCATAGCCATACCGTTGGTCATTTGGCCGTTTGACTGCGCCCCGGTCGTCATGTTTTGCATAGGGAGAGGACGACCTTGATTAACACCTGCACCAGACTGCATGCCATTAGGAACTCCATTTGGAGTACCACCTGGCAGGCCGGGATTGGAGGTAGGAGGCATGTTGGTGTTTGTGCGCCCTGGAGCGTTTGCCGCTGGCTGGTTAGGCGCTTGACCGGAACGCTGAGCTGCAAGGCTCGCCTAAGTGAAAGGTTAGTAAGTATAATATTTTCTGTGGGGTTCACGAGGTATTCACTCTTTGTTGCGCAATCATTTGCTGGCGATACTGCTCTTGCCTTTCCTGCAATTTCATCTCCCGGTCATATTTCAGCCGACTAAACTCAGCTGGCGATGAAATAGGGGGTTTAGGTTGATTAGCCTCGTTAGCCTTGCGCAATGAGGCGAGATGAGAAGCTAAATGTATGGTCAGCGTTGTTGTGATTAATAGTACCATTTGAAACATACCATGCTGTTGCTTTTGAAGCATAGTCTCCCTCTTCTTTGCCAGCTTACGCATAGCATCGAGCAAAGCGAGATGCTTTGAAGACCGTCTCCTATCAACACGAATAGGCTGTGTAGACCTCCGACGTATAGGTGGCTGAGGCGGACCGTTATTGCCCTGCTGCTGTTGCTGTTGCTGCTGTTGCTGTTGAGCAGCCGCCTGCTGAGCCAGCACGGTACGCTGAGCGGTTTCAAGCCTCTGGTGGTAGGCACGGAAATATTGCGTCTTGGACATATCAGCCGGAAGACCTTCAAGTCCCACCCATCGTTCGAAACATTCCCAGGGGGTCCGTCTCTCGGCTCCAGAAGTGAAGATAGACGATGGAGTTAGGCAACTGGAAATTAAAGACCAGTTGTAGGAATACTCCTTCACCAAACGTCGTAATTCATCATCTTCGGCAAAGGTCCATTGTGATGACTGACGTGACTCGAAGAATCCAACAGAAGGCATCGGATGTTCGGTTGGAGGTCTGAATGAGTGCCCAGGATGAATGCGATCACGGATGGGTTTGTTTTCGGGGCGGAAGAGAGCAACATTGGTTTGCTCAGGGGGAAGATCGGTAATGCGATGATCTGAATCATTGTTGTACTGGGAGAAATCATATCTGCTTCGCTTGCGGGGACGGTCGTCATCGTGGAAGGTGATCTTGGTCGACGCAAATTTAGAGACAGGCACAAGTTCCGTCTTCCAAGCTGAATCAGGAGGTGCTTTGAAGTCTGGTACATTCGTTCCAGAGGCCATTGTCAATGGTCCGTATATCGGCAATTCGTCCAGTAACTTTTCGGCAGCAGGGGTCATGTCGATCGAGAAGTTAAACTCGTCCGAGCCGAGGGAGAAAATAGCTGCAGGGGTCACAGTGTCTTGGAGGCTGTGTCGAGGCTCATCATTGAATCCATCGCTAACCGACTCCTCCTCGGCCGATGGAACGAGGTCCGGAGTGGGATGAGAGCCACCAAACGCTTCATCACCAGTGTCCTCGGAGGGTGGGCTAGGACCGGCCTTCGGTCCATCCTTTTCGGCCAAGGATGGCGAAGGAATCTTTGTTTGAACACGCAGTAGAGCCCGGTGTTCCTCGTCACTGTTGACATATTCGGCACACCAATCGGCACAGCTCTTTGCGGCAGCAAGCTTCCACTTGCGTTCCTCTCGGAAGTCAGTTCGCATCCATTTCATGTGATTCATCACCACATCCCAATGCGATCCTTGGCGGGGAGGTTCGACGGAACGCTTCATTTGCCGTAATGGCCAACGGTTGGCGTTTTGAAGGGCATAAATGCGCCGTAGAGTACGACAATCCATAGACTCCTGGTATTCAAGCAAATGGTTGTTCGTAGTTAATGTCTTGTGCGCGGAAGCCAAGAGAGTATTGAGATTTGTTCCCCGTGGAGGAGCGTAGGCTCGGTTCAAAAATAATGTGAACAGATAGTCTTGTTCCTCATTCAGCTTGGCAACTGCATCCATGTCCCTGTGCAGTAGTTCCATAGACTCAGGCTGAGAGGGCTGCTGCTTGGGGAAAACCACAGTCGAGAGTCGGCTTCTCTCTTTCTCCCGGTCTTTCCGATCCTTGAACCGCATTCTCGCAACGGAATCCGGGGACCCTTGCTCAGAGGGTGTGGGTGGAGCCCTGTCATGGTGGCTCCTGGGGGTCTCTCCCAGAATTTCGGACACTGACTTATGGCGGATAGCTCCAGACGAAACTCGTGTGGTCATGCGCTCTGGTTGTGATGATCCAGGCTGAGTAACAGGTATGGATAATGACGGTTTCTTGATAGGCGTGACAGAATCAGCAGTGACATCCATCGTGGATGGCGATACGGATTTTGATACAGATTTCTTCGCTTCAGAATCGGGGGCGGTTTGGTCGATATCCATTTCATCTTGAGCATTTTCAGTACCTTTGCTCTCTTTGATTACCTCGCTCGAGGAAGGCAGATTGGCATTAACATCCACAGGCTTCTCCTGTGCCGAGTTGGCTTGTTCTAAGAGCAATTGCTCATCAGGGGTTGACGGGACCAGACTTGATCGTGATCGGTCATGTTTGTGTGGGCGAGTGATTGGTTCAGCCTCCTCGGCTGCTTCTTCTGCGGGACTTGTGTCGGGCGATGCGGCGGCTGGTACGGGGGTATTATTAGAGTAAGGATCGATAGAGGAGGCGGGAGAAAGAGGGTGTTCAGTATTAGAGGGTCCTAGAGTCAGAGACGTCCTTGGATCTTTCTTTCGATGGATGTCAGATGGTATTTCCAATGAAGGAGCGCCTGTCGCAGTTCCCTTCGCGCGCGAAACCTTGGCTTCGGTTGTATCGTGAATAACGTTGGAGACAGGTGCGCTGACTTTCGGGTCGCGCGAGGATTGGGTGAATGGCGCAGCCTTCGGTGGCATATCGATAGCCTTTGGCGGCTTGGAAACGGGTGGTGCAGATGGTAGTTGTGCTCCATTGGTCTCCGGTGATGGCGCGACATTGGGGGTGGCAGTCCCAGGTTGCGCCGATGCGAGTGTGTCGCTTTGGATCGGTTCGGTCACCTGCGGAACACCGTCATCGCTGGCGGACGGGAGAGCAATGTCGCTAACAGGTTTGGTCTTGGTGCCAGAAGCCGTTGTCGGGGAAACTAAGCTTCTGGATGGAGAACGCGCGCGCGCATGGGCAGGCAGTGGAAGCGTAGCTTCATCGAAGTATCGACCTCTGTATAGGGCATCAGTATTGCAATATTACACAAATTAAATTAAATGATTGCAACGAATGATACAAATGCAGAGTAATGCAGAGAAGGTACTCACTTGGAAAGATCGTTGGCGTCGAGAAACGCTCGTTCCTTTTGCTGGTAATGCGAGTCCTCGGTCGCGCCAAACCCGACCGTGGCTAGATACAATGCGCTGAGCTTGCGCTTTCGGCGCGACAAACAGTTTCTGGCCACCAAGTCAGTCAAAACTTCATCATCGCGTATTCGGACATCAGAAATACGCGACAGATAATTAATACTTACGCGATCTCATCGTTTTTAGACCGAAGGAGCTCGTCGCGGAGCATGGAGTCTAGCTTGGGAACACAGCATCCGATTAACGCGGGAACAAGGGGAACGGATTGAGCGAGGTCATCCAGATGGAAAAAATCGCTCGAACAAGATGGAAACGATGGGGAAAGGGAGTAGAGCGATGGAGAGCAGAGTCTTCTTTTGAAGGGGGTGAAAATGAGGTTACGGTATGGAAAAAATGTTTGGGGAAAAAGGACGGGTGGGTGGTTTGGGTACAGTACTCGCTCCCTCACAAAAATTACACGGGGGTGCCAAGTACCTGGTACTTGGTCGGCCCTTAGGTCTAGGGGAAGGGAATTAGAGTGGCTAACACTGAGGAATGTCTTATGCATTATTCGAACTATCAGACGTTTATGGGGGATTGGAACTGGCCAAAACTGAAGTGACATCGTATGTAATGCGTAATCGTCTCATTCCTCCGCTTGCGGTAATTGGACACCTGGGGCAGAGACTTATGGCCTCGGATATCGGGCATATATTAACACCTCATTGATCAGGCCGCAATATTCTTATCGGGCGGCGATAACCCGCGGCAGAAAAGCAGAACGCAAGAAAAAAAGTTATCCACCCCCCCCCAAGCTTCAACATCAAACAAGCATTGAGATACCATCATGGTGAAACGCAAGAGAACCGATGCCCCCAAGGAGGACAAGCCTGTTGTTCCTTCGCCCAAGACTACCAAATCCGCCCCGACACCGTCAGAGTCCCCCGATGCCGCTATCACTGTTCAAATCATTACAGGCTCCTATGAGCGGGTCCTCCATGGCTTCACGGCAGGAATTCCAGCTGCCAGCCTGAAGGCCAAAACTGACGCCGACTCTCCCAAGTTCGACTGTGTAGACACCTTCTTGTTCGAGGCACATGGATCTGCCATCCGTTGTCTTGCCATGTCACCGCTCCCCAAGGCCACCGACTCTGCTGAATCTCAGAAGGTGATGCTAGCTAGTGGCAGTACCGATGAGCGTATCAACTTGTACTCCATCTCTGCCGCTCCTCCTGCGGTGAATGACGACTATCCCTCCGTGCCCACCCTCGCTGGAAACAAAATCCTCGAAAATCCTCGAAACCGGGAACTAGGATCTCTGTTGCATCACACTGCCAGCCTGACCTCCTTGAGTTTCCCTTCCCGCAGCAAGCTCCTTGCTGCTGGTGAAGACAACACAATTTCTATTTCAAGAACCCGTGACTGGTCTGTTGTTTCAACCATTAAAGCGCCAAACCCGAAAGTTCAAGGACGTCCAAGCGGCGACACTGCACCACTTGGCGGTGCTCCGTCTGGAGTGAACCACTTTGCAGTACACCCCAGTATGAAACTCATGCTTACTCTTGGCAAGGGTGAGAGGTGTATGAGATTGTGGAACTTGGTCACGGGCAGAAAGGCTGGAGTGTTGAACTTTACCAGGGAGGTGCTAATGGGTGTTAACGAGTCGAGGTTCAGCAGCGGTGAAGGCCGCCGCATTGCCTGGGACTCGGAAGGAGAGGAGTTTGCTGTTGCATTTGAATGGGGAGCCGCGGTTTTCGGAATTGTAAGTCTCTTGTTCGTCAATTTCTTAAATTGGATTCTAACTCTTGGCGATAGGACTCAACCCCCAAGTGCAGAGTTGTCCCTGGACCTCGGAGCAAACTTCATCAGATGAAGTATGTTTCTTTGCCTGTGAAGGGTGATGAGAAGAAGGACTTCCTAGTCGTTTCCACGGAAGATGGCCGGATGATCTTCTACTCGACCAAGGACCTAAAAGAGGCAAAGGATGATAACGACTGTACCATTCCCCATGCCACCCCCGTTGCTCAGCTTGGTGGAAAGCAGGCTGGCTTCGCTGGCCGCATCAAGGACTTCGAGATTCTCAGCTTGGAAGACCAAGCCAAGGAACTCCGCAATGACTTCCTGGTTGTGACTGCCAGCAGCGATGGTGTGGTTCGTGTATGGAAGGCTTCCGGCAAGGACCTTGTCAAGGTAAAGGATGAGCCTGCTCAGATTGGAAGAGTCCTGACTACCTATGAGACTGGCAACCGCATCACCTGTCTGGCATCCTTTGTCATGTTGCCTGCAGAGGACCCATCCACGCTATTTAACTCTGAAGAGGAGAGTTCGGAGAACGAGGAGGAGGACTCCAGTGACAGCGACGACGAGTAATACGTGGCTCTCACCTGTTATACCCTTTGTACTATTGATAAAAGAACGGCGATGTATTCATGAGCAAAAGTTTGACGCTTTAGAAACATAGAAATAAGTTCTCTATGCTCTATCGCTGTACCTCATTAGTCTAAAATTTCTCCAAATCCACAAGAAACATAGCAAACGTCAAACCACAGACTACAATCCAAATGCAAATACAAAAAAAAACGCCCGATTTACCATTCGAGATACTATACAAAAAGTGAAGAGTTGCCATCTAGACACCGCCCGAGTGGCTCTCCACTGCACACAATCCCCCACCTACATTCTTTCATCAGTATCGGAAGCAATTTTCACCCGACCACCTTCCACCCTCCACCTTTTCCACCTCTTCCTTTCGCGAATCGAATTTTTCTTCTTTCGCAATCATGGCTACCAACGGCGATTTCTCCGATGAGGGATCCCAGCCCGGCTCGCCTTTGCTCGACGCCCACAACGCCCGCGGCGAGGTCGAGGAACAGGAACCTCTTGAGGAGGAGAAGCCCACCAAGTCCGCCATGAAGAAGCCCGCTCCTGCTCCCCAGCATGTGCGCCCAGAACTCCCCGAGCAGCCCGAGCCCGAGACCCTAGATCTGTCCAAGTTGACTCCTCTGTCGCCTGAGATCATTTGCAGACAAGCCACTCAGAACATCGGTATGTGATCGCTGGATTGTGACAACGTTGCGACCTATTTCTTGTTGGGAGGCATTTCTGTGAGCAACGGATGACTCCCTGCGAAAAAAAGGCCCTGCGTTCGAAAATGCACACTGGGTGAATTCCTTCTTTTCCTGCCTACAGGTTGACTAACAGTTTTTTCATAGGTACTATCGGTCACGTCGCTCAGTTAGATTTCCTCCTCCCGATCTTTCCATCCTCCGAGTGACTAACATTTTTGTAGCGGTAAATCGACTGTCGTCAAGGCCATCTCGGAGGTGCAGACCGTTCGTTTCAAGAACGAGCTTGAGCGCAATATTACGATTAAGCTCGGTTACGCCAACGCGAAGATTTACAAGTGTGACAGCCCCGACTGCCCCCGGCCGACATGCTACAAGAGTTTCAAGAGTGAGAAGGAGATCGATCCTCCTTGTGAGCGCGATGGATGCACAGGTCGTTACCGTTTGTTGGTATGTTTCTCGTCCTTTGCTCGATTTCAGGGCACTATTTCTGCTGATAGCGGACTAACATTTGATATAGCGTCATCTCAGGTACATGGAAATCCCGTTTTGCCCTTCAGGCTCGATTAAGAGTCATTCTGCGTCGAACATAAGCTAACATTTGGTTCCTTGAAGTTTCGTCGATTGCCCTGGTCACGATATTCTCGTTAGTTTTCACCTTTCACAGATTCCGTGGCTTTTGAATTTTGAGTCTAACCCAAAATCCGCAGATGAGCACTATGCTTTCAGGTGCCGCCGTCATGGACGCCGCTCTCCTCCTGATTGCCGGAAACGAAACTTGCCCCCAGCCCCAGACTTCCGAGCACTTGGCTGCTATTGAGATCATGAAGCTTAGCCACATTGTTATTCTTCAGAACAAGGGTATTTATCTATTCAATTTCGAGTTACGCCTCTAGCCACATTCTAACTCTCTCTTCTAGTCGATCTTATGCGCGAAGAGGGTGCTCTCGAGCACTACCAATCGATCCTCAAGTTCATTCGTGGTACTGTCGCCGATGGCTCCCCCATTATTCCCATTTCCGCTCAGTTGAAGTACAACATCGATGCTGTCAACGAGGCTCTCGTCAACACCATTCCCATTCCTCCTCGTAACTTCGAGGCCTCTCCCCACATGATGATCATCCGTTCCTTCGATGTCAACAAGCCCGGTGCCGAGATCGACGAGCTCAAGGGTGGTGTTGCTGGTGGTTCCATCCTTACCGGTGTCGTAAAGCTGAACGACGAGATTGAGATCCGTCCCGGTCTTGTTACAAAGGACGAGCAGGGCAAGATCCAGTGCCGCCCCATCTTCTCCCGCATTGTCTCCCTCTTCGCTGAGCACAACGACCTCAAGTTCGCCGTTCCTGGTGGTCTTATCGGTGTCGGTACCCGCGTCGATCCCACGCTTTGCCGTGCCGATCGTCTCGTCGGTTTCGTCCTGGGTCACCGTGGCCGCCTCCCTGCCATCTACACTGAGATCGAGGTCAACTACTTCCTGCTCCGCCGCCTTCTTGGTGTCAAGACTGCCGACGGCAAGCAGGCCAAGGTTGCCAAGCTCGCCAAGAACGAGGTTCTCATGGTCAACATCGGCTCTACTGCCACCGGCGCTAAGGTTCTCGGTGTCAAGGCTGATGCCGCCAAGCTCAGCTTGACCAGCCCCGCTTGCACAGAAGTTGGCGAGAAGATTGCCATCTCTCGCAGAATCGAAAAGCACTGGCGTCTCATTGGATGGGCCAACATTGTTGCGTAAGTTCTAAAGGCCTGGTGACACGATTATGGCATTTGCTGACATTATCTTCCCTACAGTGGTAACACCCTTGAGCCCGTTCAGCAGTAAAGCAATTCTTTGAATGATGTCCCAGTTCGAGATGGGGAGGTTCAGGGAAAGTGGTCTGTTATATCGAGGAAACTACGCAAGTTAAAACCCTGCTACATCTTCGACCGACGATCTCTCCGCCCACCAACCCTCGAGCACGAGTCTTGCGATTTACGATCATAGATTGCAGAAATTTTTACGGTCATGACGAGTCGGAAAAAGTAAACACGTGATATACCTGATTCCCCTGGCTGATGGAGAGAGAGAAATGATGGGAGAGGAGACATGCATCCCTGCATTGTCGCCACCTTGATCAAACTACCTGCTTCATGCATGTCTGCTACCACGTTTGGCACACGACAGCATGGCAAA